TGCTTCCTGAAATCAATTCGTTATAAACACCATATGAGACCACTTTGCATCCGTTAGCAGTTTTTCCAATGGTTGTAAAAAAAAAATTTTACAGTGCCTGAAACCACTCAAAAAGTTTTTGAAACGTGAATGGACAGGCAGGCTTATATTTCATGTATATGTGTTGAATCATTTCTTTTTTAATTTTCAAAATCACCCTCAAATTTCCATTAAAAATGGATGGCAAAAGTTAACTAAGTTTTCCGAAGAACTATTTGATGGAAATTTGAGGATAATGTCAAAAAGCAACATAAAATAATCAACTCAAATTATCTGTAGCAAAAGGCTGCATGTCCATTCGTGTGTTGACATTTTTCTTCGGTGGTTTCAGGTATTTAACAAAAAATCACAACCATTGGAAAAACTGCCAACGTGACGGTAGCAAAGTGGCCCCCTTTATTGTGTTTCTTCAAACCAGTGGTACATGTATTTCACATGTGAAAAGGTCATTAAATGTATGGAGTATAGTTCCCTAAGTGTTGTACAAGGTACAAGTATGTGATATAATTGCCAAGGTTGTCGGCATCATACAGTACTTTCCTGAGTCCTCTTATCAACGACCACTTGCCTGTGCAGCCGGCAGTCACAGGAAATCCATTAAGATTTCACAATAGTTAAATGAACTCTCGCTACACAGTCCTGACTAAAATTAGTCACAAGTTTGAAGCCGTCAAAATCCCCATTTTAATTAGGGAGAAACCCTGCATTGTTTTGAGCTGCACGTAGTCGTATAGGGTTTGAAAACCTCCTTAATTCAATCACTTTAATTTTTTTTTTTTTTAATGACAATTGCCTGGCCGTGGATTTAACATGAAGAAAGCTGCGACGATCGACAAAAGACTCAAACCAATAGCAATTCATTGCAGCACAAACGGGTGTGCTCATACATGGCTTCTACTTTATAATCAATATTTAGCCCTGAACATCATAAAATCAAAACCAAATTTGTATCTTGTAATTAGCTTAAAGGGCCTTCAAATGATTTTTTTCTGAGAAATGCATTTTGTGCAAGTTCTATTTCTCAAATGAAAACTAGGTATTTGACATCGCTTTTTGGTAAATTTTATTGAAAAGTGCACTTCTATAATAAATTTTTTTAAACATTTTCCATGCTCTTCCAGATACCTGGGTGCAGCGGCTGTTATGTCATTTCAGGAAGACGCTGTTCAGCTTAGGGGTTTTCTGTTCAAATTGTGAACCAAAAATTTGCTCATTGAAAACATTTGTGAGAAAGGTTAGTTCATTGGCCTACGGCCATGTACTGACACAACAACGAATCCAAAAAACAAAAAAAATTACGTCAGGAAAATATCCAAATTTCTGGCAACTTTTTTAACTCAAACACATGTAAAGTAGAACACAGAGGTTTCGCCCCAGAATGATACATCACAGTTTTTCTCATGAATATGGAAATTTGCATTAGCATATTAGCATAAAAGCCAAAAAAGGCACCAAAATACCCTCGAAAATGGCAAAACAAAAATTTAAAATAAGGTTAAATGGAACACAAAGGTACATTTTGAGGATTACATTAACTTTAAAAAAATGACATGGCATCTAGCCCTTTAAAACTACGTGTTTACATTGTAGTTGCAAGGCAGTGGAATTGGTTTCTAATGCGTTTCGTTTATAGGTTTGGTGCACAGTGGTATGTGTATGTCTTATAAATGCATACAACAATGTGTACATTGAACGTAACTTTACAAGCCTTCTCTTCTCAGAATTATTGGTTTACATGTGTGTTTAAAGAGGGTTTATGCTTGGACTCAAGGATGTTTCTACTTGCATAATTCCAGTTTTGCCAACAAGGGCCGACTGTGTACATGTACAATGTACTTGTATCTTTTTGATTATTCTTTAATTACAACTTACAAGTTTGTAAACTGTGTAAAATATAATTATATAAATTGTGTCTTTCAATTGCATTTGAGTGTGTGCATGTATACATTAAACTACCGGTTTACATGTAAAAGGAAATAAAACTGCCAAGGTGTTGGGTTTTTTTTCATTTATAGTCACAACAATGGACTTGGAATTAAATCAAAATTTTAACTATTGAGATCCCAATTGTGCTAAAATGGACACATACAATGTACATGTAACAGATATTCAGGATATTTTTTTTACTTTTTCTCTTGCTTCCTTTGCAACAAAGCAGTGCATGGATGACCATAACAAATATCCGATTTCGCTGAAAAAAACTCTCTACTTTTGGAAGTAAATTTCTCAATTCAGGCGATTCACAATGCAGTGCGCCACCAAGAGTTTGTCACGGAGAGTTCATTTTTCCCAGTGCATTGTGGGAGATGGTCGACAAATTCGCAGCGCGGGACATTTGAAATTGTTCGTTTTTCCGGTTTGTAGTTTCGTAAGCGTATGATTCGAGTATCTGTTTGCCCTTTTCTTTTCTTTTTATCAATATGGTGTTTTTTTGTAAGGCGGCAGAACGCAATGCCCCAATCTATAACAAATTAGCTCAAGTCGTCTACTGACACTCATTCAAATGGGCCATGTTTTGCCGGCCATAAACTTGAAAAAAATGGATTCTCCATGGCAAACTCTTGGTGGCGCACTGCATTGTGAATCGCCTGAATTGACACAAAGTATCTGGCCAATAATTCAAGGGGTCATCATTATCTGGACCATGTCATTTTTTACTAACACTAGCAGAATGCCGCACAAAGCGCAGCACCCGCTAGCTGGGTGGAGTCATAAACTAAGGTTTACTTTGAACTCAATTTGCATGTTGACCCCAAGTGGGCGTGGCAAGCCTTGGTTGAAGCAATTTTGCCACATTTGTTATCATTAACGTTATGTTTTGCATCATAGCAATGATAGCATAACTTTTGGAGTGTGTTCATAGAGATAGCGTTGTTATATTTAACTATTCAAAGTCTATTATAGAGATAGAATTTTGCGTCGGGGTGATATAACTCAAATTAGGTTTGCCCTTCACCGACGTTTTTTTAACACTGTATACTCAGTGTGTTACCTCCCGAGTGAAAGTTGGAAAAAATCACTCGGGTGGGTGAAAAAAACGTTGGTGAAGGGCAAAACCTAATTTGATTTATATCACCCCGACGCAAAATTCTATCTTATAAATAGTTTATGCGGTACCCGCTGCTATGTACATCAGATTCAAACCGACCAACCGATCCCGTTAGCTCGGTGGTCGAGTGGTAAGACATCTGCACTAGAAAGCAGGAGGTCGTGGGTTCGAGTCCCACCCGAGTAATTTTTTCCAACTTTCACTCGGGAGGTAACACACTGAGTATACAGTGTTTAAAAAAACGTCGGTGAAGGGCAAAACCTAATTTGATTTATTCAAAGTCTAATGGAAACAAATTTACCAAAAAAGCAAAACAAAACAAATAAATCTTTTTTTTTTCATGTGCCAACTGTGAATTCAGAGGACAGTAAAATCGGGGGATACAACCATGGAGCAATATATTTATACTAAAACCTGTCCATCAACCAGGTTGCGTTTTGTGTTACTACACACTTCTTAGGCTTTTTACAAAAAAATTGTGACAGACATCAGACAGACAGACCGACCGACATCAGACAGACAGTGTAGGATCTTATAGCCCTTTACAGTCCTGAATCCTCCAATTTCAATATGATTTTGCACACCCCCTATAGGATTTCTGCATGATAATGCAAGTCATTGAACACGTAGATTAGGCTAGCACATCTTACATGTTCAATGTACCGGTACATGGGTCATTAGATAAATTCAGCGTCTAATTTGTGTGTGTCCCTGTTAGATCTGATATAAGATTCATTCTTTAATGCCTACTATCTCCAAGATTGATAATGTAAAGCAAAGCACCTGCTAAATAAACTTTCAATTTAATGATACTTGCATGGCACATAAAAATATCACCATTTTGGACCCCAAATTTGTGGAATGATCATAGAGCTATATTCAATATTAAATTACTAGAGCGCTAACTCCTCATTCTGCGCGCGGAGACGCTTTGAAGCCGTCCTGCGCGCAGACATTTTGAAGCCATGTGCGTGTTTGTGGAACATAACAAAATTAGATGGAGTGAATTTTGAAAGTGTACTCTAAATGCAATGCACAAGAACAACATACGCAAACAACTTAAGCACGCCATCATGTCGGTTAAAAACCAGGACGGCAAAAATCTACTGCAGCGGATACGCGGATGCGTTTACGTTGTTTGCGCAGAGCAAAATGAAATGCTCATTTACTGATTGTGCGTTTCAGTTTTGGGTGTATCAGCTTCGATAACGTATAGAATATGAACGCAGATGCAAATAGCCATACAAAAGCCACATAAAACTATGAGTTTTCCATACATTTTTTTCACAAACTTGGATGCGCCCAGCAGGCATCACTTTGTGCATCAAGTCAGCACTGTCTCTTGTAATTTAATATACACAGAGAGTAACTTCAACTTCCTCAAAAAAATCATTTCAAATTTGTGATTTTCTCCAAGGTCTTCGCGAGCCCTATGATGTTGAGTGAAAAGAAAATGCAGTCTACAACAGAAAAAACAATGTCACTGTACTATAAGGCCAAAACAAAATAAAATCTCCGGTTTCTGGTATGGAGTTAGCCAAAAAAGTGGTGCGGCGACGCGGCTTTTTTTTTTTTACCATTTTTTTTTCTTCAAATATCGGCTGATGACTGCAAATGGTGCCCAACTAAACTTAGTGCAAATATATGGGAGTCCAGAGAGGCAACATAAAGCTTATTCTCGATCGTAACCCCATGTAAAAACACGTTCAAATTGTGCAGCAGCAGGATTCCAGTCAAACCAGTGAGTTTTTGGTGGTTTGAGGCATGATCTTTCATTACAAAAAAACTTTTTCATTTTGCCGATGCGCATGGCTACGGCGACGCGCGCGCATACCAGAAACTGGAGACTTTTTTTTGGGGGCCTAACTGTACATTTGCCATCCAGTACTTTGCTGAATGGTCGACAACTCACCAATATTTTGGTTTCAAATTTCTCCCCCTTTGTCTCCATCCGGACAATCATCATTGGGCCATGATCAAAGCGGTCCCCCAGACAGTTCAGCACGGAGTCTGAAACATGCAAAGGTTTTGCAAAGATATTGTACAACCATGTACTACCATGACTACATGTATTTATGTAGAAAGGGTTTTATGTAGAAAGGGTTATAATACTGTAAGCGCTGTGATTTAGTTTACTAATATGAGCGTTCTTAAATGCCAATTATTATTATTAATTATTATTATTATGGACACAGTTTTGTATAGCAAAAGAGTAGAGACAATGGAATAATCGATCCGTCATCTTGGGAAATTGTTTTTTTTTTAAGGGAATATACATCATTGGCTTTTTCTGTAAATTTCAGAAATGAACTATTTGAGGGGTTAGTATAATAGATCAAATATTGTTGCACTGACATGATTGAGGTTTTGTGTTCGAAAATGCTGGAAAAACCAAGAAAAAAAAATGTTCAATTAGTCTTGTTCCCTGACTCCACTAAATATAAAATGGATCAATTTACAGATGCCGGAAAATTGTAAGTAAGGGTACCAGTCTAGCTGGCCCGCACCCGTTCATGAACATGTAACCAATAGCAAACAAAATTTTGACTGAACAAAAATGGTAAATTTGGAGCAGAAGTTGAAAAATAGTTAGGTTTTTCCAACGGTGGTTACATGACCACCGCTGGAAATTTTTACAAAAATACTATTTTCTTGAAAATGACTTCACACCAGGTGCCATAATTTTATGGGATGCTTTAGACTGTCATTTACCAACATCCTATTATTTTGTAAAAACTTGGTAGTTTTATTTTTCGATGTTTGCAAATGTTGTACATTCCCTTTAAACGCCTGCCTCCTTCATTTTTTAAATGCAGTGGCCATCGTGAAAAGATTCCCATATCAGGCCATCATTTGTCACCCTGTGCACAAACCATAATGAGACTGGTCTGAAAATTGCTAAGTGTTTTCTACTTCTACTTTCTAGGCAAAAAATGTTGCAACCTGACGCCACTTCAGTCTATGGACTGGAGAGTCAAGAAAATTTTCTCTAAGTACCGGTATTTTCTAACAAAATTGGAAATTTTCCATCTTATAATCTTCCATCATCATAAAATTCCATCGTATAAAATTGGAAATGTTTCTCAGTCCCAGATTCTTATCATCTTTTTTGCAATGACTGACCTTCATTGAGATGATATATGAAAAAAATAGTGGCATCAGGTTGCAACATTTTTTTCTGTTTTCTCAGTAAATAGGACTACTTCAATATTTTCAGTGCTAAATTTGACTTTTTAGGACATATCAATTTCTGATGGCTGATTTCTGATGGAAAATCGTAATTTCTACCCCAAGAAACTGTTCAAAAATTACCATTTAAAAGGTCTGCTTTAGTTTAGGATGAAAATGTCATTTTTTAGAAATACAAAAAATTCTTGATTCTAATTTGATCGAAACAAAACAGCGGCCCTACACTACACGATCCTCGAAAACTAGGCCTAGGATTAAACGAAAAAAAAAAAAAAATATTACTACATTACTAGTGGAAAGAGGACATGGTTTTGATTTATGAACGGAATTTATAAAATATCATTAGAACGTAGAACTAGAAGTGTCCTAAACTACCCGATTACTGTCCGCACCCAAGTCGAGTCAAATGCAACCCCCCAAAGCGGTTGGCCTATCCATAGAGCAAGGTGCTCTATGGCCCGTGGTCAGTGTCAGTCATGTCAGTGCATGGAGGTTCCTTCCTCAATGGTCAGTGGAAGACCGGTCAGGTGCGCGGTGTACGTTGGCTGGTTGGCCTGTTGGCCAGCCTAGCAGTGCGTCAGCGTGACACTTGTCTTGACTTCGTGTGTCACTGTGTGGTGTGCTCACCTGAAAGCTCCGGCGAAATGGTATCTGTAACACTCATTTTGGGTAGCAGAAGTATCCGTAAAGACCCTCAGCAACCTGCCTTGAAGGCTCAGCGGACAATTTCACTCGAAACCGCTGGAAGAGCAAAGTTGACAAAATAAGGAAGTAGACGACCTCACGCACACTTGTGGGAGTGGTCCGCCATGTTTAGAATAGCTAGTGAATGACAAGTCCGCTGGTTCCTGCGCGGGTACCTGATAAAGGAAGGGAAGTGCGTGTGAGAACCAGCTTGTAGATGACCTCTACATTTTTTAGGTCAGAAACTTCGGATGACGTCAGGGTATTCCCTTTGTCGGCGTCGTATTCGGCTCACGAGGTGACAAATCACATATGACACACAGACGCACGACTTGATTTGATTTGATGTGATTTAGTTATGATTTGGCATTACCTGAATAAACAAAATCAATAATAATAACGATTTAATCTGAAGTGTTTACGTCTACGTACGTACAGATGAAAGTTTCAGAACTTATTTCCAATGGATCCCTTTAAATATTTGCTGAACAAAATATTTCGGGAAAAAAATCCTCGCCCCCCCCCCCCCGATACGCCACTGTTTGGCGCTATTATCAGGTTATTTGTTCCCATTTTATTTTGTAACTTGATTGGTTGGCCGGGAACTAGAGTGCCCCTCCCCCCCCCCCCCCCCAAAAAAAAAGAACTCGGAAGAGAAGAAGAAAATTAATAACGTGGGAGGAAAAGAAGCCTAATTAAGCACGTGAGCTTTGGCAAAAGGAGAACGACGTCCTGAAGCTTATGCCTTAGAGACACAGGCTCCCCACGGCTGACTTTCTGTCCCAATGTTTTGTAAAACTGCCCTTTTCCATTCAAATGCCCCTTTTCACCAGTGTTTAACCATGGGCGTCGCCAGGATTTTTTCTAGAGGGGGGCAAAATTTTTTTTTGCCAAAAAATGCTTGTATTTCTCAACACATTCTAGATTTATCAGTTTTAGAGGGGGGTAGGGACATTCTGCCCCCCCCCCAACTCATTAAATTTACACCACTTTGTCTTCGCGCCTCTTTTTCTTTCTTTTTTTTCTTTTTTTTTCTTCCTTTTTTTTTTTTTTTTTTTTGCTTTTCCAGGGGGGGGGGGGCAAGTGCCCCCCCTTGCCCCCCCTCGCGACGCCCATGTGTTTAACCCCCCCCCCCAATAATTTGTAAAGAGTGCCCTATAAAAAAAAGTGTTGCCCTTTTTTTATGCCATCGGCCGTTCCGGGTGCCTTTTTTTTTATAGTAACGAATGTACATTGTATCGCCCTGAAAAAGCACAATATGTCTGTTAGTGTGTATAATCGTCGGTTTTGAAATGTGCCCCCATCGATAGATGGTACCAGCTCCCCCCCCCCCCCCCCCCCCGTGACTTACATTTCACCACGGATGTTATACCTTACCGAAATGAACGTGGTGCGTTACCGAGATCCCTGTGCGTACATAGAAATTAAATATTTCTCCTTTATTGCGCAAGGGGAGCGCAAGTTTGACCCCAGGGACTCTAGAGTGTAACTCCGGCAAGTTGTAAAAATATCCGTTCATAAATCCTGAGTTAACTGACCTGTACAATTTTCAACTCAACATGATTTTGTTTTCGCAATTGTAAAGGCCTATGAAGCGCGCAGTTAACTCTTCTAAAAATGCGCCGGATAATTAGAAATACTGTAGCGTTTCACTACTCCAGCTATATGGGTGGCAGACTGGCAGAAAAATGTTTTACAGCCGGCGTGGGAAAAATAATAACAGAAAAACCTTTCAAAGCAATGTTAAGTTCTGGGGCGTCTCCATAATCTGGCCAATATTCTGCTGGATGTTGTCTAGTCAATTCAAGGGATTTAAATCATCCTTGACCCATTGTTCTTGAAACTTAACATGTTAATCGTTTAAATCCAGAAGCGGAAAGAATGTAGTATCCCGACGCCACTTCTTTGGTTGTATACAAAGTAAATGGACATGGGCGTCGTGAGAGGGGGCGCTTGCCCCCCCCCCCGGAAAAGCAACCAAAAAAGGACCAAAAAAAGCCAAAACAACCCAAAAATCAATGTGAGAAAAGAAAGAAAAGAAAGAAAAAGAAGACGAGGGGCAAAGTCATATTGCTGTTAATTTAATGTACATTTAACAACATGGACTGTCAATGAGGGTGCAGTGGGCAAATGTCCCCCGCCCATCCTCAAAAATTGATAAATTGATAATAATTAATATGCTGGAGAAAGTACAAGGATTTTGGCAAATTGTGTGTTTTGCCCCCTCTAGAAAAAATCCTGGCAACGCCCATGTGTATGGAGATTTGAGTGCATTTTCAAAGTATTTTCTAAAAAAATTCTAAAAAAAACCACCCCATATTCATGTCTTTTCAAAAACTTTGCAATGACTGACCTTCATTGAGATAAAAATTTAATATGATGAAAAAAGTGGCGTCAGGAAAGGATTAACATTAATGCATTCTTTAGGTTAAATGCAGCATCGCCCGAACCGAAAAATGGCCACAAAGTTGTCCTCCACCTTTCGTACATGGATTTTTCGCTGTGTTGCCCATTTTCCTTCCACTTCATTGCAGAGATTAGATTTTTTTTAAAAGGGAACAAATTTAACAGTCTCTATAGGCCCTAATAAATGTTGAAAAATAAAAAAAAAAATCGAATCGTCGTCTAACCACGAGGGGGCGCACTTCCACTACGAGCGGGCGGCGGCCGTATGATCTTTGTCTATTCATTGAATTATTGAAACCATTTCCGACATTCAAATACCTTTTTAACCCCTTTCCTGTACTACGTAGGCCGTGCTGAACTATTTAACCTACCCTCAGTACATGCAGTGGCTACACTCTCGGTGGTGACATCATGGAAGACCGGAAAAGAAGGAATATTTTGAGAAGATACGTAGCGCTCAACTTGGAGAAGCGCCAATCAGATGCGTTGTAGAGGTATGCCTGCCCTCCGTACATGTTGCAGCTATTTCGTGAAAATATTCAGTTTTACCATGTTTACATAATTAAAGTCGTCGTGGATGTTAATATTTCGTTATCTATAATAACAAGATGAATTTTTTTTACTAAGATTGGTAGTAGTAATAGGCCTTGGCTAATTATGAACAAAAACTTTTGTCTCATGATTTTTCCCCTTCAAAAAAAAACAAACCTCGACATGATGACGGCCAATTTTATAAACTCGTCGTAACTTAAAAACTACACAGGTTACAACAATGAAATGTACATGTCATAATTCCTTATATCTTTGGGTTAAACCATCCAAAAATCACTGCAATCAGACAATCAGCTCTGAAGATATCTCTAAAAGTAAAAATGCGATGCAATTTGCCCGATGTGCTCCATCCAGTCCATATGTCGTACGTGAGTGGTGCGTAGGTATACCTCCATGACCTCTGTCAAGTGTCATGTCTGTCATGTCTGTGTGTGAATCACGACAGAAAGTTCTGACTACCTTTTTCCTGTTTCCGTACATTTATGCTTGGTTAAAAACCTAAGATCTAGGCCTACCGCATTTCCTTATTTTAATTCAGGAATCTCCGATAAACTTTTGTGTGTGAGGTTCACATCGATCCCCATGATCGCCCATTTGCAATGTGTGCGATGTCAACATAGATTAGAAATTGTGATGAAAATAACGGGTGATAGAGATTGTGTATTCAACTGAATGTCGGTATTACTATTAACAAGCAAAATTAGACCAGTTTGAGCTTCATTTCAGGAACTTTCATTATATTTATTCCGATATCTGTGACTGTTAGTGTTAGCCAGATGGAGATATGTATAGTTTCTGATCAATGTTTTGAGTACGGAAAAGATGGTTGTGCATATCCAACATGAGTAAAGCGCAGCATGCAAGAGCAGATCGCGCTGTGTCAGTGACGCGTGACGTCATGTGGCGGTCGCTTATTGGTCAGTTTAAACATGGACAGTGTGCCATGTCTACAGAGAGAAAATACAGTAATAAGATTACCTACTTCATTTTTGTCCATAAAAAGTCACCAGTATTGTCTTCAATAAAGTGAAATATCTCCACTTCTGTAAGTCCTTTTCAAAATGACAAAAAAGACTTTCTGATGCTGAAACAGTAAATTTGGAATGAAGTTACAAAAACGTTGAGCGATCCAAAAAAAATAGAGGGGTCCTAAAAGTAACTAATAATATCATTTTCTGCTTTTAATCCTAACTTGCTAGAGTGATTTACTAACCTTCCTCACTTGTGCAAATTCCAAAAACCCCGACCGACCGACCCTTCAATTTTTGGGCAATTTTACTAGAAACCAAACATTGTTTTTGGGCCTAGTCACAGCTTAAATAAATGTATCAAAAACACTTGGCAGGGTTCGACCTTAACTTTTTTTTTTCACTAGCCAGCCAGGCTACTGAAACGACTCTTAACTCTGCGGGCATTTTCACTAGCCCACATGTTTTCCTTTTATAGAGTGTCTCATAAACAACAATGTGCATACATCTAAAAGGTGTATCCTGAGGCAATCTTGTCAGTGTTTTTAATAAACAGGTCGAAAAATTTAACCCTAAACAGTTAATAAAATTAGACACAAATTGATACAGGTTTGCTTTTTGAATTTAATGATTTGAATATTTCTTCCTGTCCTTTCATCTTTGACGTGTTTAACCCTATCATTTTTGACCCGCCAATCGGGCTACTCATGGAAGAATAAGAATCCTCCATGGGCTACTTAAGGAATAGTTTGACTAACCCGCCGCTGTTTTGACTAGCATTTGGCTAGCGGGCTACCGCTTAAGTCAAACCCTGCTTGAGAGAAGTTTCCCACCATCGGTGGGTCTTATTCCTACTGCCTACTGAAATCTTGAAATTGAGATTGATTTTGATTTGTCTGACCCCTGTTGTAATTTTAGTTTTTCTTCTGTCTTGCCGTTTCAGATTCCCAAGCCTATTCTTGTAGACTGTGATAACCGACTCGGCCTAGAGCATGGAGAGGAGATCCCAGTCATCATCAATGGTTTATATGAATGCGCCCGAAATCTGCTGGATAGACAGAAGACGACTAACGAACAGTATATACGCTGCATTAGCAAGCTCAAGGTAAGGGCCTCTAGAGTAGTGACATTTTAAGCGAGTACATGAATTCCCGAGACAACGAATAGGAGCTGCAAGGTGTGTAACGTCCTATTTCATGGATTCAAACATCCAAGTGGGAAGTCACTATTCAGACCAATATGTCTAAACCCAAACCCCAACAGGTTTTCTCTTGGCACCATGCCAAATGCAACAAAATGCAACTTGGCTGAAGTAAGAACCCTGCTAAATGCAACAAATTGCACTAGTGGATTTGTGCAGTGAACTTAGCCACACGAAAGAATTGTACAGGCATTTGAAGGGATATCCATATTCCACAGAAGATTACCTCAGAGGAATTTGAGCGTGGGAGCTAACTCCACGGGCGAAATTGGTTTTGCAAACCTTGAAGGGTTGTGACGTGCAGAAGACTAGGGGATTCATTTATGTGCTGACTGGGCTTATACGGTCAAACTACATGTACATTGTTCCCCCCTTCACCTCCACCCTACAGTTCTTGAAGAAGTTACTCAACTCGGATGGTTCTCAGGAGTACCCCAGCATGAGTGGTCAGACCAGAGAGAGTCGAGTCATTCATGCTGAAGTTGTCTATCTGTTTGGCGGAGTGGAGGTAAAAAAAGTTTATCCATCTGTATGATTGCGCATTATTTTACCTCATATTCATGATTGAGACCCAATTCTCACTGGGACTATACTACATTTACCATCACGTGTCAGTCGCTAGTTTTGCTGTTTACCAGGCGCGCAGAGCGTAACTACGAATGCATAGTAGATTAGTGCACAGGTTACCCATGCCCTAGTCGACTGCGCATGCGCTTTATGACGCAATCAATGTCCGTGAGATTCAATTGTTGGCAACTATAATCAATTTCAATGGTCTTTGCTCTGATAGTAAATGTGTGACTATGAGCTGCCACTGTTACATATGCAGCCTTCAGTGTTTAAAGGGAATATACATCATTTGCTTTTGCTATAATTTTCAGAAATGGATGGAATTAGGGGGTTGAATATATATAGAAAATATAGTTACACTGACTTTTTTGAGGTTTTGGGTTCAAAAATGCTATAAAAACCAAGAAAAACAATCATTTTCCCGTAGTCTGGTTCCCTGACTCCATATAAGAGGAAACAGCAGTTTACATACATTGGGGAATTGTAAGGTCAGGGAACCAGTCTAGCTGTCTTGTACCCGTTCATAGGTGTGTAATCGATTGCAAACAAGTGCGATGGTCAATTGGGGCCAGTATTTGAAAAAAAGCCAGTTTTTTCCAATGCTGGTCGGCCGACCAGCGTTGGAAATTGATACAAAAATACCACTTTTCTTGAAAATGACAGTATACCAGGTGCCATGATTTTAAAGGATGCTTTACACTGTCATTCACTAACAGTCCAGCAAGGTATTTCAAAATGATTTGGTAGTTGTTTTTTTTATGTTTGCAAATGTTGTATTTTCCCTTTAATTTGATTGTACATGTATGTCATTGTCATTGGCAGGTCATGGTACAGCTGCTATTGTTACCACAATATTACCCCGTACTGAAGCCAGGGAATTCAAAGTCATTTAAAGCAGGTAGGTGTGACAAGTATATTTAAAGGCACGTAGGAAATTATCTGGGGAAAAAAACAACTATTTCATGAAAAACCTTGCTCAAATTGAAGAAAGGACTAGCACCAAATACAGTGAACTCTTGATCAGTCCAACCTCAAGGGAAAAGGATCAAAATTTGACAGTCTCTTTTTGATTTTACATTTTCCAGAGTCGGAGCTGAGGACAAGGTTATCATACCAAGTACTGGATGTCCTGCATTACATGTGCTTGTGTGTAAGTAGATACTTGGTCATTTTACGTAAGGGCGTCCCTTTATATTTCTATGATTCTCATAGTTTTTGGCCTCAGAAGCAAGAATCGGTCAGTCAAAAAAATAAATCTGAAAAAAAAATTGGAGATGCACCCGTATAGATGTCTAAATTAAATGATGCCAAGTGCATATTGTCTCTAGTTTTGTTTATTGCAACGAGTTTATCATGAGTTGATTTCACTGAATAAAATAATACAGCCGTTTTTGGCAAGATGTAGTTGACTTAGATTATATTTGCACCAAGCAGCTCACTAATGTTTTGGCTGTCGTGGCAGCCTTGACATACTAGTAAGATGATGAGACGCAACATCCTCTCATGTTTTTAGTGGGATTGATTCCACTGGTTGCTATACACCGTACATTGCGTTGAATCTGGTATTCATTTTCCATAGCCTTTCAAGTAACACAGAGCCTGAATTTAGTTTTCATAATTTTTTTTTCATTTGTTAATTGTTTTTGTGAATGGAGTTTCTGATAGGGTCGGCGGTAATAAAAAAGGTTGTTTTTGTTTTTTCATGTGTCGGGAGCCACACAAAATATAGTCTATGTAATAGGCCATGGTGAAAGCCATGGTCTGTAACATTTGAGCAGATTCGCTGATTAATTATGCAAAACAACCACATCTTGACCTCTAGATTTTGACCAATCAGTGGGCGCTTTCTAGATCGGTTCTTCAGTCATTCACCGTTTTCGCGTCATAGACATCGATAAAAAAATACCCTAGACACAGCAACAAAGGCTATGGTCACGCGCTCTGTATTATGTTACGCGACACGCACCCGGCTGTTGTTGTATTACAAAACACTGCATTCGAATTGACCTATCACTTGTTTAGTCCTGATTTGGGAATGAAATGACGTCACAATTTAGTAAAGTCAATTCCGATTGGCTGAGGCACGAGATCTGCATGCTGTGACATATCAGACGTTATACAGGAGACTTGGCTCAATGGATAATGGTTGATACTCAGACTACCCAAAAATGTAAAATTCCTGACATAGACTCTCTATTTAGTCTAATGACATTACACCTTGATGTTTGACAGATGGGTCCAGACATTGCCGGCCCCTTGTCAGACAGAGAGGATCTCATCTTTAATCTCTTCAACCTCATGTCGGAGAAGTCCTGCTTCCTCAAGGCCGCCACTCTCTTGGAGGACATTCTGGGTGTCAAACAGACTATGATATCATTGGATAAGATACGTAAGTGTGGGCGGGGCTGAGTGATTCATATGGGTGGGGTCATCAAATTCATGCTATTTTGATCATTGTGTTCATATGGGTGAAATGGCCAATGTGTTGTCACTGTGTACCATTGATACATAGTCACATGTATCCATGAAATTCTGAGGTCTGTAGCTGTAACTGTTTTGAAGTTGTGTATGATCGTTTTGAACCGGGTAATAAAATATAGAAATATTATTAAAGGTATTCTGCATTTCAGAGAAACTGCAAACTTTTTCCTGACCTCTTTTGGCTATTTAACCAGTTCGTGTCGGAGGACGTGATAACACACACAGGCTGTTTTTATACACACAGGCACGGCTGGCAGTTTAAACCGTCAAGATTGCCTCGCCTCGCCTCCGGGTGACGTCTAAACACGCTAATCCCCCGTGCCTTTTGCACACACTTAAAATCTGTGAAGTCTGTGGAGGTGGACCGTGTGTTGATCTTGAACTTCAATTGGCCATTGTGCACAACCTGTGGAACAATTTACACTCCAGTGCACACCTTGGAGTATTGAGTGGTTAAAAAAAATTAAATTGAAATACGGGGTTTAAAACTTGAAACTATACAACTAAACACTGTATACCTGATGCTGTCAGAGAGTTTGTGTTAAAAATAATCAGAAACTTACTCGGGCTGAACCTTTGTGCTTCATTTGAAAAGATTAGAAATTCAGATGATTTATCAATGCTAAATAATGAAAAGTTTGCGGAAACACCATGTGCGAATAATTTCTCAACTAAGAGAATGGTTCTGAAAAGAACCAGAGGTATAAACTCGACGTTCCGAGCATACTGACCGGAACGTCGAGTTTATACCTCAGGTTCTTTTCAGAACCATTCTCTTAGTTAAGAAATTATTCGCACATGGTGTTTCCGCAAACTTTTCATTATTTAGTATCTCCACCATGCAAAGCCTCAAATCTTACTTATTTATCAATGCCTTCTTCTTTTTTCCCACTGTCAAATAAACTGAACAGCCAAGCTAGATGCCCTGGTCGACAGCTTTGATGAGGAGCAAGTAGCTAACTTCTGTCGGGTCCTGTCCATCGCCGTGTCGGACACCGAGAGCAGAGATGAACAGCCAAACCTCGTCGCGCAGGACAGGGCGAACAGGAACAGGACGGGTGTCCCGGTCTCAGATTTGAACCAAGGTTTGTACCAACCTCGGAATCAGTCTACTCACAGGGCAGATTTATTGTGCACAAAAGCAAAACAACATCAGAGCCCTTGATTTTGAACAGGCCAGTACAGAAGATTGAAGCGTTTGACCCAGAGGTCAGGGCCAGCCTGGTATCCTGACTTACACTGGTTTGAGACCAGCTTGACAAGGCCTTGCCTATTCATGTTTGTGATGTAGCATCCTACGCCATAATGTACATTAGTCTGGTGCCGCTTGTTACATGTACTTACTGTACATGATGCATGTGTAGTGGTTTTAGTTTTCGATTCCATTACGTTACCACTACAGCACATTCTCTGAACATCTTCGCCATCCAGAATCAATAGAATCATTTGATCAGGTTTACAATGATTGCCTTGTCTTGTTTTCCCCTAGAAATTCTCGTTGGGCTTCCAAACTTTGTGATGAAGTTAGTGCAGATTGCATGCAAGAGGATAGGTAAGTGTTGACATGTTTTTATTTAGCTTTTACCACAGAGCACCAGTTATGTCCCTTGCTTGTTTTCGCTAATAGGGTCCCAGCTTCACATTTGTACTTTCCGGAGTCAGCGTAGAATCAAGACTACTCACATTTCTATGTTTTATATTGCCTAGCCACATGGTAGACATGCCCGAGGTCATCTATCACTAGATCCTAGTTTGGACCATGGTACATCCACCAGAGGGGGTGTCACTTTCCTGGCCCTAGTGGGGTGGATATGAATTGGCCGGAAAACCCACTGTACTTGTGTGCACATTTACATAGGCTTGTGTACAATTGCGCTGTTCACATAGGGATTGCCTGGATTACCCCCGCTGACCAAAATGGAAGAGTTTTAACCTTCACATGGCAATTCTGTGGTTTGAAAAACTGTTTGGGGTCTGAAGGATACGATGTGGAGTGCTGTGGCCTCATGGTTAAGGGCATTGGATTTGTGGTCTGCGAGTAAAGCTGCAGGTTGTGGGTTCGAGTCCAGCCAGGGGTCATGGTGCGTGTGCCCTTGGGCAAGGCACTTTGTCACTCATTGCTTCTCTCCACCCAGGAGTAAATGGGTTACTGTGAGGGCAGAGATGGTTATTGTGATTGAATAAGCTTGCTTGCGCTTAACAGACAGCATCAGGCTGTATACTCCCCAGGGAGCTGAGATGGTATTCGGAATGTTTAATTGGCCCAATGATCAGGGGTAATAATAATATTGTAAGCGCTGTGATTTAGTTTACTAATAACAGCATTCTTAAATGCCGATTATTATTATTATATATTATTATTATCATATGTGTAGTTAAAGGGGCTGGCTCTGCGAGATACACTGTCTTTGCTATTTTTCCAATTTCACTCCGATATTTTTCACAACCTCCCTAACAGACACGCCTTCGACCAGCAACATGCCAGGCCTGTTCAATGAGATCGAAGGCTGGGTGACGTGGCTGGACAGCTCCCTGGCCTTTGATGCACTGGCTGAGGTATCCAACGACGAGGAAGTCTTTCTGAGTCTGCCCCTGAACGACCTGTCGGCGCCCATCCCCCAATCGCTCAAGACCATGCATGAGCTGGTCTACAAAGTGGAGGTGTTGTATGTGTTATGTCTACTGCTGACGGGTAAACAACGAACAAAGGTACGGAATGAAGCGCCATTCATACCTGTTCAGTGTCTCCAGCCACTCCGGACATCAGGCAAATTCTCTCACATGTTTAAACAGAATCGCAATTTTGGAAAAACGGTGGGACCTTGTATTTACAAAGACTAAAGAATGCCTGTGAACATATTTTATTTAAAAAAGTATTATGAGCATCTTGTATCTAAAGAACTAATTAAAGCCCGCATAATAACTAAGAATTGGAAGAAAAAAATGAGAACAATCGATTAGGTTAACCCTCCTATGAAAATGTGCATTTTGAGGTCACCCCCAACTGTACTTTCTTTGCCGGTGAGGGGGTACTTGTGAATGGAGCGGATAAAACAAACAACTTATATTTCCCTCCAATCTTGTCCCCCCGTCGTGCCTGACCAGATCCACGAGATGCTCTCCAAGTACAAGCTAATGGCCGGTCTGAATGTCCTCTTCGACAAGGTCATCTGGAGGTGCAACCTGAGGTCCCAGCCCATGCACGGACTGAACGAGAACTGCGACTGCAGCCCGGAGGTCGCCCTCAAAGTGCAGTTCCTCAGGCTCGTCCACAGCTTCTGTGATCAGAATGAGTGAGTGTTGTCCCAGTAACAGTTTCGTGCTTTGCCCTGGATCTCATCCCTGGTGTCAGAATCATTCTGAAGACTTAAAAACATCTGCACCTGTACCGCATTGTATTAGGGTCATTCAATAAATTAGCAGGCATGCAATTTTTCCCTGGATCTGCTGATTTCCTCGTTTTTCACTTCTCATGAATGCCATACAAATTGAAAAACACTGTACAAAGTCGTGTGTGGTTTTGAATTTCCCCGTTTTTTTCTAAATTCCAGTTGCATGCCTGAATTAGGGCATCCCAATTTTTGCACGTCCCTGTTACATCTGATATAAGATTTTGTAACTTCAGGACACATTCTAGAACCCTCCTACTGATAGAACTGTCACAACCCTCAAAAAATATTTTGACTTCCTCTCCCATAGCAAATGTACAGACTGGTCACCAACTACCAGAACCCCCATGGATTAAACCACACAATAGTCAATACCTGTTGAAGGGGTTGGATAGATAGGGTGACCTTGAATACTGCTACATCTTGCGTTTCACCTGCAAAATACGAGCGCTAGAACTCTTTGAACTCTTTTAACGCAGAGCTGGAACTCTTTGTGTTTCTTCATCAAAAGTTGCCTGAATTTGTGGGTTTTGCTGTGGTCAAATCTCTTCATTGTGGCCTTTATTGTTGATGGCAGCCAGTTGTATGTGCAAGCCAGTCAGTGAATTAATTTACATTAACAACAGTTTACAACTTTTTGTGTGTTTTTTTTCTCACTTTTTGAAGGAATAAGTACCTCATCCTTACAAGAAACGAGATCAATGACTTGAACAGAATATCCAGCAGTGCCAGCCTCCCACCGTTAGATGCAGTCAGAGACATTGACAGGTAAGTCAGGGTGCCAGACTGTAACTTGATTCGTTAATATCCAGCAGTGCCAGCCTCCCACCGTTAGATGCAGTCAGAGACATTGACAGGTAAGTCAGGGTGCCAGACTGTAACTTGATTCGTGAATATCCAGCAGTGCCAACCTCCCGCCGTTAGATGCAGTCAAAGACATGGATAGGTAAGTCAGGGTGCCAGACTGTAATTTGATTGTCGAGGCTTGTCGAGTGCAGAAGAGAAGGAGGGTTAACCCTAACCCCTAGGCCCTTTTTGCTAGGAACCATCCTCAATCCTCCAAATTGGTTTGCACTTATGTTCAAATGAAGGATACCCACTGCCTCAATCCTTCAAAATCCTCCATCAGCCCTTGCCACTCAAATGCATTCATCCTCAATCCTCCAAAATCCTGCTTTTCTTCAAACGCCATTCAGCCTCAATCCTCCAAAACCAACCAATACTGAATGTGCATGTGCCCTCAATCCTTCAAAATCCTATATTGCAATCATCCTCAATCCTCCAAAATCCTCCAAAATCCTCCTCTTCTTCAAGCACCATTCAGCCTCGATCCTCCAAAATCAACTGATACTCAATGTGCGTGTGCCCTTAATCCTCCAAAATCCTCCAAAATTGTGTGTTGCATTCAGCCTCAATCCTCCAAAACCGCCTACAGGACTTTGAAGGATTGAGGAAGGATGCCCTCAATCCAACAAAATCCTCCAAAATTGTATGTTGCATTCAGCCTCAATCCTCCAAAACCGCCCACGGGACTTTGAAGGATTGAGGAAGGTTAGGGTTAATGTTTCAGGTAATCATCTGAACGTCTTTGGTTTCTTTTTTCCACCAGGTCTTTGTTGTGTACGGGGGCTAAAGGAATCTTAACCAAACTTGTTGACGTACTCAAGAAGGAGCCCGCTGAATCGCCATTCAGGTAGAGTTCTCACTCCATGGGCATCTCCTTGCAAATGTGGAGCACCGTGGTCCGATTGTTATGGTGTTTGACTCATGTGCCGTGGTTCATAGGTTCGAACCCTGATAGTGAACCACGGTGCTTGTGTTCTTGGGCAAGACACTTTACTATCATTGCCTCCCTCATTGCACCTGAATCCTGCAAAATCTTCCACTCTTTGTGGCTGGATGCCCTTGCCTGGACCCTTCGAAATCCTCCACTGGGTTTGCTGACTTTTATTTTTACATAATCAGTTTTCAATGCTCTTATGAGTTCATTAGCCAGTGTAACATATTGAAATCCTCCTCTGATATCTTGTGGATTGACAATGTCAAGGCCCTAAGTAATTGGAGTCAAGCCTGTACAATAAACAGTGGTATATGCTGGATGCCTGCCCAAGTATCAATGCGTAAAGCAAGTAGCATCCTGAATTCTGCAAAATTGTTTTTGGACAAAACCAGCCAGAGCTTCAGTCTTCTAATTTTATCCAGCATCAGTTGGTTTGTCAAAAGGTACTTGTACTCATGGAAAATATTGCCTTGTATTAGGTAAAGTAACTCATGGCAAAGACCTTGTACTTGTACTCTTGGAAATGTGCTCGACTTCAACAACACTGGCCGTCTTGGGTGCTACGAGATTAATGGGTTAAGCCTTCTTGTTTTCCCCCACCTCCTAGATTCTGGATGTCGAGATCCATTGAGAGCTTCCTGAGAGGCAAGACCTCCTTCGCTGACCAGACCTTCTTACTCCGGAAGGGTCTCCTGGAAGTCATCCTGACCAACATCAACGGCATCGGCACCAAGTCCAAGGAGGTGCTGCAGAGCAACTTTGACCTGCTGGCCGAGCTCATGAAGTTCAACCACATCGCCTTCAAGCGATTCAACAAGTTCATCGACACTCAAGAAAAGGTATGCAAGGGTCACATCTGTTTATTTATTAATTTGTTGATTTATTTTGTACATAACAATGGTAGCTCCATTGGTTTTAAATGAACTGGGACCCTAGATACATAAAAATATAAAGAGTAATAGAATTAGAAGTATTAGAAGTTTTGTTTGTTTGAAGGGCCTTGGCCTCATGGTTCGGAGCATTGAACTCGTGATCTGCGGGTAATTCTGCAGGTTGTGGGTTCGAGTCCAGCCTGGGGTTATGGTGCATGTGCCCTTGGGCAAGGCACTTTGTCACTCATTGCTTCTCCCCACCCAGGAGTAAATGGGTATCTGTGAGGGCAGAGATGGTTATTGTGGTTGATTTTAGCTGCTTTGCGCCGAAATGGCAGCATCGAGCTGTATACTCCCCAGGGAGCTGAGATTGTCTTTCAAATGTTTCATTGGCCCAAATAGCAGGGTTTTCAAAAGAAAAAACGTGGTTTTGGGAAAATCATGATTTTTTTTTATTATTTGATTTTAGTTGGATTCTTTCTTGAAGTTGGTGACAGAGAACATTGTGGATTCCAACATGTTTGTCCGATGCCTGATACTGACGCTGGATCACTTCCAGAGGGAACAGCCAGAAAACTACGGTAAAATGACAGGTTGTAGTTACCAAGTATTAGGATTAAGGGCTTACAGTAACTTTCTCCCCAAAACCCTCTTTTTGATAAAGTATTGTATTTCAAAGATGCATGACAACAAATGTTTTGTATAGAGGCTGCCTAAATGCTTGAAAATCAACAGATTTCCTGGGTTTCTTTTTTGCAATTTTGTGTTCTTATGCCTGCTATCAACAAGATGAATCAAATTCAGTCTTGGGAAATTTGGCTGCGCTACCTAAAAAAGTTCGAGTATTCCTCATGTGCGTGCATTAGCTTGAATACAGCTTTGGATGATAGACACTTTGATGAAAGAAAAGTTCACAATTTTGAATTTATCCTCGGGTGGGACTCGAACCCACGACCTCCTGCTTACTAGTGCAGACGTCTTGCCACTCGACTATCGAGCTTGCCAGGTCAGCTAGCTGGTTCGAATCTGATATAGCAGTGGGTCCCGCAACCAAGCACTTTTCATATGATGGAATTTGGCATCAGGGAGATGTACATTTGATATGGGGTTTTTAGCCGTTCACTGATGTAATTTTCTAAGCGCTGTATATATACTCATTATTGTTCATGGGCTTGCGAGAAAAAAAACTTCACAAGCCAACCTTCTCGTACTTCATCACAGATTCAGCAACAAAGTACATTCACTGTACAAATCTTGCCGAAGTAAAGTCTGAACTTTTGCTGAAGTTGTTTCCACAATATTTTTTATCGCCCGTATTCCAGAGTATGCCATGAGGAGTTGCCGCCTTCTCCAGTTCATCCGCAAAAGGGACATGAGAATTAAATTCCTCATCAAGCTCATCAACACAGTCCATGTAGAAATCCTCACCCAGGTAGGTGCAGCGACTAAAAAGAATTGAATGGGATGGAATTCAATATGACAAAACCCTATTCCTCCTTGAACCTACAAAATCCAACAGGGGGATTTTATTAATTGTTTTCCTATTTTTCATTTGTCTCCCCGAGAATAGACCTAAGACCTAATGACGTAATGGCTTTGTTTACATAAGCGCTTTCCTATGGGTGCAAAGTCGGGATGCCAGACAAAGTAGGGACCGTCTGCCACATAGAAAAGCGCACATGTAAACAAAACGTGACGTCATTAGGTCCCAGGCCTATTCCTTTCATATTCATAAAAAAACGTTGACAAAATTTACTAAATTTGTCTTTTTTGTATCTAAACCGAATATTTTTGGTCAAGAAGTTGAATATTTCACAAGTTTCTCATTCGCACATAGCCAACTAAAGATATGAGATCCCCTTTAACCAGAGTTGAACTATGGACCTGAAAATCCCAGCCAAACTCCAGCCCTCTGACAAGAACCACATTTTTGTGTGACAAAACCCATATAGTGAGTCTAGCCTGCCTCACCACTGGGCATAGATAATCCTGTCAACAAGAGTAGTCAGCAAGCTCAAGTAACAGCTGTTTGCTGTCTTCTTACCACTTTACAACCTTAAATTTGATAGACAGCAAATAGTTGATCAAATCTGGACCCCTATCGTAACGTGTACTACAAACTGTAGTACGGTCCTGGAACCATGTGTGGAAAACCCCACACTAACGCCGCTTAAATTAACATTGATCTTTACTCTATGCTGATGACCTTCAACAGGAAAACGTGAGTTGTCTGAACACCACCATCATCTTCTTGATGTTTGCCCAGCGCTCCTGTGAGCTGCCAGAGTATCTGTCGGAGCTGAGGAACGAAGAACAGAGCCAGCTCAAGCCCGGATTCCTACTCCAGAACTTCAGGTCTGTCTCGGGCTAAAGTGGAATCCGGAGACCAGAATTAGAAGCTTTTACTGTGGTGGTGTCACGCTCACGCGCATGCTGCACGCGTTCTTAAAGATGAGGCGCACATGCATTTTGGTATTTCTATTGGTCGAAGGAGCCCGGAGAGCGTGTGTACTACCTGAGCAGTTTTCTGTTCAAATTGTGAACCCTAAATTTTGCTCATTGAAAACATTTGTGAGAAAGGGTTGCTCATTGGCTTACTGCCGTATACCAACACAACAAATCATCAAAGAAAAGAAAATTTACTACAGCAAAATATCCAAAACTCCGGCAACTCTTGGTGCTGATTTAGCTGTAACATTGAGGTTTCTGCCTGAAATGACATCACATTTTGCTCACAAATATAGAAATTTGTATTGGCATAAAACCCCGAAAGGCACCAAAATACCCTCGTAAATGGCAAAACGTAAATTGAAAAGAAGGTTAAATGGGACTCAAAGATGCATTTTTAATGATTGCATTGAAAAGATTACATTGCATGGGCCCTGGAAGTGCAGATGTCATGCCTTGACCGCCCACGTTCAATGGGACTCGGTCCTACGTATTGTGGACCCGCGGTGATTTCAACACGGGTAACGAGACGATACAGTGGCCCCCTGTGCAAAATTCCTGCGTCGATTTACATGTTTTTTTTGTTTTTTCATGTCCAGGGAGCTAGTGTTCTTCTGGAGAGACCATTACCTTCATAAAGACAAAGATTCCTCCCAGCTTGAGAAGGTACGGAAAAAAAACTCAAAACACTGGGGTGCCTTCCAGTCACGTGAAGGTATTTGCGTTTGTTAGCTAGGCCCTGCGAACACGCCAACTCCAAATGGAGCGATAATGTCATCGAAAAGCTGTTGTGAAAAATGGCGGCGTCCTGTATGCCAATGCCACAGGTGTCACTGCTCGGATAGCAGCTTTTTAAAATCCTCGATAAATTAACTGACTGACTGGAAGTGAAATTTCTTCCAGTAATATGTGAGGCGTTCTGGCAAAATGAGACAGAACTGGGCAGAGGTCGAAACGAGGGTTCGTTGGTATTAGGAAAGAGAATAAAATTCTCCGTACAATACTGTTTGTTGCAATTCAATTGGACATTCCCTTGAGAAGTGTTCACATTTATCGACGTGCCAACAAAAAAGTAAATACTGAGAAAAGTGCTTTAAAAGCCTTTACACTTCAAGTTTTGTAGTCATGAAAGATACCAATTGACCTATCATGGTAGAATCGTATTAGAATCGCGTCAGCGCAGCTTGTGAAATATTGTCCGATTATATGGTATACAAATGGACGCGGAACGCTCAACATCTGCGACAAACAAAACTTAGTGTACAAAAATTCCATAGGGTTGTCTAAGGGGCGTGGCTAACTCGCAAACGGCGATAGGTCAGTTGTGTTCCCTCAGAAACTCTTTTATTCCATGATTTTTATACCACATTTGTATTTCTTTAAAATATGCGTCTTAGACATATCAACGATTACAAATATCAGTAGATCTGAAAATATTTTTTAAAATCGCCTCATACAGTTCTTTGCATTTTTCTCCACTACGGCCTGTGCCCGGTTCTGTTTTATTTTGCCAGAGCGCCTCACAGATATGAACTCACTTGGGATATTTCTGCGGGCGTTGTAATTTTTGTTCTAAATCCATGGTTTTTTTTGTTTTGTTTTTTCCTTCAGAGTTCCTGCATTCCATTCGATAAATGGACAGCCATCGCCAACGTCTTGATCAACGGTGACGTGACGACCCCGTACACGATAGCGCACTACCTACACAAAGACGACCTGTTGACTAAGGACATGGACGTGGACGTACCAAGGACGTCCTAGGACGACGGAACCTCCCTGTGCGGGGAACTGGAGAAGCGTTAGTGTCAGACTCAGGAAAGAATCAGTGGGGAGTTGCTTGGGCCATTTGGTTCTCACAGTGATTTGAACGTGCCGGTCATGGAATCAGAAAAAAAAAGCAATAGAACGATGTCTCGTGATGAGCAGTGTGTCGAAAATTTGACATGCTGGGTGTGGATAGCTCAGTTAAAAAAAATACAGGTCGAAATGGAACATCCGTAACGTTATTTTACGAGTGGTGATAATTGTGAAAATTACATCGTTTTAAGAATTTGAAGAAAAAAAACAATGAGAAATCAATGGCAATGTACTGAATTATGACTGCGGTGAAATTGTGGCCACTTTTGATTGCAAGGTTTTTTACACTTTTGAATGACTATAAAGACATGTATTTTTTTTGAGGGGGAAAATGTGGACCACAAAAAGGAAACGAAGACTGAGTGAGAACGACTTATTGTATAAAAAGCAGTGTGAAATGCCTACATGTACATAGAAATGTCTGTAAAACTCTCGGTAAAAGACTGAATTTTTTTATTATTTCCCCTAATACACCTGGCCTGTGACAGGCTCGGCAAAGGTTACTATCAACAAGGTCAATCAAATCCGGACTTTCAGAACTTAGGCAGCGCTACCCCGGAAATTCCGAGCACACTGCATGCGCAATGTGTACAATCTAATGCACGTGCATGAGGTATGCTTGGATTTTCCTGGGTAGCGCCGCCAAAGTTCCCAAGGCTGGATTTGATTATGGATTGTGTTGATAGCAACCTCGTAATCCAAGTCCAGTATTGGACCAAGCCTATTCGCTGCGTTCTCAAGTACCCCCTCACCGGCAAAGAGAGTACAGTTGGGGGTGACCGACCGACGCCATCTTGCCTGACTGCAATTCATTTGCCGCGAAGCGCGGCCACTGCGTGTACATTGTACAAATCCCCTGGTGCACGTGCGTCACACACAAGGAACGGTGCGCGCCAGCCAGCGAAATGTCCCGCCCATGGGACGTTGTTGCTAGGTAAATGGGCGCCCTCTTTCGTTGGCGCATGGAGCCCATAAACTTAAGACAACTAGACTTGTCCAGTTAAAGATAATCTGTTTTCCATTTTAAAAGCATAGTAGTAGTCCATAAATGCTTCAAGATACTTGAACATACAAGAACCTGACCTGGGTATGTGTATATATAATTCCATATGCACGCTCATACATTTGCGTGTGCAAGCGTGGAACACGGCCAACCCTGCACATTTTTTTGACGGGGATAAAACTTTAGATGCTTCCAGACTCATTTTGTAGTTATTAATGGCTTAAAGTTTACGTCAGTACCATTACATGTGTTGAAAGTACAAAACTTGTTGCATTTTTTTATCAAGAATTTAGGGGTGTGATGAATAATTATTTGTCACGATGAGGGAGCTTTCATTTTTTGTCCTAAGCCAGAGTTGGAGTCCAGTCCAATCACAAGCCAAATACTAGCCAATCACAAGCCAATCTGAAGTCTGTCACAAGCCAATCACAAGCCTATCGCAAGCCAATAACAAGCCAATCGCAAGTCCATCACAAGCCAATCACAAGTCAATCACAAGTCCATCACAAGCCAATCACAAATAATCATAAGTCCTTCACAAGCCAATCACAAACCAATCACAAGCAAAATCACAAGCAAAATCACAAGTCAGATCACAAGCAATGGGATGTACAATGACTAAAGAATCCCGTTCCATTCACAGTTCATTTAAAGGCTTGTAACTTCATTTATAACTTGATGACTAGTAATGGACTTGTGATTTTGATGGGAAAAAAATGTTGCAACCTGACGTCACTTTTGTCTTCATATATCATCTCAATGAAGGTCATTTATTGCAAAAATGACGATAAGACATGAATCTGGCACTGAGAAACATTTCCAATTTTGTTAGGAAATACTTTGATGAAATAAAATTGTCTTGACTCTCCATAGACTTTGTACACAATCGCGGAAGGGGCGTCAGGTTGCAACATTTTTCCTTTTGATGGACTTGTGATAGACTTGTGATGGACTTGACTCCTATCGAAGACAATATCTTGGTTAACGTGGGTGTTGTGATCATTTTAAAGAAAACAGAAAGGACAAGATACTCACAAGAACAGTGTCACAATATTTGTATGTAAACACTTTTAATTGTATTATTTTTTTTCATAGATGTAATCTCCCACACAAATAAGTGGTGTGGGTATGATTACGCTGTGCATTGCCAAATATGCAGTAAACCAATTAACTAGTGTTTTCTGGAAAGTTTTTCCATCGACACAGAAAAACTTAAGAACCTTGTTTCCATTCTTCAATTAGTTTGAGAAATCACGGAGAAAACTATGTTTAATAGCTGTAACATATTTTAAAATGCACAGTGACAAAACAAAGACACTGCATAGCATACACAAGGGTTTAAAAGGACTACTGTTTAAGATGTTTTACCGGCAAAATCTTTGTATATTTTTTTAAATAAATGGGGAGTTATAATGAACTGTTTGTTGTAATTTTAAAAACTGAAGTAGTATTTGAGTTGCTGGCTCGGCCCATTTTATGCTTAGATCGGTAAAAACTTATACAGGTGTATAGTGCCAAAGTCGCAGGTGAATTTGGAATGGCCATGAATCGTAATGTCATGCTTTGTTTACATGTGTGCTTTTCCTATGGGAGCTAGACAACAGCAACTAAACTTTCATAAGAATGCGCATGTTTACAGAGCATGACGTCATTATGTTTCATGTCTGTAGGAACTTTAGCTGAACGGTCTTGTCATTGTTTTTATGGATCTGTTCACAGCATGCTACGAACCACTACCAAAAAATGCTGAAAAAATCAACTTTTATTTCTTAATCAAACTCTGCTACACCATTGGTTTTTGGAATTTTATATTAAATTATTTTAAATTAAAAAAAAAATCTCACATGCTTGCTCTTTTCAAAATCTGTAATAATCTTCACCGTTTGTTTTACTCAGTCTGTCAGTTTTGAAAATAAAAATTTTGAAAAAAAAATTGAAACTAATGTTTCATTCATTTAGTGGATTAATCAGAGATTTTGCTAAACTTTAGTAAGGCCAAAAAACGAATAATAGTTCTGCTTCCGGTTGTCCTATCTACCCTATTCTGAAAGCCCCTACCCTAATTTTTTTGGGGGAAATTAGGAAAAAAAAAAAAATCATCAATTACTACCTTTTACCGTTGACTGCACGCAGACACCTCCAATATGATTGTACACACAAAAAATTGCCAAAATGTCATGTAATCGGAAGCAGAACTTTTTTTCTTTTTTTTGGCCCAAGTACCACAGGTCACATTGGAGTTTTTATCAAACCCAACATTTTTGTGTGTTTCTTTTTGTGTTTTTATCATCACATTATTGACTGGAAAGGGTGTGGCCTGTGTTAATAGACTGTTCCGTTGGGCCCCGCCCACTGCCCCCTGCACCTTGAGCATGTGGGAAACAAGTGTGCCTCACCAATGCCACACGGCATGTTCAGACCACATGCGTCATTCGTATTTCTGAGTTCTGTACATGCATGTCAGACATTTAATTAGTGCAGTACCATGGCCTCGCGGTCTGGTGCACTGAACTCATGATCTTGTGGGTGAATCTGCAGGTTGTGGGTTCGAGTCCAGCCTAGGGTTATGGTCACGTACGTGTGCCCTTGGGCAAGGCACTTTGTCACTCATTGCTTCTCCCCACCCAGCAGTAAATGGGCACCTGTGAGGGCAGAGATGGTTATGTGTTTGATTGAGCTGATTGCGCCGATATGGCAGGATTGAGCTGTATACTCCTCAGGGAGCTGAGATGGTCTTTGAAATGTTTTCATTGTCCCGGTGGGCAGGGGTAATATGGTTGATATGTACGCTACATACATTTTTTTTTCATTTTTTTCATTTTTTTCATGTTTACGCTATATACATATAAATCCATTCTATTATCATCTTTAATCACAGCTGTGATTGGTGCAGACTCCACAGGGGGGCGGGGCCAAATGAATCGGCCTATTGATTGAGCTGAGGGCAAGTTAGATTTTCATAACCACACTCCTTCTGGGGTCATTTTATATAAAAAAAGGATGGACACTTTTTCTTTTTGTTCTTAAATACCTTTTTGTTATCAACTTTCAAGAAGTTGCAAGACGTGGTGTTTTGCATGTGTATCGGTGCTCAGTGGCAGTATGTACTTTCACTTGTGCAAAAACAAAATTATAGCTCTGTTTTTTTTTACAGAGGATTTGTTTTTGTATTTTTAATATTTTAATATTTTAAAATGTGGCTGCAACTATTTGTCAATTGTAAACGCCCTTTTCAATTGTATCAATGTAATTCGAATTTGCAGCAAATTGCATTAGGTCTTAAAGCATTTTATAATGTCGCCATGTTTGACAGGCTCAGGCCAATGTGTAATGTTTCCCACTGTTTGGTGTGTTTGTTCATTCTTGTTTTAACCAAGTTACATAATTACAGTGCGGCAGATAGGTGAAGAAATTGTGCCTTTTTATGATACAAGCATTGAATTTGGTACGCAGTCAGAGTATATATGTCCTAAGAAAGATATTTGGCTATAGGGCCATCGCAGATTTGTCATGTGACAAAATGTTGGTAAAATAACAAGCAGTGGCGGCCATTTTCAAAATGGCCGCCATCGCTTGTTATTTTACTCTGTGTGCCACATTCCATGATTATCATCAAAGGCACAATTCTCCTACATATTTAACCTTTCTGCCCCACTGTTAGTCAGTTACCAAATTTTATGACCTCCAGAAATTCGTTATTGTTTCTGTTCACTAGTAGAGTGCATATATGAAATTCAAAGACTATTTTAGCTATTGTGTATGATACAAAAAAAAATTCAAATTTGTTGACAACTGTTTTCGTTTTCACCTTTTTTTTGCTCTAGAATATTTTTCTTCCAAAAATATGAGAATGAATGTACACAAGAGTTTCATGGGAATAATTTTATTTTTAACTTGTAAACTAGAACTTAAAACCATAGGATTTTACCAATCATTTTGAATTTGTTAAATGTCCTGTATATAGGTACTGATGTCAAGGTCCCCGTTTTCTGTTTAATTAAACTGCCTGAAAAAATTTGGATGCCTCTAAAATATAGTGTGTTCACTTGCATGTACGTACGTGTAAGATGTTTTCTGTTCATAATTGACAGAATGTTAAAGGTTCTGCATTGTGGTTTCTGACAGCGATTGAGAAAAAAAATTCCAAAATTTGCTTTATATATTATGTTGTTTTATTTTGAAATCAATAATTGCAGGCGTGGATCCAGGGGGGGTTTCAAAAGTCAAACCCCCCCCCCCCCCACTCTGACACCCCTAAAAAATAAAAAAAATTATAAAATAAGTGCATCAGTAAAAAAAAATTGACGGGCCTGATCCCCCCCTCCCTCCTAAGATTTGACAGTTCGGGATTCAGGTCTATAAGACCCAAAACACATTAATAACAGTACTGGAATCGTGCTAGGTTTCTGGGCTGTTGTTGCCAGGGCTCAATACAGTTCCAGAATTATTTTGCAAGTTTGGAACTGGCAGACACTTAAAGTATACCTTTTTGTTTTGCTGTTGTTACAATGAACTTGGCAGCATTAATGTTATGCATATGGATTAACTACATTAATGTACTGACGAAAGACTATTAGCCTATTTCAGATATGACAGACATAGTAGGAGGGCGCTGTTTTATTTGGGTAAATTAGTCTTTTGTATTTGCCAAACCAAACAGCGCCCTCATAATTGTCCGCCACATCTCAAATAGGCTATGATAATTCTGCTGATAATGGTACACCGTAGTATGTTTTCTGTCGGATTTTTAAGGCTGATTACTTTTTAAGCATAACCATTTAAATTTAACTGTGAAATCTTTTTTTCTGATTTCTTTATTTATATCAATACAAATGAATTCCATGTACTTTTATTTGTCTTGTTTTTTCATTGTCAGTCCGTTAGTCTATCTACCGGTTTGGAGTAGTTGTACCATAAAGCTAGGACCACATTCGGTCCTTTGAAATGAAGAAAATACAACAATGTTTAGGGTTTGAGAAAACGTATTCCAACGACAGCAAACAATTTCACATCATTTTGGTTCACATTCCTTTAATATTCAAACCTACCATTTAGTATCCACATAACAATAATAAAAAGCAAACAAATTACACAAAAACAAAAAAATTATGTAACACATAAAAAATATGACATTACACTTCATTCATTCAGTACATAAACTGATCCCATTTTTGCCCAGAGCCATTTGCTTACATAAGCCAGGGGAAACAATGTTTTATCTGTGGATAGAATCAAGCAAGTGATAGACGGTCAGCATCAGGCATACACACATTCATGAATCTAATTTTCGGTGTTGCAGTACTTGTACACGTACTCGAAATTGAGTACATTTTTTGTTCATGCTCGCACTCATGAGAATGTACTTGTATTCGTCCTCACAAGGAGAAAATTACCAGTATTTGTGCTCGCAACCACGGCAAAGTACTCGCACTTGTGGAAACATGCACTCCCGGCGGAATTTTTAATTTCTTGACGTGTATACATGTAAAGGTTTTGCCGTATTTGGAACGGATGACGGATAAACACGCAACGAGCAAGGCCGGAAATATCTGTCAGCGACTCGCTCACAAGCTAGGCCAGAAATATCAGGGTGTGCTACCCACAAATGGGCCTGAACCCGTCTGGCATTGAGGTTTGTGAAAACCAATCCCTCGCCTGGGTGCGGTCAATGTCACAATAATCCCGGCGTGAACTGGTTAAGAGGTACATGCAGGAAAAGAACAAATTTCTACTGTGTGGGAGGCCTTTGCATTTGTTTAATGCCTAGTTGACTGCAAAAAGCCCTTGAGAAGATGTGTACCAATTGAAATGTGCTCGTACTCGAAGCAAAATTCCTTATACTCATACTGCAACACTACATCATTTGGTGAAATAAGCTAGCCAGCAAGAATTCATCAACACATATAAAGGATTGTCTTTGGACTGCGCATAATCATACAATGCAATACCAGTTACTAGTAAATTAAATGACAGGATTAAATACCACGAGGATTTGTTTTCTTCAGGCTGGAAAACGCTCCGTAAAAACTTCTTAAATGCCTGCTGTGCAAATGATATGGGTTTCAAAGAGGAATTTTTTAATTAAGTCGTTAAAGTATTACAAGTCAAACTGCTTAATTACAATGGTTAATAATAATTTATACACCAAAGAATTATAAATACTGAGATTTTTTGGCTCTGGCTTTTATCTAAAGGCTGAAAAAAAGTACAAAAAGAAAAGATATTCACCAGACAGCCTGTGCACGCATTAGGCAGAAGTTAAATTATCCTTACATTACATGGCTATTTGCTCCACCTATAAGCTCCATTGCACAAATTTATACAGGTGGTTTTTGTTTTGTCTTTTGTAGCCTAACAACAGAGTTGCATGACTGAGGTCCAGGACTCAAGACTCGCGTCACAATTTTGGTGAATCTTGACTCGAGTCACTTCAATGAAAGAATGAGACTCGGACTCAACTATCACGACTTCGACTTGACAGAGATAACTAATGAGTCACGTGTTTTCTACCGACAGTACCGTTTTTCGAGAAAATTAAAAAAGAAATTTTGATCTTAATTTTCAGATCACAAGTGCATGTACATGTACTGCTCTAATAAATGGTGTTGCAAAGACTATAGTTCCCAATTGCTTTGCTGTCCCATTCATTGACTTTCACGCATGTATTATCTGGTCAATATATACAAACACCTTGACTCAAAGTGTATATTCCTTGTCAAATTCACCATTTTCTAGACTTTGGCTAGACTTTCTAGATATTTTCTAGACTTTAAAGCCAAAAGTGCTTCCTCAGCTGGTTTTTTACCCGTGGGTTTAAGAATCACTAAATACTGAGCAAAAGCCTTTCATCGTTTCACAATTGAAGGAATACCTATGCATGGAGACTATACTACTTATGATTAAATTAGGGCTGCCACAAACGTTATTCTATAGAGAGTTTACATGTGCCTTTTTGACTCAGTGATAGATAGTTCACACAGAGCTTCACAGTTTTGGTAATAAGTTTGTGACAGTAACACACATGTAAGCATTTGTGTATGGCTGATGTCTCATATAAACTCTCTATTCACTGTACAGGGTAGTTTGAAAAAAAAAAAAAAACACCCCAATCATTTATTCGCCCAATCTACCAATAATTACACATCGATAAAGTTTTTTTTAATGTTTAGTTGCTATAAGCCGATAGACATTGGGCTTTTCCCAAACCTTGGCTACATCTCCAGATTTGGCTCTGCAGTTGAGGCCAAACCTGCAATTGAAGCCGCGATTTGAAAAACGTCCACTGCGGCGTGCGGTTTTACTGCCTTTTCATTGATGGGCGCATTGTACGGATGGTCCACCGCCCCCGCTTTCGTCATCGTCGTCATCGTCATGGTAGGCCTCGCCTCGGTGGTTGTGAGAGTTAGTGTGGTGGGGTTCAAACTCCACCAGGTCGACCTCCTCGGCCTCCTCACCGGGCGGGTCCTGCTTGGGTCTGCGAGGCAGTAGCTTCTCCAGTTTCTGCGGGAAGACAGGAATAAACATCAAAGATGTTTGTGATAGTTGGATACTGGTATTTGTGAGGCGTTCTTGCAAATTGAGACCGAACTGGGCACATGCCGTAGTGGAGAAAACTGGAAAGTTGAAAATATTTTTTCTTGATTTCGATTTTCAGATTTATTAATATTTGTAACCTTTGACATGTCTTCTACACATATTTTAACCCTAACTCCCTAGGCCTTTTTGCTAGGATGTAGCCTCAATCCTGCAAAATCCTCCAATTGGCCTCATGGAAAAATAGCATATAGCCTCAATCCTGCAAATTCCTCCGCTATTTCTTGAATACGGTCCATGGAGGGGTGACCACTGCCTGAATCCTGCAAAATCCTCTGGCTATGACTGTCAATAGGCTGAGGCAGAGGCAGTGACATCCTGGAGCAGTGTGGAGGATGTCAAGTATAATCAAGGACTAAATTTATGCACGGCTGAGCATAAACAACACAAGGTCTGGCCCAAGACCTTGACACAGTGCGTACTCCAAAATCAGCAACCCACTTTTGCATTGTAACCTCAATCCTGCAAATTCCTCCAATTTGCAAAAAGGATTTTGGAGGATTCAGGGCGGTTAGGGTTAAAGAATAGTACACAATTCGTGATATACAAGTGTTTTTGAGGAAAAGCAATTGGCAGCTTTCATTTTCACAATTGAGGATTGACTGGCTGTGACTGTTTATGTAACTTGATACAGCTATGCTTTGACTGCGGGTGATTGATAAGCCAGCTGGGCCTACTTCTTGCCTGCTGTCTGTTGACTGCATTTGACTAGTCACAGTGCTTGCTTGAAATACGATCTCACTGTTGGTGATTAGCCTGTGTTAAAGGCATGGCAGGGGAAAGGATTGATTTTTTTCAGTCCGTGACTGTTAAGATAGCAGGAGGGTTAAGTTTGAAATTGTCAACCGTGCAGAGAACATCACACCACATACACTGACATTTTGACAACAAACTCACTTTCAGTTGCTCCGGGGTAGCAAAATTGTTTTCCGGAAATACGACATTGAATTTCATGATCAGACTTCCTTTGGTGAATGGGTTCCTGTGATGTGGCATACCCTCATTCTCCACCACACGCTTACAGCCTGAAAAAAAAGAAAAAAACAAACACCATATCACACCAAGTCAAGATTTTCCTGTAAAGCTGCATCAATTTACAAGAGAGCTAATTTGCCGCACACAATGTAGTTTTCCTTGGTGCACCCATGTTTGTGAATAAGTCTAGGGAAAACTTGAAATTTTACAGATAATAAAATGTCTGTATTTGTGTTGTTCAAATCACTCATGTACATTTGAATTTACGGAATTTTAAACACAACCATCGTTATATAGTTCTCTCCACGGATCAACAGAAGGTAAGTGTTCTTTCAGCAAAACGAAAACAAATCACATCAGGATGTGTGTGAATTGTTTTCGTTTTGCTGAAAGAACGCATACCTTTTTTGTGATGTGTGGACAGAACTTTTAAACGGGGGTTGTGTTTAAAATTCCGTAACTTCAAAAGTACATGAGTGATTTGAATGATTCTTGTACTAAAAGAAAGCTTATGAATTGGGCTTTCATATCCTAGATATTGGAAGTGCTACATGCAGAACTTCACTAAAACAGAAGTCCTGACATTTGGGTTTCTCTTCTTTTGACTCACCCTGTGTAATTTTGCCCACTCCGGGACCAGTTTTCCCTAGCCTTGCATAATTTACGAAGCACCCCCTTACCTGGTTGAATAATGCTTCCCGGTGGGTTCTTGATGAGAAGCTGACGATCGTCCAGATGTTTCAATGTGATCTGGAATCCACACAGGGCTTGGGTTATAGACACTTCCTGCTCAATGTACAAGTCGTGGCCCGCGCGCTTGAAAGTGTCGTGTTCCTTCTCCACCAGAACGATGATGACATCGCCGGACTCAATCCCAGGCTGGAGGGGGAAAGAGTTGAAAAGTCATCTAAGAGCAAGCTCGAGTGAGGACTACGGTTTACCTGACAGTAGTTCCGCTAACTTCACTCGAACACGCCATGCTTGAACTACTCTAGTCGACTATTTGGAACCGAAGCACAGGGCACCGTTGCATTGCCCGTTACCAATAGCTGCGCGCATCATAATACACAGCAAGGAGCCAGGATCCAGAAGTTTTGTGAAAATGTTTTGACCATTGTTTGACCAGAGACGTTCGCAAGTTGCTATCTGTGCACAGGCGTAGGTTATGTCAGCAATACACCACAAGTCGATCAACGGTCCGCACCCATTTCGCTCCAAAGTGAGTCTTGTATGTGTATGTGCATTTTCACAATACACCTGGCACAAAAAGAAACTAAGCAGTTTTTACAATCATCCTTGTTAGGACATTTCTCAGTGAACAAAAAAAATCTGAAATATACGTTTTGTCACAGAAACTTGCCGGTTCAATTTGATACCTCACTTGGGAACAATGTGTGAGAAATAACGAGAGCGCAAGCGCTGAAGTTCCTGAAATCCTAAAACTAAAAGTTGCACTTAGCGAGATTTTTAATGGGCACTGCAACACATAATGGAATGCAGGGCCTGCATCATTGCATTCAATTGTGTGTTGCAATGCCCACTGAAAATCTCCCTAAGTGCAACTTTTATCAGGGGTGATGAATTAGCGACAAGTGTATGGAAGCCCCCTAACTTCCTAACGCATTACAAGCCACGTGACTATAACATGACCACATTATTGGCTTTTCATTCAAACAATTATCATAAACAAATTCGTGAATTGTTACAAACAATTATTGTCAACTATTTCATGCATTTTGTTTGGTATTTTTGGACAATTACAATTTGGTACTGACAGTTTTATGGGTCACTTAGGGAGATCGTTTTTGGTCAATTTTTTTGGGGGGACCGACAGACCGATCGACCGACCGACCAACTGACATCAAAGTGACTTGTAAAAGCTCTGCGCCAGAGCTTAAAAATGAAAAATGCAGGATAGTGACACCCCCCCTGCTTACCTGTTGATCACCTTCACCATGGAATGTGATCTTCTGGCCTTCTCTCATGCCTTTGTCAATGTGAACCTCCAGGATCTTGCTTTCCTTACAAACTTTGACTCCGTTGCATTTCTTGCACCGATCCCTTTCATTGATACGCTCACCTATGGGAAGCAACAACAACAACAAAAACATGAAAGTACAGCCACCGGTGTTGTGAGCCTCGATCAAACTATTCTGGATAATCAATTTTTCGTCAAAGAGATGTAACTTTCAATCTTCAATCCCTTGAAGATGGCAGTTGGTTTTTTTTTGTCCTTACCCTCGCCTCTGCAATCTGGACAGGAGGACTGCATCTGTTGCACCATGCCGGGGCCAATCTGACGTATTGTCACCTTGATGCCCCGTCCATGACAGCTGTGACAAGGCTGCATGGCTCCGGGCTTACCGCCAAGTCTGCAACGCAAAAAAATAACGCCCAAAATTCATCACAAAATTCAAAAAGTTCAGGGGAACGGATATTAGTACAAAATATGTTTCAGGGGAAAATTCATGTCATGAACCCTTTAAACCGTTTGCGCCAGGAATATTTTGACATTGACCGGATCCGGGCGCTGAATTGTTTTTCACAAACCTCGATGCCAGACGGGTTCAGGCCGTCATCTGCAGGTGTCGCACCCTGAAGTTTCCGGCCTCGCTCGCTGTGAGCGGGTCACTGACAGATATTTCCGGCCTCGCTCGTTGCAGATTTATTTGGCACCTGTTCCGAATACCGCAAAACCTTTGCATGTATACACATCATCCGACATGAACTGGTTAACCCTTCTAGTCTTCTGAACTTCACAACCTTTTGTAAGTTTGCAAAACTGCTTTTGCCCATAGAGTTAATAGCACCTACACTTCAAATTCCTTTGAGGTAACCTTCTGTTGTGTGGTTAATCTCAGGGCAAGCAGGCAGATTCGGTCATGCTTCACTGCTCTCCACAGTGCTGTTTTGTGAACAGTGACTCTGTGTGAGACACAGTTACTTTAACACTCCATATCCCTTCACCCGAAACTGACCTGCAGACGATATTTCTTTGAATAATGACTTCCCACTAGGAGGATTAAACTACTTTGAAACGGTTAGGATTAATATCCACCCTTCCGAGACATGCCATCATACAATAACCATTTGAGGATCCAAAGAATTGTTTGAAATGTCTAACTTTGTGGACTCACCCTTTACAGCCAGCGCAGATGACGTTCTTACTCAATTGCAACTTGGAGGTTTTCCCATTGTACAGATCTTCCAGAGAGACGCTGCATACGAAAACAAAAACAACTCAAAATTACTTAGAAGAAAAAAAATAAACAGTGGGATTTTAGCATAAATGTGACCTGCTACGGCATAATGAGGAATAACTCCCATCCTTGACATTTCGAGTTTTTATACACCATGTAAAAGAGCAACTCTTTAGCTTTCTAATGATACCACATTTATTTCTGTAGTTCAATTAATTCCAAAGACATGCTGTGCGAAAGTCGGTTCCGAGACCTCATTTCGAGTAAAACAGCTTTGAAAAAAAGTTGTGTGTTGACGGTTCATCCCCACAGCGTGACCACTCACCCAAGACGATGCACCGTGTCTTCTCCCTTCATCTTCCGTGGTCTCCTGCCTCCACCAAAACCACCCCCAAAGAGCCCGCCCCCAAAGAGATGGGAAAAGATGTCATCGAATCCTGCAAATGGGAATAATCAATCAAACAATGGCAGTTTTGTTTAACCTTCCTAGTATTCTGCACTTTACAACCTTTTAAGTTTTGCAAAACCATGTTCACCCACACTACAAATTACTTTGAGGTAAAATTCTCTGGAATACAAGGGCAGATGCAGAACACAATATTTTTTGGGGGGGAGGGGGGAATTTGATCCCCCAAAAAGTGGGTCCCAAAAATTACGGCGTGGGGTTCTAGATGCTCTGTGGTGCGATCCGAGGCAATTTCTGTCCACTTTACCCAAAAGTTTTTGAGAAAAAGATGGTGTTGTACGCAGTGCCTGCCTTTATTGCGACGTCGAAAAAGAAAATTGGGTTCGTTTTGGGGGCCATGAGGGACAATAGGGGGGTCCATGATTGAAGGTGTTTACACACTTGTGTGTGTTTGTTGTGTTTCCTTACCTCCACCCTCTCCACCTCCTTCCTTTAACCCTTCCATCCCATATCGATCATAGGTATCCCGCTTATCGGGATTACTCAGCACCTCGTAGGCAAAGCTGATCTCTTTAAACTGCAAATGAAAATTTTAAAAATAATGAAAAAAAAAACACCAGTCCTTGGCCAAGCAACACTGCTTGCAAGGAGTTTCCACACCAAGCACCAAGTCTATTGTACTGGTCATTAATTTCATTACACTTATCAGACTCAGAAAAGGATTCAACTTCAACACAGAACTACACTAAGAAGGGCATGTTCATCTTCACCTTTTCTCCTGAATTGGGATTCTTGTCCGGATGATACTCCTTGGCCAGTTTCCGGTAAGCCTGGTAAACAGAGATAAGAAAAGTTTGATACTCATCTGGTTAAAAGACCAACATGATTGCATGGTAAACTCTGCGAGCACACTGGCTACCGGACCATAAATTATCGAAGCTGATTGTCGGGCAGAAACTACCCTACCCCACGAGAACAGAATCATTCTCTGGCAGGCACTTATTTTCTACAGTAATAATACAATAGCTATGCACAGGCCCACATTTGTTTTGGTTGATGTCTCATTCAAAAGTTAATAACCTTTTTATTGCTAGAAAAATAGGAATTTTATTGATAAGAAGAATCTATTTTTTAAATAGAACGGGGAACACAACTTATTAAGTCCAAGACTTGTGGAAAAAGGTGCAATGAAACAAAGAAAAGTCAGTCGCCATTGTTGAATCATCAACATCTTCACGAAAATGAAGTATCTCAAACTTTCCCTTCTCTTAAGTTATGATACATTTCCCAAGGGAACACTTTTTAGGGAAGGAAAGTCAGGGAAGCTTTGCATTGAAAACTGAAAATCGTCCTCCATTTCACGATCGCAGCCTCTTGTAGATCGGCCCTACACTTCACGATCGCCCATTTCTTAAGTATTTCTGGGAAAAAAATGTTTCAACCCGACGCCACTTTTTTCTTTAAATATCATCTCAATGAACAGGTCATTCATTGCAAAAATGATGATAAGACATGAATCTGGGACTGAAAAACATTTCCAATTTTGTTAGGAAAATTTTCTTGACTCTCCACAGACTTCGTACACAATCGCGGAAGTTTTTTCTGCATTTCCTAACAAAATTGGAAATGTTTCTCGGTCCCACATTCATGTCTTTTCCACATTTTTGCATAGACTGATTGAGCATGCTGAGTGAGAGTGAGAATGAGATGATATGATAATGATATTGATAATATATTTTATGAAGAAAAAAGTGGCGTCAGGTTGCAACATCCTCAAGAAGAAGAAGAAGAGGAGCAACTATAGAATGCAGGGCCACGCCGGAGCAAGGTTTTTTTTTCTGCTTGGAGGCGTGGATCGAGGCCGGCAATGTGAGTTGTCTTCTCATCAATGATTGGAAGGGAGGGCGCGCTTGTAAATATTTCGGGGCACGGAGTCGCGGAGTCGCAGAGACTAGAGACGCGGGGCACTGGAGTCGCCGAGTCGCGGAGACGCGCGCCACCGATAGAGGGCGCAATTCTCGGCGGTATTTTTTTGAGAACGAAGCATCCATATCCATTTTTAATTTCCTCGCAAAGGAAGGGAGGAGGGCGACGAGGCACTGGGGCACTGGAGTCGCGGAGGCGCAGAGTCACAAATTTGCGCCACCGATAGAGGGCGCAATTCTCGGCGGTATTTTTTTGAGAACGAAGCATCCGTATCCATTTTTAATTTCCTCGCAAAGGAAGGGAGGAGGGCGACGAGGCACTGGAGTCCAGGAGTCGCGGAGTCGCGGGGCACTGGAGTCGCGGAGGCACTGGAGTAGTGGAGGCGCGGAGTCGCAGAGACGCGCGCCGATAGAGGGCCCAATTCTCGGAGGTAGGTCGACTGCGGCTCCACGCAGCCGTACGGAGGCGCGGATGTAGAGTGTAGTGGCCCTGCATTCTATAGTTGTACCGAAGAAGAATGTGATCAGCCACATGTATGCGAAAAACACACGTAACTCAGTGCAGCCAGTGCAGTCATGCCATGGCAGTGGTAATGCAGATTTCATGTTGGCGCTGTGTGTGACGTGAGTGTGATTGCTCAATACACATCACACGACACACACAGATCATCATGCACAAAAGCCGGGCGGAAGTTCCCTTCATTTTCACAGTAAAATTCTCCATTCTTTTTCAAAATATTGACATAGTAACTACTCAGATATCCTACCTTTTTAAGTTCGGTTTCGTTGGCATTTTTAGACACTCCTAAAACCTCATACAGCCTTGTGTCGTTCGCGGGAGCGCGGCTTCGCATGTTGAACGCCATCTTGTCGGCAATGAAATCGCTAGAAAACTCGATGCACTTCGACTGCGCAAGTTCCTTGTTGTGACGTCATAAACTGCATGGTGCCTGTTTACGCAATAATCATAATTACAGCACAGAGGTACAGGAAACTAGACATTGGAATTTCAACTGATGCGCAACCTCGTCCCCAGTGCTAACTTTATTTCCAACCGCGTTTCCAATAGTAACTTAGAGAGCAGGTAGTGATGGGCGCGTACTGCTCAACATCCTGGGGACGAGGTTGACTGATGTGCTGACGTAACATCATGCGCACATGTGGTGGGATTCCCCGCACATTGCCCACGTAAAAATTGTCACGTGGTTAGTTGAACATTAACATTGCGTTACATTGCATGCATTGCATTGGCTGAAAGTTTTTCCGAAAATAACCCATGCAATCGCAGATAACCTGAAGGAACTTCTTCGACATTCGAAAATTATCATATCTCTTAGAATTCATATCGTGTTTGTCAGCAAAAAAATAATTATATAGAAAGGGATTCAGTCAGCTTCGAAAATTGGGAAATCTCACCCAAATAGTCAATCGGTATGACTGGTTTTGGAAATAAAGAGTGCTATCGACGAAATCGTGTTTCATGATCAACATGCCCGCCCGATTTATTTGTCAGGACGAATATATTCGATTTGTATGTTTTCTCAACGGAGGGGGGGGGGGGATCTACTTTTCTTCTAATTTGGATATTTCAACCGTCTGAAAAAAACGTTAGTTACTACGGGTTGCTTTTGCGCCCATATCGCACATAAAGAGACGCCTTGTTATAATTATCAGGCGGAAAATAATTCGAAATTTGTGAAGTAAATGATTCTATAACTAAACGTCAGGGGATTTTTTTTTGGGGGGGGGGGGCGTATCATAAGTCCGACGCCTCAGGTCCGACACCTCATAATGAGGCGTCGGACTTATGAGGTATAACATTTATTTATTCCGCCTCATAGGTCCGACGCCTCATAAGTCCGACGCGGCCGCCTCATAAGTCCGACGTCGGAAAAACGAGGCGTTTAAATTGTCGGACTTACGAAGCATCGGAGCTATGGACTTATGAGGCGTCGGACCTATGAGGCGTCGGACTTAAGAGCGGACCCCTTTTTTTCGATGTCTCGTTCAAACCAAACCTTAGTACATCTCCCCTGGATCCGTGCATGGGGAAACTGCGGGGGTGTGGGGTGGAGGAGGTCATCACATTATACCACCTTATTATTTCAAATTTCAATAAAAACAAAACCATTTTATTGTCAGAATTTGTTTTAATTTCTGTGATCCATAATCCAAACGAAAAAAGAAAAGCAAAAACTGATTCGATGAGTTTTCCGTATAGTTGTATAAGAAAACGGGACTGATTATGTAACCGATGGCAGATATTGAATTTCGACCAATTATGAGGGACTGTATATTTTTCCATATCGGCCTTGGGTCAGAAAATACAGGGTGATGCAAAAAGAAGGAAACCTTCTTCGTCCAGGATATAACCTACTTACTTAACTTATTTGAACTGGTTATTTTTTATAATGTAGTGAAGTATAGCTCTTCAAACGTTGTGAAGAAATCTTTTTAAAAAAATCGCAAGAATAGGGTTATTATGCTAATTTGAATACGAAATTACTGTTGTCCACGTGTAAGTCTAGTGCAGTGTTTTTGCCTTCAAATCAAGCTCCGGAGCTCAGTCAAGCGGATGGAATAAAGCCGTCCGGGGACAAACAGGTAAGACACAATACATTTTTAAACTACCATACCTCAGAGACAAAAATGAATTTGCAATAATATTTTCGTCACTTATGTTTAAAGATCAATATTTTAATACCATTAAATTGAATTTTTAAGAGATGCTCAACAAGTAGGTGACAATTGCTGTCAAAAGTGGGTTTCCTTCTTTTTGCATCACCCTGTATATTCTGTTAATGTCTGTAATCACACAGGGAATTGGGTCAATGTAATTGTTATCCTATATTATTAACTGATTTTATTGAACTTTTCTCATAAAAAAATATGAAATATTTCTAGCAATCAAAAAAAAGGGAATACAACATCCAGAATGTAAACATATTTGCATGAATTTGGTTTTAAGTTGTCACCCCCCCCCCTCCCACATATGTATTTTTTTGTTAGGAGCTACATGAAGTTGAAAAGTGGCGAGTGTCTTCTTATAATCTGTTTTGCTCAAATTTGTACTAAATTTTGAATCAGCAGAGCACAGACAGATTTCAGACCATTTTTCTCAAACTATCATACATGTATAATTATCTTTATCCTTTTTAAAGTTGTTTTTAGGGGTACTTAAATATGTACATGTATGCCATGTAATAAATGTATGCCTTTAAAAAAAGAAAACCCACCTCTTTATGGGAAGCTAGTTTTTTTTTTTGAAAGACAAAGCGCAGCATTATGATACAGGTAATCTTAAACCCCATACTGTAAATGCCAAACATCAGCTAATAATTACTGTATAAAAATAAACATATCCTTCAGTACTGTACAGATGTGTAAAAAAAACGAATAGCCAACTTAAATATTTCCCTGAATTCTTTAAACATTTTACACAAACTTATACAAATCATCAAAAACAACTTTCCCCCAATTGAAAGTTTTGGAGAAATAACCTACATTTCAGATATTATGCTAATACATTCCATTGAATACGCAAATATATTTACAATCATATTTAATTCCAAAAGATATTTGTTATATTTGTATTTCCACTGGGCGAGTAACTCAAATACTCAAGTACTCGTGAGTAGTTTATGCTACTCATTGTTCTACTCCTGGTTTTCATCTACTCGAGTACTCGTCCTGGCGCGAGTAGAAGCAGGTACTCACAAGTAGCAATTTAGGGTTTAAGGTTCACGGCCTAATACGTCCCCTGCAAACAGGGAATCACTCCCTCCACCTCTCTCTCCCTAGGACTCCATTCGTCCCAAAAAGTAAATGACCCAAAACGTCACACAGTTAAGGATATATCAGCGCTGAAGAATGCGGTGTGACTTGCAAGCTATTTGCTTGTATTAAGTTACTTCATGTCATACTAACGTATATGTCATTTTCTGCTTTTATGAGAATTCGGTTCACTACTCGCGAGTACTTGACTACTTACGAGTAATTTCTTTGGGAGTACTCGAGTAGAAAAATCCAATTCTCGACTCGCCCAGGCCTAAGGTATAATCATGAAGCTGGTTTCTATACCCAGAAACACACCTACCAATATGATGAGAAAATCCTTGCTCAAAGTGAAGTATGGACTGGTATTAAAACCCTGTGAAATTATTCTGCCTGAAATGATATCGTTTGGAAGACAACAGTCGGTGATGGTGCCATAGTGGTTTTGAAAAAGTGTGCCCAAGGGCTCACTTTTTAATGAGCACTGGCAAAGGAATACATTTACGATACCCCAAAATTTAGCATATGTGTTCTGTTTTCTTAAAATATATAGTAGCCATTTGTTAAACACCTACTTAAAATTTGAGCAATACTATTGCAGTGAACAAAACTATGCACACAAACACAAATGATCCCATGTGCCTTTAAGTACAGACCTGTTTTTTGCAATTTAAACATCATCAAGCAAACTTTTTTAACACCATCTTCTAGTGGTGAGGAAAATTGGAGATTTCAAAATCCAGTTATCCTAAATGTTTTCCAACCTAATAATGGTTATCCAATTTCACCAGAAGCTCCCTTTCAATTCAGTCATGCCAACAAAAAGTGGCAAATGTGGTGCCGCACGCAACGCCCTCCACAAAGATTGGTATAGTATGCGGGATTCAATGACCACTGGGCCTTTCCAAAAACACCCCAGAGCTGTAAATGGGTGAGCACTCTCTGATCAGTTGAAATGGGCAGTTATAAGATGGAATTTTTTGCGTCGGGGTGATATAATTCAAATTAGGTTTTGCCCTTCACCGACATTTTTAAACACTGTATACTCAGTGTGTTACCTCCCGAGTGAAAGTTGGAAAAAAATCGCTCGGGTGGGACTCGAACCCACGACCTCCTGCTTTCTAGTGCAGATGTCTTACCACTCGACCACCGAGCTAACGGGATCGGTTGGTCGGTTCGAATCTGATGTACACAGCAGCGGGTACCGCATAAACTATTATAAGATGGAATTTTGCGTCGGGGTGATATAAATCAAATTAGGTTTTGCCCTTCACCGACGTTTTTAAACACTGTATACTCAGTGTGTTACCTCCCGAGTGAAAGTTGGAAAAAAAAGGAAAAAAAAAAAATTGGGCAGGAAAATGGGCAGGCTATTCATGAACCAAGAAGACAGCTAGTGAGTGAACGTGGCTACAGTCAGAGAGACTACTGAGCACACTGTGGGATGTTGAATTCTTTAGCTTATGTAACACAAAAACACAAGGTTTAATTTTTTTTAAAGTTTGATTTCAAATATTGGATTTCCAAAATCCAAACTGAATAGTGAAATTTGAAACAAATTTAAAAAAAAATCTTGTTTAAACTTCGACCACTACCATCTTCCCTGGTAAAAAACTTCCAATTTGTATTTCAGACAAATCTAGTTTAAAGAACTATTTATGAATACATTTCAAGCAAACCGACACCCTGTGTTACCATGATACAAACTACTTACAGTGATAACTTATTCAATATCTTCCCTGCTTGTTTCTTTCATGGCAGCTTAGGCCCATTCTAGACGCCGTGCTACTGACGTGCCGAATTCAATTAATTTGACTTTTTTAAAATTCGGCACAGCGATAGGATGGCGTTTAGAACCATTTGGCTTGGCAAATTGACTTTGGTACGGCACCATTCTTTGGCTCGACAGGGCTGCCACTGTTGTCGTTCCGAATGGCAGTGGCACGGCACTGATCTAAACGCCGGTAAGCAAAGCCAAAAAATTGGGCCCAGATTGCTATCAAGGTTCAGTGGAAGGCTTCGTGTTTATGTTACCCTGTATGAATGTGGCTGAACACCTCTGAAGATTATACACCTCCTCGATATGTCTCATCTGTCTGGACATGCCTGGCTGATGTATCCCCTCCCTCCAACTGCCAACTGCTGCTCGTCTGAGTTTGCACCTGCGTCCTGTTTGTCAGCTGACGGACAGAGCTGTTCAGGAAATGTGCATCCGTCTGTACAGAAGCGGATTGATAATCGAAGGCACCGAGATCAAAGTCAGCCATGGTTTGAGTTTGCATGCTGGACAGGCTGTACTCCAAGAAGGAGTCCGTCTGAGTCTGAAGGGAGGAATTCTGGTTCCCTCCTTGACCCTGCTGTATCGTCTGGGTGTACATGTCCAGGGAGAGGAAGTCACTGCTACTCAGGGTGAGGTCTGGGAGTGCAGTTTGCGTCTGCTGGTGGTCGGTCTTAGGAGCAGGGGATGAGAGAGTCTGAGTCTGTTGGCAGCAAGAAGCAATGTTGTTTTCATCAAGACCTCCTCCTGGGCTAGTTTGGCTCTGTGATTCGTTGAGTAGAAAGGCATCCAAATAGGCGCTGTAGAAGTTGGTCTGAGTCTCCATGGTACTCTGTGGGGCTAACCTATCCACGTACTGACTTTGCAGGTCGGATGTGGCCGTATGGATACTGGTCTGGGTGGTGTCAGCAGGGTACCTGGTTGTCTGAGTGGAAATGCTCTCAGTGGCTGTGGAGTCCTCAAATGCTGACTGACTTATGGTGGTCTGTGTCTCCGAACTGCTCAGATTCAAGAAGTCAAAGACATTGAGGTCAGTCTGGGTGGGGACTCCGGCAATATCAGTCAGGGTGCCCTGATCACTTACTTGTGCCAAGGATGAGAGCCAATCATCTGTTTGAACATCACAGCTGGATGTGGTGTTGGAACTGAACCGGGGCTCCATCTGCACTGTGAAGTGAGTTTGCTGGCCAGGCAAGGAGCTGACGCTACTTACGTTGTTGGGAAGCGAGCCTGAGGGTCCTTGGTAATAGGTCTGGCTTGTTTGGGTGTTCCTGTTTAATGCTGACATGTCCTGCTGCGGGTACTGTTGCTGAAGGACCTGCTGCTCTGGCACCCGCATATGCAGCTGCTGCTGCCTTCTTGACGGCGTGTTGATTTGTGCCGACATGAGAGCTTCCTGCATGATCACATCACCAGGGGTTTGTGTGTGGGCTGAATTCCGCTTAATAATAGTCTGCGTCTGGCAGTTGCTGCTGCTATTCAGATGGGTGTTCATTCCTGAATCTCTGAACACTCGTAGACTGTTAGAGCTACCATCTCCCCCTGGCAATACTGAAGGATTAAAAACAGAGCCTTTGCGAACCCCTTCGAGTTGACGCTTAGCCAACCTCGCTCCCCGGCTTCCAAACCGTTGTGGGGTCTGGGTAGCGAGAGTTCTTTTGTACCTTGTGGCCGGCTGACTCGGCGCAACAGTCACTGGAAAGCTCTGCACGATGCCTTTGTTGATTGTCACAATCTGGGTGATTTCAGGATGCAAGGCGGCGGCCTTACCAATGCTGAGGATGGTAGGCTTTGGCAAGAGGAAGCGCTCTGTCTTCTGCTTGTTCTTGGATTGGGGAGTATTGGTTGGAGTACCTGCCTCTAAAATCTGCAATGGTTGGGGGGTCGCAATGAGACGGGGAATATTGCCAACTCGGGAAACAGGAACTGGGATTGTCAGGATTCTGTTGACAGCAACCGATGGAGGGTTTTCATTTGTATTGTGTGATTTTGTTACTGGTGAAGTCCTCCTGTTCACTTGCTGCTGAGGTGGTTGCTCCCTGAGACAGTTAAAGAAAACCATGGAAATATGGAAGAAGGCATCTTGACCAGTGTTGCTTTGTACACTGCAATGTCATACTTGAATTTTGTGAAGTTTACTTTGCACAACATCAGACACAGGCTAGGTGCCTTGCAGAGAAAGTTATTACTCTGAATGCTTTCAAAATGTTAGCCTGTAATGCAAATAGCTTTAGATCTTCATTTGTTGAAGCAAGAACTTTAATAACCAACTGTTGGTTTCATTTGGACAGGGTTCTGTTCGGATTGGTTGGGCTTGAGTTGGGTTGGATTGGGTTGGTTGTGGCTGGGTTTGAGTTGGGTTGGGATGGGTTGGGTTTGGTTGGGTTTGAGTTGGGTTGGATTAGGTTGAGTTGGGTTTGAGTTGGGCTGGGTTGGGTTTGAGTTGGGTTGGATTAGGTTGGGTTGGGTTGGGTTGGGTTCGAGTTGTGTTGGATTAGGTTTGAGTTGGGTTGGATTAGGTTGGGTTGGGTTTGAGTTGGGTTGGGTTGGGGTTGGGGTTGGGTTGGGTTGGGATTTGGGTTGGTTAGGTTGGGTTGGGCTGCAGTTTGTTTGGGTTGGATTGGGTTGATTGCAGCTGGGTTTGGGTCGTGTTGGGTTGTGTTGGGTTGTGTTGGGTTGGGTTTGAGTTGGGGTTGGGTTGGATTGGGTTGGGGTTGGGTTGGGTTGGGGTTGGGTTGGGTTGGGTGGGTCGGTCGGGGTTGGGTTTGGTTGGGTTGGGGTTGGGTAGGGGTTTGGTTGGGTTGGGTTGGGATTGGGTGTGGGTTTGGTTGGGTTGGTTCGGACTGCGGTGGATGCAGTGGGGTTGGGATGGGTAGGGTGTGTTGGGTTTGGTAAGGTGGGATTATTGGGGTGAGTTGGTGGGTTTTCAGTTGTGCTGTGCTGGATTGGGTTCAATTAGGTTACGTTAGCTATGGATAGATTTAAGCTTGGCTGGATTAAGTAGGAAATACTGAACTGAAATCAATAGATGAAAAATGTTAAGGTTTCTGTTATGGCTCTGTAAGTGTATTAAGTCTTAAACATCTTGGAGTTGGATCAGGAAATTGAAAAGCAATATATATTACGTTATTTTATACAGCACTGTTTTTGTAATTTAAGACTTTATTTTAAAAACAGGCATTTCAGGCAAATTCCAACTTACACATTTGAAGCCTCCTCGGCATAGTCAGGCGGCAACTCGTGGTTCTTTCTCCTCGCGTGCAAGCACAGGGCCTGTCTGGTTGTGTAGGGCACACCGCAGGAACAGGTGAAGTTCTTCCCGCAAATCTTCTCATGTTTGCGCCGCTGAAGTTCAAAGGCGAAGGGGAATTGGCACTTTCTGCATAGATAATTACGTACACCGTGCACTTGCTGGTAGTGCTAATAGTTTTCATTAAAAAAAAAGAGAGAGAACACAATTTACAAACTGCAGTGTCCTTACTCAGAAAAGATTCAAAAAGCTTGCATACTTTTTGAGAAAACTGTGAAAATGCATTATTTTTCTCAGGGCAAGGCATAGGATTCTGTAGAAAGTGATAGTTTATTCCTAATCATCAAAAGTAATTTGCTGACTTGAAGTAAAAACATTTCCTAGCAATATATCACATATAAACCAACTTAGGATGTTGAAAATTTAAAAAATTCAGCCCCTGAATCATTACACTCATTGTGTGTGTCAGACATGTTTTCAAAAACCTAGCTAACGACTTGGAAACACCACTCGCCATTGTTGTTTTCGTTCGCCAACGTCGGTGGCTTACAGTTTAGTCCCACTTGCACAGACGCTTCCAAGACTGGCACACTTTAACATAGTTCGCGTAAAGTGGATTGCAAGATTGAACCCGTACCTGTTTAAGAGGCCACATGTTTGAGAAAGGGTTGTTGCCTTCTTTGTGTCGACTGCATCCTACTACTGGGCAGAAGTACTGTTTCTGGACTGCCGGGTCCTTGGACTGCCGACATTTGGTGAAGAGGACCCTCTCGGACTTATTCTACAAATTAAAGTGGACGCATGTGTTAGGAAACATTTTATATTCCAGTGAATCCAACCTAATTAGTAAGTAAACACCCCCAACAAAGAAAGTCCACACTCATTGGAGGCGTCATAGTTTTAAATCTGAGGGTCTTATGAGGACGTCATTTATATAGGCTACATCTTTGGGGAATTTTACCAGCTACATTTTGATACCCCATTTGCTACCAAGACTGTAAATTGTCTAAGATTGACACAGCTTATGAACAGAAGTATATTAACGACGTTTTCATAGCTCATTTAGGCCACAAAAAAAAGTCTCCGGTTTCTGGTATGGAGCTTGCCCAAAAAGTGGTGCGGCGACGCGGCTTTTTTTTTTTTTTACCTGATTTTTTTGCTTCAAATGTCGGCTGATGACTGCAAATGGTGCCCGACTAAACTTAGTGCAAATATATGGGAGTCCAGAGAGGCCACATAAAGCTTATTCTTGACCATAACCCAATCTAAAAACACGTTAAAATTGTGCAGCAGCAGGATTCCAGTCAAACCAGTGAGTTTGGCGGTTTTGAGACATCATCTTTCATTGAAAAAAAAACTTTTTCATTTTGCCGACACGCATGGCTACGGCGACGCGCGCGCATACCAGAAACCGGAGACTTTTTTGTTTTGGCCTTAGCTTGATCGCATCACAAATGTTGTGAATTGTAATACATACCTTGTATATTCCATGTGTCTTTATAACATGCATTTTGAGAGCTGTAGTTGTCGGTAGGAGCTTGTCACAGCCTTCCACCGTGCAGGGGACATTTCGTCTCGGCTGTTCCATCAGTTCTTCTGCCGAGGGGCAGATGATCTCCACCGTTGTCATGGCGACTGTCATCCTACCATCAAAATGTACTCACTCATGTCATGGTCATGTGGTGGTTTCTCTACATCAATAAATACAGGAGTTTTGTGATTATAGGCCTTGGTAGTATGTGGCTAAGTCTCTTCTTAACCAGTTCGTTCCAGGATTATTTTTGTCGAACATTTCGATTTTCGAAAAAGGCAAGATATAGCAGCCAACTTTTGATATACAGCCAAACGCCACAACTACTGATTCGCAAGAGTCATTTCAACAGTTTTTGTACGATATTTCTTACCCCTACTTCATATTTTTACACTCCGGGGTGTGCCCACGGAGCGTAAATTGTACCACAACAGGCCATGCACAGCGGCCTTTTTCAAGTTCAACACACGGTCCGCCTCCACAGACTTCTTGGACTTTGCGTGTGTGTACAAAACAAATGGGGGAATAGCGTGCTTAGACCATGGAGGAAGGAATAGATGTCATCCGGAGGCGAGTCGAGGCACGCTTGACGTTTTAACCCGTCGGCCGTGCCTGTGTATAAAAACAGCCAGATCATGTCAACACGTCATCCGACACGATCTGGTTAAGTCTCATGGAAAAATATTGTTTAAAATTAAAGGTAGCAATGCTAGTCACTAGCATGGGTAGAGTAGATAATTAAAAATAGGCCTAGTAAAAAAGTACTAGTATTAGTAACATGAGTTATGAATAAAATTAAAAACAACTTTCTATTTTGTTTTGCGACTCCCGACTAGTAACACATGACTAAAGTGCTCAGCGGTTCTAATTTCGCCGTTAGACTTGCTTTTGAGGGGAAAGTTTCTAGGATTGTTCTGTGAATAACTAAATACGCGGAAAGGTAATCGAGGAGGAAATTCCTGGAGGAAATCCATGAAAATCAAACCTGTTTTTAGTGCGATCCGCGACCATGACACTCCCTGCTGCAGCTGTGTGCTAGATAGATAACAGCTTGAAGACTACTGAGGGCGCACTTCACTTTTACCGGCAAAGCGCAAAATTGCACTGCAAAATTCCCAAATCGAGATCGAGCTGTACAAGTTCCTGTGTACTATATGAACTAGGTGGGGTATGCAAAGCATGCACCGTACAGTCAACAGTTTATGCTGGTAGATATATATTTTTAAGTAAAAACTGTGTCTGAGACATTCGACGAGCAGTACTTTTTTTATAAAATTAAAACATTCAAAATAATACAGGGGTTGAGGGTGAACATATCCCCGCCCGCCGGCCGAAAAATTGAATTTCTACCTGTGCTCAATTAGTCGATTTTTTTCTCGAAACGAATCATTGTTTTCATTTTTTTTTTATCCAAACATATATACGCCTTGATTTTGGGTTGATTTTGCGCCAAGAACGGAAAAAGATATAGTCGGCCTCACGAATAATTGGAAATGTGTACATACTTCATATTAACTAAACGTGGCCAGATTTTTCAGTTTTGTGTGATGTCTCCGTCATTCAAAGGTGAATAACTTTTTTGTCATTGCTAAAACATTAGCAATTTAAAACACAAAAATAGCACGAAGAGGGAAACTTTAAAGCGATTTTTTTCTTCATCAAAATACCCAGTAGAGACAATTAACAATTGAAATAATTTTCAAATTTAGAAATCCAACAATTTTTTCAAACTTTGAGCATGGTACAAAGATATTTTTGTGTGCACATAATTAAAACAGTATAGTTTTGAATGTAGAAGTTCTTCTCTCGAAAAAAATAAAATTTCAGTTTTCCACAATTCGTTAGCAGAAAATCAAGCTTCATTTTGTTAGTAAATATATGTCGCTTACGCCACAGTTTACTCATAGCTTATCCTGAGCATATAATCGGCACAAAAAAAGAACTTTTGTTGAAAACTAGAAAAGGCTTGTATTGTTTTCGATCAGCATCAAAAAAGTATAACTTTCCCACATGATGATTATGACTCTGTAAAACAAGACCATGTTTTTTTTGTTATAACTTACATGTCAGTGACCGAGAAACAACAGAGTAGAGATAAACAACCTTATAATAAAATGTTAACAAAAGTGTGATGACATTTGATACTCTTTTTTTTTTATATTGAAATAAAATGAAAATTAAAAAGAGAAAGGAAGGAAGCAAAAATAGTAATCCGCCCGGTGAGGGACTCGAACCCGCGACCCTCAGATTAAAAGTCTGATGCTCTACCGACTGAGCTAACCGGGCTCTGACACAGGTTGGGAAAGCATAATTTATATACCTACAATATTTTTTGTTCTCCAAGGTTTATACATATCTTTGTTAACAAGATTCTAACTCCTGCTATCAATGAACATATACGTTTATTCGTTTTACAGAAATCAACATAAATATATCTTACAAAAGTTTCTTCTCATTACTACTAGATTAAGCAAACAGGCAACCAGTGATCAGCAGTATTGTTAAGCATTGTGTGTGCACGAGAGACCAGCTAAACCAATGCGCACGTGTTCGTTCGTTCACAGTGCAGTGTGCAGTGCATAAACACATGATACACGCAAACGTAACGAAGGACAGCAGAGCTAAGCCTGAAATCTAGAGCGTACCTAAAATAACAAAATTAATGTAAAATGTATCTCATGTACTATCTCAACGAAACTGGCGACCGAGTTTACACTCTCCAGGTAGGGATTTTTCTATGATTATTTTGTTCCATGTTGAGCAGTTTTGACTCGAGCAGCGCCAGCCACTGAGCCAGACATGTCAGTTGCTTTTCAGTTGACATGGTTGAGTTCAGTTTAGCCCCAACCTCGTCCCCAGTGCTTACTTTATTTCCAACATATTAACAACGTTTCCAATACAATAGTAAGCCCTGGATTAGTTCGAGTAACTTGGACCAAACTTATCGCCTTTTTAACATTCGGATGGTCTGGCGATATTGCCAGACATGCCAGACCATGTCCGAATGTTAAAAAGGCGATAAGTTTGGTCCAAGTTACTCGGATTAATTAATATGAAATGTGTTGCTGCATGTTGTCTCGATAAGAATAGATCGTAACAGTTATAACTCATGCCATGCTCGCACTGCGACAAATTGATTCTGTTTTTACCCCAGACACCGCATACAATTACAAAAATGAACGCAATTGTAATGCACAAGCAGGCACCAGACTATTTCTCATTTGCATACATGTTCAAAAATCTTGCACATGCAAATGATCCAATACCAGGGTGAGAGAGCAGCTAGTGGTGGGCGCGTACTGCTGGACACCCTGGGGACGAGGTTGGTTTAGCCCCACTTGTAATCCTTGTGTGGCCTCGGTATTGCTGCGCTGACCCGCTGTAGCTTGAGTAACTCCAGCTCTATAAATGTAATGCCTATCGCATTACAGCTTGAGTTACTCAAGCTAGCTGCGCTGTACGTTCGGCCACGCGCCTGGTTTTCCAACCTACTGAGGAGTTTAGTCCAAAGCCTGGCGCACCTTTTTTGGCTTTTTTTTTTTACATACCACTGCATACGGTTGTATTCTATGATGCCTTATCTTTTGCCCTCCGGGTAGATAAGGTTATCTTTCTTCAAATTTTTAGAGAAATTTAGCGGTCATAGGTGGTCAAAATGGCGCACTGGTTTTGCGCGTTGAATATGTATGCTTTTCCGGGCGCCCTTGGGCAAGGTTATGAACATGCATTGCACAGATAATGACCTTGTGGTGTCGGGCATGCGCACGATGGCGCGGCCGGCCATACAAACAGATAATCTCGCTCTAACTAAGTCGGTAGTAAAATCGCAACAATCAGTATGATCAGTTTCAGGCGTCCAGGGGACGTTTGCCACTCTGGCCGTACTACAGAGCTTGTGATAGTGTACGACCAGAGGCATTCGGGCTATTGTTCCATATGGAATGATGGAGGTGTTTTTCTGGTTATACTTTTAGTCCCCACGTTGTGCACAAATCTTAACATTGCTTGACTTTGGTTTTCTTCACAGAAAATGGATCCATTCGGTAAACCAACGCAGTCTGCTCATCCAGGTACGATGCTTCCCTGGAATAGGTTTCAACTTTGCATTTATTGCTTGATCTATCTTACCCTGTTGTGGTAATGTACCTTTAATCATAAGGGTATCTCTTTTTAATTCTTTGGTTCTCCTTTCTGACTGACCCTATTTTGGTCTCCTGAACCCCCCCCCCCCCAAAAAAAAAACCTTTTTTGTATTACCGCCGACCCTGGCTGGAACATCCCCCCCCCCCTCCTCCCACTTAACAAAAAATAAATACATGGGGGAGGGGGAATGGCATTACGGGGGAATCCTTTTCTTGTTCAATAGCACTGCCTGGCCAACAAGTGACTGTCAGTCAGCGTTTCAGTCGGTCTGTCAGTCAGTGAGATAGGTACAAAAAAAAACACTGGCCAAGCCAGCTAAGACCAGCAACTATATGTTCAGTACGACATGCTTTAAAAACTAGTTGTTCTAATAATATCTGTTTCATGTTTCAGTGAGGTTTTCACCAGATGATAAGTATTCACGGGAGAGAGTCACCATCAAGAAACGATTCGGGCAGCTCCTGACGCAGCGACCCAAACCGGTGTACTGATTCAAAAGATGCTGTTCAAAACATGAAGACTGAAAGCGCTGGGCAAATATGAACATTAAAGGAAGATTCTTCCTTTAACTGTACAAATTGCTGTTCAACATGAAGGAACCAAAAGGAGTGGGGTAGGAAGACAGGAATGATCCAACGTCAATGAGTGCTTCCAGATCCACTGTTTCCTTCTACTTCTGCTTCGAGATCCACCATACCCTTCTACTTCTACTTTTAGATCCACTGTACCCTTCTCCTGCAACCACATTAACCAGAAGTAGTTCTAGCCATCCAACTGACTGCAAAATGGTTTTTTTTAGTAGCTCACAAAATTCAAGGACACTGTGGATAAACATGGCCAAGCGCCCAGTTCATAATGAGACGTAGCTGGCAACTCCTGGACTTTGGTTCTTGTCAAGAGGAGCCATGAAGGAACTGCTTTATGCATCCAGGACCTTCACGTATGCAGATGAGTTAAAGGGAATGTACAACATTTGCTCTTGCTGCAATTTTCAGTAGTGAATGGATTTGGGGGAGTAGAATGTTATAGAAAATATTTTTAAACTGACTTGTTTCACGTTTTGGGCTTGAAGATGCTGAAAAAAGAAAGAAAAACATCATGTTCTTGTAGTCTGGTTCCCTGACCCCACTCAAGATGAAATGGAGCAGTTTGTCGACTTTAGAGAATTGTAAGGTCAGAGAATCAGTCTAGCAGGCTTGTACTTGTACCCCTTCACAGGTGCAAAGAAAATGCGGCAAAACTAATTATGAAAATTTAAGAGCAGTTTTTGAAGGGAAAAAAGGCCAAAATACCATTTTTCTTGAAAATGTCTGCACACCCGGAGCCATGATTTTACAGGGTGCTTTAGAATGTCATTCCCAAATAATCCAGTAAGAAATTTCGTGACAATTTGATCATTTCGGTTTTTGATGTTTGCAAATGTTGTTATTTTCCCTTTAAGTGGATTGATTTGCCGATTGGAATGCACAGTACCAATGATGGACTTTGGTGACATTATCAATGCGGGACATGTATGATGATGCCCAGTTCTATACGTATGAAGCATAATTTTCTACTACTCCATATTCTTTGCTCCGATTCTATGTGATACTTGCTTCTTTTCCAAACTTTTTTTTCTGTAGAACTTCAATTTTGTTTACTAATTCTAAAGTTACATGAAATTCCATAGTTTCTTTTGCATTTTTCATTTAACTGAACAAGATAATAATTGAAAAGCGCTTTGAGACCCTTGGTATGAAGCAGTATATAAGCACCACATCATTATTATAGTTATTATTAATAATTAACACGGCCTTTTCTTTGGTAAAGTTTAGACTGTCACAAAACACCCTGAGAAAATTATGCCATAATTTTAAACCTCAACACTTTTACAAGAAGGCTCTTTTTTTTTTAAATAACGAGAGTCAAGTGATCTGTCCATTCTATTTTAATGTGTTGGAACACACCCTACCTATTCTCCATTTTACCTTTCAAGTTAAAAGTACTTTTGTAACAATCATCAGGAAGGCATTTCTGTATTGTTTATAAGAAATAAAATGTGTACCAATTCACCCAAATGCTGAATCGATTTAATTATTGTACAGAATTGTCTATATTAATAAGAAAGCAGACGACCATTAACTTTTTTACCCCTGGAAAAGATTTTCTCATTGGATTTTTTTCTCTTAGATTGTTAAAATAATATTATCAAGCAATATAATAAGTTTCAATCGCTTGGCGTGTGTTTATATATCTGTGTGAGTTTTGGGGGCAAATATGAATCGAGGGCTTGTAGAGAAATGAATAACAACAATGAGAGTTATTTGGTTTGAAGCATACATTATTTAATGTCCCAATTTCGCATTGGAATGAAGTTTAGTCACTTAGTACCGAGACTTGGTTTTGGGTTTCCAGAGTACTTCTAGTGTCATCCTCAAGGGCGGATCCAGAACACAATTTTGGGGGGGGCCAAAAAAATTTTTGGTCCTTCAAAAAAGTGGGTCACAAAAATTACGGCGTGGGGTTCGGGGCCCGCTTAAGGGCCCCGAAAATTTTTTGGATTCTAGATGCTCTGTGGTGCGATCTGAGGCAATTTCTGACCACTTTTACCAATGTTTTTTTGAGGAAAAGATGGTGGTGTACTCATTGCCTGCCTTTTTTGCGATGTCACATAAAAAAAAAAAAATTGGTTTCGTTTTTGGGGGGGGGGGGGGGCCATGGCCCCCTTTGGCCCCCCCTGGATCCGCCCTTGGTTACTCATCCTGTATACCAAAAGCTAACCATCAAATTAGTCTTGGAATTTTGAAGAGAGATTTCCAGAGATATACCAACTTTTCATTTGATATACCCTTTTTAAAACACCTTTTACGGTTTAAGTACCCTTTTTTGTTGATTGTCTAGGGAACCTATCGGCCTAGTCTGTTTCTTTGATGTACATGTTCGGGCGGTACGTTATAAAAACCCGCGCAATCAATATTGTGTATGTATGACCATTAATTGTACATAGCGCCCTCTATTTTTTTCCTTTCCTAGAATTCATGATTATATTTGGACATCAAGTTCTTCTTTTGCTTTTGCGTCGACAAGCATATGAAACAACTTTTTTTTAGACAAGCGAGAGTTAATGCATTCTAATAAAATCAGTCTCATTCTATATGACCATTAATTGTACATAGCGCCCTCTATTGTTTTCTTTTCCTATAATTATTATATTTGGACATCAAGTGCTTCTTTTGCTTTTGCTTTTGTGTCGACACGCATATGAGACAACTTTTTTTTAGACAAGCAAGAGTTAATAAGTTCTAATCAAATCAGTTTCATTCTAATCAGTACAGCAAGAGTGGATGTATTTCAATCATTCACTTTCTCGGGCGGTTGTGTATGACCATTAATTGTACATAGCGCCCTCTATTTTTTTCTTTTCCTAGAATTATTATAATTTGGACATCGGCATCTTTTGCTGCTGCTTTTGCGTCGACACGCATATGAGATAACTTTTTTTTTCAGACAAGCAAGAGTAAATGCATTCTCTAATCAAATCAGTTCCATTCTAATCAGTACAGCAAGAGTAAATGAAAGTCAATCATTCAGTTTCATATATGCCTACTTGTGTCACTTTAATAGTTGTGTGCGTCCAATTCTGAGTTTGTTCACGAAGAGATCGAAATTAATAGAAAAAGCCACGTAGAATCATTTGCAATTACCCGGAAAAAGTAACCACCTATTTAATGGCATAAACTATCAAATTTAAGTGAAGATAGGACTGACATTAATAGTCTTGTGAAAAGTTATTCCGCCCGAAATAATGGAGAAATAAAACCTACTTTTGAAGATGGGAAATAGAGCGCCCGCGAGCACACCTTTTAAGATGCGTTAGCCACACTCAATAATCAGACCTTCCAAACTTTGAAAACGTTTTTTCTGTTTTCTCAAAATTCATAGTATCAACAAGTTAGTGTTTATGCACCCTACTTAAGATTTTGAGCAATTTCGTTGCTTCAAAAACGAACCAAAATGATCATCCGTACCAAATGCATCACAGGTGCAACGTGTTTATGTAACTGTTAGTTGATCAAGGCTGCCGGGCGTACTTGTTTCTTATTATTTTAACCCCCCCCCCCCCCCCCCCCCAATGTGGCAGTACTTGTCTAAGTTTTGCAAAACAAAAGTACTTTTTTGGGATGGGAAAGAGTGGAGAAGAGCATGTGCGAGTGCGTGCTTAAATCGAGGACACACACGTGCAACATTATCGATGAATTGAGGACAGGAACCAAATCGAGGACGACCTCGATTAGAAAACCAATGAGAGCTGTTCAGTGCAACATAAGTTGGAGTATAAACAAAGGAAAAGGGAAGAAGAGCAATTGAAAATCCTTGGTTTACACCATAAACAAACGTGTGTTTCTGGGGGTGGGGGGGGGGGGGGGGGGTGGGGACGCCAATACCCGGAGAAACGCAACTTCCTCCGCGGGGTCCGCTCATAAGTTCGACGCCTCATAGTCCGAAATTTTGGACATGAAGGCGGACGGTCGGATCTATGAGGCGTTGGACTTCATGACACGGCCCCGCCTCCGCCAGTTCAAACTCCAGTTCAAACAGAATCTGGTAACGAGACCCCAAAAAGTTTGCAAACTTATTATGGTTTCTCTGTTTCCTCAAAATGTAAAGTTGCCACTGAGCTAAAACTTCCACTGGTTAGTTGGAGCAATTTTGTTGATTCAAACGGAGAACAAAAAATCACAAAAAGCAAATGATCAATTTTGTTCCTTTTAGTGATAACCTAAAAAAAATAAAGTTAGCAACACATATGATACGTTTATCCGCAGATGACAATAATTAAAAGAATAAAATTATGTTTTTTTTGTTAAAGCCGGACTCCATTTTATAAATATATTCTCAGGCTGCACGTTAAAGACAAGTTCTTGACTGGATTTTCAAGTCTACATGTACATACTAAGAGAATTAATAGTCACCTAGTACATGTGTATGCTGCAGCAGCGTATCCAGCTTTTAACGCCAGGGGGGGGGGGGCAAATTTATTAAGAAGTTTACTGTATGAACTCTGTCTTAAAGAAGTAAAATGCCGCCGGGGATTGGGAAGGCCCCTCCCCCCGACTGGATACGCCACTGATATTCACATGCAATCATGAAATTGACTTTCCCTTACTAATAAACCATGGAAGTATGAATAGTACATTACAAAGCTCAAGCTAATAAAAGACAACTAGAACTTTTTTTACCCCGCCCCCTTCAAGTTTCAACAAGGCTTGAATTCCCCCGCCGTGCATGGCGCCGTGCGTGATGAGCAGCTGATGAGGGATCCGCTATCGTGCGTAAACGGCACGTACGACGTTTACTGCGTGCACAAACAACAACATACCGCGACGAGTGACAGCCGAGTTGCTGAGCGATGCCGATGGTCAATTGCAATGCGGAAATGCCGGTTAGTTATTTATTTCTGTCATGAATAAATGGCGACACATTGCATCGCTGAGCATGTCTTTCTGCGTAGATCATGAATTCATGTGACCTCGGAGCTGCTGATGTGCCTGTGCGAGAACTAGGAATTTTTGGTGAGTTTTAGTATTTGGTGAAGAACATTTCTGAATCTTATGAGTCATGTGATAGTCCGAGTAACTTGGACCCAACTTATCGCCTTTTTAAAAATTTGGACATGGTCTGGCGATAGTAGGGTCCAAGCCCATTCCGAGACCTAGACAACACAGTCACTGACAGTCCCAAAAACCAACATTTTCCAACAAAAAACATCAGATTTCACCTTCAAAACGGCCTCCAAATTACTAGATATGCCACCTGAGGTACAAGTAGACATCGATAATTAAGATGGTTGTACTGAAGTTTACTTACGATCCGGAAAAAAAGTGAAATTTTCCGTTCATTTCGGAGAGCTCCCCTCGCGATCTTGAACACGTTAAATTTGCGATCGTGTTTAAAGTTTGAACGACGCGATTTCTTCTACATGCCCAGCGTACATTCGATGGTCCCCGTATCCCGAGTGCGATTCCGTTACCGAGCGCGCGCGATGCATCGATTATGATAATGAGTAGACTGGATCACGTTTGTAAACACATGTGCATTTCAAACGATAATAGGGAGTCGGGAACTAGCGCAGCTTTTATAGCGGGTACCAGTTCAAGCTGGTTCCCGATTCCCTTTTACAGTTCGAAATGCACATGTATGTGTTTACAAACGTGATCATTATCATAATCGATGCATCGCGCGCGCTCGGTAACGGAATCGCATACGGGATACGGGGACCATCGAATGTACGCTGGGCATGTAGAAGAAATCGCGTCGTTCAAACTTTAAACACGATCGCAAATTTAACGTGTTCAAGATCGCGAGGGGAGCTCTCCGAAATGAACGGAAAATTTCACTTTTTTCCGGATCGTAAGTAAACTTCAGTACAACTATCTTAATTATCGATGTCTACTTGTACCTCAGGTGGCATACCTAGTAATTTGGAGGCCGTTTTGAAGGTGAAATCTGATGTTTTTTGTTGGAAAATGTTGGTTTTTGGGACTGTCAGTGACTGTGTTGTCTAGGTCTCGGAATGGGCTTGGACCCTACTATCGCCAGACCATGTCCAAATTTTTAAAAAGGCGATAAGTTGGGTCCAAGTTACTCGGACTAGTCATGTGAGTAGCGTGGACAACTAGGACTAGTACAAGTACAAGCACAATTCTTTTCGTGCAGTTTTAGAAGCAAACGCAACTCGTCGCTGCCTGAGGCCTGTTGCGGAAGCAAAAGAAATATATGTTCAGTGAGTAAGGCATTTTCCCCCAGCTTTAGCTGAAATTTTATTTTCAAATGTGAAAGATCCAAGCTATTTCTCAATCTATAAGTTCTGCATATTTTTATTTGGATGCATCAAGTCAAAGTCAAATAAATTTGTATTTTTTTTCTTACAATGTTAATTATTTATATTTAATAATGACAATAGTGTTAGTGTTATTAGGCCTTTAGAAGTGCATTTTAAGTTGCAGCACAGGAATTGAGTTAGCCCCATGTGGCTCAGATACAGCTGCGCAGTACAGCGCAGCATTCCGGGCCATTACTAGTGGGGCTAAGGAATTGATACAGCTATATTTCTAAACTTTCCCTTAAAATAGTGCCTATGATTAATATCAGGCCGAGTTAAAGAAAAAATTAGTGTCTCATCTGCATACTGGGCTTTTTGAAATAATGAAGGAGACCGGCTCTTTTTTCTCTCCCCCAAGATGTATTCTTCCATTTTCGTTGATTCTTTTGTTGATACAAAATTGTGTCCAAAGCTGTTACTTTAGTGTTACTGTTAGCCTTTCTACATCTACAGCCACACGTTTGTTGGAAACAAACAAACATACAAATACAATGTATTGAGCATATCATGTGTGTGTATGAATGTATGAATTAAAAAAAAAAAGGAGAAAAAGAAAGCGGGTGGGGACAAGAAACTAGTATATTTTTTTACTTGGCCTTAACAGTGAAGTGTGATTTCAGGTTTAAGAATTGAATGACAAACACATGTACCGGTATATAGCCTAGGCCCTAGTATAACCACAATCCACATGTATTGCATGTCAAGGCCGGATCCAGCTTAACACAATTTTTGAGTGGTATTTTTTGTGGGTCCAAAAAATGTTTGCCCCAAATTTAATATGAAAAGCAAGGGGAGGGGGGGGGGGGGGCACTACGTATTGCTCTGGTTGAGTTTTGTGGGTGGTGAACGCAGTGGCTGCCTTTTTTTGCGATGTCACTTAAAAAAAAAAAAAGGGCATGGCCCCTGTTGCCCCTCCCCCCTTTCTTGGGGGGGGGGGGGTGGGTGGGAGTGACACAGTCATTTAAACGAGTAGCCCCAGCTCATAGACCAAAACCTGAAAACATAATTAATAGGATAAGAGTGAAGTTGGTTTGACTTTCTCTGCAATAAAATACTGTCTCATTTTGCCATTTGTTGAAATATTGTTTGCTCACATGTTTAATTTATGAAACACATGAGTTCTCAATTTCAGAATTTCCCGAGTTGTGGGTTTACCCCCATATAAGGAGGCCTACCGGTAGTTGTTATAGTACATTGTACATTCTTACAAATTTATTGTGTCCAACTCAATTAATATGCCAGTCCCTGTGTGAAAACAGTTGTGTCAAGCATTATCCACAGAAGGTATCGATTGACATTGCAAAAAAATCAAACAAGCTACACAGACTATTGAATTTGAAGGTCAAAGTCCTCAGGCTGATGGCATATAAACTTGGCAATCATTGTATTCCTTTTAAATTTTCGTCAGCAGATGTCCAGTGTTGAAGCAGAACTTTACCAAGTCTTGAAAAAATACACCGGCAGTGTGCCATGCCATCAATAGTTAAGCACCTATAGTCTGAGAATGACAAAGATTTGCGGTCAACACCACTGGAGCGTAGTTCATCTCAGTGTGGCTCTGATACTCTGCTTGGTCACGTTTGCTTTGGCGGAGGACACGTCTCACGAGAATGGAACCAGTCCCAGTACTTGCCACGGAGGCGAGGAGGTCAAACGCTACGAGGTAGTCAGCCTGGAGTGGGACGAGGTTCAGGTGCCGTTTGGAATCTGCGTCTGGATTATGATCGCCAGTCTGGCCAAATTAGGTAAGTTCCTCATGTTGTTTAAATTTTCCTGGGACAGCAATGAACTTGTGTTACCTTTCATCTCCCAAACTTGTCTAGTACTTACAGCAATGAGATGAGTGGCTAGTGCGTAAGGTGCTTGCCGCTCACCACTGTGGCCCGGGTTCGATTCCCGGCTCGGACCATATCAGCAATAATTGCGCGTACTTCTGAAAATTATTAAAAATGCTCACAACTCTCCAAGGTGTATGAGATCCCCATCTAATTAATGCTTATTTCATCATCTTTCATTTTCTCTTCATTTTTTGTTCAATAATCCAATGACTTTTGGGAGAAAATTCCATCCAAAGATGATTACCCCGAAAAGTAGTCCTGTGGCCCATCACCATTTTGAAAAATGATGCTTGCGCTCCATAGCAAAATAGAGCAATTTCAAAAAGTCTACACCCATAGATGTACAGAACCTAAAACCTGACTTTCTTAAATGGTCAAATTTCAAAGGTCATTTTTATGCTGTCAAGAATCTGTTGCTTTTGAACACGATATCATTAACTTTGCTTTCTCAGCTTCTAGAAATAACTGTGTTTACCCAAATTTTCTTTTTTTAGATCCTACCCTTTTTAGTCTCCAACCTGTTTGATACGAACCCACTCCGCAGATCTCAACGTTTAACCCGCCCGTGTTTGGATTTGTGTGGGTATTTTGTTGAGGTCCTTTTGTTGGAGAACGACTCGTGCGGCGCGACCCATTGAGAACCCTATAAAACCCATTCACTGAAAGGAGATCTTGTTTCCTGTGAGAGAGGCGGATCGATTTCAGTCATTGAATACTGTAGCGAGATGGTGAAGACTAAGCTTACTGCCATTGTGTAGGGCAGCCTTAGACGTTAGGCCCCCCCCCAAAATACTTCTGTTACCATTTCCATGTATGGCATTTGAAAATAGGGTAGGTAGGGAATTTTTTTTTATTTGGCAGTTTTGTGTGTACACGTACGATCATATGGAGGCGTCTGCGTGTGTAGTCAAGGGTAAAAGGTGCCGAGTAGTAATTGATGGTTTTGGGTGTTTTTTTCTCAATTTTGTCCATAAACAAATTACAGGCATGCAACTTTCCCTCGGATCTGCTGATTTCTTCGTTTTTTTACTTCACATTTATATAAATGCCATTAAAAATTAAAAAAAAATTTACAAAGTCTTGTGCGTTTTGGAATTTCCTCGTTTTTCCTAAATTCCCAGTTGCATGCCTGAAATTAGGGTAGGGGGCTATCAGAAATCAGAATACAGGTAGTGTAGGTAGGGAAACCGGAAGCAGAATTAATTTTTTTTGTTGGCCTTTAATTTAAATGACACAGGGCAATAATTTCAGACAGAAACACCCCCCTCCACCCCCTGGCTTGCAAGTTAAATAAGGCCACCCCAGCAGTCAAATAAAAAAAACTCCTTGCCTAGATTAATTAGGATTGACTGGCTGTGACTGTTTATATAACAGCAGTGCATGTATCGTACCTTTATGTACCATGCACTGGTACCGTTACGTACCATGCATCAGTACCTTCATGTACCATGTACCTATTTTGACTAAGTATTTGACCAGTCACAGTGCTTACTACAAAAATAAATAAAGGCATGGCAGGCGAATAAGGATTGGTTTTAATTTTAATAGACTGTCTGAAACGGTTCAGACAGCAGGAGGATTTTAAAGTTTGATCCGACGTACTGGTACTGCAGTATTTAGAAGATAGTTTTCATTTCGCTAATCTTTAAGTACACGGTAGTGAAGTGTCGGTTAATATTTACTTAAGTGATAGTGCGCCCAATAAATTATACACATGATTGAAAGATCAGCAGCAATACAACTGAATGGCGTTTATAGTTGCTGTCGATGCCTATTTGCAGTATTTAACTAGCTTTATGTAAAATGCATTGTCAGGGAACAATTCTTCGACACTTATTATTGTGTGGCCCCAGACCATGTATGTTTAAGTGGGCAACAGCGTGACATCGCTGGAATATTACATTGGTTAGATTGGAGTCATCTCATGCATGTCATGTAATATCCGGGATATAGGTTGCAGACAAGTTTATCCATGCAGTGGGCCAGTTGTTTCAGATTTTAGTTGCAAGACTCTGAACAACTTCCCAAAAATGATACTAAAATTAGGAGTTATCAGTGAACATGTATGCTATGCAAACAATAATATTTAATTGTACACACCCCAACTGATAGTCTGGACTATAGGCCTGTACAGTGTGTCCCCAAAAAAGTGTCTGTCTGACTGTTTTTGAAATAACTACAAAACCATGAGGTCAATTTTGAAAATGTCTGGTTGTGCAGATACTCCTAGGCCTTGGCCTCAAGTGACTGGAGTTTCATTTCATTTCAGTCATGCATCACTGCACACTTGTCAATTGATCACAACATTTTTGGACACTGTGACCAAGTTCCATGCCTTAATGAATTTCAGTGCTGTGTTAAAGCTGTGTAAAATCCTGCATTTACGGACACAAAACTTCAGTTAAGTGTGACAATATTTGCTATAAAATCCTAACCCCCAAATCCATCCGTTTCTGAAAATTACAGCAAAAGCAAAAGTTGAATATTATACAAGTAAATGAAATTGTCCAATGTGATTTAGAGATTTGTATGCACCATACCCCGGTAGGCATACACTGTAACTTTTTCACCTAATAACCCCATGGTCTGTATTGAATGTCAACATTATATCCTGCTTATGAAAAGGGAAAACAGGCACAAATAATGCACAGGCCCCCTACAGTACAAAGCGGAAAAAAATAATTGTGAACAGTAGGCCTTACCCGTAATACATCCTGCTTCCTATGAATACAGGTAAAAATCTTATTACGTGTGCCTGTGTGTGCAGGGCTGGTCTTAATTTGATCTCATGAGGAAATAAATGTTCAGTACCAGAAGTAAGCAGTTTCAGGAAATGTGACACATGACATGTCTCTGTGCCTCGTTACATGCTGATCATGATTGGCAAATAATTCTTTATGTGGGCAATTCCACGGTTACTCACGTTACATTTTTGTAATGTGAGTAACTGATTTTGTGCGCCTTGTTTATCATATGTAACACATTTTTCTGGATGTCATCTTTGGCGCTTAGGTAGGTCTAGGTCTACTCTATCTACCATGGGGATAACAGTTATTAAACCTTTTAAGTAAGGTAATTACAGCCCAAGGAAACTCAAAAATACATCCAAAATGTAACGTGAGTAACCATTGAATTGCCCATGTGGTAAATTCAAGTTCATATTTTGGAGAAGAAAAATTATTTTGTACACAGCCCTCAATAAAAAATACAGCAAACACACACGTACATATAGGCCTACATGTTGATTTTTGAAACAAAATTGTGTTATTATTTATAATTAATGTATAGTCTAGTTAAACTACTGAATACTGTGATGGGCGACAGATTCTGCTTATTATTGCTATATACCAGTTAAACAGGGCGACACGCCTTATTGGGACGACAAATCGGTGTTGCCCTTTTGTTATTAAAAACGACCCTTAGGATTCTAAGTAAGGGGCTAAACCCCCCCCCCCCCCCCTTCCAAGTTTCTGAAATTGCTACATGTAGTCCAAAATTTGAATTTTTTTGTGACAGCTGTGCAAAGGTATTCACCATTTTGGCTAGTATAGGAAAATAGTTGAAATCTGATCAATTTTTTGCCCGCTTAAAAAAAAAAAAATCAATAAATAAATAAAAAAATCCCCCTTTAATTTCAGATCAGCCAGAGGGAAAATTCCACAGATAACCCACAGTGACATCAAAGATCCGCTCTGCCTTTAACCTCCCAGATAACATTCGTATCTTTTCTTTAAAAAAAATTCTTTCTAATTATCAACCAGCAGTAGCACAACCACAACAGAACGTTTCTTGATTAGCCGTCCATTCTACATGTATGTGTACATGGTACTGCCAATACAGTCGTTGCAGTTGAAATCCAAAATGATTCTCTTTTCTATGTCCAGTTGTTTTTCCTGGCTATAAAAAAAAGCAGTGTAGCACTTACTTGATTGCTGCTTCGGTATACATGCTTGTGAGCAACCGTACCGTAGCACAACTCTTTGTTATTTGTAGGGCTTGACATTCAGGTCACAATACAATATGTCAGACTGACAGCGCTGCAACCCCCCTAATTCAAGGTACAGGGCTACAAGAGAAATAACAAAAAAAGGACTCAGAAAAACCGAAGGTAGGAATTGACATTCCTCTTGAAACAGGACAGATCATACCGGTAGGTTAGAAGGAAACAAGCACTAGGCAAGGAATTCCAAAGAGATGCAGCATAAGGCCAAAAAAAAAAGTCTCCGGTTTCTGGTATGGAGCTTGCCCAAAAAGTGGTGCGGCGACACGGCTTTTTTTTTTTTTTTACCTGATTTTTTTGCTTCAAATGTCGGCTGATGACTGCAAATGGTGCCTGACTAAACTTAGTGCAAATATATGGGAGTCCAGAGAGGCCACATAAAGCAAATTCTCGACCATAACCCAATCTAAAAACACGTTAAAATTGTGCAGCAGCAGGATTCCAGTCAAACCAGTGAGTTTGGCGGTTTTGAGACATCATCTTTCATTGAAAAAAAACCTTTTTCATTTTGCCGACGCGCATGGCTACGGCGATGCGCGCGCATACCAGAAACCGGAGACCTTTTTTTTTTGGCCTAAGCACCATTGATATATCGATATGACCCCCCCCCCCACCCCCCTCCGATTTTCCCAGACAACAAAAGTGCCCCTCTCGCGGTCATAAATGTGCCCCCTCAAGATGAAAAAACTTGCCCCCTCGAGATGACAAAAACTGTCCCTCAAACGCACACATGAAAGCATTATGATCGGGCTAACAAATTGTCTCCTTTCTAATGCAAAAGTGACCCTCAAAAACACAAATACCCCTCGCACATTAACAAGATTGTGAACCTTTCTGTAATGGTGGGCTGAGGTGATTCAACACTGTTTCATGAATGAACAAATGTATAATTGTTCTCCAAGATGTTTAGATTATTTAAAACATTGCGCAGCTACTCCAAGTTTTTTTGAATCGATCGTAAGTTTATCGCAACAAGTTTGTTGCGTTTGTCCTATGGATGGCCCAAGCTAGGCACTTTTTCACTTTTTTTTGTAAAATCGGCTGCAGGTCTTGCACAAGTACAATACTCGACAAGCTTATGCTTTTTGGAGACCTCCATCCATCCATACACAATAATTCAAATGTTAAGTAATATTATGTACATGTATGTGTTGGGAAAAATTAAAGGTTTGATTGATTGATTGATTGATTGAACTTTTGCTCTTCCCCTTGATCTGCTTTGGGTTTGAACATGCATTCCAGTGGAATTGTATACCCTACCCCACAATTTATTGTGAAGAAACTGCAGGCATGTGCCCATTTAGCCTTTCCTGACCCTTTCCGTCTTCCTTGGAATTCGGCGAGAGATAACCTCGGAATTCTCGTTTGCTTTGCAGGTTTCCATTACACACGTTTACCGGAGTTTCTGCCAGAGAGCTGTCTGCTGATCATCATCGGCCTCGTCGTGGGTGGTATCATCTCGATCAATCCCAAGGTTTTCCCAGCGAGTCTCTCCTCTGGTCTGGACACCGACCTCTTCTTTCTGTTCCTGCTGCCTCCCATCATGCTGGAGGCAGGCTACTTCATGCCCTCCAGGTGAGAGGAATGCTGGGGTGTGAATCCCAGGGTGAATGGGGGGGGGGGGGGGGTATATTCCCCCCACACACTTTTCGACCAGGGGGATGGGCTATTAAATCATCGCCCACTTTTTCGTGATGAGAAAAGAAAAATGCAGATTTCGAGTTATTTTTCGAACATCCCAGCAAACAAAATGTATTCAATAGCACTGAAAAGTGGAGAAACAAAGTACAAAAGCTTTGAAACTGCGCAGTTTTTGATGTAAGCTCAAGTATACATGTTGATATACATCGATATCCCGAAGAGCGCCCCCTAGTGTAATGTGGTGTCCAGCCTCCCCCTCCCCCTTTTTCGAATTTCCACGGCCAGGCAATTTTTGGATTTTGGTCATCCCCATGCATCCCCCCCACTCGCCGGCACAGATTTACACCACTGGAGGAATACTTACATATTACGCATATATACATGTATATACTCTGGTTCCAAGACATGACAATCATCTGATATCTCTTAATAGATCATAGGTCAAGTAAATGTCACATTCAAGAATTGAACGTGATGCAGCAAAGCACTTTCTATGTCCGAGTGCATAGGCTACTCAAGGCACAAGGCCAGGGTGACGGTAATGTCATGTCCAAATTCTGCTAAATGCACTTCAAAAATCTGTCACATTTATCAAAAATCTGTCAAATTCCCCAGAATTACTCAAAATACACTTTAAACACGTAAAATCACATGCAGATGTTGTAGTATTGCCTTAATTAAGGTTCAAAATTACATTATAAACAATCTATAGTCACATGAAGATGTTATGAAATCGCGTAAATTTCAAGCAATACGCGGTTGCGTCACGACAAAATCCAGTTCGCAGTGAACCTCAGCACCTAGAACAGCCAACCTGTCCCATTATGCAAGGGTTTGATTGAAAAGATTGAAGGCTTTTTGAACAAATGTACCATTTTTTTTCCAAATTTGCTGTTTTTCTGTCAAAACCAATTGCTACAGAACTCTGCCAGAAATCTGCCAAAAACTCTCATTCTTTCAAATTTTCTGTCAAACCCTTTTTTGGAAAAAAAATCTGTCAAAGTTAGCCGAAAATCTGCTAAAACGGTCACCATGCACAAGGCATAAATAGACATTAAATGAGGGGATAATATTAATAGTGTGATAGAGCAGTCACAAACCTGTCGTCACTGTTTTGACAAAGTGATGAATCTGTGCACACAGCTGCAAAAGCGAGTTTTGAGAAAATTGCGTTTGAAGTTGGTCGATTGGAAAGAATGTTGCAACCTGACACCACTTTTTTTCTTCCCGATTCAGTTTGCAGCAGTTTCATTCATGTTTGAAACATGAATGTTACCCAATTTGAACGAAACATGAATAAAAAAATATTTCCAAGTTTTACTTGGGAGCAATTGCTTTGCAAATTTTGAAATAGTCGTGTCACGAAGATAAGTCGGAAGGATGTTATCATACATATGAGGTGTAAAAACAACCCAAAATAGGAGTCTGAAGGGTTGAAAATGCACAAAATTGAAAAAAGATAGTTTTTTTGGGGTAAAACAGACAGTTAAAAATTTGTTTAGAGAAGTTTTTTACAAACAAACCCTCTCTTGATCTAATTTATTAACCCTAACTCCCTAGCATAATTTACTAGGAACCATACCAATTCTGGCAAATTCCAGCGCCCACATGGGAAATTGTACACACACACTGTTGGACTTAGTTTCTGGAGGTACTGGTATGCCAAACTCAATGTAAAAGACCATCAGTTTAGGGGTACTGTACCCATCCCAACAGATTTCAACAACGCCTGCTGTTGGACTTTGGTTTGGGATGGGTTGAGTTCGGTTAGGGTTAATTAAAAAAAAATATAGACTTTTTGAACCATTTATGTAGAGCACTTCCCCTTCCCCTTTCCCCAACAGAAGCTTCTGGTTTACAGAGAATGACTTTTTGCTATGGAAAACACAGGCTGTGTGCCAAGGCACTTTCATTTTGTTCGTAAAATAAATGTGCTTCCTCAAAACAAATTCACTGATATCGAAGTCGATGGCAAAGTTTTAAAAATAAATGGCGCTAATACAGTCACTAGTTTATGTTTTAGCCAACCAGGTGTTTGAATGTAAACAAAGGAGTGCTTCTGTGTCATTGATTTATTGCCAACATTTAAAGATAGAAGTTACCAATTTTGATTTGTAAAATTGATTGTTTCTGATGGCTGTCTCATTAAAATTCCCTTTACAAACACAGATGCGCAAGTAATATACTATTACTCCCACGTATGGGTTTCAAAATGAACTGTTTTTTAACTTGTGATCCCATGTACTGTACACAGAAAAACAATATGCATGATGTTTAAACACTGCTAAAATAAACCAGTTGCCTGTGTTGTCATTTTCATGATCATAAACAAGATGTAAAAAGAAACAGAATTTTAATGTTAAGAAACGGTCATGATACAGTGATTTCCCCTTTTATGCTCATGTAATTTCTCAACCAAACTGGGGTGATAGAAAATAAAAAGCACTTGTTATTTGCTGACTTAAAGAAAGAAGGATATTGTCTTTAAAGCCCATAGGATCATTTGCAGTTACCTGGAAAAGAATTTAAATGAAAGAAACCCTGCTCAAAATTAAGATGGGACTGGTATCAAATACCCTATGGAAGTATTCCCTCTTAAATGGTATTGTTCAAAAGAAAGCAAATATTGAAGGCGGTTTCAAAATAATATGCCCACAGGCACACTTTTTTTACATGCGTTAGCAACGGAATTCTGTTACGAGATCCAAAAAATTTTGCATTATGTTTCGCTTTTTCCCTCTCAAAATGTACAATAGCCTTAACAGATTAGTTATGCACGCTTAAAATATTGAGCAACGTTGAGCAAAACGTTGCACAACAAGTAAATGATTGTGGGCTTTTCCATGGTTACTTGCACGACACTTTTTAACATCCTTACCACATTCTGAATGCTGCGGTCTTCGGACTAGTCGGACTATCTATTTCCTTTGTTTGCATAAACATACCCAATATTCATGGCTTTTCCAATGATGCGAACTAAAAAGTTGTATGTTCCCTCATTTGAGCATGTAAAAACAACGCGCCAAAATGACTACTAAAACTCTATAATATATTTATCTAATTATAATTATAGCCAAAAAAAGGTTGTTTGGACAAAAAAATAAACTTGTACATAGTATGTAAAACTGTATTCCATCTGACTGGCATGTACAACTCAAATGTCTTGTTGTTCCCATGTGATACCACATTTCAGGTTGTGATGTCCACTTTTGCATAAAATTACCCCCTACCAGTACGTAATTTGAGACTAAAAGTTTAAGAATAAAACTCTTTTGAGGTATGAGAAATGATTGAAAATGAGCAATTGAAATCAGTGAGTGTGTGGTTTTGTTAGTGAAATTCAAAATGTTACAATCTACACGAATGAAGCACAACTACCCTGAACACTTACTGCATATATGCAAGGTGGTAAAAAAATGCAACCCTACAACATTTGTCTTTAAAAAAAAAGGATGGGTGGATTTTTATGTTTTGGGTATCAGATTAAACCTGAGAGCTTTTTCTTTCAAATGTGGAAAAAAATCATGAAAATAGCACTTTGGTTTTGCTGAGAAAATGCCAATTATGTAAAAGTAGTCATTTTTCATCATATACACAAATACTTCAAACTGTGAAACATTTTACCGCAAGCCTACTGTGCAATTATCCTTCATTTAAATGCAATTTCTTTAGTATTTTGACATATTTATGATGCTCAAAAGGTTTAAAATAGGACTAAAAAGGATGAGATACCTTTTCAGGTGGAAAATAAAAGGTATTTCCATCTACATGTAATTTATGTGTTCTCTTGTCATATTACGTGCCTTGTTGTTTGTAAGGATTAGGACATGGACAAAATACCTGGTAGGTACAGTAACAATCCTTACTGTGGTATTTGTGTGTGTGTGTAGAAGATGCATTTTCTCAGCAACCCAAAGTGCTATTTACATAATTTTTTTTCAGTATTTGAAAGAAAAGGCTCTCAGCTTTAATCTGATACCAAAAACATAAAAATCCACCAATCCCTTTTTTTTTTAGGGCTGCATTTTTTGTGGGGTCACCCTGTATAGTGACCACTTTCAAACAAATTTCCCATTTTGTTGTTCCAGGTCATTCTTTGATAACATCGGCACCATCCTCATGTACGCTGTCTTTGGAACTCTCTTCAACACAATGACCATCGGTTTCTCCCTGTACGGCATCTCCCAGCTGGGCTGGTTCAGCACACCGGGGCCTAACGGCACCGTACACGTAACCCTATTGGAGTGTCTGACATTCAGTAGTCTCATCTCGGCCGTGGATCCCGTCGCCGTGCTGGCCGTTTTTGAGGAGGTGCACGTGAACGAGGTGCTGTACATTTTGGTGTTTGGGGAATCCCTGCTGAACGACGCTGTCACTGTGGTAAGTAATTTGCTGAGCTAAAAGTGGTTACCAGCCAAGATGTAATTTGTTGTCTGTTGCTGGTGACTGGTTCTGTTGCTGATTCTTGCTTAGCCCATTTACTAAGGGTGCAACCCTGCAACAAAATTTCCATAGACACTAGTGCTAAATGCCCATACTTCAAAATTCTTTTTAAAATATTTAGAACGCTCACAGGTATTTAAGCTGCACAGAAAGTGATAATCAACATGTCATCTTTCAATTTTTTTTGTAAACAAATGTACCTTTTTTTTGCAAATTTGTTATGTTTTTCTGTCAAATAACAATTTTTGCAGAATTCTGCCAGAAATCTGCCAAAAAAAATCCATTCTGTCAAATTTTCTGTCAAACTCGTTTTTTAACCAAAAATCTGTCAAAGTTAGCCGAAAATCGGCTAAAACGGTCACTATGAGTGCAAAAAAAAAAAAAAAAAAAAAAAAAAATTGACCAGGGTCGACAAACAACTCATTTTGCTTGATCGCATCACAAATGTTTCATTTATTATGTATTTGCAACATGTACATTTTGTGATTCAAAACAACTGTTTCCCCGAGTTGGCGAACCATACATGTATCAGTCTGTGACATATGTTTTTTTCTTTCAAAATGACCTTTTGTGAAGAGTCTTCACTTGATTGAGTGTGAGATGAAAATTCCCACTCATGCAAGCACATTGACAATTTGATGAGGTGCGGGCAATATGGTTTATACTGGTATGCTTCAGGATTTTTTAATGGTTGAATTTTAAAGTTACAGTTCATCATTTGTAGCTATCCAAAAAGTAACTGACGTAATTATTGTTGAAAATCATACTTGGTTGAAAGATAGTAAGTGGACTAAACTCCCGGTGAAATTATTCTTTCTGGCATGCTGTCATTTTGAAGAAATCTACAATTTTTCATCAAAAACAGATTTGTTTATCGTTGTTTTCATAAATAACGCTGCTGATAGTGCGCCCTCAGTTGACGTAATACAGTCATGTTTCGCAATGCTATATTGAATATGGTACGTATTCATACGATTGACGTACAATGTTGCCACATTTTTTTTATCATCAACGTTATGTTTTGCGTAATAGCGATACATTGTTATATTTAACCATTCAAGGTCTAAAAGAAAGAAATTTGCCAAAAAGGCGAAACAAAAAGGAATATATCATTTTTTTCGCATCCCGACTGTGACTTCAGAGGCACTCAAATGGGGGCTTATATACAATGTATACCATTTCAGCACCTTGCAGACATCAGACAGACAGATCACACAGACAGACATCAGCCAAACAGATATCAGACAGACACCGTAGGATCTTTTGATATCCCAATATAATTTGTCCTATTGAAATATTCAGAAAGCATGTGAGTGGTCACAGTCAGATGAAGAAAAACATCCTGGATGTTATTACGAATGCATCAGTTGCGTGGTTAACATTGTTTGTCTAATGCCACATGTTTCATGTCGACAGTCACTCAACATGCATGATTTGAGGGCATCTGCGGGAAACATACGCTCTAATTTTCATCTTCCAAATCTTTCAGACATGAGTGATAAAATGATGGTCTTGAAATTGTAATGAACTCATTGTCAATTTTCGACAGGCGCACAAAAATCCTGATCCCGGGGGCCGATTAATTCATGACCATGCAATTTAGGCTGGCGCACATGTATGTAAAATCGTTGTTAATGCAAATATTTGAGTAGTGGTCGGATCCAAGTTCAAATAATCAAAAACGAATTAATTATTACCCTTCCTCTCTGGCTGGCAATTTCAGCAAGGCCAGCCCAGCAGTCAAATCACCGTTTTTGACTGTTGAGTGCCTCCTGCCTTCATGAATTAAAGGTAGAGTGTAGTATTTTGTCGCTTGTGCAAACGGTGAAGTTGCAAAGCAGTGAGGAGGCAAGACGTCGAAGTCGCCTTGTTGGGTTGAACATCTTTCAAGATTTCAATGTGAACTAATCAAATCGTAAAAAAATTATGCTTGCGGGATGTTAAGCCAGGGTGTTCTGCGATTTAATGGAGAAATTTCCCCAGGAATTTTCCCCCTGTTTTTGAGATTTTAATTTCTCGGACAAACATTACAGTACATGTACAGCAAACGTATACTGTTGGATGGAGTCCATATTATTGGCTTTGCTAATAGTAATCCCACGAGCGCATGCTTGAACACGAAGTAGTGCGTCTGTGTCCAACATGCCACGAGGCCATAGGCTGAGTGGTACGTGGGACTCAGAGGCTGTTGAGTGGGATTGACGAATTTATCTTCAATCAAACTTCAATCAAAAACGCACAGTAAATATGGAACACGCACGCTGCACACACAATTTCCAGTGGTTGTCGTTATTATTACGTGCATGTTGTATGGAATGGCGTGCATATCTTTAAGCACAATACTCAGAGTGCAGTATGGACCGTGGCTGTGCTACGTGGTTTAAATAGCACGGCTTGTTGCCATGGATGGGCCAATCAGGATCGAGGATTCCAATTAAGATACAAAGGAATTTAAATATGTGTTTGGGATGTATTAAAAACTCTGTTTAAGACCTGTTGGAGTCTGGATGGGTGATAATTACCCGAGGCGAATACCAAACCAAGCACATATTTATTCCCATTCATAAATACCTTTTAAATAATCTTTTCAGTTCAAAAATCAAAACAAGTCAAAAACTAGACGTTGCCAACCATTTTGTTCAACAGTTTTACTTCATGTTTTATGAAATTAACACCCCTCTGACTATAATATGGAATGCCCCTTTACAAATTCCTGACCTCATAAGGAGATTGGCGTGCGCGTCGTGCGTACTGCGCGATGTCGCGCAAAATGCAGCTCGGCTGGTGTTGTGTGAATTTCGGACTATGAAATGTTGATTCACTGATAGCATTGCACGTGCCTACGTGAGGAATGTGAACGTTCAACCAATGAAACGTTAAAAGGCACCGGATTTCATGGGAGTCCAAATTTCATGTGACACTGGAAAAGTGTTTAAGACCAGCCAGCCATGTCTTTATCATCCGTTTAAGACCGGCCACGTGACGGGCTCTCAACCAATGGGAATGGGTAAACTGTATTTATGAATTAAAGATAATAGTAGTAATCACTTTGTGTTTTTCAAGGTCCTCTACCGGATGTTTGAATCCTTCAATGCCATCGGTGCGGATAATCTGATGGCCATCGACATCGTCGGTGGCTTCTTCTCCTTCTTCGTGGTCGCCATTGGTGGGGTGCTGATTGGACTTATGTATGGCTTTCTGACGTCGCTGCTCACCCGCCTGACTCACAAGGCGCGAGTCATCGAGCCCATCTTCGTCTTTGCCATGGCCTACATGGCGTACCTCACTGCCGAGATGTTCCGACTTTCTTCGATTTTGTCGTAAGTCCGATTTAAGTAGTCTGTCGTCCAATTAAACATGTACCATGGAATGGGGTAACTTTGGCCTATATTTTAGATAAAAGTGAATAGAAATCTCTGTAAAACAAAATGTCTCCAGCAAATTTATATAATTAGTTTGCAACTAATTATATGCAACTGCAAATTTAATGCCTTAGTGGATTTGAAGTGGGTAATTAAGTTAGGTAAAATTTTACGATGGCAAAGTTTTTGTGTGTGTTAATATTGGTCAATTAACAGAATACTGATATCTTAAAGTAAACAAGGTACCGGTATAAAAGGCAGAAAGACAGACACACGCAAAACACAAAGCTATTTTCCTGGAAAATTCTGGGGGCGTTATACCGTAAACACAAAATGAAAATTCTCGGCCTAGCATTGATCATGTTGATGTATAGCATTTTGTGTGTCCTTATGATCTCTGTAAGCATGTGAACTCTGTGTCTATAAATCTTACTGCTGTCAGAGCTGCATTTGTGAAGATCAATGGTTGGATTAGCCGACTACCAGCAAAGTTATTATGTCAATGTTTAGTTGATGCCATTTTAAGCTCGTTGGCTGCCCATAATGCATAGGCCAGACTATTTGAAATGTCATTTTATTACCAAGAAAAAAATATCTTGTTACACTTAGAGCAATGAAAATTGCTCTGCATATGTCAGTACAGATTTGATTGTAGGTGCATGCACCGATATATATTTAAATGCCTAATTATTACAATATAACACAATTTTGTCATCAAGATTTTTGATAACCCAAAATTGGGTCTTCCACATTGCTTCCGGGCCAATTTCATAGAGCTGCTTAAGCACAGAATTTGCTTAAGCACAAAAAAACCTTGCTTGATATAATCAGGTTACCGGCCCAAACGCCATGCGATGTACATTGCTTATGACTGGTATTTAGCTGTTCTTTACTTAGCATAAGATGTTTCACTTGTTTTCTTAAGCTTCACAAAACAAGGGGAAAGGTCAATTTTTTTGTAAATGTTGGTTTCGAATATCTGGTTTTTTAAATCTAAACCGAATAGTTGAATTCCAACTTAATTATAAAATTTTTTTTCTCCAGCCACTACTTTGAAATTGATTTTACACACACATGGCAAATTGGTCACTCAGAAAGTAAAGCTATCAAATATTTCTGTGCGCTTGTGAGCAGTTTCAAAAGCGAACTGGCTTATTCACTAGTGTAAGTGCACTCTGAATTTTCGGAGCAATTTTCGTCTGCTGTGCAAAACTAGACGGAGTCGTTCTTCTTGCAGGATTGTCTTTTGTGCCATCTTCATGAAGCCCTACGTGGAGGCCAACATCTCCCAGAAGTCCCACACCACCATCAAGTACTTCTTGAAGATGTTGAGCAGCATCAGCGAGACCATCATTTTCATCTTTCTTGGCGTCACAACGCTGGTGGACCCCAGTCAGCATAAATGGAACACCGTCTTTGTCATCTCCACACTCGTCTTCTGTCTGCTTTACAGAAGTATTGGTAAGTTGTATGTGGTGGATCACAACTGCATCACAAGTCCACGGTATGAAGTCAGTCCACATGTCCAGTCATAAAATGGCATGTTAATTCTCGCGTGCTGCAGCCGAAAGCTTCTGAAGGAAAGCAGGATCACCCCTGATGTTTTTGCACACCTCCTCGATCGTGTTTTGCGCAAAACGATCGAGAAGGTGTGCAATGACATCAGGGGTGATCCTACATTCCTTCAGAAACTTCCAGCCGCAGCGCGCGCCTTCCGCCACGGTCTCCAGCGCTGCATCAACATTGGAGGACGCCAAGTCGAAAGTGGCAGATTCTGAAAGAGAGTAATTTTTCTTATATGGCATTTAAATTTTACCCTCTTGCGCAAAGCTGATGAAATTCGCTCCATTCCGGTACAATTTGTTATGCCTTGTTTACAATGACCTGAAATTTTGGTGGAATTCCATTGACAAACAACAGAGTTATTTAGGATCAAAAGTAGGATACATCGTTGTACATGTACTATTAAACCTGGTTCATTAGTTTTCACTAGAGTAAAAATGGGATGCCTTCTGACTGTCATGGACGACATCCATACACGAACCTTGTCCAAAGCAGCTAAACAGCAATGGTGCCATAGAAATCCTGTTGACTGCAGTCACTGCTTATGGTCACAGTGAGAAAAAAGGGTGGGAATCGCAGTAAAGTGGGTTGCCCAGGGACACCTTCAAATATGTCCAATCAGCAATTGTGTAATAATTGATCTTCCAGGTGTCATTATGCAAACCTGGGTGGCCAACACCTTCCGTCTGGCTCGCATCTGCAGGACAGAGCAGTTCATCATGGCGTACGGTGGCCTGCGGGGCGCCATCGCCTTCTCACTGGTTGCCTTACTATGCAAAGAGACTGTCCCGAGTAAACAAATTCTCTTCACGGCGTGCATTGTGGTCATCTTGTTCACTGTCTTCATTCAGGTAAGGGGTGGATGAGGAACTCGATGAAGAATTCGTCACCGTTTTCATGAAGAGCCACACATAATGTGGATTTTGAAGAAAAAGCGTTTTTAGGATAATCGCTAAAGAAGTTTCTCCTATTTTAAAACTGCAAAAAATACTACTTTGCAACAATTTTTGCTGTAAGGAAACCTTCACATGATTCTGTGAAAGCTGAATTTTTACGTGAACCCAGTAATTAGAATGAATGCAGTAGTTAATTAGTGAAAATTAGTGAAAAAAAATTAGTGAAGATATGTGTCTCTACGTGAAAATAAAAATTCAAGTTTCTTACATTTTGGCCCTTCCTCTATTGTTGTGTAGTATTTTTTTGCCTTCAAATCAAGCTCTGGAGCTCAGTCAAGTGGATGGAATAAAGCCGTCAGTGGACAAAAAGATTTGGCACATGACATTTTTAAACTACCATATCTCAGAGACAAAATATGCACAAATTATGTTTTCGTCACCTTTGTTTAAATATTTTAATACCATTAAACTGAATTTTTGAAATACGCTCAACAAGTAGGTGAAAATTGCTGTCAAAAGCGGGTTTCCGTCTTTTTGCACCACCCTGTTCAATTATATGTGATTGGCAATATGGGCCATGCCAAGATTTTAAGTTGCCATCAAATGACAACTCTAAAAGGAACCCAAACATTCCTTAAAAGCAGTGAATTAGAAACTTAACAACTTCACCAAAACAAAATTATATTTTGTTCCTCCTGTACTTCATATTATTTGCTCTGAATTTTATTCATTACTTCAGACAATTTAAAGATAAACTATAAATGCCTTTTTGGTGTGGCACCCAAAAAATGAATTTTCAAATTGGATTTGGAAATTTTCTAGCATTACATTGCTCATCGCGTAGCTAGGATCAGACCAGGCGAACACAAAACATGTGATTCCACAATTAACATACAGTAACATCACTTGATATGAATATATTTATAGCATTTCGGTCAAAACTTTCTGAACAGGAGCGTGCCATTTAAAAACCACTTTTTAAAAACTGTATAAAAGGCCTGCAAATGCAAACAAGCAAATTTATTTGTTACATGACATTCCTTTGAAATTCTTTCAGAGAGAAAATCAAAAGTTTGAAAAAAGCATGTATATACAAGCTTTATTAAATTGAAAAGGAAAGTTCAAGACTTTCTTTGTAATCTATTTGTATTTATAATATGATTTTTCTTTTGTTTCAGTTCATTTTTCATTCACTTCAACACTGAATGTTCAATTTTGTGTGTGTAATTCTTCACAACTAGGGAACAACAATCAAACCACTCGTGGACAAGCTGAAAGTGAAGAGGGCAACAAAGCACAAACCTTCCATGAACGAGGAAATATTTGAACGGGTGAGTCAGTGTTGACATAGCACCTGACTTGTCTCCATGTAGATGCATTGGTACATTTTCAGTCTCGGTTAAAGGTACAGTCCATCATTTGCAGCTATCCAAAAAGTAACTGACGTAATTATTGTTGGAAAGCTTACTTGGTTTGGAGATAGTAAGGGGACTAAACTCCCTGTGAAATTATTCTTTCTGGCAAGCTGTCGTTTTGAAGAAATCAATGAAAGAAGGCCTTTGGCCAACGATGCGTCTAAAGACATATCGTTGGAAATGTCTGTTAGTAGTTGTTTTTTATTCAGCAAAGGGCACGCAAGCGTTGACGTGATGCACACGCATGCCCAGTTGCTATAATTCATCGGTTCAGCGCGCGACATCCTGAGCTGCAGCGGCTGAATGAGAATGAGTCTCGGACACTGAATTCAGGCTCAATTCAAAACATGACTCGGCAACTTTTGATTTGAAATCAAGATCCTGGAATGTTGCTTTCTCAGAATATACAACATTCACTGAGCTAAAACTTCATCATGTTAGTTGTTCAGCACCCTTCTTTAGATTTTGAGCACTTTTGTTACCTTAAACGAACAAAATGCAAACGTTACAAATGATGGACGCTACCTTTAATAGATAAGGAAATTCTTGTTTTGTATCATGTGTACATACACCAGACGGGTGTCAAGCGGATCTGGTAAGTTTTTATTTCTGAGTTTAATGTGGTTTTTATACACAATGGCAGAAGTTAAAAATTAATCGTCAGTTGCATCGTCATGGCAGAAATAAAAAATTAATCATCAGTTACATCGTCATGGCTGAAGTTAAAAATTAATCGTCAGTTGCATCGTCATGGCAGAAATTAAAAATTAATTGTTAGTTGCATCGTCATGGCACAAGTTGAAAATTAATCGTCAGTTGCATCGTCGTGGCAGAAATAAAAAATTAATCGTCAATTGCATCGTCATGGCATAAGTTAAAAATTTATTCACGCTGCAACGTCAGCTGAATCGTCATGGCTGAAGTTAAAAATTAATTCATGCGCATCATCAGTTGCATGTTTCATTAGGTAGCAAGTTAATTTTGATGGGTGGGGAGGGGGTGTTACACGTTAAAAAAAAGGGCACATTGGTTAAAAAAAAACGGGGCACTTGGAGTCGTTCCTCTCTCTTTTGTTTTAACTGTTCTTTCAATTTAACCATTGCATTATTGTCACACAAATCTGTTTTTAAAGAGCAACTTTTTTGTAATGCAATCCTTGAAAATTCACCTTTATGTATCATCTATCAGTTTTTTCAATTTTCGGTTTGCTATTTTCAAGGGTATTTTGGTGCCGTTGTTATTTGTTATTTGTATTCTTATTTCCATATTCATGAGCAAAAGTGTGATGTCATTTCAGGCACAAACCTCACTGTTACAACTAGTTTCAGCTCCAAAAGTTGCCCCAATTTTGGATATTTCGTTGTCGTAACTTTTCTTTTCTTTAGTGATTTGTTGTTGTGTCAGTACGTGGCAGTAAGCTAATGAGCAAGCTTTTCTCAAAAATGTTTTCAATGAGCAAATTTTTCTTTTCACAAGTTGAACAGAAAACAACAAAACTGAACAGTGTCTTCCTTAAATGACATCACAGCATAGAAACAGCATCTCAGTTGTCTGGGAAAGCATCTTAAATTTGAAATGTTTAAAGAAGTGCAGTTTTTAATAAAATTAACCAAAAAGGGATGTTGAATAGTTTTCATACATTTAAGAGAAGTAGAAAGTTGAACAAAATAAAAAAGTCATTGCAGGGACCCTTTTAATGCATCAGCCTAGTTTTGTCTTATATATGTTGGTAATAATGGACAAGTTTTCTTTGATCAACGTAAGTTCTCCCTTTCTGTTTTCCCACTAGCTTGGTGATCATCTCATGGTTGGCATTGAGGAGATTCTAGGCCAGTACGGACACCATCACTGGCGTGACAAGTATGTAGAAAAATAGTCTCTTGATCTCCAACCAGTGATTTAGTGTTAATTTGCATGCAGAGTTTGTACAGCAAAACAGCCTTTCTGAGGTGGAGTTGGATAACGTCACTCAAAGATGCGTGCTCTGTGCTCTTCACAAAATAGATTTTTCCTAAAGCTCGACGCACTCCCTTCCGATTTTACCGGTTCCCCAGATCATCAGGCAATCGTTCAGAGGTGTGCGCTGAAAATTCGGATCAATCTGACCGTATACCAGGCGACTGGATGTTTTTTTCACATCTGATTTTTACTAGATCCAATTTCACAGGAAGCAATATTTATGTTGACCAATCAGATTCAGGAATGAAGTCGCATGGTTGTCATCATGTGACCAACAAAAAGTGGCTCATGGTCGCACTCCAATAGAGTCTGCGTGTTGATTCATATGTAGAACAGCTAAGTTACGGAGTGTTCTAAACAGTGGCTAAAATTGTACGTGAAACCATCAAAGAAACATGAGCCAGTCTTTGTGTGCATATGGAATTGTATTGCATTGGCTGGCATCATATGGTCTCCAATCAGCTGCATAGTAAATGGTATGGTATAGGCTGAACATGTATGAGTATATGAATACCAAATTGACTGATTTGCATTTTGTGCTTTCTAAAGCATTTTATTGTGTTCCGTGCGTGAGTAATAAATTCACCTTGTGGCTATTGTCCTTGTTCATGGCCAGATGGTATTTTAAAGCCCTGTTTATGATTTACATGTATTATAATAATTTGTGATTCATCGTTCAGTTCAATCTACTTTGCAGATTCCAGGAAATATATGGTAATGTCAGGGGTGGCTTTCTCAAATTTTAGTGAAGAAGGGATCAGGTTATTATTCTTTAAAATTGACGGTGAAAATTGAACATTTTCATCATCAGCTCTCTCTACATTTGTGCTTGTGCACCCACTCTTGTTTTACTATACTCCCAAGGACAATGCTTTGTGTTTTCTATTGTCCCTGTAAGTTATTACTCTCCCATAGACTAAGCACACGAACCTACTAAAGAGGACCGTTCTGGACAAAAGACCCAACTCCCGAGGACTGAAAGGATCTGTTGTTCTCCCTTTGTGTGTCTGTCCTCGGGGGGTTATGCACAATACGTACATTCTTGGTTACAGTGGTTACATAACCAGAAAGACTATAAAAAGGCGTATAAGATCATTCGCATTTACCTCAAAAGTAACCAAATTATTGTCAAAAAAGCTTACTTTGACTAAAGATTGTACTGGAGCTACAACACCCCATGTAATTATTTTGTCTGGCTTGCTGTCATTTAGAAGAAATCAAGAAATGTAGGTGATTTCCAATGATCAGTCGATTGATTGATTTTTTTTTAAATAAAGAGTGCTCTGGACAAAAGCGTGTTTTGTGATCAAACCCTGTGCATGGTTTTGCACTGTTTTTCTCAAAAAGTGTTATATCCACTGATATGAAAGTGGAACAGGTTGAACAGGTCATCTTAAGATTTTGGGTTTTATTATCATTGAATACAAAAAAAATTCATGAAAAATAAATGATACTACATGTATATGCCTTTAAAATAAAATCATTCAAATGATGATCGTAATACTTAAGTTATATATCACTTGAAGCTTTGCATGGCAGATGACAAAAATAGACAAAAATTGCGGGTAACACCATGTGGAAAGAAATGTCTTCTTGGAAGAAGGGGGTTTCTGAAAAGAACCCGTTGGTTGAGTGTAGAACTTGATGTTTCGGACAGTGTGCTCTGTCCGTTTTCAGGAGGGTGAAAATTTTTCAGAATATTTTTCAATTATTGTTACCATTCACATCCTTTCTTCATTTCGTTCATAATTTTTTTTTTTTGGTGAACAGATGGGAACACCTCAACAAGAGGTTCATTGAACCAATGCTCTTGCACGAGCGGAGGAAATTGGGCGATCCCAAAATCTTGGAAGTCTTCAGTAAGCTGAATGAGAAAGACGCCAAGGATTACATCAAATCGCACGGTTCCTTCATCCAATTACAGTCCAACCAGTCCCTATCCAACATTCTGCGCACTCAGTCGTCGGATATGCTGTGCACAGGCTCAGCCCCTTTCAGGTACAGGTAGGACGTGTATCTACTAACAATTCTAAGTGGAAAGATAGATAGATACCGATAGATAGATAGATAGATAGATAGCTATGTACATGAAGGCTAAAGTGGTGTTGCTAATACATTATCATGATATGCAGCTTCCGTTTTACCAAATGCTGTGCACCCATGGCCCCTTAACCCTAACCGCCCTGAATCCTTCAAAATCCTCTTTACCAAAGTGGAGGAATTTGGAGGATTGAGGTTACATGGCAAAAGTGCGTTACTAATTTCGTAGGATGCACTTTGTCAAGGTCTTGGGCCGGACCTTGTGTTGTTTTTGCTCAGCCATGCATAAATATAGGCCTGCATTATGCTTGAAATCCTCGGTACTGCTCCAGGATGTCACTGGCCAAGCCTCAACATATTGACAGTCACTGCCGCAGGATTTTGCAGGATTCAGGCAGTGGTCAACCCTCCACGGACCATATTCAAGAAATAATAAATGAATATATGCCATTTTTCCATGAGGCCAATAGGAGGATTTTGCAGGATTGAGGCTACATCCTAGCAAAAAGGCCCAGGGGGTTTGGGTGAAAGGGTTAATCCTCTTCTCGCTTTTCAAGAAAGATTGGTTTAAGGCCCCGGAAAATGTTGGATTCTGGATGCACTGTGATGAAATATACTGAAGTATATACTTAAACTTATAAAACCCGAAAGGATGTTTTTTGGTTCAAGTTAAAACAAAATGGTTCCACTGGAAGCGGATGAATTTCTGTTCAAAAAAATATTCACATAGGCCTAAACGATGTAGCTCTCAATATATTTGCAGTGTTATTTGTTTGTTACAGGGAATGGCAAATATAAAAGACTAACAGACCAAATGCATCTTTATGTTTATGATCGATAGGTGGCAAGTTTGGGGCTAGACAAGGATTTATCGGTCTACTGAGTTTTTATGAGACAAAACTTGCAGGGGGTAAAATATGAATAGTTTTTTTATTAAAACGAAACTACACTGGAATTGGCGTAAAGCATGACTAGTTTCAATGACAGCCCGTCCCACTCCTATTAGGTTGGGATGTGTGTGTGTGAACATTTGTGAATGTTGAGTACAGAATGCTAGCAATGTCACTGGAACTTTTTAATGAAAAGAAAAACCTTCAGGGGACAGGTATGAACATTTGCCCCTATTGAAAGATCGAATGAAAAAAAGATCCTGGAAGGCATAATCAACTTTGCCACCATTGTCATGGCCGAGGTTATTGCTTTCGGGTCAAAGCTTCCATCATGGCGGAAATATCATAGACATGTCCTGATTTTAGATACATTGAGAGAAATGTCAATTCTTCACTCGTAGCAGCGCAATTTCATCGTCGTAGAACACTGCTGGCTGGAACACATTTTTGCCCAGGAGTAGGGGGTGCTGAAGCATATTCCAGCACCCCAATCCAAAAAGTTGGGGGTGCTGCAGCACCCACAGCACCCCTCGTTCCCGCGGGCTTGGACTCCCACGTGCCCATCAGACTTCATTAGAAAGTTCAGCCCGTGTGGATAAACGAGCATGTGATGGTGACATACTCGATTATCCACGGAATTTATCCGGAGATCGTTGCTCGCGTTCAACTTTGCTGATGGTTCGGCTCACTGCAGTCTGCATTACCGAACATCGATAGGCTTTAAGATCCTGTTAGCTCGATGGTCGAGTGGTAAGACGTCTACACTAGAAAGCATGAGGTTGTGGGTTTGAGTCCCACCCGAGTGATTTTTTTTTTCACTCGGGAGGTAACACACTGAGTATACAGTGTTTATTTGTCGGTGAAGGGCAAAACCTAGTTTGAGGGGCAAAACCTTATTCGATTGAGGATTTAAGAACTCAAATATTTACCAAGTTATGCAAAACAAATTTGTTTTCTTCTTTTTTTGGTCTTTTTTGTCCAGTGCTCTTCCTGTTAACGACAGCGTCCCGTGCCTGGATATGCAACAAATGGGGACGAACGTTCCCACGAAACTTTTCAAAGAGTCTTCCTCGCATCACCTTGACCTTCTAGCGGACAATATGTACAAGCCGCAAAGACATGTAAGCACACTCTACATTTTGTCGTCTGCTGTGATGTGCCCAAGGGCATCAAATGTCACCCAAGGCGAAGGCATTATTTTCCCCCAAGGGTTGTCATAAATGAACTCCTGAAATATCAGGTCATCATCATACATCAGGTAGCCATATATACACAATGGAAATCTGTTTGAGAAGTCATAGGATGTACGTGAATTGTTTTTGTTTTGCTGAAAGAACACACACCTTTATTGTGGTCCGTGGACAGAACTTTAAAACGGTGGTTGTGTTTTAAATTAACTGTAACTTGTAAAGTACATGAGTGATTTGAATGATTCTTGTACTAAAAGAAAGCCTATGAATTGGGCCTTCATATCCTAGATGTTGAAAGTGCTACATGCAGAACTTCACTAAAATGATGGTCCTGACATTTGGGTTTCCTTTTTTTTTTACTCAACTTGTATAAAAAATGGTTCTGCTTGAGGAGGAAAAAACTTAACCATTGACATTTGTGGACTTGTTTTACAGAACAACCATCGCAGGTCACGGCACATGGACGTCGATATCCAGGAACCAACGAACCTGATGCATCGCAGCATGAAGATCCAGCTGCGTCGGATCTCCCAGAAGCAGGGCATGAGACACGGCAGGGGCACCAACCCGCTGCTCAACTTGGCCCTGAAAAATAGCAGCAGCGACAAGCACCTCGCTAGGCGTCATCATCTGGAGCAGAACCATAACAAAGAACCTGGTAGGTTTTGTTACGAAAAGAACAAGATTGGCTGCAGAAGAGTGAGCCGTTTCCAAAAATATTTAATTCCCTAAAAAACCATTTGGACTTGATTGTTAGGTGTTTTGTATACACTCAGCCATGGACGTCAATCCTGGGGAGGACATTCCCCCCTCCACCCACCTCCCCCCACATTGTGATGGGTGGGGGACACAATATCAAATGTCCCCCCAGATTTTTGAACTTGTGCCTCATTTACAGGGCCCTATTATGTACTACGATCTTTTGCTAAGAAAATATTGGTTAAATTTGTCAGAAATTGCTTCAGATTGCATCACTGAGCTTTTAGAATCCAAAATTTTTTAGGGGCCCTGAAGCGGGCCCCGAACCCCACGCCTTTAGTGGAGAATGTAACAGCTTATTCAATGACTTCAACCTCGAAAATGATGTTTAAGTTACTATCTTTTGCTAAGAAAATATTGGTTGAAGTGGGCTGAAATTGCCTCAGATCACACCACAGAGCATCTAGCATTCAAATATTTTTGAGGCCTTTAAGTGGGCACCGAACCCTACACTGTAAAGGCTTCGCGCTCGCATTAGTTCTTATCAAGGTTTATATCCCGCCCTTTTGAGACGCGATTGATGCCCCTCCACTCGGCATCAATTGAATAAGCCATTTGCGAATAACCTATACCCTTTGCGAGTTACATTTGAATAACATCTGGTAGACTGACTTGTTTTAACTTTGAATTCTCCAGACCAAAGACACTGTTGCTAATGACATCATTCGGGGCATGCTCTTGCATAATTACCTAAGAGATGCTTGAGAATGGCACAAAGACACCAGACCATGCCGGAGCTGGGGGTTGCTAGCGTAAGGCTTGCCCCGAATCACATGATATAGCAACAGTCTCTTTGGTCTGGAGAATTCAAAGTTTGCCAAGCATTATTCAATGGCACAGCTTTAAATGAAAGATGGATGTTTCCGTCATCCTTCTTAAAATGTTTCCCATCTCTCCTGTGCAGAGAACCTCCCCGCATCGGCTGAGCATCCCGCTGTGATTGTGACCTTACAAGAAGAAGACGAAGACGAGGGCATTACATTCAGCGCCAAGGAAAGCTTCGACGAAGCTGACGCTGGCATAGACAGTAAGTGTTGATTTCTCCAAATTAATACCCTTTGCTCACTATGCTGATCTGATTGGAAGATTTCATTTTTAAATGTTTGAAAATGGTGCATGATACCTTTCAGCTTTACTAAGAGACATCTCATTATATATATAAATATCCAGGATAAATTGCGAAATTGCAAGATTCTTGACAACTTTTTCATAATCTTCCCTCATACTTTTGCTAACTCAATGAACAACAATACAATATTTTACATCTGAAGCAGGTCAATGAAAACCTAAGCTGTTGGAGTTTCAAACTAGGTTTTGCCCTTCACCGACGTATTAACACTGTATACTCAGTGTGTTACCTCCCGAGTGAAAGTTGGAAAAAATTCCATCTTATGAACTGTTGGAGTTTCAGCTCAGTAGATATACTTTTTCAGAAAACTGTTAAGATACATCTTCATTTTTCTCGACGAATAAGCAAAGTTTCCATTAAAAGCCCTCCATTAAAAACTCTCCCTTACGATCACAGTTTGTTACTTTAGAAAGTAATTATCATTCATGGATACGTAACTGATTGCAAACTCGACTAAATTTGGTCAATTGGGAGCAGTTTTTGAAAAAAAAAACAGGTTTTTTTTGTCTTGATGGTTGAGTCCTAATCATCGCAAGGAAATAATGGTTACTTCTCTTTTCTCAAAGATTTGATAATGTTATTTACTAACATCAAGTAGAATCTGTCATAATATTCCAGCAGTTTTGATTTTTGAAAGTTTGCGTATGCTGTCCATTACATTCAAGGATTGATATTCATCTAGATGCTTTTTTCTCCTGACAGCTCAGCACGGAAACTTTGCCAAGGATGATGGATGTACGGTGATATAAAAAAAATAAAATCCTGTAAAATCAATTACTCTCTGGAAAAACAAAAACATTAAAATCAAACCGATGAAAAGAAATTACTCCAAATGGAAGTCAAACAAGGTTTTCAGTCGGTGATTTCGTGGATTTCTTTAAAACAGCTCTACAGGCTGCTAGAGGGGGATATGAACCCATGACTCACTTTTGAGAGGTGCAGCTTATTTCACGAAACATACGCAATGGCATAAAGCCGGCCTCAGGTCGGCCTTGCGATGACACGGATCAGTGGGTGACTGACTTTATAGGATCAAGCTGTGCCTGAGCTACGACCCTTGGGAACATTTCAGTCCCCGATTTTTTGTAACCTGAGTATGACTGCGACAATATTAAGACGATCAGCATCAGTTGGCGCTCACAAAAATAAACAGTTCTAATCAAAAGAGTAGTTATTTATCCTCGTCCAAGATGTTTAGATTATTTAAAATGTTGCGCAACTACGCCAAGTTTCGTGAAATCGATCGTAAGTTTATGGCGCAGCTGCGCAACAAATTTGTTGCGTAAGTCCTACGCATGACGCCAGCTACGCACTTGTTCGTGAAATCGGCTGCAGATGTGTTTACCACTGCCTATTGAGCATTTTGGTGTTCCAAATTCGGCGATCAGAGACGTAGTTGTGTTTTACAGGTCACCCGATTCTCTCCTCCCTGCAAGAATTTCTGTTCCGTTTCATCGTGTGTAGATACTAGACAGGAATGCAGAAGCGTTTTGTGGTCGTGCATTGTCAATCCTAATATATTGATTGATTGATTGATTGATTAATTAATTGATAACTTTATTTGTTTGTTTATAGACGTATTGAGTGATACTGGAAATTGATATTGGTTGGATCTGACGTGCTGTAGATTTAACTTTAGTTCCTGATTTTTTCCCCTCTTTTGATGTGATTTGTTCATTTGATATTTTCCTACCTCCATTAAATTTTCCTCCTTTTTTCTTTTTTGTCTTTCTTTTCCGTTTTTAACTAAATGTTCCATGGTGCAATAAAACTGTGGGCTTTAACCAGTTTTCGCACCGGCATTATTTGAACATTGACCGGACCCAGGAGCGGGATTGTTTTTCACGAAGCTCGATGCAAAACGGGTTCAGGACATCATCTGCTGGTAGCACAACCTCAACCTGAGTTTGTCGAAGATTTGTCGAAGAGTGTCAGAAAAGCAACTTTAAATAGACATGTCGAACAGTTGCACTCTAAATTATGCACAAATGTTTCAAACAAAGTATGAAACAATGTACAAATGAAGGCTTTTACATGTTTTGTACCTTTTCCTGTGTCTGTCCATGTATGTGTGAACATTTCTAACCCATGTGTGTTCCTTTTGTCCCCCTTGAATTTAGATTTCGCATTTTTACATGTAGTCCCAGGTATGGTATATGGACTAACAACGTGAATGAAACCGCATGTCTACTTCTTCTCATTCTCAAATTCCAAATTGCAAACCACAAACATGTTATCATCAGACTGGTTCCCATTTGACCCAGCATATCCCACTCATGTCATTCGGACCGACATTTTACTCAATAAAAGTTGATGAACGTACAGCGAAAATTGACCAGTACAATTTAAGTACCATACCAGTAACCTCCTTCCCGCCCCCCCCCCCCAAAAAAACCCCACACACCAAAAGAATAGTTAAGTCTGTACCGTAGCTTATTGGCCCATTGCTAGCAAGCGTTTATCTCTTGTTTCTGTGAATTTCAACAACTGAGAATATTTCTATTCCTCCTGGATGGGATGCCAGTTCATCGCAGATATAAGTCTGTCACGAGCTAATATGGCCCAGAGCCGAAATTTGCCATATTCTGCATCAAAATCTCTAATAACCTGAAATGTACCGTTGCTGAAATATCACTTCTAGGTGTACATTTTTAAGGATTTGAAAGGGTGCCATAATTTTGACACCAGTATTTCATTGGGCTTTTCGTTCCACAAATTGGGGTTGGCGCAATCACTAACATTAAAGTGGCATTCACATCCTGACCAGTCGTTTTGACTAGCTCCATATCTAGACCACATGTCATATCATCATTGCCATTGATTATCAAGGTTTCCATTCAAGATGGTTCATCGAGGTATTTCCTGGAACCAAGTTGTAAAAACCTGTTTAAAGCATGTCAGCCTTTCAGTCTACAGCGCATCCCAGAATTCCCGCAAAATGTTTTGCAAGGCTCTAGCGTTGCCATGGTACATACCGCCATTATTTTATACCATTTTAAAGCTTATCCCTGGTAAGTATTGGTTTGGTTTTCTAAAGGTTTTTGAAATGATTCATGTTCAAAAAAAGGCATGTCAAAAACAAACTCAACCGATTTCAAGGAAAATCAGTCATGCACATTTTTTCTAATGTGGAAATGGTTCATCATGTTTATGACGTAACGATCTCGTTGCCTTTTACTTTTTGTGTTTTCTATTCTTTTTGATTCACGTAGACTTCACCATAAATCATGTGAATTCACAATATTGTTCTTCGTTTCAAGTTCAATTTTGAAATTCACGTGCAAGCATATACCTATTCAAAAAGCAAGCTCAAAGTATGACTCGAGTTTGCATACAGCATCATCTATTTCCTTCGAAAATCTGTTGAGTTTGTTTTCGACATGCCTTTATTTGAACATGAATAATTTAAAAACTTTTTTAAATATCAAACCAATACTCGCCAGGGATACAGTTCAGATTCCAAGCTTTAAAATGGTGTAAAAATATTGGCGGTACGTGTTTCCATGCCGACGCTAGAGCCTTGCAAAAAATATTGCAGGGTATTTTGGGATGCGCTGTAGATTGTTGTAATGCATGATCCCTTATAAGACTTGCTTGGAATGATAACACCCAAAATTGAAAAACCAACAAGTAATTGTTTTTCTTTCTTTTTGGTGACAGAAGGTTAACTCATGCTTTTTGTTAAACATGCAGAATCAACAGACGAGATTGTCCAGACAGCTTGCGAGAAAACCTTGCCGTGGAAAACGGAAAACAATCCGGAGGTCTCCGTCCGAGCCGAGATAAACCCCCATCAGTTTGTGATGGAGTTTCCCCAGAGCCCCCGGAAAGTCCCCCCAGCCAAGCCCCTCGTCTCTCCGTCAGACAGCACCACGGATGATTCGCTGCCTCTGACTGCTGCCGAACAGTTGCCATGGAAATCCGGCGGTGAGACATCGCCCTCATCGCACGGTTCGTTGGATGTTGGGGACGTAAAGTTCGAAGGCACAGGCAGTACTAAACAGGACGTGGAAACAGATGACAGCGTAGAGGATAGACCTCTTGAAGGTGCAGACCGCGAAACAAGATTATGAGCAGCGAGTGCAATTTCCTTGTTTGAAGGAGATGCGAAATCAATTTAATCATTCCTTCCTTCTTCCTCATCTGGAGTATATCTTAAGCATAACTGGGAACAGTCTCTGAAAGAAAATTCTCTACCAATTCTAAAATTGAGAATTTACACCATTTGCATTAGTGGGGGCCGTGGTACAATGGTTACGGTGTTCAACTCGTGTGCCGTGGTACACAGGTTCGAATCCTGACAGGGAACATGGTCATTGTGCTCTTGAGCAAGGCACTTTACCATTATTGCTTCACGGTCCTTCGGATGGGACGTAAAGCCGTAGGTCCCGTGTGTTGTGTAATGCACGTTAAAGAACCCAGTAACACTTCTCACTAAGAGAAGGGGTTTGCCCTGGTGTTTCTAGCAGTGGCTGCATTATGCGCTGCAGCACCTTGTATACCCTTTATAAAGGGGCTACATAATGGGTCTCATATTTTTCATAAACTTCATTTACCTGTTTTTAAAAATAGACATACATACCAGTGCCTTGAGTACCTAATTGTTGGTAGATACGTGCGCTTTATAAGACGCCGGTATTGGTATTATTATTATTAATGGAAATTGTGATACGTCATGTACACTAAGGAAAGTAATAATTTTGCAGACATTTTGTATCCAATCCCCCCTTCTAATCCTGAAAATCAGTGACAGATTTTAGGTTTGCTGTGAAATGACCCCGAGTGAATACTTCAGAAATATTGTAGATAACATTGCAACAAGGGCGTCAATCGCTTCTCAAAGTGTTTGGGGGGGGGGGGGGGAGGTACCTTGATCAGAGCGTGAAGCTCAAAGCCCTAACAGTGTGGGGTTCTCGACGCTCTGTGGTGCAATCTTAGGCAATTTCTGACCACTTTAACCTATTTCCTTTCAAGCAAAAGATCATCATTTAAACATCATGTTCGAGTTTGTAGTCATTGAATCAGCTATTCTGAGCTATAGAATCAAATGTGGGCTACAATTTATATTTGGGGATGAAAAAAAGTGTGGGGGGGGGCAATCTATATGATATCCCCCCCCCCCCACTTTAAAAAATGTGGGGGGGGGGGGGGGGGAGGTCGGGAGGGACATGTCCCCCCGTCCCCACCTATGGACGCCCATGTATTGCAAGTGAACATTTTTAATGGGTTGGATTTGTATAAATTTTGTTTTGTATAATTTTCCATCTAATGTCTCTTTTTTTCTCCACATCATCCATAATTGCACTTATTTTAACTGTTCAAAATTATCTAATATTGCTAGCTCATAGAGCACATTTGTTAAATATTACTTGTAACTTAATGACAACATTTTTGCACATCTCTCCATTGAAAATCACTCATTTTTATTTTTTTTTATTTATGTGTACACATTATTACTCACATAACATTATGAACGTCTGCGTTATTTCATTCACAGTAAGCCTACATGCTGCATAGACCATTATCATATTGCGGTTATCTTTCATTTTTCCCATTCAAATCAATGTAACCAAAGCGAGGCTGAAAGGAAAAATAGTCTGGTTCCTTTTTGCACAAACCCCATTATCATTCAGAACTGTTATTGGACGCAGGGAACATGACTGAAATGGTGGCAGCATGATAAAGGCCTATTACAACTCGCTACAGTGTCACATTTATCCTCTATCAAATAAATCAAACCGTTCTGATACCAAACATTTTTTTTAATTAGATATTTCTCAAATCATTTCACTGCTCACGAGCAGTGATATCAATGTCACTTTCCTTGCTAGCCACACTTAAAGGGGTACTTCTGCGAGAAAGTGCCCAGTTGGGCTCGAAAACGCATTTACCACAAAACGATTAAAGATTGTTTAATTAAGGTAGACAAGCTTTTACACAGTTAAAGGGGAGAGTGAGGTAAAAACGACGGTCTGGGTAAAACGGCAGCCCCTTGAGTATGAATACATAACTATAAAGCAGGGTAGTCTAACAATAGTTGCTTTAAAATACTAACCCCAAGTCCATCCATTTCTGAAAATTACAGCAAAAGCAAATGTTGTATATTACTTTCATGATGGATTCGTAGTGTAGAGTTTCTTTTCTTTATTCCGATACCAAAGTTAAAACTGAAGTAAACTTAGTCACCAAAAAAAAAAGGCTATAACATATATTTATGGTGGTAACAAGGGATAGAAATATTTATAAGAAGTCGATGGGGATAGATGCTTTAACTAGAGTACTCATATTTACGCTATATTTTTACAGTGCTATATTACTTTAATACTTTATATTCTGTGTAGAGAAGGGTCTTTCAACTGTTTATTTATATAGATTTATTTCAATACTTAGATTTTATTTAGTTCTTAGCTTTATTTATACAAGGAAATGTCGAACTTTATAAAAGGAAATGTCAAACTTAATTTAAGGTTTGGAGAAGTTCTATAACTATTTTAGTTGTAGTGATGATGCTTGGTTTTTATTGCAGGATCTTCTACAAGTCAGTTTGGTGTCGGTAGGTCGGTCCCTGAAAAATTTAGCAAAAACGAACCCCCTAAGTTTCCCATAAGATACATAATTTTACTTTAAAAATAAAATGAAATACTTCACAAACATTGTCTGTAACAAGTTGTGAAGTTGATTATGCAAGTTTTGTCAATGTAGGCAAGATAATTATGTGCAGTAATGTTATAGTCACATGGCGTGTCACGTGGTATATAGCGCGCTATATTTTTATGGAAAACTAAGGGGGCTTATTTTGGTCATTCACTGGTCTTTCTCGTCTGAAATCAGATGAACATCCATCGTTATATAATATATAATACTCTCATTGTTAGAAACACATGTACAATTTATTTGGATTCTTAGTTTCTCATAGTTTTGTTTCGCACATTTCGCACTGTATTGAAAGCAATATATTTACTTGTAACCAAAAGTGTATTAGATTTATACTGGTTTTTGTCATGGTATTTAGAAAAAAATTGCAAGTACTGACACAATTTGTACAGAAGTTCACTTTAAATTTGATTTTAATGTAAATTCATACAGTCTGTTGGCAAAGTTTATCCAATAATTTCTGAGTTAATGGTCTTGGATAACGACTGTTCAATTACTCCAGTAAAAAGCATAGGCTCCATCACATGATATCTTTTGTATAGGTATTGCATATTTTTTTCTTTTAAAGCCAGAAAACAAAAAAATAAGAGTGCAGATATTTAAAGCTCCTTTCACAAACTTAACAATATTTGTGTTGTTTGGTTGATTTCCGATTACTTTCCCCACTGCATTTTTGAATGAAAGAGAACAGTAGCAATTAACTTAAACTACACGGCAAGTCTTTTTGTTTTTCTTCACAAAAGATTGGAATAGTTTTTAAAAATTCCAAAAATAGTCAAATACAAATGTAAGGGGAAGTTGCATATCTCTCTTAATGTAAAAGTGTGAAAAGGTCACTCTCCAAAAGAGTAAATCTCCTATTAATTCCACTCCAAAATAGTGAAACTTTAAAAAAAAAAAAAAAAAAAAAAAAAACAACACTCCAAAAGAGTGAAAACCACTCAAAAAAGAGTGAAATTTCCACTCTTTTGAGGAGCCATATAAGAGACAACTCTTTTTAGACTGGTCTCTTATATAGCCTATGGCTTCTCGAACGGGTGGAAATTTAATCTCGGAGTGATTTTCACTCTGTTGGAGTGATTTTCACTTTTTTTAAGAGTGATTTTCACTTTTTTTGAGCGGGTTTCACTCTTTTGGAGTAGTTTTTATGACTCTCGGATTGGTTTTATAAGGAATTCAATCTTTTGGAGAGTGACATTTTCACTCTTTTACATTTAGAGAGAAATGCGTCCAATCATTGCGTTCGAATCATGTTAAAGCGTACGCAATATGAGGTCACACAAGGCTTTATTTGTGTGATTGGTTTAAATTTATGCAAATTTATGCAGTTGGAGACAGAAGTCGAAATAATGTGTGCCATCTAGTCACCGTCTTTTTGTTCATGGATTATCTGTACTGTTTCCAAAGACTGATGAGTGTAATTTTGGAGATATATAAATGAACAAATTGGTACTGTTTAAGGAAAACTACAAAAGTATTAATCGACGTACAATTTAAAAAAGTGCATTTGGGGAATTTTGTTACTGCGTAAGACTTGAAGAAGAAATATATTTTTGTAATGAATGTTTAATTTGTATAAAAATAATGTTTGAATCAAATAGGTGTTTTTATGATAACAGTACATTTTGGTGCGATTGCTTCTTTGTTAGATAAGTGATACAGATTGTATTTGCAAGAAATTACCTTGAAATCAAGGAGTAAGACTTTATAGTACATTGTATATAGTTGGGAAATGTTAAATTACTCCCAACCGTAGTATAAATAGGCCTATTTAAAAAGCTAGGGAAATTTTAAAATGTGCAAACAATTAGTATAAGCAACTCGACAAAAATTATTGAGTATAATTAACAGCGTACTTTACTCAGAAAGAAAACAGACAATTAAACACTGGATGATTTTTAAAAAAATGTATATACAGCCTTTCTTTTTAATAACAATATTATTTCTGTATTGCTTCATCGGTGTGTGTATCGATAATTTATCCCAATTCCCAGTGATCTTTTTTTGTTTGTAAGGGAATTCAGTTTTTGCTTAGATGTACGATTCGGACGAAACCTTAGCATAAATGATACTGCGCCAAATCAGAGGAACAGACATTCAAAGCCACGGCAGAACGTCTGATATATCGATCGTAGCATGTACATTTTATGCGACCCCGCGCGCCAGCCAATCGGAGTGGTATTTAGAAACTGTAACGTCATTTCGTTTAGAAATGTGGACTAATTGGTCAATTTGGCTGCCATGTTTTTGCAATGTAACAACGGGTTACGGAAGACGCGATGTAACGCGCCCGTTGAATGGTCAGAATGTCGAGGTCACGACGCCATCTTACTTTGCATAATAATCGCCGAATCAGCTCGCATTATCTTGGATATTCCATAGACTAGGCATTTGTGTGGTTTTGGCAAATGTAGCACACCCTCATATAAATGTTGGTACCGATAGATAGACCTGTCATGAAGCTTTTTCGTACATGAGCTCTTTCTCATGGGAACTCGTTGGCTCACATGAGAATCACGTTGACTTGAAAGAAGACTAGACAAGCCTGGCAAAGCTGGTCCCGAAGTGCAAAAATAAAATGATATTCATCATTGCTATTGACTGGATATCTTCATGCAATAGACCTAAGACATAATGACGTCACGCTTTGTTTAATGTGCCTTTTCCTGAGGGAGCCAGGTGGGGACAATTGGCGTGTGATTACTTAGATTACTATCCACAACCAAACTTTGCCAGTGTTAGCCAAAATGCCATTTGATTCATGGTGCGGTACTTCCGTCAAATGAAATTTCACTCCGAACCAATTGTACCTAGTGAAATTCATAGAAATTGAAAAGATCTCATTTAAACTCGCGTTTCAACTTACGTGATTCTTTTTTCAAGGCTTCCAAGTACCGATGTTTTTTGTTAATGTTGATCAGAAGAAATAGAAACCCAAGAACTATGCATATAACTATCGAGATATTTAACGTTCATAAATACCTAAGACAGTTTACCCATTCCCATTGGTCGAGATGATGAAGACATGGTTTGCTGGTCTTAAACACTTTTTTAGTGTCACATGAAATTTTGATTCCTATGAACTCCTTGCAGTGCCCTTACCGTTTTATTGGGTGAACGTTCACAATCCGCACGTAGGCGTACGTACTACCAGTGAGTCAGTATTCCATAGTCCTAAATTCGCCTCGGGTAATTATCAGCATTCCAGACTCCAACCAGTCTTAAACATAGTGTTTAACACCTCCCAAGCACATTCCCTCCTTATTTTACCAAGATAGCAGGTCTCTAAACACAAAATGATGTCGTGAAGTTAATTGAGTTTTGAAAAGTCAATATGTTTGATTATATAGGTACGTTTGAAGATGTTCCTTTTTATGTAGAGCCATCTCCACGGTTTCGAATCGTATACGGTTTCGAATCATATAGCGGATCATATAGCTCCTAGAACAGACAAAATCGGGCTCATTTTTGAAGTCAAACGGTCAAACCACGCGAAAGATTGTGTAACGGTCTTGCCGGCCTAGAATTTACAGACGAAGGTTTGCTCGGTTTCGCAAGGTCGGTCATTCATCGCTTGAAACCATTCCACACAGTCGCCGTCGTAGCTTGGTTGTGCCTTTTGCCAGCACAGCGAGTCTGCAGGGGAACCATCGACCCACTGAAAGTTTTGACCGCTGTTGTTGAATAATCCGATCCACACAGCTTGCCCGCGATCCTCAGCATACTGGCCAATGATGTGTTTCTCCTCGTTTGCGATGGACGCAAGGTGGACCATCTTCCCTGGATGGGATAGCATCTGGCAGTAGCGCTCAGCATCAATCCAGGACATTTTCTTGTCAATCCACTGGTAGCAGTGCGCGCCGAAAGCACGCCAGGGCGGCGGGCAGTACGGTGCGCTACATGTAGCTGACACGATTGTCGGCATGATCAGAAATGCTGACACCGACATTAACATGAAGAGACCAGTGAAACTCATGATGTGTTCATCAACTGTGCTCCGTTTAACTAAAAAGATGTACTGATACAAAAGCAATACAACAGACTAGTGAAGTCTTACTGTGTGCTAGCAAAGAGCCGTTTTAACTTATGAGCGTCATCAGCACTGAGTTCGTTTAAATGGCGCGATCACCGAGTGTGATTATAATCGTTTCGAAGCGCTGCTCCTGTGATTAAAGTAATCCATCCCTACGTCACTTATATCTAATTGACAATCTTTTTTTTCTTACTTGCTAAAAGCCTACAAGTAGCTGGCACGATGGTCATATGATACGAAATGCTGACATCGACATTATCGTGAAGATACCGAGGTCATGTGTCTATCAAATCTGTTTTTTCCCCTCGAATACAATAAAAGCGCTAGCAAGGAGCAGTTATAATCAATAGCACCGAGTGCGTTGTTTGGGTGCGATCTACGAGTCGTTCTAGTAATAATAAAGTCGTTTTACATCGCAGCTATTGTGATTAAAGTAATCAATCCATACGTCACTTATATCTAACTGACAACCTTCTGGTATATACTTATACTTATAAGACCAAGGTCCCTCAATAAAACAAAGCTCTTGACGACAGCGGCCTTTTCCTGTGTATTTGTTTACTAAGTATCGCCTCTGGAAATGAGAACGCTCATTGGATCACTTCGTTAGTCCAGGAGCGCTTCATTTCCCCTCGAACTCAGCTTCCCCTCGACAAAACAGAACGATCACTTTTGGGGCTACTTTTACTACACCACTCGAAACAGTCAATATTTGTATAGTCTAGTATAATGTATTTCAGCAAGGTTTTTTTCATAATAAATCGGTATTACGTTTTCGGGCTATTTAATAATAGCAATGTTATTTACCTTTAAAAAATTAACGCGATTATATCGTACCGTAATATTAACCAACAAGGAATTATTGTTACATAGGCTATTAGCCCATTTTGGGGGATGACCAATTTTTTGTTACACCCTGTATTATTAATTATCATGCAAGTTTTGTCTAGATTCTTTTGGAGAAATCCGAAGCGGTTACAGATAGGCTTTCATTGTACAATATCTATAGTAATGATGAGTAATACCTCAAGCTTCCTCGAGGGTTCATTTGATGAAATATTTTAAAGTATAATGCCCAAGAAATTGGATAAGCAACACTCAATTTAAATCATTGAGAAAACATTATGTATAATTATTGTAATACAAGTCAATTAGGTAGAAAATAGTATACAGGAGCGTCGCTAGACCACTTTGAATGGAGGAGGTTAAAAAAAACGACAGACCATCCGTGCTTAAGGGTAGACAGGATTATCCCCGTCACCTGGCCTCCGCAAAATCGAAGGGGTGGGGGGGGGGCGGTGTGGAGGGGGGCAAGACACCCTCTTCCCATAGGGGCGCTATTCAAAGTAGACGATCAAGGACACTGTCGCACAACTGGCAATCTTCTCCGGGCACATTTGCCGATGGCCGGACTCACAAATGTGCCAACTAGGCGGGACGATTTTGGCCACAAAAGTACTAATTAGCAAGGGGGCGGGTGGGGTGGTGTGGGGGGTCACACCCCTCTAGCGACGCCCGTGCAAAAGTAATGTTGAAAACAATGACCGCAACTTTTATTTTTGAACATAGAATGTGGTAAAATGTTTTAATTGTACGCATTTTTGTCTGTACAGGCTTTGTAAACAAAGCACGAAAAAATGAATTAAGGAATTGAAGAAATCTTCGCTTTACTTATTACTATCTACATAATTAACAATATTTTTCACCAAAGCACTGGCCTGACACTCAATTAAAATATTGCCAGATCAAGTCAGTAACATTTTCAAAGTCAATAATTAAGGTTTGTCCATTTCATTCGAATTTCTCATCCCCGTGCATCCGTTCTACGGCCTACAATTTGCAGACGAAGGTTAGCTCGGTTTTGCAAGGTCGGTCATTCATCCCTCGTATCCATTCCACACAGTCTCCGTCGTAGCTTGGTGATTTGCTGGGCCAATACACCCAGCTTACAGGGGAACCATCCGTCCACTGAAAGTGAACGCCGTTGTTGAATAATCCGATCCACACACGCCGGCCGCGATCCTCAGCATACTGGCCTATGATGTGTTTCTCCTCCTCGTTTGCGATGGACGCGAGGTGGACCATCTTCCCTGGATGGGATAGCATCTGGCAGTAGCGCTCAGCATCCATCCAGGACATTCGCTTGTCAATCCACTGGTAGCAGTGCCCGCCGAAAGCACGCCAGGGCGGCGGGCAGTACGGTGCACTGCATCCAGCTGATACGATGGTTGGCATCTGAAATGCTGGAGAGAATAACGTCATCATGAAGTCATCAGTAAAACACAAGATGCTTCTGTCAACTGCTCTGTGCTTTCAGTGAGTTTCACTCGTACAAGCTAGACTACTGTAGTCTTACTGTTTGCTAGCATGGGGAGCAGTTATAGTGCGAGCGCTAGCCGCACTTCGATCTCTGAATTAAAACAAAATGCCGACGTGCAGTATTCGTCACTTATATCGCAATTGAAAAGCTTTTTTTTTGAGTTTTAAGACCAAGGACGTGTATCAAGTGAAAAAAAAAACCGGGTGAGATCACCATGCACTGGCGTCCCCCGGTCAAAAATATTGGGGGAGCGACAATTGTCTTACCACGAAAACCCAATCACAGCTTCGTAGAAAACAATTCAACAACCAAAATGTTTAAAGTTGTGTTAAGTTGAAATACGCTTTGGCCCCCGTCAGCTAACGTACACTACACGGCGCATTTGAACAAAATCCCCGACCACACATTTTGTAAGATTTATGTTGACAAATTAAGTTCAAACCACCCACATATCAAACTACGTTTGTGTGAGGAAACAAATCTTACAAAGGCAGCTATTGAGATCACGGGATGAAATCAAGCAGACTGAGAAAAAAACACAATTTAAATATAGGCCTAACAGTCAGTGCCAGTCACATAAAGTATATAAGGTACTTAATACTTGCATTATACACAGCGGCTTTATACAGATTTGTTTTAGGACTCCAGTAAAATAGGTGAATACCATATGGAATATGAAATTCTCAAGCCTACCTGTCATTGCTGACAGCATCAGAACCAGAACTGCTACTCCGTCCATTTTCCCGCGGAAATCTGAGCAAGAATGCATTAGGTTGGCAGTTTTATACCTTGACTCATAAATGGCATGATGTCACAGCGAGAGTTGGATTATTGCCGTGTACAAAAAAAAAATTCACACCAGGTCACCTCAGAAGCTACGCAGCCGCAGACCATCGAACAGACTGACGAAATTATCCGCCATGCAATCAGGAGTGAAACTTCAACTTGGGAACGAGTGACTGGTTCAATTTCACAGCATGGGCGGGGCCAATGCTGGAATCGAGTAAAAGGGGCAGACGCAATGAAGCTCCCTATTATAATTGTGTTCAAAATTAAACCTTGAAGCCCACCGCGCATTTTGCAAATTATACAGAAATCGATATGAAACTAATTAAATGGCACCGAGTGCGAACAAAAGCTCCTTCTGGTAATAATGTACGCATGCAAAGACTTCCTTGAAGCCATCAAGGTTCGGCCCAAATTGCAATAACGTTCTGAATTGCAATAAGGCACACGGTCCAATTGCATTTACGGATTGCCCTTGACATTCACAGTGATCGTGCTATTTAGAGAAAAAAAACATAAAATACCATGTTGTATATGAAATATTCTTCATGAAATTCATTCGCCTGTGTTGAAAAAATAAGGAAACCTGGACCAACTGGCTAGCAGTAAACAGGAGCCTTTTCATTACCAGGCTTCTGCCGCATTCACATAACTATACCGTCCCTCAGCTAGCCAGTCACGGCATATCCATGGGGGCTGAGGGAGGCAACTTGCCCCTTGGTTTTGTAATTTTGTTTTTAACATGATTATGTTTTGTTTTATATACGATTTTAAATTTAAGGCGGTTTGGACGTCGATGCAATAAAGTCTTAATTTTGCCCCTTGCAAAAAAGCTGGATACGCAACTGTCCCTATGATCCCGTGGATCATGCAATTTCCCTAACTTGGCTTCACTTCTGGAAAACACCACTCGAAGTCGTCAATATTTGTATAGGGCCTATTATATTAATAATTTATGAGTTCATACATGTATATAATAATCGTCAATGAGTTCATAACGGAGTCTTATATAGCGCACGTAAATCTACCAACAATTAGATACCCAAGACCCTGGAAAATATGTCTATTATTAAAGAAGGTCAATAGAGTGGCATACCCTTGGTCGTTTATGGATTCATTAAATATGCATTTAGCCAGTAATAAGCCACACAATACCGCACAGCCTGCATGCAACGTTATAGACCTTGGGTTATGCTTGATGTCTTTCCAGATCCTATATCATATTCGGAAGACCATCTTTCACAGCGAGGTATAGGATATAGGCCTACGCATAAACGCGTACGCCTTCCGCTGTCTTGAATCTTTTTTTTGGGGGGGGGGTCCGATATGGCCACAGCTAGTTCAATATATCTAGTGTTGGAGGTTAAATGCTCGAAGAATCCTTTATAGTGTTCATTTGATTCAATGAAACATTTTATGTTCATACTTCTAATGAGGAATAACACCAACAAGGTATGGGACCAAGAAATGAATAAGCGCAACTTCAATTAGTATATTGAAAACAACAGGCCTGAATGAAATAATTGATAAAACAATTAAAGAAATGGCCAAAAAAAAATCAGCCATCAGCAAGTACATGGTCATGTGTTCAGATTTACACAGTGATAATGTGCACTGGGTGCATTTGGACAAAGCTTGTAATGAGTCAAATGTAAAAATGCACTCTTGAGTGAAATTTCGCATTTCACATTTCACTCTGCCCACAGAAACTACGAAATCCAAGTTGACAACATGGATCCGATGAGAACAATGACATTTTTGGCGTCATACCTTGTCAAAGCTTGATTGACCGAAAAAGCTTGCGAAATTTGTTCGAACTTCCTGTAGCCTATACGGTTTGCAGACGTTGCTTGAATTCTCAAGGTCGGTTACGCATCGCTCCAAACCCGGCACAGTTTCCGTTGGAGCTTGGTTCACCGGCCGGAGTGCGCTGTGTTGTGGGACTTGAGTCCAGGACTCGGTCTCGAGTCGGACTCGAGTCACATTTTTTTCGTGACTCGGACTCGATTCGGGTCACATTGGAAAATGACTCGGACTCGACCATGATGACTCGGACTCGAGCTTGGTGACTCGTGACTCGAGTCACTTTTTTTAGGGGGGGGGGGGGGGGGAGGGGATGATTTTATTGAGAAGTCAATAAAATGGACCGAAAATAATCGCACATTCTGGAAATTGTACATGTTCATTTTCCTATTCAAGAATTCCGGAAGCGCGCCAACAGGGGTGAACGCTCAGGATCTAGGTTACAACAAAGGTTCACGTTCACGTTTAGGTTCTAGGTTCTTAATCGACTGACATTGCATACCAAATTACCTTGTGGATTGAGCAGTTTTTTGTCCTTAATAGCAGAGCCATCATAGTGAAGGGGAAATTGACAGCGAAATTATCAAATGAAGAGACCGGTAAAACGCATGATGTTTCTATCACCCCTTCTTATCATGAAATGCACCGATACGTAAACTTATTAGACTTCAACATCATGGCAGTTTACGGAGCGATATGCAAAGAGCCCCAGGCCAAGTCCATCGTTAACTCCGAGTGCGTTTTTTTTTTTTTTTAAATCATAGAGCGTTTTCCGAGTCCTTTTCTAAAGTCGACTAGCGGCGCATCTATTGTAATTAAAGCAATCCATCCCGTGTCACTCGGGTCTATATCTGATTGACAACCGAAAATTACTTTTGCAAGGACGCGTATTCAGAGAAAACAAAACTCGGCTTTACAATGAGACCAAATTCAATTTGTGTTATGTCACTGTCACTGCGGAGCATGCACATAAAAGCATCCACACGCAATTTTTAAGTTTCTTTTCGATCACGGCACTTGCTGCAGAATATGTGTTTTAGGCCTATATTATTAGGCCTGTTGATAACTTTCGTACAATGAAAACAACTAAGTCGCTTGTATTTACATGTATAGTTTTTTTTTTTACTGAAACCTTTAAACTATACCTTCACGGTCCTTCTCAATTAATTGTGGATTGCCTGTGCTACTTCTTAAAAACAAAATCGCCTCGGGACACAAGGGCGGATCGGGGGGGGGGGGGGGAGGCAATTGCCTCCTTCCCAAAACGAACCCAATTCTTTTTTTTCTTTAGCGACGTCGCAAGAAAGGCAGGCACTGCGTACACGACCATCTTTTCCTCAAAACAAATTTGTTAAAGTGGTCAGAAATTGCTTTAGATCGCACACAGATCGCGTCTAGACCGTGAATCCGACCAAAATGTTGCCCTTCAAAGCGGGCCCCGGCCGAACCCCGTGAGTTTTGGACCCACTTTTTGGGGAACAAAAATTGTTTTTGGCCTCTCCCCCCCCCAAGAAAAGTAAATAAAAATTTGTTCTGGATCCGCCCTGGCTGCCTTAGTCAACCCCATAATAGAGCTGTAATGATCAACCCCCAACAACCCCCCAAATCGATACGATCGAACGCAAACGGTTTGCCGCATTGTTGAACGTGCTTGCAAGTTATTGATTCTCACAACAAAAGAAAACTACGGAAACTTTCAGCAGTGTATGACGTCATCCATTGGTCTGGTATCCTGCTCAAAGGGTATACTTACAGGCACTGTGCAATTTGGAGACCTTACTCGTCTTCGGAATTTGAGAAACAGGACGGCACCAAGAAACTTCAATAAGTTCAGGGACGTAACTTTTTCGTACTACGAATTTCTTAATAATCTTTGTGATTTACACACTTTGTGGATAACAAGAAAGGTATGGTTACTCTGATGTGTAATCACATGGATATCTGTGGAATATTTATGGGCAAAGATTTAGTAATTAGGCCCCCTAAACTAAACTTGGCACGGCACTCGCAGCGCTGAATCCCGTGCCGTGCTGTGCCCGCAGCATACTGATTGAACTAGGCCTTACCTCCGTAAATAAAGGCCACAATCATGACAATTGGAACCCGAAAATGTAGAACTTTGTCAAGTTGTTATTTTCACATTTAGACTTTGTTTGTAGTTAATTTATGCTTCAGAAGCACACTCGCCCTCTTTAAAGCGTTAGAATATTAAATAATATTCCCCCTTTTTCAGACGTGACGTCTATCTTCCCCCCTATAAATAATATTTTGTGTAATTTCCAGGTTCGTTACTTTGAATGCACACGTTGGCGTTAATGGCATATGTAAATTCCAACACGAAATTACACGAAAAATGGACGTCTGAAAAAGGGGGGATTAATTTTCGGGCGCCTTATTTTTTTCAGATATCCATGTAATATTTTGTGTACAAAACCTGTAAATTTTGCATGCCTTATATAGCCTACCTAAATTCCAACACGAAAAATGGACGTCTGAAAAGGGGGTGGGGGGAATTAATTTTCTGTGTAATTTCTGTGACACACACAACGTGTATTTAACATTGACTGAAAATGACAGGAAAAATGTATTCGTACTCTGTCGTGTCCAATGTAAACAACCTTTTTTCCCCGTTTTTTTTAGGCTGTAATTCACTAACATTCCAGTAAGGTATTTCGTGATAATTTGGTAGGTTTTTATTTTGATGTTTGCAAATGTTGTATATATACTCCCTTTAAAACTAACATTATTGAAAATGTTTTCAATAAGGACAGGATGCTTAATGTATTATTTTTGTTACAGAATGCAGATACTGCAAGATGTATAGCTTGAGATACTAAAATGTGACCAAGGTGATGTGAATGTCCTTTGGTTTGAGGAGACGCATCGGTTAAAAGGCCTCATCCTGTATGAGGCGATGGTGGATTCATTAGACCGACAGCGGCAGTTGTTTGCAGCCTGTGAGCATGGAGATTTAGCCTCGGTGCAGGCCCTTCTAGACCAAGATGCCAGCGGATGCGTGGATGCCGACGGGGGCGAAGGCTTCACCCCTTTACAGATGGCCGCAGGGAACGGCCACGAAGACATCGTCCGGCTACTGCTCATGCGGGGCGCTTCGCTGGACAGGCAAAACCTGTACGGATGGACAGCCCTCATGCAGGCTGCCAGTCACGGCCACGCGAGCATTGTTGCGCTCCTGCTGCAAAACAAAGCAGATCCCAACGTCAGGAACAAGTTTGGCGCCACCGCGCTGACCGCTGCGGCGCACTACGGTCACCTATCCTCTGTGAAGGTCTTACTCGGTTGCGGATTCATTGATTTGAACGAGAAGGAGGGGGCTAACGTAGGCCAGGCTTTCACCCCGCTCATGGTGGCAGCCCTGAGTGGGCGGGACCCGGTTTTAAAAATGCTCCTGGACAAGGGGGCGGATCAGTTCCAGGTGCACCGACAAACGGGATGGACGCCGTTGATGATGGGAGCATTGTGCGGCCACACCAGCATTGCTGAGATACTGATCGAGACTCGGGGATGCGATCCCGACGTGACCAATACCTTGGACAAAACTGCCCTGGAGATTGCAATACTAGGGAATCATCGAGATGTACAGAATTATCTGGATCGCAGGACATCCAACAGACCAAGAATTTGTAAGTTAAAATTTGTAACATGTTTTTTAGTGTTTTGTACTGTTCGTTGCAAAACATATTGAAAAATCAGACTGCCACACATTGCTAGGTGATATGGCCATTTATTTATGCCCCAAATGCCTTGTATTGAACTTTAGAAGAAAACAAAATCATGCAACTTTTAACTACATTCTATATATAAATTTGCGCAACCACATTGTGAACATTCATGGCTCGTACATATCGAACAGGGCTCACAAAATTGAGGGAAAAAATAAAATAGTTGCCCAAATATTTGTTCCAGTTTACAGACAATTGATATTAATATGTATACAGAGTGGTGCAAAAAGAAGGAAACCCACTTTTGACAGCAATTTTCACCTACTTTTCACCTAAATTCAATCTAAAGGTATTAAAATATTGATCTTCAAACACAAGTGATGAAAAAATGATTGCAAATACATATTTTGTCTCTGAGAATATTGTAGTTTCAAAATTTCATGTGCCAAACCTGTTTGTCCACGGACGGCTTTATTCCATCCCCTTGACTGAGCTCCGGAGCTTGATTTGAAGACAAAAAAAACTACCTTAGTATGTGGACAACAGTGATTTTGATGACAACTTGTATTCAAATTAGCATAACAATGTCACTATTCTTGCAATTTTTTTACAGATTTTTTTCACCACGCATGGTTGAAGAGCTATACTTCACTACATTATAAAACAAAAAAAAAGTTCAAATAAGTTAAGTAAGTAGTGTAAAATTCCTGTCAAAAGTGGGTTGCCCTCTTTTTGTACCACCCTGTAGAATTTCAAGGGATGTTGATGTATTATTGAAATAATTAATGGAAAAATGGTCTGACTTATAATTTATTTGCTTCCATACAGCAACAGAAAATAGCAAGCCAAAGATAATCGAAGCCACAGAAGCAGGTATTTACTCATGCGATTTTCTTTTTTCTTTTTTATTTCTTCGTAATGATTTTGATTTTAGTTTATTTTAGTAAAGGTTTGCACTTTTCAAATAAGAACAAAAACTGGACAACTGAAGTGCATATGTATAAGTCGTCAACTGAGTTATTTATTGTTAGAGATACATGTACGAAAAATGAACTGATTGGATTGTTCTGAGATACATATTAAACAGATTAACCCAACCCCCCCCCCCCAGCAGGTTTTCTCAAGGCACCCTGCCAAATCCAACAAAATGCAACTTGGCTGAAATAGAACCCTGCTAAATGCAACACATTGCAACAGTGGATTCTGTTGCATCGTGCAGTGAACCCAACCCATACCAGCCTTGGCACCAAATTTAACAGTGCTGATGGGTCAACATGTGTCCTGTTCACCATTTGAACCATTGTTCGCATTTTGTACATTTTGTTGTCAGGCGACATAAAACTCGTCCAGCTCATTCTGGACGGGGATCCAAAACAGTGCAATAAGTTGTCACCAGAGGGCGCTGCACCTCTGATGGTAGCCGCCATGATCGGCCGAGGGGACATTGCCGAGCTGCTGGTACAGCGCGGTGCCGATGTCAACATGCAGGACGCCAAGAGTGGATGGACGGCCCTCATGCAGGCCACATTTCATAGGTAGGCTCGCTGTCAATAGACTAATCCATTAGGCCTTGCCCACTGGTGCTTTATACCCCCTATGCCTTTTTGCTAGGATGTAGCCTCACTCCTGCAAAATCCTCCAATTGGCCTCATGGAAAAATAGCATATAGCCTCAATCCTGCAAATTCCTCCATTATTTCTTGAATATGGTCCGTGCAGGGGTGACCACTGCCTGAATCCTGCAAAATCCTGCAGCAGTGACTGTCATAATGTTGAGGCTTGGCCAGTGACATCCTGGAGCAGTACGGAGGATTTCAAGCATAATCCAAGCCTATATTTATGCATGGCTAAGCAAAAACAACAATAGGTCCGGCCCAAGACCTTGACAAAGTGCATCCTACAAAAATCAGTAACGCACTTTTGCCATGTAACCTCAATCCTCCAAATTCCTTCACTTTGGCAAAGAGGATTTTGAAGGATTCAGGGCGGTTAGGGTTAATGCCACACTGCATGCTCCAGCTGCATGCATCGTATGCAAGCAAGTCGGAAATTAATCATGTCTGTGATTGGTCAAGACTTCAGGGGGGGGGGAGGGAGGGGCTTAGTGGATCAATTTAGGCCAAAAAAAAAAAAACAGTTCTGCTTCCGGTATAAACCCAACCTACAATGTACCTTGATTTTTTGACGTGACCCTAAAGATTTTATTGGCAACCTTTTTACATCAAAAACGCTTGTAATATTTCTGCTGTCCGTATTTGTTTGTTTGCTTACTTACAATAGCTATTTTTCAGAATGAAACCTTCGTTGTTTTTTTCCGATGCGATCTGCAAGGCTTCGCTGCAGCAGTGGTGAAAGCAAATGCATCACGCATGCAGCAATGTTAGACCGGTTCCCGCCACGCGCCAAAGTTAAGGACGGGAACCAATCTATGTCCGACATAGTGTAACACGTCAAATTTGACATCGTAAAACTGCCAAACGAACATTGATGGAGAAAGAAAAATAGAAAATTTCTGCAAGTTAATTTACAGAACATGATCTCGTTTCTATGTATGTGTCTTCCATTTCAACATACTTATTTCGAGGTTGTACCGCTATCTATAATTGGTATTTATTGAGAGCAAATATCCACCAGAGGAAATACGCATAAAATGCGTTCCAGTGTAAAATTCACGCCGTGGTCCCTTTTAATAATACCTGATATCATGATATTCCACAGGAGGAAGGAGTTGGTGAAGTACCTGATAGATGCAGGGGCTGACGTCAACATACAGGCTAAGGATGGCTGCAAGGCACTAGACCTGGCGTTGGTCATAGTCATGAGTGAGTTGTTATACAAATGCAACAGTTTGGTAGGGAAATGACTGGTCCTGAGTTGTTGGCCAATTTAACTTCCTTCCAAAACGAAGTGGAGGGGGGAAGTCAATATCAGTCTACACCGAGGGACTAGGAATTTCCCGCTTACTTAAACCCTAACACCCTCAGCATTTTTGCTAGGATGCAACCTCAATCCTGCAAAATCCTCCAACTGCCTCCATGTAAACACTGCATACAGCCTCAGTCCTGCAAAATCTTCCGTTATTTCTTGAATGTGGTCCTTGGAGGGGTGACCACTGCCTCAATCCTGCTTAATCTTTCAACAGTCACTGGTACATATCTCCGATAGATTGATAAACAAAAAGCGAGCAACTAAATCTCATCCACCTACCAAGATTGTTACTGTTTTAGTTTTTTTTATATTTCAGTGACAGGTTTTGTGCTTAAATTTTCTTTTTTTCCAGATGAGAATGAAAAATCCGACAATGAACTCATATCCCTTCTGGCTGCCATCACCATGCCGACCAAGAACAACAAAGCGGTCAAAGGTCACAGTGTGGGGTCGTCGACCTGGTCTACTAAGACCAGCATGAGTCAACTAAGTGAAGACTCGCAAAGGAATGGTCTAAAGGTACAGTGCAGGGCTCACTGTAGAGCTACAGTCCAATTGCGATAACTCAAATTCGGATAACTCAAAACTCTGTATGTCTCGAACTAATACTCCTTTCCCATCAAGAGAATAGGATTTTATGTACATGAGTATCCCCGTAACTCGAAATGCCCGCACTGGTACCTCCGTTTATCTCAAACTTTTGTTCGGCCAGTCCATAAGAAAGTGCTGCCTAACAGTCGCAAAGAAGCATAAAAAGATCGCAAAACCTTTTTCAGGAGTTATACTGTAAAACACTTTGTGTAAGGATGCGGCATGCACGATGCCATTGTGATCGGATTCCCGCCCCTTAAACTGCAACATATCCTGGCTTTCGAGTTAGTCTAACGACTCTAATCGCTACCGCTGGCCCAATTGTAGCCTGCATGCGGGCAGTCCAATCGCTGGCTGTTTGCAGGGGCCATGTGACTACTCTGGAAATTTCTGAGGATGCGCACGATTGTAAAAATTTTCGATTGTCAAAATTTAAATTTAAGATTGTAAAAATTTAAGTTTTGAATTGCAGCAACATGTAGACTGAAGTCGGTAACCTTGGACACATTTGTGTTTGAAACCCCCAGAATTCCAATGTTAAAGCGCCCTCATTCAATCAAGAAGAATCATATCGAAGTGTGAGAAAGTGATGTTTTGAAACAAATAAACTTGTTTCACTGTAACTCTGATTTTGAAATTAGGCATGGTGGTCACGCATGTCCAACCGCTTTCGTAATCTGAAGCTCTCTCGCACCTTGAGGGCGGGCTTGTCGTCCACGCCCCTGACGCCCTTTGAGGATGAGAACCACCTCTCGCCCAGTGCGACACTGAAGGTATCCCAGGATGCAGTCGTCAAGACGGCCCCGGAGGATGATGGGAGGAATCGGAGGAAGAGCAGCCGAGAGGGGGGTTCGGAGCTGAACCGATCCCGCAACAGTGGTAAGAAGCAAGTCAGACTCTGGCTGAGGAACTTGTCATTTAAAAAAAAAGTTGTTAACACTCGGTAGGTTTTGTCAGGTTACAAGCGACAGAGCCATGGGCCTTATTCACAAGTCCGCCATGTTGAATTGAAAGTGAGGTAAAATCTTCATTTTTTGAACTTGCGAAGAGAAATGAAAGCATGTACATTGCTAAATAATTAAAGTCTGCTTAAATGAATAATTTGAAATTTGTAATTAAACATTCATTAATATTTTAAGCCAGATCAAAAAAAAAAATTAAAGTAAAATAAGGCTGCATAAATAGTCCAGCGCACACAACTACAACCAAGAGTTAGTGAAGGAACGCGCACGCAGCACAGGGAGTCAAGGCTGTGTTTCTCACTCTGTGGTCGAAAGGGGGAAGTAACTGTATTTGCTACCCTTTTGTTCTGTCAACAGTTGGGCGTGATAGTGGTCTTGATGTCAGCATGCAGTCTACACAATCCATGGTGAGTATTGCCTAATGCCTAATCAATTGAAAGAATAAAGAAGAAATTGTTATTTTTGAAACTTTATTTTGTGTTATTTGTCACTTTCTTAACTGAGAATTTGAATTTTGTAGAATTAAATCCCAATAAAAGACTGTGGGTGACAGGCGGCAAGCTGCCTCCCCAGCAAAGCCGGCAAGGCAAAGCCTTGTTTACTGATTAATAGAGGTATTTCCCCTTAAAAATCACATACTTAATGTGAATACATGAAGTATAACATTGAAATGAATTGTATCTTGTATCTTACACCTTCCCAGTCCATCATGTCACCATCCAGCCATCAGCCTAATGAAATTGACCAATGACAGAAGTGTATTTGACTCATAAATATGTATGAGGTGTAATTAGGTTGTATCTTGTTCCCTGTCTGCCCAGTCCATCATGTCACCATCCAGCCAGCAGCCTAATGACATTGACCAATGACAGAAGTGTATTTGGCTCATAAATATGTATGAGGTGTAATTACGTTGTATCTTGTTACCTGTCTCCCCAGTCCATCATGTCACCATCCAGCCAGCAGCCTAATGAAATTGACCAATAAAAGCAGCGTGTTTGGCTCATAAATATGTATGACGTGTAGTTAGGTTGTATCTTGTACCTCTTTCCCCAGTCCATAATGTCACCATTCACCCAGCAGCCTAATGACATTGACCAATGACAGAAGTGTGTTTGACTCATAAATATGTATGAGGTGTAATTACGATGTATCTTGTTACCTGTCTCCCCAGTCCATCATGTCACCATCCAGCCAGCAGCCTAGTGACAAGCTTCTCCCTGTAGTCCCTCCGTTCTTGCCGCCTCCCAGCTTTGAGTTGCACACTGCTGATAGGTCCAGACGATCCCACCACACCCCCAAAGCCTCACTGACGAAGCTTGCTAATGGCCAGGTAAACTATCAACAAGATGAATAAATTCCAGTCTTGGGAAGTTCGGCAGTGCCACCCAGAAAGCTCCAGGCTAAGGCACACTATTTGAACTGTACTGATGTTGTATCCATTAGAAGTGGGATTGGTAGGAAGGGTGTTTAGATGATGCATCTGGTCACGGGCGTCGATCGGTGGGGGGCAAGGGGGGGGGGCATGTTTTAAAGTGGGGGATTTATCGTTGTGACCCCCCACTTTATGGCAAGTTGTGCAGAATCCTACAACTAAAACTAAAATTACAGTGAGCCTATTGCAGGTAAACTTCTCAGTAACTTTTCAGATATTTTAGAAGTAGGTTTTTCGCAGACAAAATTCCATCCAGCTGAATTTTGTGTATTTATAGCTGGTTAGCAATGTAGCTATCTGACCAACCGTGCATTTACTGAGTCAACAATTCAGATTTGTTTGGACCCCATGTACCCCAGGGTGTAGGAGCCACCAGACCCAGAGGCCGGCCACCCACCAAGCTCATGTTCTCTCGCCGGTCAGCGAGCACCAGTGGGATCAGTCCGTCCAATTCAGCCCATCTGAGTGCCACGGCCAGCCCCGACTCCTCCGCTGAGGCCGGTACGTTGAGCAAGGCATTGGTGAACGCGAGGAGAACCAGTCTCAACTTAAGGGAGGTGGCTGGTACGTCCAAACTGAGTAAGTAGGATCTTTCTGTGTTAAACCTTGGTATGTCATCCAAAGCCTGTTTGTTCAAGTGAAGTGTTTGTGGTTTGAAATTCAAGAGGTCTTGGTCTCTGAAATTGTTACAAGCCATTATCATCTTTGAAGTCTTATCATGCATCTGGTCTGCACAGTAAGCCAGGTTTAGCCCATTCATAGATGTTACTGGGTAATCCTATACAATAGCACTGCTCGGCTTACAAGTGACAGACAGTCAGTCAATTTCATGGCTTGTTTTCATTGAAGCCCAATAGGGAAGATACAACATTTGCAAACATCACAAAACGAGATGATCAAATTATCACGAAATACCTTACTGGATTGTTAGGGAGTGACAGTCTAAAGCATCCTGTAAAATCGTGGCTCCTGGTGTGCTGACATTTTCTAGAAAAACTGTATTTTTCCAACGCTGGTCGGCCGACCACCGTTGGAGAAACCTGGCTTTTTTTCAAAAAAATATTCCTGATTTTTCATTTTTAGTTATTCTGACTTTTCTTTGCAATTGATTACACACCTGTGAAAGGGTACACGCCTGCTAGACTGATTCTCTGACCGTACAATTCCCCAAAGGGTATTAATTGCTCTGTTTCATCTTAAGTGGGGCCAGGGAATCAGACTACAAGAACATGATAGGTTTTCTTGGTTTTTCCAACATCTACAAGCCCAAAATGTGAAACAAGTCAGTTTCAACAATATTTTCTATAACATACTAATCCTCCAAATCCATTTTTTCCCTGAAAATTGCAGCACAAGCAAATGTTGTACATTCCCTTTAACTCGAAAACAGAAGGTCTTACAAACCTACTCAAACTGCTGAAAGATTGACTTTGAATATTGAATTTGAAAATTCCTTGATAGGTTCAGTTGCCGAGCCGTTGTTTACCCCAGTGTCATCCCACTCGATCAGACATTCATCTTCCAACCGAGAACCGTCCATCCAACAACCATCTACCAGCACACAGCATGCAAGGTGAGCATGAGACAAATTCAATGTGGATTGAAAGGAAGTACAGGGTTTCCCCCAAAAAAAACCTGAACCCTCAAAGTTACCTCTTTTTCACAGCTTTATAAAGCATAAGTCTTATTTATTTTGATTTGTCCATAAACCTTGTTTTGTTAGCTTTAATACACCGAAAACGTAATTCTGATCGGTTCAAGACTTGTTGAGTTGTGGCTAATTAAACAATTAAACAAAGATACTGCTTTTTCATTTTATCCACGCTGTCTGCTGTTTGACTGCTGCAATGCGGGTGGCATGGGTGGCTTGTGCGTAAAGCGCTCGCCTCTCACCAAGGTGACCACGGTTCAAATCCTGGCCGTGGATCGCATGTGAGTAGAGTTGTGCGTTGGTTCTCTCCTGTGCCACGAGGGTTTTTCTCCGGGCCCTCCGGTTTTCCTCCCTCCGGAAAAATCAAACACTTTCGATCTCAGGCTGTGCTCCTTGGTCATATATGGGTCGATGTGGCCGGCAGCCATAGGCGCCTTTACGTGCCAGCGGCCTGACCACGTTGTAGCCGGGTCCTTCGCAATTCAGCATACCAGCTGCGAGTAAGGATGATTAGCTTCCCAAATTATTATTATTATTATTATTATTATGCGAACAGTGGTCCGAGATTTACATCTTTGAAACAACGAAGTAGAGGGCAGAGCAGAGCAGCAAACATCTAAGAAATTAACCAAAACAGTTGTTTTTCAGGACTACCATTTCTATCCATCTCCAAACAGAGGAGATGACCATTGCTACAATAAAATATAAAATATACAAGAACCAAATAAAGATAGAAAGATTTTTAAAAAATAGAAGAAAGAAAAACTACCCTCACACCAAATCCATCACATTCCTAATAAATGACAATTAAGACCGTGGATGAAATGAAAAAGCAACACTTTTTTGAATAGGCCATAACTCAATCAATGTTTTTCTGATTAGAAATTTTGCTGAAAAGCTGATGAAGTACACTTTTCTAATATGGATCAATATTTCTGATGTATTATTAAAAAGCTGAGGGGCTAAACATTTTAAGTCACTTGTCTGGTAGAACCACCCAGCATTCTGAGAACCCCCCCCCCCCCTCCCCCAGAGCAGCATGAAACAATTCATTAGTGTTTGTAATTTTCACTTGTCAGGTTGCCCCCACTGCCCGTCACTCCACCAAATGCCAATCCAGCTAGTGCGAGCTCGGCCTCCTCTACCATATCCGGCCCACTGACCCAGTCCAAGCCCCGCCCAGTCAGTGGGATGTCCCGCAGCACCTCCCCCACCCTGACCCCTTCCCCGTCCCCCACCCCTAAAGTGACAGGCAGGGTGGTGCATGCCGGACCGCACCCTGGCGACATCATCAAGGTAGGAGACAGGAGCTCCTCTCCTACGCAGAAGAAGACAAGTTCAAGCAGCGGAATCAGTGAGGACGGTAAGTCTAGCCCAGCCTAGTCTTGGCAGAACGATTCAAATAGTGTGCCTTAGCCTGGATTTTTCTGGGTGGCACTGCCGAACTTCCCAAGACTGGATTTGGATTCTGTTGCCCTGACGCGGCCCGTCCCTAACAAGCGCGACCGAGCCATCGTGGCGATAGAGGGCGCTATCAACAAGATGAATCAATTCCAGTCTTGGGAAGTTCGGCAGTGCCACCCAGAAAATTCCAGGCTAAGGCACACTATTTGAACTGTACTGATGTTGTATCCATTAGCATTGTGGTCTTGTGGTATTGGTGTCAAGACTCGTGTGCGATGGTAGGTGTGTTCAAACCCTGATAGGTATAATGGTGCTTGTGTTGTGTTCTTGGGCAAGATACTTTACGAAAATTGCCTCTGCATCCAGAGTATAAATGGCAACCTGTGAGGTAAGAGACCAGATTGTGAGGTATTGTGAGGTAAGAGACCAGAGTTCATGCTGCTGCAGAAAACTGGTCTCGTGGCCTGATGAGCAGGGGTAATAATTGTGAAGCACTTGGGGAGTAAAGTATAAAGCGCTATATAAGTACCACATTATTATTATCATCCTATCTTTGTATCTTTTTTTGTTTCAAGATGAGTTGTCCGCTCTGTTTAGAAAGCTGTCTTTGGAGAAATATGCACCAATATTTGAAGAACAAGAGGTGAGTTTAATACTGCATTGCATTATCCCATTGGACTGATCATCGGGCCCTTAACCGATCCATGAGGAATACTGGTCCCGCGATTTGCACAGCTTAATTATGTTCACTCTTTAATACTTGGCACATTCGGGTGATTTTGGCAGACAAAATTTGAATGGGGGATTGTGTCAACCAATTTGCCGAATGACCAGTGGGTGCTGTAATGCAAAAAAGGCACAAGACATCTTGAAAATGTCTGCCGAAGGATGAACAGTTCTGGGAAGATTTTAATTCGGGCTTAATTTGTCTTAAAATATGGACCCCTTGTAATTGATATCCCAATTTCTTTCTATCGGCTCAAAAATTTGGACCTTTTCCCTCCCAACTTCCCAGGTTGACATGGAAGCCTTCCTCACCCTCAATGAGTCAGACCTCAAGGAGATGGGCATAGCCACGACAGAGCCTCTGCAGCAGATACTGGGTGCCATCACGGAGCTGAACGACACAAAGTATGTCAGGAAATATCCCCTGCCTGACAGGTCAGTAGAGGTAGGATATAACATGGGCTCAATGACTTCTAGGAAGGACTTCAGCTACTGACAGCAACTATGTCAGGAAATATCCCCTGCCTGACAGGTCAGTAGAGGTAGGATATAACATGGGTTCAATGACTTCCAGGAAGGACTTCAGCTACTGACAGCAAGTACGTCAGGAAATATCCCCTGCCTGACAGGTCAGTAGTGGTAGGATATAACATGGGTTCAATGACTTCCAGGAAGGACTTCAGCTACTGACAGCAAGTACGTCAGGAAATATCCCCTGCCTGACAGGTCAGTAGAGGTAGGATATAACATGGGTTCAATGACTTCCAGGAAGGACTTCAGCTACTGACAGCAAGTATGTCAGGAAATATCCCCTGCCTGACGGGTCAGTAGCGGTAGGATATAACATGGGCTCAATGACTTCCAGGAAGGACTTCAGCTACTGACAGCAAGTACGTCAGGAAATATCCCCTGCCTGACAGGTCAGTAGCGGTAGGATATAACATGGGTTCAATGACTTCCAGGAAGGACTTCAGCTACTGACAGCAAGTACGTCAGAAAATATCCCCTGCCTGACAGGTCATTAGCGGTAGGATACAACATGGGTTCAATGACTTCCAGGAAGGACTTCAGCTACTGAGTGGATAAGCTCGTCGGTGGAGTTCAACGTTAAAACGCCACTAACCGTAAGCCAAAAAATCGTTGCTAACTGCATCGGAAAAGTCTGCAAGAGGTAACAAGGCATTTTGATTTGTGCTCATGCTTACATCTTGTAACTATGGATTTGTTACATGTAACAAAGAACACCGGCTGAGGTACCTGCAGCTAATAGGATTTATTGAGTGGATGCTGGGACTCGGGCTTTGCTAGAATCTTTCGTATTTTTCTTTTTTTAACACTGCCTGTTTTCAAACAGTTTCTAGGGCTTGTGAGTGATTGTTTGCAAAAACAAACAAGTTGGAAGTACAGGAAATTCATCCATTATGAAATTTCTTAAGGAATTACAGAAGAAAAAATAGACAAGATGCAAGAACATTTTGTGAAATATGAGGCGTTGAACAGAAAATTATAAACTCAGTGCAGAGGTGGCCCTCATTAATTTTATGTAAAGAGTACTCTGTGCCATTTGTACACCAACCAGTGTGTGGGCACATTTGATATCTTGACCTTCACATACTACTGCGATTTGTGAGACATAGGGATAAACAGTTGATGAATAAGGGGATAATGTACATGTAGGTTCACAATACATGTATTTACTATGATACAAATTGTATCGTTATCTTTGTAATGTGATACATATATTTTAAACAGCGGCATTGTTACATACCTAGTGAAAAGGCATAAAATGCTAACACGGAGTCCATATTATTAGTTTAAAGTGTTTTTCAGTTTCTTCACAATTTTTTTTGTTATGCTTACTGCATATAACACAAAACAAGTGCTGCAACACTTACTTTTATTTTGTATGTATGAATATGTATACATGTACATATATATTTCTGTTTCAAACAACCAGTGAATCATTTTGTATTACTGAAGTTTAGATTTATATACTTAGTACCAGTTTCCAAAGCTGTATTTTTAGTACATTGTAGTTAGTATAGGATTTTGTATTTATTTTTTTGTACTGTAAATTATTCGTAAGTACTCGTCTTCAGCATTCTAAATCAACTATTTATTTGTTTCCTAATATCTTTTCTACCTCGGATAAGAAAACAACATTTGTTTTCATGTTTTATATGCAAAAACCGCATTCTTGGAGTGGGATGTGCATACAAGGTAATATTAATAAGCGTAAATGAAAATTTAACAATTTTTAGCAATCTCAACCGTTCAAGATTGCAAAAAACTTCTAAAATAACAAATAAAATATTTAAATTTTTCAAGCGACCAACAAATAACTATAACAAGGGACAAGTATAATCTAAACAAAATTGAACAAATGAACAATACAAATAACCAGTCATGTTGGCTTTGAAGGTAATGTCAGTTGCTTTTGCATCAATTTCAGAAATGGATAGATTTGGGGGTTAGTATTTTATAGCAAATATTGGTTACACTGAGCTGCTTAAAGTTTTGTGGTCATAGATGCTGAAGAAAAAAAACAAGAAAAAAATGCTGTTCTGGTTGTCTGGTTCCCTGACCCTACTTCAGACAAAACAGATCAATTTATAGACGTCGGGGAATTGTCAGGTAGGGGATCTAGACTAGCTGGCTTGCACCCGTTCATGGATGTGTAACCGATTGCAAACAAAATGTGGACTTACTAAAGTTGGTAAATTGGAGTTGGTAAACGGTAGGCCGACCGTTGTTGGAAATTGATACAAAAATTCCACTTTTCTTGAAAATGACAGCACACCAGGTGCCGTGATTTCACAGGATGCTTGAGACTATTATTCACTTACAGTCAAATGAAGGTATTTCATAATAATTTGGTAGTTTTTGTTGTTGGTGGTGTTTGCAAATGTTGTAAAATTACCTTTAATTTGTTGCTTTTTACCACGGTATGTATTCAGATTTTCCTGTGCCTTACAAACATTGCCAGCTAATACTGCCCATCCTCGTTTTCCGTTGTGAGAAATCTAGAAAAGACCTCTTTAATATCTCAATATTCCATCTTTCTGTGATAATTTATCACGGAAACATTGAAGATCACTTGAAGCTTCCGTAGACAAAAGTGTTGTTTGTCCTCATAGTATGTTATTTTGTATTCAAGTTTTATGTACTTTCTTTGCTGCAATTGTATTTAAAAAAAAGGTGAAAATGTGAAAATGAAAAAGCATTGTCCAAAGACATGTTAATACATCATGTTTTATTTCTGAATTATTGGCCATTATTTCACATTTTTTTCAGTAATTGGCCAATTCAGCAGAACATTTTTCAGAATTTTGTTTTTACGATTCACACGCTGCTTTGGATCATGTATCCACATTGACCTTACCTATTTGAAGAGTTATTTCCAAAAACGCGATATACGCCATTTTGTTCTCTTTTAGAATGCTGCTCTCTCCTGAATGCCCAAAAGCAATTTTGACGGCTATTTTGGCGACCTTTTTTTGGATATGTCGCATTTTGGAAATAAAGTCTTCATTTCTTTTTTCTTGAAAGGAGCAATACAATTAAATTTAGTTTTACATCCGAGCAGTCTTGTTTTCATTTTTCATTTTTACAAGGTGGTTTTCAAAATTACACTTTTGCAAAGCAATCATTCATTTCCTAGATTTCTAAACAATATTACAGACATTAAAACACTGTAGTCCAAGTAATCTGTACTTTCATGCTTCACATGATATGACGACAAAAGACGTAAATTTGAAACAATTTAATTTTTGGCCAAAAAATTAAAGTGTTTCAAATTTGCTGAAAAATATGCTGGAGGGTCCCTAAAGCACATGCCGATCCGATATATGGACAGATGAGCTTTTTAAGACAAAAGTTCTGCAATGTTTGGAGAAAAGTCGTTTTTTGGGCCAAATTTCATCAAAAATGTAAGGCTAACCCCTTGCCTTTTTATCAATTTTTGGCAAAAAATGAAATTGGTTAAATGTGCTTTAAAAGATGCTAAAGGGACCCTAAAACACATTTCAATCAGATTTATGGACAGATGAGCTTTTTAAGACAAAAGTTCTGCAATGTTTGGAGAAAAGTCGTTTTTTGGCAAAATTTCATAAAAAATGTAAGGCTAACCCCTTGCCTTGTTATCAATGTTTGGCCAAAAAATGAAATTGTTCAAAATTGCTTTAAAAGATGCTGAAAGAACCCTTAATCACATTCTAATCTGATTTATGGATAGATGAGTTTTTTAAGAAAAAAGTTCTGCAATGTTTGGAGAAAAGTCGTTTTTTGGCCAAATTTCATCAAAAATGTAAGGCTAACCCCTTGCCTTTTTATCAATTTTTTGGCAAAAAACTGAAATTGTTCAAATTTGCTTTAAAAGATGCTGAAAGAACCCTAAAACACATTCTAACTCGATATATAGACCGATGAGCTTTTTAAGACAAAAGTTCTGCAATGTTTGGAGAAAAGTCGTTTTTTGGCCAAATTTCATAAAAAATGTAAGGCTAACCCCTTGCCGTTTTTCAATTTTTGGTCAAAAAATGAAATCGTTTCAAATTTGCCTAAAAAGATGCTTAAGGGACCCTAAAGCATATGCCAATCTGATACGACATTTCGACAAATATTTTGGGTAAAATCAATGAAAAGGTGTTGTTTTTCTCAAAATAAATCAATGAATTTTGCTCATATCTTCAAAATATTGGGTGTTTCAATGTTTATTGATGCTCCTCTTCACTTCCAACGAATTTCTACAGAGCCTGGAGAAAATTCATTTTTTGGCCAAATTTCATCAAAAATGTAAGGCTAACCCCTTGCCTTTTTATCAATTTTTGCAAAAAAAATGAAATTGTTCAAATTTGCTTTAAAAGATGCTGAAAGAACCCTAAAACACATTCTAATCCGATATATAGACCGATGAGCTTTTTAAGAAAAGTTCTGCAGTGTTTGGAGAAAATTCATTTTTTGGCCAAATTTCATCAAAAATGTAAGGCTAACCCCTTGCCTTTTTATCAATTTTTGGCAAAAAAATGATATTGTTCAAATTTGCTTTAAAAGATGCTGAAAGAACCCTAAAACACATTCTAATCCGATATATAGACCGATGAGCTTTTTAAGAAAAGTTCTGCAGTGTTTGGAGAAAATTCATTTTTTTTGGCTAAAATTCATTAAAAATGTAAGGTTAACCCCTTGCCTTTTTATCAATTTTTGGCAAAAAAATGAAATTGTTCAAATTTGCTTTAAAAGATGCTGAAAGAACCCTAAAACACATTCTAATCCGATATATAGACCGATGAGCTTTTTAAGAAAAGTTCTGCAGTGTTTGGAGAAAAGTCGTTTTTTGGCCAAATTTCATAAAAAATGTAAGGCTAACCCCTTGCCGTTTTTCAATTTTTGGTCAAAAAATGAAATCGTTTCAAATTTGCCTAAAAAGATGCTTAAGGGACCCTAAAGCATATGCCAATCTGATAAGACATTTCGACAAATATTTGGGGTAAAATCAATGAAAAAGTGTTGTTTTTCTCACAATAAATCAATGAATTTTGCTCAAATCTTCAAAATATTGGGTGTTTTAATGTTTATTGATGCTCCTCTTCACTTCCAACGAATTTCTACAAAGCCTGGAGAAAATTCATTTTTTGGCCAAATTTCATCAAAAATGTAAGGCTAACCCCTTGCCTTTTTATCAATTTTTGGCAAAAAAATGAAATTGTTCAAATTTGCTTTAAAAAATGTTGAAAGAACCCTAAAACACATTCTAATCCGATATATAGACCGAAGAGGTTTTTAAGAAAAGTTCTGCAGTGTTTGGAGAAAATTCATTTTTTGGCCAAATTTCATCAAAAATGTAAGGCTAACCCCTTGCCTTTTTATCAATTTTTGGCAAAAAAATGAAATTGTTCAAATTTGCTTTAAAAGATGCTGAAAGAACCCTAAAACACATTCTAATCCGATATATAGACCGATGAGCTTTTTAAGAAAAGTTCTGCAGTGTTTGGAGAAAAGTCGTTTTTTGGCCAAATTTCATAAAAAATGTAAGGCTAACCCCTTGCCGTTTTTCAATTTTTGGTCAAAAAATGAAATCGTTTCAAATTTGCCTAAAAAGATGCTTAAGGGACCCTAAAGCATATGCCAATCTGATAAGACATTTCGACAAATATTTGGGGTAAAATCAATGAAAAAGTGTTGTTTTTCTCAAAATAAATAAATGAATTTTGCTCAAATCTTCAAAATATTGGGTGTTTTAATGTTTATTGATGCTCCTCTTCACTTCCAATGAATTTCTACAAAGCCTGGAGAAAATTCATTTTTTGGCCAAATTTCATCAAAAATGTAAGGCTAACCCCTTGCCTTTTTATCAATTTTTGGCCAAAAAATGAAATTGTTCAAATTTGCTTTAAAAGATGCTGAAAGAACCCTAAAACACATTCTAATCCGATATATAGACCGATGTGCTTTTTAAGAAAAGTTCTGCAGTGTTTGGAGAAAATTCATTTTTTGGCTAAAATTCATTAAAAATGTAAGGCTAACCCCTTGCCTTTTTATCAATTTTTGGCAAAAAAATTATGAAATTGTTCAAATTTGCTTTAAAAGATGCTGAAAGAACCCTAAAACACATTCTAATCCGATATATAGACCGATGAGGTTTTTAAGAAAAGTTCTGCAGTGTTTGGAGAAAAATGATTTTTTGGCCAAATTTCATCAAAAATGTAAGGCTAACCCCTTGCCTTTTTATCAATTTTTGGCAAAAAAATGAAATTGTTCAAATTTGCTTTAAAAGATGCTGAAAGAACCCTAAAACACATTCTAATCCGATATATAGACCGATGAGCTTTTTAAGAAAAGTTCTGCAGTGTTTGGAGAAAAGTCGTTTTTTGGCCAAATTTCATAAAAAATGTAAGGCTAACCCCTTGCCGTTTTTCAATTTTTGGTCAAAAAATGAAATCGTTTCAAATTTGCCTAAAAAGATGCTTAAGGGACCCTAAAGCATATGCCAATCTGATAAGACATTTCGACAAATATTTGGGGTAAAATCAATGAAAAAGTGTTGATTTTCTCAAAATAAATCAATGAATTTTGCTCAAATCTTCAAAATATTGGGTGTTTCAATGTTAATTGATGCTCCTCTTACCTTCCAACGAATTTCTACAAAGCCTGGAGAAAATTCATTTTTTGGCCAAATTTCATCAAAAATGTAAGGCTAACCCCTTGCCGTTTTTCAATTTTTGGCCAAAAAATGAAATTGTTCAAATTTGCTTTAAAAGATGCTGAAAGAACCCTAAAACACATTCTAATCAGATATATAGACCGATGAGCTTTTTAAGAAAAGTTCTGCAGTGTTTGGAGAAAAGTCATTTTTTGGCCAAAATTCATCAAAAATGTAAGGCTAACCTCTTGCCGTTTTTCAATTTTTGGTCAAAAAATGACATTGTTTCAAATTTGCCTAAAAAGATGCTTAAGGGACCCTAAAGCATATTACACATTTACATATACAACCTTTAAATTCAATGATTGTGCTTTTTTGATGTTGTAAGATGGCGAGACGTTTTTGCAACAATTTAGAAATCTCTCCAGTCTTTGCACGGGTGTGAAATCTCAGCTTTAAAGCTGATTTCGGCTTTTTTGTTTTGGATTTCAGCTTTTTTCCCTCACTTGCTGTGTACAAAAGTAAAGGAGAATTCCAAAGTTCAGGTTTTTTTAACTCCTTTTTCAGCTGTTTTCAGCGATTTTTTTTATCAGTGGTGACTCACACACCCCTGCTTTATCAAAGGCTGGGTCAGCACACTGCAGAAGTTCAATCTTTCTTAGCATCTAACGCTTTGCTTTGTTAATTATATATTAATTAAAAATGCGAACTGAAACAAGTGTTGGTTTTCTGAACAGCTTTCATTACAGGAATCAAGCAGACACAAAAAAAGGTTTAAGATTCTAAAGAAACATATTTACATCAAATGCTAACAAAACAGGATGTATTACGATGTCCTTGATATAAAATGTACAATAAATCTCTTCTTATAATTATTTATCGGTTATGGTGTGTAACTGTCAATCTAGAATTTTTGCACTAAAAAATAACAACATCTTCAAGTGACAATGTTGCAATCTCAAGCAGACTACCAGGGCGTTTCTCCTTGTGGAATTAAGGGACGTCTGTAAAAATGATAAGAAATACAATTGAATATCCTTTGCTGCAACCAATCTCAACCAACTCATTGTCAACAGTACCAGTGGTTCAAATCCTCATCTTTGAATTAACAGTTGGGTCTGCTGATTTCAGAAATGGGATAAAAAGAAAGTCCGTCATGAGCCAGCTCAATATGACCCATCAGGAAGGCCTTTATATCTGGGCCTCCTTGGCCTGAAACAACTAATAATGCTTTCTATTCCCCTGGACATGATGCTAGTCCATCACAGGTTACTCCCCAGCTAATGCCGGTACCCATTTATACTCCTGGGTGGAGAGAGGCAAGTGGGGATGAAGTGGCTTGCCCAAGGACACAACATATGGCCAGCAGCTGGATTCGAACCCCTGACCCTCTGATCATGAGTCACCAACCCTAACCACTAGGCCACACTTCCCCTTATAAATGAAATGTGGGAGTATACAAATATTGAATGTTTGTGGGTGCAATGGTAAGAATAATTTCATGAGGTGACAGACGTAATGTTCGCCTCGTGGAATGGAACATTCCATCTGTCACCGAATGAAATTACTTTCCATAGCACAAATGTGAAACATTCTTTACTTGTTTTATACAACACCTAAGTTAATCCTCAAAAAGAACAAAGACTCTTAGAAAATTGGGATACGAAAATCCAGAATATCCAACTACTTTTTTTGCTGGCGCCAATAAAAATCTAAATATATCAGAGTTAAAAAAGTAAGATAAATTAATGTATACTTACAAGCAGGGGCTGGCCTAGGAGCTCTATTGTACAATGGTCTCATGTGCATATTGTTGGGTGTCTGAAAATGTACCAAAATCAGTTGAACATTAGCAAATACTACCAATCAAAATTGTGGTGCTTAAAAAGCACTTACTACCAAAGTCTCAAAAGTTTCACAATTATTACCCCTGTTTAGATCATCAGGTTGAGATCAGCGCAATCGGGTCTCTACCTTCACAGGGTGGAGAGCGACAATTGTAGTAAAGTGTCTTGCCCAAGAACACAAACACCGTGTTCCCAGTCTGGGTTCGAACTTGTGTACCATCGCACTGGAATTGAATACCGTAACCACTAGACCATGGTGCTCCACATGTTTTGTAGATTAAAGAGTTGAACCAAAGCACGATATCATTTAGTTGCCACTTTTTTGACAAATCACAATACAATATATTTTGGGCACAAGTGGGGGTGTGAAATGGACATTTTTGTATTAAGAGCAATGGCTGAATTAGGTAGAGATAAACATGTTTGCATTGTGTTGTAGCTCCATATTTCTAAATTATTGATTGATGTTTCCGAAGTTGTTACTTGCGATATTAGGAAATCAGTGTGAAGCCTATGGCATGTACCTGGCGCATACTTTGAATCATGTTTTCAAGCATGGCGCTATTGTAACATAATGTCGGTTTCACGCATAGTGGAATGTAATTCCTTATATCACCTCCAGAAAGCAGTTTAGAACTTCAATCAAACTTCAACTTCAGATAAGGTTGTTTAAGTTTTCTATAATAATTTCTGATTTTTTTTTTAATAATGGGCTTCAATAGAGGATTCAGGCATGCAACTGGGAATTAAAAAAAACGAGGAAACTCAAAATCACACAGGACTTTGTACAGTATTTTTCAATTTGTAATGACATTCATGAGAAGTAAAAAACAAGGAAATCAGCAGATCCGAGGAAAAGTTGCATGCCTGAGGATTTTAGGGTGGGGGTTGAGACTTGGGATGCACTGATTCAAGAGGAGCTTTGTAACTTACAATTGAGACCCGCTCCACCCTTGAGAATTCAACTTCAATATCTTTCTTCAAGATGGCAGAACGAACCTGTATCAAAAGGAAATATTTAGAATGAAGATTATTTTTGATGTAACAATGTATACCTCTTCCATTTCATTTAAATTTTGTTTGTCATCTAAACAATTATAGACAATTTTTTTCTATTAAAAACATTTCTCAGGCCTATTTCTTTTTAAGGTTAACCATTTTGAACGAGTAAAACAACTCATATGCTTAATATTAACAAAAGGAAAATTCCACATCAGCATACACATTCAAAAGCAAGATGGTGAACATTTAAAAATTAGAAACAAAGGTCTTTGAAAATCATAATTATTATTTTAAACAAATCACGATAAAACAAATCAAATCTTGCCATGGCGAAGGTCGCGCAAACTATCCTCTCTATTGACGAGAATTATTTTGATTTAACTGATTATTTACTGGAACGTAGGATAAATCAATGTGCCAAGTATCAAATCTCAATGAAGACTCAAACTCAAACTTGAAGGAATTGAAATTTAGACAAAAATTGATGCTGAACATACCTCCCTGTTGCCAAGGCCATGAAACAGGAAGATGAAGACACCCTGACCAACAAAAACAAAAGATTTGTTTGTCTTAAACTTAAAGCTACATAGGAACATTTGCTTTTTGTGCATTTTTTTCCCCGTTTAAGGCAACAAAATTGCTCAAAATCTTAAGAAGGCTGCCTAACAACTAAATTCTTGAAATTTCAGCTCAGTGGACACTTAGATTTTGATAAAAACTGTGAAAAGGTATGCAGAATTTTTGGGTCCTGTAGCTCATGCAACTGGATTTCGTTGCTAACGCTCGTAAAAAAAACCTGCCTGCGGGCACATTTTCTTAAACCACCTTCAACGATTGTTTTCTTCCGATCGATACCATTTCTGGTGGAGTAATTTTACAGGGTATTTGATACCAGTCCTATCTTCACTTTGCGCAAGGAATTTCTCGTTAAATTGGTAGATATGTTTCCCTTTAATTGGAAGTGTTTCTTCGTGCCTTTAAGGTTGATATCTAGCAAAATTATCAAAATTGTGCCAATAAAAGGTACTCCCATTTACTGTGGTCCCTTCTTTACACAAATAAATAACTTTGACAAAGAAATGTGAAGCAGGGAGGGTTTGAAGCCTTAATTATGACATCAAACAAACTATTTCAAAATTTCAAAATTCGCATGTGGAAAATCAGCTTCCGTAATAACTTTCAAAGACATGGCATGCAACTAACTACAGGTTTTTCTGTAAATTTTTGCACTTTTTTCCCTAGAACTTCTCAAACTGTAGATGCTATACAAATTCTAAATTGGCTTCCTTTCTCCAGTTTGGAAAATAAAGTGGTGATTTTTTCCCCAGAAATACTACATACAACAGATTTTTTTCTTCTTCAAACATGACAAATTTGGATTCAATATTAGGTTTTGCCCTTCACCGACATATAAACACTGTATACTCAGTGTGTTACCTCCCGAGTGAAAGTTGGAAAAAAAAATCACTCGAGTGGGACTCAAACCCACGACCTCCTGCTCTCTAGTGCAGACGTCTTACCATTCGACCACCGAGCTAACGGGATCGGTTGGCTGGTTCAGGTACGAATCTGATGCAACAGCAGGTACCGCAATGAAACTATCCAAAAGATGGAATTTGCGTCGAGGTGTGTAAATTCAATATTAGGTATTGCCCTTAACCAATGTATAAACACTGTAAACTCAGTGTGTTACCTTCTGAGTGAAAGTGGGGGAAGAAAAATTGGAATAAATTTCAAAACTGACCTGGAGTGAATTGAGCACTGTGAAGAAATAAGCCAGAATGATGTTATTGTAGTTGATGTGTAGGATGGCAAAGACCCAGGAACACCCAAGGAATGGAAGCAGGATGGCAGAGGCACGAAGGCTGGAACTACACAAAATGACGGGGAGAAATGACAAACACACGTCAGGGTAGTCTGAAAACAGCCTCAACACTTCTCACGATGGCAGATGTAGAGTTTGAGATCTACCAGGATGCAGACCAGTAAATACGCCCAAAAATTGCCTACGCCGGCCAAATCATGATTTGCATACCCTCAAGTTCTCCGTTATTAGAGCATTTTTAAGACCGTGAACTTTAGAAATTGTAAAAAAAAGAAGGGTGGAAGCCGTGCAGAGGACTGCGAGCTCATTTTTCTGTGAAATTTGGATGAAATTAGGCCCTGAAATTGTTCTATTTTGCAATGGAGCGTAGGTATCCTTTTTCGAATTGGCGCTGGGCTTCAGGACTGCTTTTAGGGGTGATCATCTTTGGATGGAATTTTCTGCCAAAAGTCATGGTTAACCCTAAAAAAAAATTGAACGGAAAATGAAAGATGATGAAATAAGCTTTAATTTGATGTGTGTCTCGAGCACCTTGGAGAGTTGTGAGTATTTTTAATAATTTTGGAAGTGCGCGTAATTATCACTGAAGTCTATGGCAATACTGGTCTGCAACCACCAGTGTATCGTTGGCCTAATGACCTATGACCTATGACATGTGTGAAATGAGGTCAGGTATCCGGTCTCAAGTTAGGGAGCTGCATGGTTCCTGTAGGCACTGTAACTAGTCGAATTCCGTTAACAGAAAACGGAACGTGATTACTGGTAGGTACAGCTGGCATACCAATCTCCTACAGTCAAAGCATAGCTGCATCAAGCTACATAACCAGTCACAACCAGTCAATCCTGCTTTACGTGGACAGTGAGCGCTAAACTGTTAAAAACAATAACTCAATTGATTTTGACTGCTGGGAAGGTTGAATCCAACAGCCGGAGAGGGGGGTTTTAACTAAAGTGTAAAGATGGGGTTACATCTTACCTGCGCAATTTCAACTTCTCAATTCTTTCAGGGGATGTGAGAGTGCTTTTCCACACGATGTAGAGAATACACAGGTTGACCTGATCAGAAAAATTCAATGCAAAAACTATTCATCAATCGATTACACCTGAATAAGATTTATTCAAACACCTAATAGACTCCGTGTACTACAAAGGGAGAGTTGGGGAAGACCCAGTGGCGCACCCAGGATTTGGTTGGGGGGGGGGGGGCTCAAAAAATTGTCTTTTACAAATTTGTTAAAAGTTGTATTTTTTTTTTTTTTGAAGGGGCGGCCTATTTTGACGTTGGTGGCGCCACTTACACCCCTATTATACTACTCAAAAACAGGCCACATTCATCTCACCAAGGCCAAATCGTGGGACTAGAAAAAAAAAAAAAAATTGAAAAAAAAAAAAAAAAAAAAAAAATGGACCTCTGGGGGGGGGGGGGGGGAGCTCAAGCCCCCTTAGGCCCTCCCCTTGGGTGCGCCACTGGGAGGGACATTCAAACGTATTGCCGACAGCGTCTGATGCTCACGCAAAGACAATATGGGTTTGTGTCATTACATGTTTATTGGTAGATACTTTTCTGGGTAATCGCAAATGATCCTACATGGCTTTAAAAGCACAATTTTAACACCGCTACGTGTTTTAAACACTGATGATTATAACCAGTTGCGAGATCCCGCACCAAGTGCGCAGTACGTGCCCGGGCGTCAAGCACACCAAACGTGCTGAGCACACCAAACGTGCCACGCGCACCACGAAAACGACCCGAACAGGCACGTAAAATGATCACAACTGCTCCGTCACAATATCATCCGCTTATTCAAATTGACCAACTCACCAGAATGATGAAGACACAGGGTCCAACAAACAGCCAAACGGCACCGTTCTCTATGGACATCCAACAACTAGGGTAAAAAATGAGGGAGAATAACAAAACCCAGACATTATCACAGGCTCAGATTCAAGAGGTGTAACAGACATGGTGACACAAATAGAGCCATCAGATTAAATTATATGTCCAAGGAAAACAAATTATAGAAAGTACCTTTTCTTGTATTGGTAAACTTTTATGACATTCGGATATATTTGCAGATAAAGGAGAAGAAGTTGCTCAGAGTAACCACAGTGATATGAATAATGTTTGGTTATTGATAATGTTTGTTTTGACTCCTCTAGTTGTTTAAGACAGTTTCTGATGCAATGCAGCATGATATTTTAGGGTAAAACAGATTAACGATGTAACACAGATAACACACCATATTTTGACCATATTTGTAATAATTATAAGAATAATTTGGGGGCTAATTGTGAAGCACTCGGCTGCAACGTGGCCGAGCTGAAGGCAAATAAAGGCCTCTTAGGCAGCCGCGATACGACCCATGTATCAGGCATGCAACTGGAAATTTTGAAAAAACGAGGCAATTCCAAACCATACAAGGCTTTGTACAGTTTGTAATGGCATTCATGAGAAGTAAAAAACGAGGAAATCAGCGGATCCAAGGAAAAGTTGCATGCCTGGTGTATGACCACGGAGCACAGCCTGAGATCGAAAATATTTATTATTTTTGTTGAACAAAGAAATTGACTGGACTGGGGTTTGAACCTGCAACCTCCAGATTGCCGTTCCAGTGCTCTACCAACTGAGCTATCAGCCCTATATGTAGAGGGTTCTCCATTTTGTCGATGTCTTTGTTCAAGAGGCCAAACATCAGATGTGAGAATATAGGTAGTATGGCCTATAACATACCGACATACATGCATTCAAATAGAATTTTGTGGGGGAGTTTTGGGTTATCACGTGAGAACATTACGGTTTAGTTTTACCTGTCCTCAGTTCCGTATCCCTCAAAGGCAATGGCAAGCGTGGTACCAACAATCATTACTGGCAGACCTATACACACAAGACCATGCAAAAAAAGACCGTGAAAAGTTAATCAAGTAGTCACAGAAGAGTGGTATTTTTCAGTCAAGCTAGACAAGTTTGTTTCTGACAAGCAGGTGGTGCAAAGACGCAGAACAAATCATACACCTGCACTTACAAAAATGAAAACGCCACACAGAGGCTATGATGCAGTCAGCATAGCCTTCGTTTTTTCTTTCTTTGTTTTTCACTCTCATTGATTTGTTCAATAAGCAGAAGAGCTCAATAATCCGCAAGTTAATAAGAAAATAAGGCTCAATCCGGCCAGAATCAAGAACGTTTTTTTAAAATTGTTCATAGGATAGAATTTTGCGTCGGGGTGATAAAATTAGGTTTTGCCCTTCACCGACGTATCCACCCAAGTGATTTTTTCCAACTTTCACTCGGGAGGTAACACACTGAGTATACAGTGTTTATACGTCGGTGAAGGGCAAAATCTAATTTGATATTTTTAATTGTGCTGTGAAATGGCAGTTTTTAGTTATGCCGAGATTTGAAGGTTTGCATGGTGGAAAGATACTAAGACAAGATAAGTTTGCGGTAGCACCATGTGAATAAATCTCTTTTGTGAGTATGTGTGTAAGTTATGCCATTTACAGTATGTTTGCAGAAACCCACAGTGACTACCATTTTTTAGGCAAATTTTCTTATCTATGGGCTCATTACAGGCGCTCATCACTACTAGTCAATGTATCCATCCTGCCAGTGACTAAGATATCGCTTCGGCAAATTCGGTCACCTACCCCAGCCAATCAGGAGGTAGTAGCGAGACTTTTGTCTGAAGTAGTTGCCGACTGGGTTCTTGACTTCCACCAGGAGATGGATGCCTTCCACCAGCATCCATGAGAAGGTCGCTGTGTAGAAATACTGCAGGACAACAGCGATGGAGGTACAGGCAGTCTGGACCGGGGAAAAATAGACACAAGATTAAAGCCAGAGTCCATCATTGGCAGCGATCCAAAAAGTAACTGGCGTAATTATTGTTGAAAAACATACTTGGTTGAAAGATAGTAAGGGGACTAAACTCCTGTGAAATTATTCTTTCTGGCAAGCTGTCATTTTGAAGAAATCAACGAAAGAAGGCCTTTCCAACGGTGCGTCTTAAGAAGCACTATTGGAAATTCCGTTAATAGTTCGTTTTTTTATTTGGCGAAGCGCGCGCAAGCGTTGGCACGATGCACACGCGCGCGTAGTTGCTATAATTCGTCGGATCGTTGCGCGACATCGCGTAGCTGCAATCAGCTAGTGAGAACGTATCTCGGACGCTGAATTCAGGCCCAATTCAAAACATGATTCAGCAACTTTTGTTTTGAAATCGGAGCCTAGAATGTTGTTTTTCATCAGGTTAGTTGTTCAGCACCCTTCTTTAGATTTTGAGCACTATTGTTGCTTCAAACGAACAAAATGCACAAATTACAAATGATGGACTATACCTTAAAAAAAAAACCCATTACTTTGGAAATATATACTTGGATAGTAAAAAGTCAGTGGCAATAACATCGACAGCATGAAATATGCCAAGCAAGTGTTTTTGAAACGATCTAAAACTGAAAAGGTCGGCCAGTAATCTCACAAAACTGGAACTTTTCTTTTCTGCGTATGTATATTTTTCTTTTTCCTATAGAATACTGGTTGGGTTTGTGTGATGTGTTCAGTCAAAACTAGATCTTTCTAAGCACAGCATGAAATGGCGATGTCATCAAAATATTTATTTTGTTTCTTTTCCAATTTCACGTTATCCTTTTAAATGACTTGTTGAAAACTTAATAGCAGGCCAATTTCTCAGTTTTCATATTTTTAGCAAAATCACAAAGTTTAACCAGTTCGCGCCGGAGGCCGTGTATACACGCAAAAGTTTTCGGTATTCGGAACAGATGACAGATAAACACGCAGGGAGCGAGGCTGGAAATATCTGTCAGCGACCCGCACGCAGTGAGCGAGGCTGGAAATATGAGTGTACTGCCCGGGGTGATAGCTTCAACCCGCCTGGCTTGAGGTCGAATGAAAATAATCCCGCGCCTCATTCTGTTCTTTTCAAAATAATCCCGGTTTGAACCGGTTTAATAAGCAAATTTTTCCCAAGAAAATTCTGTTTTCAGAAATCAAACCATCAATATTAAAATACAACCAATACTATATAAAAAAATCAAACAATGTAAAAAAAAATATCTTGACAGTGCCCAAAAGAGTCCATTTTTGACAGAACACATCACATATCGTTATCCCCTTACCTGATCATCCTTGATGACTGGTATAACGAGGTATGCAGTCTTGGCTAGCATCATGGCTATGATCAAGTTGACGTGGATAGCATTCACAATGGTACGTAGCTTGCTGCAAAATAAGGAAGCACAGATAAGAAGAAAATCTCATATAAAATATAAGGGACACGATCTGTTTTGGCTGCTTTTGGCAAATCAACAACGACATGAACAACTACATAAAATTTACCTGTAAAAATGCGAATCATTACACCTCAAGAATTATAGGCTTATTTACCTGACACAAATGAAGATGAGAAGCAGTGATACTAAGGCTAGCATAGACAGACCGTTCCCTGCCCAGGAGATATATTGCAGATTGATGACATCTTGACTGATCTCCTGTAAAACACAGACAAGGTGATTATGCACAAATGGAATCAGGATATTCAAGCTGAATGTTCTTGGGCTATTTCTTGAGGTTTAAAACCGGTTATAGGGGCCTGGAAGCCGAAAACGGCCCAAGCCGAAGACGAGGGCTATTATCGGCCACCAGGCCCCTAACTGGTTTCAAACATCACGTTTACAAATGCCCCATCGCATTATTATCCCCATGCATAAAATACCTTTTTGGTCAAAAACCATAAAAAGTTGAAAAGTTGACAAAACGTCCAACAACTTTTATTCTACCGTTTTACTCCGTGTCCAGGAGTTTTCTATGGTGCATGTGGCGTGTGCAGACACCTGAATTAGTGGGAGTATTTGAAAAAAGTCACTTTTTTCCGACGATGGTCAGTCGACCATCACTGGAAATTGATACAAAAATATTACTTTTCTTGAAAATGACAGCACACCAGGTGCTATGATTTCACAGGATGCTTGAGACTTTTATTCACTTACAGTCAAGTAAGGTATTTCAAAAGAATTCAGTAGTTTTGTGTTTTGATGTTTGCAATTGTTGTATTGTACCTTTAAGTGTTAACATGCTTTTTGACTCAACTTCAATCTTTGGCAGTCGAGTCATTTACCCGCTATGAATCGAGTTGACTCAAGTCACTGAAACTTGTTACTAGAGTCGAGGTATTGGATCAAGCAAGTACAACGTTGCTGTAACTCACCTCCATCGGAATGGGCTTCATGAGCGTTCCAAAGTTGGTCAGATGATAGCAATAACAGACAGTGTGTGTGTCGTTGCTGGATTGGACCTCACAACCATCTGTGCTCCAGCCTCCATTGATGGTGTTTCTACATGATGCAAGAAGCATTTATGCGATGTATTAAATGCATGAGCACAGACAGGTAAAAGAAAATTCGCATTCCTCAAAAGATTGTGTAAAAAAATTATTTGATTTCAAAGATTCTTTGTTTTTGCATGTGCGGCCTCAAGGTTGCTTCATACTTGAAGCGAAAAACAAAAAAACAAATTTCATGACGTTCACAATTAAAGTTGCATTGTGACGTTCGATGTCTACAATCACAAATTCGCTTGCCACTGAAATTTATGTGAAGTATCAAACAGCCTTCACACAGCCAGGGACGGATCCAGGTTTGGGTCGGGGGGGGGGGGATTAGTTGTCAAGAGGGGGTTTAACAGCCATCTGGTATTGTTTTACCAAGAGAAGGGCCGGTTTAAATCACCTAAACCACCCTGTGGATCCAATTCTATGCAAAAAAAACCCCAACACAACCAATTGTGGAATTGATCTACAGTTACAGCTCTTTAAGTCTTTTATATCGTAAAGATTTAAAATAGTTGCCATTCAGGAGACTTTGAGCAGATACCATTTTGAGCCAACATATTGGCTTACAATATAAAACAATCATTTGTATCTTATACAACAAACATTTTGGATTGTAACTTCCCCACCTCCCCCCCCCCTTTTTTTAGGACCTTTGCTTTTTTTTCTGAAGCCCTGTCACAATTTGTACCTATTTTATACAGAGTGACGGCCTGACAGTACTTACGCCATATCAAAGTCCCAGAAAGCACAGACGGGCTCCATGTTACTCTCTCGAGCCTAAAAATAAAACAGGTAAACATAACAGGTTTTATGAGCACCAACTTCCACCCAAAAGTACAAATACGCTGCAATATAATGTGAACTAATGCTCCACATTTCACACGTAAGCTTTGGAAGGACTAGTATTTACAACACATTGTGTCACATTTCTTCACAATCTTCTTATAAATTTAGCTTGCACATGCATGTTGTGGGCCTTGAAGGTGTTTGTGTAGACTCTTCAGTGCTGAGACAAAAATGTGTTCAAAAATGTTCCCAAGATCAACAGCCGATTCAGAAAACAGTGGGTAAGTCACACCATGCGTAAGACTTATGCGACAAATTTGTTGTGCAGCTGCAGTTTGAACTTGTGAACTGTGCCTTTTAAAAAATGTTTTAACAATCTTGGATAAAGATTCTCGTAACTTCTTGTTACATATCACCTCCGGTTTGCCTGCCATTTTGAAGAAATGTTGCCCACTTTCTTTGGAATTGGGCGGACTCTCAAAAATAGGTCACAAAGCTGTGTTTTTCTTGTAAAACATTGAGAATTTTGGCATTGATAGGCCTTACAACGATGAGTAAAATAGTCAATTTTCAGTCTGTACACTGTAAATTAGGTCACATATAAAAATGACTGTGGAAGTTATGCCATAATTTGTCCATAAACCTCAGGCTTATAGGCATTTGAGGAACTACAGTAGCAAGTAGCGTGATGCTTATGAGTTGTAGGAGGCTAGCTTGTTGAGATGGGAGATGGGAGATGGTATGAGTGCTCACCTTAACATTGCTCAAGGTAATTTTAAAAGGATTGTATACGTTCTTCCTCAGGGAAGGTTCGACAGTCAATGACACGATACGGCTAGGGGGTGGGGGGAGGGGCTCACCTTAACATTGCTCAAGGTGATTTCAATAGGATTGTACAGGTTCTTCCTCAGGGGAGGATCGACAGTCAGTGAAATGATACGGCTAGTCAATTTCATGGCTCCAGTTTCTGCATCGTCTCGTAGCTCACTGCGTAAAGAAAAACATACATTGTAGTGAAATAACAGTGACCAATTCCAAGCCTTATGATTCGCGTGGTTCACGGTTCGAACCCCATTAAGATCATTGTATAAACCCATCTCATGTCGATAGCTTTCACTTAACCCTTCCATTTGTAATTATTTCGTTTGTTCTGTTCTTCAGTTGTTTTGCTTTTGTAAGATTGTCGGCTTTTTCTGTTAAATTTGTTTTATATTAAATTCATATCGATTTTTAGTTTCCTTAATTTTTTTCCCTTTTGCTTGGTACATGTGTAGCTCCTTGAGCACCTTATGGTGGATATGTTCTAGGGCTTTATAAATCTCTATTACAACTCTATATGTACCCTTAGGGAGACATTTTGTAGTTAATAATTGTACCTTGGGGAGACACCGAACATTAGGGAGACGTTTCGATGTCTCCCTAATGTCACAACTTGGTATTCTTTAGAGAGGAGGTTGTGATTGGTTTGTTGATAAGTTAGACAGTTGGTGGAGTCATTTAGAAATAGTGAAAGTTGGAATGGGTCAAAGTTATAGGTCGACAAAGTTTTGCGGACAAGTCTACGGGAATGTCTCCCAAATGACCCTTCTCGGTAATTATTATGATTAAACTATTAGATATTACGAGGCAGGTGAACCACCTCGCTTGTGTCAAGGGAAAATAACCGCTTCAATCAACTGATCAACAGATTAACGTACACTCACACAGGTATACAAAAGTCCAGGCAGTATGATTTGAATACGCTACAGAGGTGCACACATATGCAAATAGGAGTAGTTAAGGGGTATCATAACTGTAGACTACATTTCTGGTTTTTTCCCTCTCAAACAGCTGACCTCAAAGTGGAATTCTCTACATTGTCTTCTTTGCTATTGAGCTGAGTGAGAACCAGAGATCACACACAGGTATTCAAATACAAATGAGAATTCATTTGAGTCAAGACGGCAACATTGCTTTTACTGTCAGATTGTGTGCTTACCTTTCTGTTGTTTCCATCGGCATGAATTCAGTGATGCTGTTGAAGACAAGGCCTACTAAAGTGCCCCCTCCAGTCTCTGTCAATTACAAATTGGTAGGGCATTTAAAATGGGTATTCTTCATGATGAGTCATGTTTTCAAATTGAGGTAGCTTTTAAATTTAAGAGCTCCGCCCGTTAACCTTGAGTTACTACCTGTTAACTTCAAGTTACTGCCTGTTAACCTCGAGTTACTGCCTGTTAACCTCGAGTTACTGCCTGTTAACCTCGAGTTACTGCCTGTTAACCTTGAGTTACTGCCTGTTAACTTCAAGTTACTGCCTGTTAACCTCGAGTTACTGCCTGTTAACCTCGAGTTACTGCCTGTTAACCTCGAGTTACTGCCTGTTAATCTCAAGTTGCTGCCTGTTAACCTTGAGTTACGACCCGTTAACCTCGAGTTACTGCCTGTTTTTCTCGAGTTACTGCCTGTTAACCTCGAGTTACTGCCTGTTAATCTTGAGTTACTGCCTGTTAACCTTGAGTTACTGCCTGTTAATTTCGAATTACTGCCCGTAAATCTCAAGTTACTGCCTGTTTATGGTAAAACTAGCCTCCTCTCCAAGAGCAAAGAAGAATATTTTGAAAAGGGCGGCATTTAAGTTTAGTAGCGGATACTGCCCTTCAAAGCCCCTTGTGGAGAACATTAGCAAAATTCCAACTTACTCTCTGTTGTGAAATCAAAGAAGTTCTTGGGCAGTTTGATGTTATCTGTTGGTTGATTCCAGGATTGGTTGATGAATTGGAGGTCCGGATCTGAATACTCGGGAAAGAGCAGACCGTTGTCTGGATCCAGAGAACCGATGTCAAACCGTTCAATATGAAGCACTGTAGAGAAGACAAAGTGTAAGTAACAAGAATAAACCAACAGAGTTACAGTAAAAACTAGAGAGCGCAGTCGCTACGCTACGTGCCGTCGCTAAACCACTTCTTTGGTACTACTACTGATCAGTTGGGAGACAGTGTGTGTCATGCATTGGGCAGGGTGGCTCCTTTCACTTCCCTGGCCCGTTGGAAAATTGACCAATAAAAAAAGCACATTTGGTTCATGAATATGTATGAGATGTAATCACAGGTTAAAAACCCTCCTAAGGACGGACAGAGCACACTGTCCGAAACATCAAGTTCTACACTCAACCAACCGGTTCATTTCAGAAACACACTTCTTCCAAGAAGAAATTTTTTTTCCACATTGGTGTTACGCGCAATTTGTCTATTTTATGTCATCTGCCATGCAAAGCTTCAAGTTGTATATAATCACAGATTATTTAGCTCTTGAAGTAACTTACTGATGTTTTCTGAGACTACACTCATGGTGACTTGGTCGTTGGGATCACCGTCAGGCGTAACTAGTAGATCGGCAATCTTCATGCCGTAGTCCTCTAGGTCTTTAAGCATCTTAGTGGTGCCTCCTTGAGTCTGCAAATTGATTAAGCAGTAAGAAATCTACTTTGCGAGGAAAATATCTAGAAGATTCTGACACCAAAGTGTTGTGAAATACTGGGTTTTTAAAATTTTTGAATTTTTAAAATGAAACGTGTCACACTTTTTTTGTTTGGAGTCATGAATACTTGCCTTGATATTATAAAATTTAAATTTGCATTTGCCTTTATGTATAAATTGGCACTTAGTTGTGAAAATATTGGGGAAATACAGGGTGAGTAAAAAAAAAAAGGGAACCCAAATGGCACCCCCCTCTTTTAAAAAAAATAGTTCTGCATGTAGCGCTTTCAAGATCTAGGATATAAAAGCCCAATTAATAAGCTATATTTTAGTAAACGAATCGTTCATATCATTAATATATTTTTCAAGTTATGAACTTTTAAACACAAACCCAGGTTTAAAATTTTAAAATTCCACGGATCACATTGAAGGTAAGTGATATTTACAGCGAAAACAAACCATGTATCAAAAAAACATATCAGAACACTCTCATAACCACGACAACTGGCACTTGTCATAACATTTATTTAAACACCTTCTGCTTCCAGTGTTAAAACAACATTCTTTAAAATGCCAGGAGTTTATAATCCTGCCCTACCCTCTATTTGGCTGCCCCGGACGCTTATGGGATTATTCTGATTTTCAGGATACGAAGTGGTTTCACTCTACTGAAATATCACGAACCTTAACTGTGATCCGTGGACAACATTTTACAACGGTGTTTGTGTTCAAAATACCATAACTCAGTACATGAGTGATTTGAATGATTCTTGTACTAAAAGAAAGCTTATTAATTGGGCTTTCACATCTTCGATCTAGAAAGCGCTACCTGCAGAATTTCTTTACAAAATAGGGGGCGCGATTTGGGTTTCCTTTTTGTTTACTTGCCCCGTAGAGTCACATAGACTATTAAAAACTTTCAAATCAAGGAAAGCAGTAACTACTTGTTCCCTATGATGACATGTACTTGATAAGATCTTACCTGTTGTATGCTGACCCAGCGTCTCTTTCTGTCCGCATTGAGAAGATTACTTGTCAACTCCAAGATGTTCTGGAAAGAAAAGCAGAAAGAAAACTTGCAGTCAGGTTAAATTCAGGTAATATCAGGCAAATTCTAAACACCCCTGATCATAAATCTTAAGTTTCATCACCTTATTATAAAGTTAAAGTAAAAAGAAACTTCAAAATAACTTCCTTTTTTTTTTTTAAGAATTGTGAATCAAACTGAGTAAGCCCAGATATAAAAGTAATTATGGAAATCCTGTGCACAATTTTAGTATCATGAAATTCAGTCGGAAAGTCAAAGAATTGGTGTCCTGAAATTGGCAACAAAATTGGGCAGAGGGTTGCCTAAGGCAAAAAAAAAAAAGGCTCCGGTTTCTGGTATGGAGCTTGCCCAAAAAGTGGTGCGGCGACACAGCTTTTTTTTTTTTACCTGATTTTTTTTGCCTCAAATGTCGGCTGATGACTGCAAATGATGCCCGACTAAACTTAGTGCAAATATATGGGAGTCCAGAGAGGCCACATAAAGCTTATTCTTGATCATAACCCCATCTAAAAACACGTTAAAATTGTGCAGCAGCAGGATTCCAGTCAAACCAGTGAGTTTGGTGGTTTTGAGACATCATCTTTCATTGAAAAAAAACCTTTTTCATTTTGCCGACGTGCATGGCTACGGCGACGCGCGCGCATACCAGAAACTGGAGTCTTTTTTTTTTTGGCCTAACATGGCTTGCTTGAACAAATCCATGGAAATCCCAGTGTTAACTGCCTCTAGTTAGGGAATTCCATTATAGACGTTTCAACCCACCTCTAAATCCACTTGTGCATCGCTGACGTTCATAGCTACAGGGAGCTCTCTGTGGACCACCTTGTCTACCATAATTGCCATCATCTCTATCTCATCCTTGGTCAAGTACTTCTCTGTGGCTGTGTAGTTCTTCAGACGCTGGATGACAGTGTCGTACAGGTAGCTATTGACGCCATCCTCAGAATATACCTGCAGAAGTTTAAATTTTAGACCATAAAAACAATACAATTATGAATCTTGACTTTTCTGTGTTGAAGATTTAAAAGTAAACTACCTAATTAAGGCCAAAAAAATAAATAAGTCGGTCTCTGGTCAGCGCGCGCGTCGATTTTAATCATGCGCGTCGATCTCTTTTTTTTCCAAAATGTTCCGCGGTAGCTCCAACAGCACCCTCTATTTCCGCACCTCCTCAATTTTTTTACCAAAGAGCACCAAGGAATGGGAAATTGCACCAAGGCAAATGATCGAAAGCACCAAGGCAAATTATGGAGGACACCAATGTACATGAGGACACCAAAAAAGCAAAGTAGTACCCCACCTTGTCTGTACAATCTAAGCTTGAAGAAGAAAAAAAAAAAAAAAAAAAAAAAAAAAAAGCCGTGTGGCCGCGTCAATTCCGGAACTTTGGTCTGACCAGAGACCGAATATTTTTTTTTTTTGGCCGAATGTATGTTTTGAACATCTGTGGAATACTTGTTTCTCGATGTGTGGGTTGGTTCTCAAACACCTTGGAGAGTTGTGAGTATTTTTAGTAATTTTTTGAAGTACGCGTAATTACCATTCAGGTCTATGGGAGTCGATTTGCAGGTCTTTGCTCTATGCATTGAGTGACCTGGGGAAGGGGTTGGGGACCAGACTTTGGGCCGATTTGAGAGTGGACAGTGGTCAATTTGGCTTGGAGTTTGGGAAGCATTTGGTTGGGTTTTTGATAATTATAACTTTGGTGAGTTGTGCTGACGGCCGAGTGTTGATTATGGGTGAGCTGGATGATAATGACCTACCACTTCAAACAGCTCATCTAAGTCGTTAGTGCAGTCGACTTCATGGGTAGCATCGCATTCAATGGTTCCCGTCCAGACAGAGTACTTGTCCAGCTCTTCGTGATTGGTTGTCACAACTGCTCAAGATCAAAGAAATATATAATTGTGAACTGGATTAAGCAATTGCAGCACAATGGTTTGTTAATAATATTTAAAAGTTTGAAAGGTCTCACTGTTGAAAAAAAAAAACTTATTGCAAAATGTACACAAGTGGATCTGCATTTCCCAGATTTTTTTTTTCTTAATATTTATGCACATTTTATTGTATAAAAACCCAGAATACATCAAACACATTTTGACATTTCTGACATCAAGGTTATGTAATAAGTTTGCTACTTTACTTGCTATGATTATACTTATTCCATATGCATGTACTGTATAACATTGTACGTATACTCTAGAGTGTCCATTAAAGGTAGAGTATATAATTTGCAGCAATCCAAAAAGTAATGACGAAATTATTGTTGAGAAGCTTACTGGGTTTCAAAACGGTAATGCTACTAAACTCCCTGTGAAATGATTCGTTCTGGCATGCTGTCATTTTGAAGGAAACAATAAAAGAAGGCCATTTCCAATGATGCGTCTGAAGACGCATTTTTGGAAATATCCGACAGTAGTTCGTTTTTAATTCTGCAAAGCTGTGAATGGATGCGCGCAAGAGTTGACACGAGGTACACACGCAGTTGATATTATTAATCAGTTCTGTGCATGACATCACATAGCTGCAATCAACTGAACAAAAACATGTCCCTGACGCTTATTTCGGGCGTAATTCCAAACATGACTCTACAACTTTTTAAACAAATCGAGATCCTAAGATATTAGTTTCTCGGAATAAAGAGGGTTCACTGAGCTAAACGTTCAAAAGCACCCTTCTTTAGATTTTGAGCACTTTTGTTGTTTCAAACGAAAAAGATGCACAAATGACAAATGATAACTAACTCTACCTTTAAAATCATAGAATGCTGGGGTTGTTTGGGGCAGTACAGGGAATAATAGGTAGGGCAGTTTTGGGGTGGTACAAGGAATACTGAGTTCAGTAGAGCAATGACATTGGGCCCTGTTCAAGAATGTTCCTGACCTATTGTCGGGCACTCCTGGCCCCCGGCTCGACGGCCCACATCCGGATCCTCGGCATCCATCCGATAGAACCAGACGGCAAAGTCAGCAAACTCTGCTCTCAGGTAGCCTGTTGGTCTGTCGTTCCTCTTGCCTAGATGGAGGTGGGTGTTGGCATCGGGTCTGGGGGTGGGTGGGGCCAGGCTAGGGCCGGGGGTGGCCGCGTTAGCGGTGCCGTTGGAGCTGGAGTTGAAACTTCCAGGTGTGGTCTCGGGGCCTGGTGTGGTGGTGGGTTCGGCTGTCAGACGGGAATTCAAATTCAAATATTTCAACAATTAATCGGCATACCGTCAACAATAATTTCTTTGGCATCTTAAAGATATATCATTTGCAGCTATCCAAAAAGTAACTGACGAAATTATTGTTGAAAGCTTACTTGGTTTAAAGCTAGCTTTGACACTAAACTCCCTGTGAAATTATTCTTTCTGGCATGCTGTCATTTTGAAGAAAACAATAAAAGATCAATTCCAAAGATACGTCTAAAGACGAATTTTTGGAAAGTAGAACTAGTAGTTCGTTTTTGATTTGGCGAAGTCGTGAATGGGTGCGTGCAAGCGTTGACAAGACGCACAGGCGGTTGCTATAATTCGTCAGTTCAGTGCATGACACCGCGTAGCTGCAATCAGCTGAATGAGAACGTGTCCCAGATACTGAATCCGGGTGCAATTCAAAACATGACTTGGAAACTTTTGAACTGAAACCAAGATCCTAGAATATTATTTTCTCAGAATTATACAGCATTCACTGAGCTAAAACTTTATCGGGTTAGTTGTTAAGCACCTGTCTTTAGAGTTTGAGCACTTTTGTTGCTTCAAATAAAAAAAAAATGCACAAATGACAAATGATATATTCTACCGTCAATACTGATATCGTTACATCAGGCTGTTGATGTTTTTACAGTTACAGATACAGAGTGTGGAATGGAAAAGGAGAAAAAGGAAGGAGAACCAACCGATTTCCATCTGGACCTCTCCGTCGATGAATGCCGTGATGCCGTACACCAAGTCCCAAGACATCGCAATGCTGGTCCAGTTGTCGGTGAGACTGTACTGGACCTGGGAAAGCCATTGCTGCAGGCCATCGTGGGCCTCAAACGTGACGGTTGTATTATCGGCGTAGATGGCGAAACCAGTGGACAGGTTGGTTTGTGCACCAGAACTGGAAGCGGAAAAATTCAGTGTGAATAACTTAAACTTTGAGTCAATTATTTAATTAAAGTTTGAAGGAAATTTATCCAAGAATGTCATTTTTTACATCCTGAACAATTCATACCTTCACAGTAAAGAATGTCTTCGGTTGACTTTAAGTGTTACATAGAACAAGGATAGCAGAGGATATGCGCAATTTACAAAAGTGTTAACAAATAAACTGTAATTTCAACTTTAAAACTTTACGGAAACTGAAAGCATTCTACTGGTTGAGCCATTCAGCCCCAGGCTGGCCATCTCCAAAAACTAAACCCTAAACATTTTTTAAACCTACCAGATGGTTACAAAATTTCAAAGGCCTAACATCAATTGAAACCAGAAGCATTTTATACCATATGATTTGATTGGTCCTTTGCTGTTCTATTTAATTAACGTTAAAACAAAATAACAAAAAAAGATTTCGACAACGTTATTTTGAAAGCACAGTTCACCACTTTCTAAATGAACTCATGTTTCAAACAGCACAATTTCACAAAATATTCTGGCCTGGGCTAAAGTTGGTTGTGAGTTTTCTTTGGTTGTTGCTTTGTGGCTCACCTGAGGATGTATCCCACTCCTTCTGGGTTAGTAGCAAGGTCCAGGAGATTGTCCATGTCAACCAGTTTGACCATGACAGACAACGTCACACCAGAGGGGCACAGGGACGGACTGCTCAGACAGTGACCGCTGAAGTCACCTGCAATTCAAACATCAAATCTCAAAGACGCACTGTCGTTTTTGCTGTTTCAAAGTTTCATCCCACAAACTAATCGGGTGGGACTCGAACCCACGACCTGCTGCTTACTAGTGCAGACATCTTACCGTACCACTCGACTGCCGAGCTTACCGGGGTCGGCTGGCCGGTTGAATCTGATTCAAACCAGCTGGCAATCTCTGTAGTAGAGTGATGAAACTTCAGCAATAGTAAGCGACTTTCACTTGGGAGGTAACACACTGAGTATACAGTGTTTAAACGTCGGTGAAGGGCAAAACCTAATTTGAATTATATCACCCTGACGCAAAATTCCATCTTATAATGGCAGTATTACTTACCGACGTCTACATAACCACTGCCAGGATGCGTTGAGACAGCTCTTGTACTTCCATCCCCCTCCCCCCGGACTGAGGGCTGAGTGTTTGATGAGACTACCCCACTCGAGCTCGATGTCAGATTGAAATACAAGTCTGATGATATGAATCCATGACATACTGTAAAATGGAAACAATAATTGTCAAAAATCAGTTGTAATATTCCATGATGTTTTCAGTACAATGTCCAACGGACTCCGTGCACGGATGACAGATGGCGTTTTGAGAGTGTATTACAAGAAGTACGCACGCCTAATGTTGTACAAACCCATAACGTCTTCGTCTGCGCACTAGGGCCGTCATATGAATAATTGTGAAGCTAAAGCGTGACACCTTACATTTCACAAACCAATAACGTCTTCGTCTGTGTACTAGGGCCGTCATGTGTATAATTGTGGAGCTATGATATTTCAAAATGAATTGTTGCATACATTTTACACAGCGCCAGGCATTATATTTGACAATTTGGCTTAAAATTTGATGCTTGAAATAGGTATAGATAACGCAAACAAAAAACAAATGGTTGCCGCATCAAGCGGACACAAAAAAGGGTTTTTCAACATTTTGTCCGTAAATTTAAATAAGACATTATGTGGATTTCCTGTGACAGAGACCTCTGAAACAAGCTAAGTAAGCAATCTAAAACTGAAATTTGGAGCAAAATCTAGACGAATGTGCAAATCTAAAGTAGAATTTTGTTTCTGATTTTTTGGATGAAAGTGGATCATTTTGTCCGCAAATTTAAATAAGACATTATGTGGAGTTCCTGTGACAGAGACCTCTGAAATAAGCTAAGTAAGCAATCTAAAACTGAAATTTGGAGCAAAATCTAGACGAACGTGCAAATTTAAAGTAAAATTTTGTTTCTGATTTTTTGGATGAAAGTTGATCGCTCAAGTATGTTACCAAATCTACTATGCCCTTCAAATGTTATTATGGGTGTGAACATTACTTATTACTCTACATGCATTTTCATTTCTTCTGGTACAAAAATGAAATCAAGAGTTCTTAAAAAGCGCACAGGCAGTATAGATTGGGCGCCTGAAAAAAACAAGAGGGAGAAAGTGATAAATAAAAGTCGTGGGGGGGGGGGGATACTACTTACTTGGATCTCCATGCAGTTGAGCGGCAGTTGGCAGAGACTCGCCTATAGGGGGCAGTATTAGGATTATGTCATCGTAGTACGCCTGGGCATAGTTTGTGTTGTCAGCACATTTGCCGAGTGTGAAGTCAGAGTAGCTGGCGGATGTGCGTCTATCTCTAGCGCCTTCAGACTGGGCGGGAAAACAACAAACTTGTAGAAATCAAAAAATTCCACTGACTTGCTAATGTATTCCAAAAGTCGTAATACTAGCAACATGAGTGCTCTTGCAAACCTCGATGTTGACCATTTTTCTCGACTCCATAGACTAATTAATTGAACAACATTAGAAGCCATTACTCTGGGGGAAACCCGCTCGTGCGCACGTCGTGCATATTTATAAAGTAGAGGTATGCCGTCAGTATGAACAGCAGCTTTTCAAATCTTTGACAATAAATTATGAGTAGACCCTGAAGAAGTGCTTGCACGCGATTATTACTGGTGTACATCCGCAGCGACTCGCTTTGATGTTCAAATTTGCTGCTGCACCCAAACCAAACAATTTTTTTCTAATGCAGAGAGTCCCTAAGTATGAGCAGCTTGGCATAGAGTCCTGTGACAACACAATTTAGCAACATACACTGCTTACCTTTAATGCAATATTCATGCCATTAACGTGGACGGCCAGGCCGGTAGTTGGTGACCACACCATAGCTAGATACTGCCACTCGTTGAACGTGAACATGTCCTCGGAGAAAGTCAGGGACCACGTGTCGCTGCCGTCACTGACCTGAAACTGGAGATCATCTGGGGTCTGACGGAAAACGATGCCTCTCTCATCTAAACAAAAAGGAAAAGAACAAAAAAAACCATTCAATTTTTAAGAGAAATGTACACTGAGGAATGTAACACCAGGCATCTTTCTCTCTGCAAATTTAAAAGAATTTGCTTCAGTGTCAATTAGGCGAAGTAAAAAACCAAACATGTTTCTCGTCCCCGCCCACTTCACTTTTTGGAGGCCGCCTGGATTTTTTTAATCATTTTTTATTTTTGAAAAATGCAGTAAAAAAAAACGACGAAAAAGTCCACAAATTCATCGGAAAATAAATACTTGCAAAATATGTTCATTGTAGACCAATACAACTCCAAATGACACTGTAAATATGTTCAGTTCTCTTGTCCAGCTTGACTTTCATTTCAAAAGTGTCTTTGAACAGTGGAAACACCAACGGTTGCAGGAAATTTTAAAATGGCGGCCATCTTGAAAAAAAAAAAGAAAAAAAAAAGCCCCTCTTCCTCCTTTTTTTCAACAACCCGGACGAGAAACATGTTTTTTTTTTATTCGGCCTTAGAAACCTTTAACCCTTCTGCTATTTAAACAGTCACAATTAGTCTAAATTCACTTCCACTTCCCCTGCTATACTCGTAACAAAGGCTAGTCACCAGCAGTCAGATCACATGTCAAGCAAGCACTGTGACTAGTCAGAATGGATCAACAGACAAACCAGGCAAGTTGTGGTCACAGCCGTTTTATCACTCACCCGGAGTCAAAGCACAGCTGTATCAAGTTACTTAAACAGTCCCAGCCAGTCAATCCTGCTTTATGAAGGCCGGAAATTCTTTACTGTTGAAAACAGTCACTTGTTTGATTTTGACTGAAAGGACTACTTCGCATAGAATGTATGTTTGCATAGGAGGGTCAAGCCAAAGAGAAGCAATAATTTTCAAAGCCTCAGACTATTAACTTTACATTTTACATTTACTTTATTTCTCGGGATAAACAGTAAAAACCAAGACATACAAATTGAAGAACAGAAGAAAAACAAAAAGAACCTAACAGCTCCCGAAGGATCGCCCAAAACAGACAAAGTCTCTGTCGAGGGGCTCTCCTGACTAAAAGGTTCACACAAAAAATATGAATTAAATAAGTAAAATGAATTACTTGTCAGCTCAGCACCACTTGTGAACAGACACCGTTCCCTCCGTGCAGGTATGTCGCTGAACTTGATCCACATAGCCAGGGCAAAGCCGTTGACGCAGGTGGAAGGGTCAGCCAGACAGCTACTCCCTAGGGTACCCAGGCTAGCCCAACCCTCCTTGCCGTCTGTGGACAAGCTGCGTGCAAAGCGGTGGCGGTCATCCACGTAGGAGGTACCGGAGGAAGAGATCGCGGTCAGGGTAGTGACTAGGGACAGGGGCGGGTCCAGAGACCAGTAGTAATCTGCTTGATGGAAGTAGTACAGCTCAGCCTCTGCAATGGGAGACAGCCGTGAATTAATAAAGGCACGTAGCGACACCGGTCATAATACTTGGAAAAGTGCCTACCGAATCGATGAGATAAACCTGTGCTCAATGTGAGGATACCGCTTGTCCCAAAAAAATTCTGTGAACACTGTTCTGCCAGAAATGGTCTCAATCAAAAGAAAACAATCGTTGAATTAGGTTGCGTTGCTAAAGTCCAGTTACTAGACTCAAAACATGTGCATATGTTTTCTCTGTTTTCTCAAAAAGTATGGTAGGCATCTCAATTTTCGACGTGTTACACGTCCGGTCCTAGCTCAGGCTGCGACGTGTTGCAGCATTTTGTTAAATCGGTTGCTGGCTATTTTGGTTAAAAGTACATATTCAGGGACAGTGGTAATGGTATGTGCATACTCACCCGACACACCCAAGAGTTTGTGAACGTTCTTCTGGTAGACATACTTATCCCAGATGACCAAGGAATGGATCTTGTAATCAGCCGAGCCGCCGACCATGTCGTTTCTCCTTCCCAAGGCAAGCAAGGGATGGGATTGGTTGATACTAGCCGGTGACATCACGGATGAGGTAGGGGTGACTGGGCGGCCGCTGATGTAAACAGCGAAGGGTTCATAGAGGTGCCAGGTGAAGGCTATGTTGACCCATGTGTCGTGGGGTATGACCTGGGGGTGGGGAGAAGTGGGGTACACGGTGAAGGGTATCACCTCTATGACCTCAATTCTAGATGAGAAACAAAATTCTCACAGTTCACAAGTACCCCCTCACCGGCAAAGAAGGAACAGTTGGGGGTGACCGACCGACGCCATCTTGCCTGACTGCATTTTGCTGCGACGCGCGGCCGTACCAATGCGTGTACATAGTGCAAATCCCCTGGTGTACGTGCGGCACACACAAGGAACGGTGCGCGTCAACCGGCTAAATGTCCCGCCCATGGGACGTCGTTCCTAGGTAAAAGGGCGCCCTCTTTCGTTGGCGCACGGAGCCCATAGTGTCTAGTTTGTATTGGTCCCAGAGGGCGCCCTACAGTCCTCTTGGTACCATGAATCACTGGCTGACTGCACTTGTGAATTACACTTGCATATATGGGTCATTCCACCGGGTTGGGGAACAATGTGTGACATATGACCATATTATAAAAAGTACGAATGCCTTGCTGGCAGTCACTCTACATAATATTTGTTGTTGGGTGTTTCACTACTGCAGAAAGCTTCAAATCATTTCAATGTATTTTGCCAAAAGTATGAGCACAAAATGTCATTTCGGACGTAATATTGACACCGTGTCAATGTTGCCTCCAAATATGACATTTGTACCTTTTTTTAAATTTCTGTGAAACATTACACAAATTCACTTTGCGTACTTCTTACTATACATGCAACACAAGAAGAAAAGCTTTTGTTTTGTTAGTCAGGTATCAAATGGAGCAGAAATGATATCTTACACTGGTTGAATATGTCGTCTCCCATGTGGTTTCATTGGTGCTGATAAGGAAAGTCAATTCATCAGCAAGAGTGTAGATAGCGATGCCAGTGGATAGTGCTTGCGACCCAGAACTGTTAGTGGATCAAAACATCAAACGTACAAATGTCAAATGTCTTATAAAAAACTTGAGGCTAATCATCGTTATTCGCAGAAGAAGCTGAATTAGGAAGGACACAGCTACAAGCTGGTTAAGAGTGCCACAGGTTCTCTTTAGTGTACAGTGCTTACAGGGTGAGTAAAAAAAAAGGAAAAACCCAAATGGTGCCCCCCTATTTATTAAAGAAGTTCTACATGTAGCACTTTCCAGATCTAGGATATGAAAGCCCAATTAATAAGATTTTGTTCAGTAAGTAATCATTCAAAGCGCTCATGTACTTTTGTAGTTATGGAATTTTGAACTCAAACACCGTTTTTTTAAGCTTGTCCACGGATAACAATAAAGGTAGGTGATATTTCAGCAAATCACAAACTATTCACATATAAAAAAAACACATCAGAAAACTCTCATAACCATGATAACTGGCACTTATCTTAACATTTATTTAAAAACCTGCTGCTTCCAATGTTAAACTATCATGCTTTTCATACAGTGTCAAGAGTTTGAAAGTCTTGCCCTGCCTTCTACTTGGCTACCCCAGAGACTTATGGGATTATTCTGATATCTTTTTCAGGATACGACATGTTTTCATTTTTATTGAAATATCACGTACATATACCTTAAATGTGATCCGTGGACAAGGTAAAAAACAGTGTTTGTGTTCAAAATTCAATAATTGGAAAAGTAGATGGGCGATTACAATGATTCTTTCACTAAAAGAAAGCTTATTAATTGGGCTTTTATATCCTAGATTCGGAAAACGCTTCGTGCAGAATTCTTGAAAAAATACTGGGCACCATTTGGGTTTCCTTTTTTTTGACTCACCCTGTACAATGACAAAAGGACAAAACCTGATATTAAAAATGAAGAGACTTTGTGTTTCCATACCTGATGATGTATTTGCGGGTTGCGTTGGCTGCTGTGTCGATTGAAAGTTTGACCCACAATGCAACACTCATCCCTCTGGAGGTCAACGTTGGGTCACTGACAAAGTTGTCTCTGAAGTCACCTACACAGATGTAAATCATTAACAAAGTAAGCAAAGTCTGTCATGAGCCAAAATGGCTCATCAGGCTGGCGTTACAATATCTTCTTTGGATTTTGAGTGGTGTTATTTATATTAGAAAGGATCAAAATGCATGAAAAGCAAATGATCGCTGGTGATGTTTGAAGACAATTGTGACGACGATTATTGAAATTGCATTTTTGGACGAAAGAGGTTTTAAGGTAATTGTGTTTAAATTGCGATATTCTTTGAACAGATTGAGCAATTTCAGTATTTTTTTCATCTAAAACTACATTATGAAATTGGCTTTCCAGTCATTATTATTGTTGGTGCTACACATTTTCTAAAATATGAAATACAACTTTTGGGGTTGAGTTCCGCTTTATTTGACTCACCCGGTACATGTACAAACCAGTAAACACTTAAAGTGTTTTCCCCCCCTGCCCCCCCCCTCCCCCAGGTTCTCTGAAGTGATCACAAGTGCCATCTAATGTTCGTGCATGGTGTCTACTTTGGAATTTGAAGGATTTAGGATGGTAAGGGTTTACAAGGTCATTGACATACCAAGAATGATGTATGAGTCATCGTCAGTGAGGTCCACCGTGTCGGCATCAGGCATGGTGACGGTCCGCGAAGCTCTGACAGCTTCCACTGTGTCATTGTAAGTATGCTCCCACAGAACCTTGAAAGTGTTGGCGACCAGGTCGTTGGGATTCCAGAAATATGCCGCATCGGAGTAATGGATGTTTTCTAAGATACAGAAAAAGAAAACAAAATTAGTGTTATATGAAGTTTACAGATATATATAGGAACCAGTGTTGTAGACAAGCCCATCACATGTGCATCACATGTGCATCACATGTGCATCACATGTGCATCACATGTGCATCACATGTGCATCACATGTGCATTACAAGTCCATCACATGTCCATCACAAGTCCATCACATGTGCATCACATGTCCATCACATGTCCATCACATGTGCATCACATGTGCATCACATGTCCATCACATGTCCATCACATGTCCATCACGAGTCCTCTAGTCTCAATTCAAGACACAAGCCATTCAAATGAGTTGCAACAAAGGCACTGCTTTTTATTGTTGACCCCCTGTTTCTTGTGACTGGACTTGTGAAAAGACTAGTGATTTCAATGAAAGAACTGGTGATGGACTTGTGGTGGAGGTATTCCACTACAACACTGATAAGATCATTTGCTTTGCTTGCACTTTTTTTATTGAAAGCAACAAAATTACACCATAACAACCTCAGTTGATGCTATACATTTTTAGAAAACAGAGAAAACCTATGCAAGATTTTTGGTCTCGTAAGTAGGTTCTCTTGCTAGTGATTTGGTTCAACAATTGCTGAATCATAGTTTGAATTGCACCCTTACAATCCCTAAATCAGTACCCAGGATATGATTCTCATTCAGAGCCAGTTAGTGTACGTCAAGGTCCATGTTGACGAATAATCCTTGCAGTATTTTATGAACAAAGTCAAATTTTGAAAAAGTGTGCCCGTGATACATGGCACACTTTTTTAAATCCACCTCCGATGATTGTTTTCTTCTGAACGATTCCATTTCAAGCAGAATAATTTAACAGGGTATTTAGCACCACTCCTTCCCTTGCATGGACCAAGGTTTTTCTCAATGAATCAATAGATTTGTTCAGGATGATTGATTTGACCTATCTCCAACATACCCGCACTTGCATATAACACGCGTGTGTTACATTCAGTATGGCATTGGAGAGGCACTTGCGTTGTTGCCTACATGTGTAGTGGGCGGGCCTTAATGTATCAGTCTACTGACTAAATGCAAATGAACAGCACCCATGCGCCTCCATGTTCAGCTTACCGATCATAGCCAGCCTGGTCCGATACTCAAACGTGTCCATGGGTCTCTCCACGATCGCGACCTCCTCGAATGTGAAGTTGGCCGCGTTGTCCAGGAAGTCGTTCCGCCGGCCCAGGATGAGTTTGCTCTGCTCGTCGGTGTTGCGATACTTGCGGTAACCGGTTGGATCGATGGCTACCAGCCGGCCGTCCATGAATAAGGCCAGGCCGTCCCTCTTGGTCCATGAAATGCCCAGGTTGATCCAGGGGCCGGTGAATTCGGTATAATTGGTGTTAAAGTCGACATTGTAGACAGTGGCTGCGGTAAACGAGTAGAGTATGAATAGAGTAAAGAAATAATGTCTGTTCTCATCAACTGTCAGTCTGTACTCTTAACTTTTTCATTTAAATAAAAAATAATTGGTATCTGTTTCAACTGTGGCATCTAAATCCCTAAAAAGGTCTTTTATTCTATTCTTTTTTCTAAAATCATTATTACCAAAACAATTCTGATAGGACTTATGTTCAGGCAAGGGCCATTAGTTGACTTGTGGTTGACTCGTGATGTAGCTTACGCACGGTCATTAATAGCAACTTGTAAATGGGTCATTCTATAAATTTGGGGTCCACTTTTTTCCCCGTCCCTGTTACATCTGACATCTATGATTGTATAATTCTGATGCACTCCTTAATGCAGTCATCCTCCAAGAGTGATTATGAATAGCAAACTACCTACCCAACAAATAAACAATCATTCGAAGTCACTTTTAATGATGCTTGAATGGCAAATTACAAAGTACCAAGGTAACAGGGACGGGAAAAATGTCACACTTTGGACCCCAAATTTATAGAATGACCCAAATGCCTCCAGTCAAATTCTGGTCAAGCGTCATCCGGACACTTCTTGATCCTGGTCCCCTGCTGTGCGTGATGATGCATGCAGCTATTGGTAACCAGGGATGGAACCGTTCCCCGGGCTGCAAATTTTTTTCTCCCAAACGACATCCACATATGGGTGTACGCTATGGCATTTTGGACTTAACTTTTATAAAAACATGAGAAGAAAATATAAAATTAGAAAAATATGTGAATTTGAACGTTATGAAATTCGGACTTTATTTCCTTTTAAAAAAAATCTTTCGAAGCCTAAGGTTAGAAAAGGAAAAAAATTTGGGTGCAAAACCGAGATTCGAACCCGCAACCTCGCGGTGCAAAATCCTACCCTCTATCGACTGAGCTGTCACACTTCTCGCCAAAATGTGGGGAAATAAATAATTATATACCTGCGTGCATATCATAAAAGTATCGTAGAGGGCGCTAAACAACCATTATGCGGATGTCATTTGGGAGAAAAAAATTCGCCCGGGGGCTCTGGTTCCAAATAGTCCACTAGTGTAGTCCAACGATCCAGCATTCCAGTGAAGGCAGTCAAAAATCATACTCCTCACCCGAACTTGCTTCACTTTGTCACCACCATTGTCAAACTCACCCTCTTCCGTCATGTAAGGAGTGTGCTCTATCTCCACCACCCATCTGACCCTACCGTCAGTCACCGCCGCCCCTAGCCGGTCCACGTCTCGCTGGTAGATGGAGAAACCCCGGCTGGCTTGCTCTCCGGAGGAGATCAGGAAATGAGTCTCGTTGTCCTGGACCTGGACCAGTCGCAGCCAGAGTGAGGCCGACAGACCGTCCCTGCAGAGACTGACGTCACTCAGGCACTGCTCGGCAAAGTCACCTGACAGGAGAAGGAAAATAGGATGACACGCTGGGCATATCAAATCCTTTGTGGTCAAAAGGACACCATGTGAACCAGCCTAAAGCACACAGCCAGATGACCTTGGACATAGAGATAAGAGCTCCCGGGATAAAATCCTGATATCAGGAAAAAATGCTGTCAAAAATTGCTGAAATCAGGACTGTAAATCCTGACATATCTCAGCCCGTTTTTAATGCGATGACTCCCAACTTCTGGCTCATTCTCAAAAGTAGACTCACACACATGATCAGGTGTGCTCAGGATTTCCTGGGTAGCATTGCCAAAGTTCCCAAGATCGATTTACCTTGTTGACAGCGCCCTCTACTGCCAAGGCAGCTTGGGCACGCTTATTAGGCGAACAAACTTGGAATCCAGTCATGGACTAAGACCAGGGGAGTGTCATGGTCTAGCGGTTAAGAGCACCGGACTCATGCTCTGGTATTTCAGAGGCAACAGTGGCGTTGGTTCGAGCCTGGGCGTGGACACTTGTGCCCTTAAGCAAGGCACTTAACCATTATTGCTTCGTCCTTTGGATGGGATGTTAACCCGTGTGTTGTATAAGGCCTAACGCATGTAAAATAAACACTTATTGCTAAGAGAAGGGGTTTGCCCCGGTGTTTCTGGCCTCCTAGTTATACTCCCTTGTGGAAGTCCTTAGGAGAAGAACCAACCAAGTACCAAGTAACCAAGAGTCAGTGTTAACCTTACCTAGCATGAGCCAGCCACTGCCGTCCCCGTACACCATGACCGCGTTCCCCTTGGCATCCCAGCTAGGGGCCAGGACTACGTCTCCCTCCCCTGCCTGGGTCAGCTCCTTGAACTGACTAGCGTAAGGCTCCTGGTAGCTGGCCAGGGTGGACTTGTCCCGTCGCGCGTAGCCGTCGATGCCCCAGTAGTGGTCAGCGAAGCTTGCGATCTCTTCCTCTCGGCCTGTACAGACAAAAGTGGATTAACTGATTTTTCATTTCAAATGTGTCTACTTTCCAATTTCAGGAAATCTTAAAATATCTTCTCAGCCCAAAAAAAATGTACACGAAAATCGGCAAATTTAGCAAAACAAAATTGCTGAAAACTGTACATTATGATTGAAATTAAAAAAAAATCTTTTTGTGCACACAACTAAGGGTTCCCCCCCCCCCCCAAAAAAAATTAATTCACTTCAAACGGTAAATTCTGTTGAATCCATTCTATTTTCGGGTTAAGCAGAAGTATCCCCAAAACAATATTTGAACATGGAGCGTAAAATAAAGTTGATCTGAGGTGGAGCACTTGAAAGTATCAGATGTTATAATTCCTCAATCCTTGCAGCCCGATTGTAGCAAGCGGTAACTCAAGGTTTACCTCAGTTTACCTCAAGGTTTACCTCAGTTTACCTCAAGTTTAACCTCAAGGTTTTAAAGAGGTTTAACAGGGTTTTATGGGGTATCTCAGGCAGCCTGATTTTAGCAAGCAGTAACTCGAGGTTTACCTCAGTTTACCTCGAGGTTTACCTCAGTTTCCCTCAAGTTTAACCTCAAGGTTTTAAAGAGGTTTAACAGGGTTTTATGGGGTATGTCAGGCAGCCTGATTGTAGCAAGCAGTAACTCGAGGTTTACCTCAGTTTACCTCGAGGTTTACCTCAGTTAGCCTCGAGGTTTACGTCAAGGTTTTAAAGAGGGTTACCAAGGTTTTATGGGGTACCTCAGGGTTCAACCTCGAGTTACCGATTGTTTAATTTAGCATCCTTCCCTTAAGTTGACTCATGTCTGGTGTCCCACAAAATAAAGGATTTGGACTTACATGTGAAACCAAGAAATCGATTGACTTCCCAGTCCCGGAGTTGACGATCCCAAAACACGACGTCGCTGACGCTCATGGGGAACGCAGTCGCCGTTGCGTTACTGTTCTGAATACCAGTCACAGTTTCGTTATTGTACTTGGAACCAATTGTCAAACTGTCCATCATGTTGGTGTCGCCAACTGGTTCCCTGCTTAGTTTGGCGTTGGTGACCTTGACCCCGTTCTTGTAGGCCGCGAGGCCGATGTCTGGGTGCCAGGTCATGGCCAGGTGACACCAGTTGTTGAAGACGATGTCAGCTGAGCTGATCAGGAGGACCCAGGCTGGGTTGACTCCATCCACAACTTTGGAAGTAAACACATATTTTACACTTTTATCAATAATAATAATGTGTATTTATATAGAGCACCTATCCACCAGTATTTGTGCTCAAGGCGCTACATCATTAATACCCTGCTCATAGCGCCAATGAAACATTCCAAAGACAATCTCAGCTCCCTGGGGAGTATACAGCTCGATGCTGCCATTTCAGCGCAAAGCAGCTAAAATCAACCCCATCTCTTCCCTCAAAGGTACCCAGTTACTTCACGACGTAACGCAGCTTTCCTATGGTGACTTCAATCTTAATAAATCCGCTCACCTCTGAACTCCATGTCATTATTTGCCTTCAGCATGATCGACACGCCAACTCGTCCGTTACTCTCAGTCGACGCTGTGCTCAGTACGATCCCGTCCGCTCCTGAGCTCATCCCATACAGCCTGACCCACAGGGCCAGCGACAGCCCGTCCATGCAGTACCCGGGATCGCTCAGACAGTCACCGGTCAGATTAGCCAGGTTGATCCAGGAGTCATCGGAGGCTAGGAGAGGGTACAGGCCGGACTGGCCCCGGCCTAGGATAGCCGAGTAGTTACTGCCAGCGATCTGGATGCTGGAGGGGTCATTCAAGGGCCAGTAGTAGGTGGCCAGGAGGTGGAAGGGGTGGACTTGGATTGCATCCAGACCAAGGACTTCATCCGTCACTGTAGATACAAGAAACCATGTTGCAGTTTTTTAAAACAGTGGAATTTCATTTACTGCTCTCTATGAATTTACACTGCCGGCTCTTCCTAAGGTTTTAAACTGTATGTAATTATTTGTATGCTGGCCAAAAACAAACAAACAAACAAACAAAACAACAACAAAAATCGCTGTCGAGTTCAAACTTTTTTTCCAAGTGTTGCTAGTTAATAATAAGCTGCTAAAGTGTTATGTTGGTAAAGCCTGAATATCTGGAAATACTTATGAACACTTATGCTTCTAATTATGGGCAAGAATTGCAGAATTTGGACAAGCAGGTGCACTGAAGATGTCAAAATGCCTTGAACTCAACTGAAGTCCAATTTCTTGGAAATTTCTTGCATATGTTTATTTCCAAACTCAGTTTTGGTACATAAGCGTGATTCCTTAAAATACCACTCTATATATCAAAATGCCTAGAATTTTAGTATTCTTGGAAAAAGGACTGCAATAAAACACTGAAAATATTTTCAACAAAACATGACTTGATCAGCACAGAATGACCGGTACATAATACTAAACTGAGTCTTTGGATCTTAAAGGTAGGCCCGAAAAACATTTCCTTTGATGTAATGTAGTAGTTTAAACCTTTTGATAAACGGTTACTCTCTGTACTTACCCAACAATCTTGGAAAGAGGGTCACCACATTTGCGTAGTCATAGTTGGGCGACAAATCTGCAATTTGGATTGGCAAAAAACATACCAGTTTCAGTAAATAATATCTCACACATCGTTTTAGAATTGTGAAGAATATAAACCTTCTAAAGATTAATGGTACTCATACAGCAGAACATCACTATATTGACCACGTTGGGGTCCACAAGAAATTGTTTGGGCATAGTTGTTGTACATTATTGCAATTTTGGCTGTTCATGCTTAATATGATTGTACATAAAATTTGTGGGCTTAAACAACTTTCTCTTTAAGCTGCATTCTACTGTACTTGGCATGTGAAAAACTATTTTCAGAAATTAAATAAGCCAAGAATTTTAAAATATATAGAATTTACTTTTTCAAATCCAGTCTCACATACGATGATGAAAATTTGCTTAACCAGTTCGCGCCGGGACAATTTTGACATGGCCAGACCCGGGCGCAGGATTGTTTTTACGAGCCTTGATTACCAGATGGGTTCAAGCCGTCACCTGCAGGTCGCACACCCTAATATTTCCGGCCTCGCTCGCTGCAAGCGGGTTGCAGACAGATATTTCCAGCCTCGCTCATAGCGTGTTTATCCGTCATTCGTTCCAAATACTGCAAAACCTTTGCATGTATACATGTCGTCCGACGTGAACTGGTTAATAGGTGCTCTGCTTACAAAAATTTTCACAAGCGAGCAGCAACTTGTGGGTTTGAGTAAGACTCAAGCAAGCACACAAAACATACTTTCCAGACTGACTCTCAGAAGTATATTCTGCCAGTGTTGTAGTTGAGTACAGTTGCAAGAGTACAAGTATGCGGACTTTGCCATGAGTATGAGTAAGAGTACTTCGCAATGAGTACAAGTACTTGTACAAGTACTTTGCCTAGAGTACAATACTTTGCAATGAGTGTAAGTACAAGTACAAGTACTCTGCCACGAGTACAAGTACTTTGCAATGAGTACGAGTATAAGTACAATACTTGGCCACAAGAACGAGTACAGGTCAACTTTTTCATGTGGTTACGAGTACAACTCAAGTACAAGTACAAAATACTCCAGTACGAGTACAAGTATAAGCATGAGTACTACAACACAGTGATATACTATAATAACTCACCCAGATGACAGCTATGACCAGTATAGCCAAAGACACAGTCGCAGTGGTAGTAGGCGATGAAGTCGGTACATGTCCCTCCTTGCTGGCAGGGGTTGGATTCACATTCGTCAATTTCTGTTCTCAAAAAACACATAGCAAACACCGTATAATTTAAATTTGAAAAGCAGTGAATTGGAGGATACAAAATCCTACTAATGAATACTCCCAATGAAGTGATCTGGGGCCGATTTCACGGTGCTGCTAAGCACAACAATTTGCTTAGCACAAAAAAAGTCTGGCTTATAAAAGCAGGTTACCAGCCGAAACTCCATGTCATGTCAACATCAGACAAGTTGTTCACCTACATGTACATCAGTTTAACAAGTTCAACAAGCTCTTGCATTTTCCTCACAACATTTCAAGATAGCGTACCGTCACATTTATCTAGTACAGCCCCATCTGAGCAGGCTATCAATTCCATCACTAAGGCCCCCTTCAATGGCGAAACATTGTGCTAGCTATAGTTCAGATAATCCTTCACGGGGCAGTTGCTTTAGCGTGCACAATGGTTTCTCCATTGAAGGGGGCCTGGTGAGTGAACAGTGACCACGTGACTGGACTTGTCTTTACAAAGTCCTCCAGAAAGTCAATGTAATACAACAAACTATCAAGAAAGATGGTCACATTAAAGAAAAACACATACTCAATGCAACTAACTGGGGCATGTTTTGGGCGGTCGTAACCAAAAACTGCTTTGTTTTCTCATTGGGTTTAGCATTTTAGCAGCTTGAGTAGTGGAGAAATTCACTTGTTATTACCTCACAAGCAAGTTTTTAAAACTATCAACTATTAAATGACCCACAAACAACTGAACCAGCTATTGGTTACAACCGCCAAAACATGCCCCAGATGAATTTAAATCTATTTAAGAGAATGACACATTTTACCAATTTCACAGTTGGTGCCGTTGTAACCAGGATCGCAGTCACATCTGTAGGAGGCCATGCCTGTGTCAAAGCATTGACCATGTACGCATGGCTCAGTTACGCAATCATCTTTATCTGTTGGTGGGAGAAAAAAAAAACATGAAGATGTCAGTTGGGTTTATAGACCGATTCATTAACTCTAACTCCCTAGGCCTTTTTGCTAGGATGTAGCCTCAATCCTGCAAAATCCTTCAATTGGCCTCATGGAAAAATAGCTCATAGCCTCAATCCTGCAAATTCCTCCATTATTTCTTGAATATGGTCCTTGGAGGGGTGACCACTGCCTGAATCCTGCAAAATGCTGCGGCAGTGACTCAATATTTTGAGGCTTGGCCAGTGACATCCTGGAGCAGTACGGAGGATTGCAAACATAATCCAGGCCTATTTTTATGCACGGCTGAGCAAAAACAACACAAGGTCCTATCCAAGACCTTGACAAAGTGCATTCTACGAAATCAGCAACACACTTTGCCATGTCACCTCAATCCTCCAAATTCCTCCCTTTGGCAAAGAGAATTTTGAAGGATCCAGGGCGGTTAGGGTTAAGCCCATCCCCATTGGTATTTTTAACCAACCACAGCTGTGATCTATATCGAATAACGTGTACAAAAATCTGACTTGCGGCTCTGAGGCAATCCTTTTCTTCACTTTGAGTAAGGTTTCTGTCCAGTAGGTTCGTTTCTGGATAATCACCAATGTTCCTACGTGCCTTTAAACAATTCTCAGCAGTGTTTAGACAGCATTTTAAAACCACCCATGTGATGGGCTCTTGACCAATAGGAATCTAGGTAAACTGTCCACTTTATTTATGAACATTTATTTACAAGAATTCATTTCCTAGGCTTCAATCTTACCCCATCCTCCCATCAACCAGGGCAGTTGGTAGGAGTCATTGAACCTATCCATCCAGAAGGCCATCTCGTCAAACACCCCCGAGGAGTGGCCCGTGTTTTCGGCTCCGTTGTGCCGGCAACCCAGGGTCAGATAGTTGACAACGGCTGCCAAGGGGTTGTTGGAACCGGTCGTGACGTCTACCTGCCTCACGGCATCGATGAAAACCTGTCAAAGTAGGTAGACATGGGTAAGACACGAACAACGCTAACGTTTGGCAACGTTGACAATCTTCCGCAAGTGTCTGTTTGCCACCAACATTGGTGAACATTAGCAACAAAGGCAAACGGTCTCCCTGAGTCGTGTTTTCCAAAATGGACAAAAACATGCAACAAATGTGATGATCCTTTTGGGGCTTAAACTTTGTGTTTTCTGCATCTACATTAAGTTCATATACAGGGTGTCCCAAAAAAATGCTCCACTCTCCTTTTTTACAAATTCAAGCAAACCTGATTGCATAAATTTTCTTATTATGCATGGTAAGAATGCTATGTGTCTTGGTTGTTATCTACCAAAAAACTTGGATCAAATTATCAATCCACTAGGGACAGAAATGCTGAAATATGAACTCCCCTCCATTTGCCAACTGCGCTGGGGACTCAAATCACCAATTTTAAAATGTCGATTTTTGTCAAGTGTGCTTTTCAAAAATTCTACTTGGTATCTATTATGAAAGACCAGTCATCAGTTGTTGTCGAGCAAACAAGAAAAGACCAACCAACCATGGCATTGTCCATTTATTGGACTTTGACTAAAAATACCTATTTGTAAATCAACCACACGTAACAATTGTGAACATTGTGTTCCATCTGTACTGTGCGTCAAGTTTGCTTGAAGGTAAATTCTTTATCCCACTGGGGTTTGTGGAACACGGAAAACGTAGTGCGTCTGTGTTCCATACGGGACAAAGACGCACTGCAATATACCATGTTCCACTCGCACTCGTGGGAGACTAACTGCCCTTCAATAACTCCGTACCGACATCCCTGTCGTAGAGCTCCAAGCAAAAGCCAGATTCTTCCACAAGTTAGCGGGCACGCCATCCGTGATCTCAGCCGACCATTCCGTAGTTCCGTCATTCAGCACAAAGCCGATCTTCCTTGTGTCTCGGTAGATACTGAAACCTATAGAGTCGGGGGGACCTGGGATGGAGGTCGGACCAAAGGTCAGAGGTTATACAAAGGTCATGTCTGAATTGGTTGTTTTGCACCTGCGGAAGTTACCACTTCAACAGACAAGAAAGGGCAAAGCAAGCCTTAAAAAAAAATTGAATAAGCCAAAAAATATCGGCCAAAGTTTAAAATCATGTCAGACACCACAAGTACTGACTCTCAAGAGTCATTTGTACAATAGTGGCAGGCATGCAATTGGAAATTTAGGGGAAAAAATGAGGAGATTCCAAACCACACAAGACTTTGTACAGTTGTTTTGAATTTGTAATGGCATTCATGAGAAGTAAAAATCAAAGAAATTAGCGGACCCAACGAAAAATTGCTTGCCTGTATTTTACTTCTCCGAGGCCCCCCCACGGAGCGATATTTCCTATGAGGACAGGCTATGTACAACCGCCAAGTTCAAGTCCAATACAAAATGTGTACAAAAACAATGTGAACCACTGACGTGTGTACACGTCCACAGTTGGAGACTAGGAGAAAGCTTGACAATTGAACCTGTCACCCCTGCGAGCATACATTGCCAGATCTTGTTCACACATCCTCTCATGTTAATAATTGGTTCACTGATTCAGAATAATTTTCCAACTGGTGTTCAGAAAACATACAAGTTGAACATTTAAAAATAGGAAAAAAAAAGTTGAAGAACACAAGAAATGCAACTTTAATTAAAACCTTGTTTCATATTAGGCCCCCCCCCCAAAAAATACTCGGTCTCTGGTCAGCGCGCGCGTCGATTTTAATCATGCGCGTCAACCTTTTTTTTCTTTCAAATTAACACAGAAGCTACAACAGCGCCCTCTATTGCCGCGCCTCCTCAAATTGTTGTACCAAGGAGCACCAAGGAATGGGGAAATTGCACCAAGGCAAATGATAAAGGGCACCAAGGCAAATTATGGAGGACACCAATGTATAATGAGGACACAAAAAAGCAAAATAGTACCCACCTTGTCTGTACAATACAAGCTTGAAAAAAAAAGCCATAAAAAAAAAAAAAAAAAAAATTCGTCGCCGAATCAATTCCGGAACTTCAGTCTGACCGACTATTTTTTTTTGGCCTTACTAAAATACTCCTAAAATGCTAGCATCTATTTCACCTGAGCTGAGAATGTATACCGGCCCAGCTTCCGTCACTTCATCTTCTGTGAGTCGGATCCAGACAGACACCGTCAGCCCGTCGGTGCACAGCGACGGCTCGCTGACGCAGTGCCCGGAGAAGTCGCCAAAGTTCAGGCAATCCTCGGTGCCGTTCAGCCGGGTCTGGATGGAGTAGTTGGAGATACCGTAGTCGTTCTGGACGGCCACGCCGGGGTCTGCGTTGAAGGCCGTCCCGTTGACGTCCTGGTTGGCGTACTTGTCGTCACCGGTGGTGTTGAGCTCATTGAACGTCCACCAGAGAGAGCCGGCGTACTGGGGTATGCTGTCAGTGTACTTGGATTCTGACAAAAAAGTCAAGAGATAAAATAGTTGGTCTTATGAAATCATTATAAATGACGTGTGATACAAAGTGTGATGGAGCGTTTATAACAGTGTGGTTTAAAAGTGGTTAGGGACACACAGTGTGCCAGAATCTCCTAACATGGAAATCATTTCAGTGGCCGTGTAGCACTCAGTTGTAGCCAGCGCACATGGCATGCATACTGCACATGTGACGCAAAAGGGGTCTCACGAACAGTTTTAAACATCGCCCTTTAAACACTGAGCAGTGTTTAAATATGGGAATAAATAATGTGCTTGGCCGGTAACCGGCTTGGAGTCTTGACGCTAATAATTTCAGCTTGGGCCATTATCGGTGACCAGCCCCAAGCCCTTTTTAAACATACTTGTTTAATACTGGCCAAGCACATTTTTTATTCCCATTCATAAATACCTTTTTCGGTCAAAAAGTCAAAACAAGTCAAAATTATAACTTTCCAACGATTTTGTTGAACAATTTTACTTAATGTTTATTATAGCACCCCTCTAGGTATGGTTATGGTATGTGCCTCTCGCGAGTAATACTAAAAATCTCCTTATATGGAGATTGTCATAATGGTGCAGATCCAGCACTGGGTGATGGTTCCGTGTTTTCTCACAGTTTCGCCATCCATCACAGCTTTGAAGGCTTGCCTACTACCTACTGGGCGATACAATCTTTGCCTACTAAAATGGCGACACTCGACTGTCTGGTACCCGGACATCGGCCAGGTCATGAGAGAGCCATATCAGAATGGTGATGTCACCCGTACATCATCAAAAAGATAAACAACAGACCACAAGCTCCACATAGCCTCAGCTATCAGTACATGAAAGTTATGGGAATGAATCGGGGCCATATCATAAGTCCGAAGCCTCACAGGTCCGACGCCTCACAAGTGCCAAATTTCGGACTTATGAGGCATCAGACTTATGAGGCATAAAATTTATTTATTCCGCCTCATAGGTCCGACGCCTCATCGACGTCAGAAAAACGAAGCGTACGAGGTGTTGGACCTATGAGGCGTCGGATCTATGAGGCGTCCGACTTATGAGGTGTCCGACTTATGAGGCGTCGGAGCTATGAGGCGTCGGACTTATGGGCCTTCATTTGGTCGGGGGAAGCGATTTTGTCGGACTTATGAGGTGTCAGACCTATGAGGCGTCGGACTTATGAGCGGACCCCAATGAATCCAAATTAGATTCTCTGTATATGTAGTGAGTATATTTCATCCTACCTAATTCGCAGTCTGTTCCCCAGAAACTCCAATCGCATTTGCACAGGTAAAGGCCGACGAGATCAAGGCATGTTCCACGGTTGCTACACGTCACCCCTATGCATTCATCGAGTTCTGTTGGCAAAGAACAAAAGACTTTATTACGATAAAAGAACACGGTTGACCCTGGTCCAATTTTTTGGCTCTGCTTACCATTCTGCTTACTAAGCAGAAAATGATGTGCTTACGGTAAGTGTAACTCACTTGCTTCTGCGCATGCGTACATCCCGTAACTAAGGATTCTGTGCTTATGGGTTAGCACAGAATTTTTCTGCTAGTGTGGTTAGCACAAAAGAGCCAAGAAAATGACCCCTACCTGTTGTCTGTTTTGGCTCTGTTTTGTTTTTTTTTTTTGCTGACAATTATTTAACTTGGGGCAGTCACATTCACAAATGCTTTGCAAAAAAAAGATGACACTATTATAAAGGATGTCCACTGTGAAACAGACAAAAACTTCTTGCATTTGACTAAACCCCTCTACACAATAATAATATGGCAATCACAACTTTGATTTCTTGTACATTAGTGCCCCATGAAAACATCTGTTTGTACTGAAAGCGGCATCGCACTTACCGATACAGTTATAGCCGTTGCCTGCGTAACCAGCTTGACAGGAGCACGTGTAGGAACCCGCCGTGTTGGTGCATACACCCAGCGTTGGCTCGCAGCCGTGCGTGTTGTTGGCACATTCATCATTATCTGTTCAAATCACATGCATACAAATGATAAGTCTACCTGGCACTTAGTTTCCACTAACTTTAAAGGGAATATACATCATTTGCTTTTGCTGTAATTTTCAGAAATGGATGGAATTGGGGGGTTGGAAATATATAGCAAATATAGTTACACTGACTTTTTTGAGGTTTTGGGTTCGAAAATGCTATAAAAACCAAGAAAAACGATCATTTTCCTGTAGTCTGGTTCCCTGACTCCATATAAGAAGAAACAGAGCAGTTTACATACATTGGGGAATTGTAAGGTCAGGGAACCAGTCTAGCTGGCTCGTACCCGTTCATAGGTTTGTAATCGATTGCAAACAAGTGCGATGGTCAATTGGGGCCAGTATTTGAAAAAAAAAGCCAGTTGTTTCCAACGCTATTGATACAAAAATACCACTTTTCTTGAAAATGACAGTATACCAGGTGCCATGATTTTACAGGATGCTTTACACTGTCATTCACTAACAGTCCAGCAAGGTATTTCAAAATGATTTGGTAGTTTTATTTTTTGATGTTTGCAAATGTTGTATTTTCCCTTTAAAGGGAAGATACAACATTTGCAAACATCAAAAACGAAATGATCAGATTATCACAAAATACCTTACTTAATTGTTAGGGAGTGACAGTCTGAAGCATCCTGTAAAATAGTGGCTCCTGGTGTGCTGACATTTTCAAGAAAAAAAAAAAAATTTCCAGCGTTGGATAAAACTAGCTTTTTTTAAAAAAGTGCTCCTACTTTTTAATATTTAGTTATTCCGCATTTTCTTTGCAGTTGATTACACACCTGTGAAGGGTACAAGCCTGCTAGACTGATTCTTTGACCTTATAATTCACCAAAGTCTATAAGTTGCTGTGTTTCGTCTTATTAAATAAGTGGGGTCAGGAAACCAGACTACAAGAGCATGTGTGGGTGCTACAGTGACTAAGGGTTAAAATGCATATATGACGACAGAAAATATGTAAACAGAAAAGAAAAACAAATCCACTATTCTGAAATAACTCGCTGAAATCTTATGGTTTAGATCATTCCAACAGTTTTTGTATTAAATTTCAGTTGGCTGGTTTCCGGTCCTTCCATTACAATCCGCCTATTCAGTGGGAACCAGTCTACGAGTTCTAATATACACAACTACTTGCAAAGCAATAACTTCAGGGTCACATCGGGGGGGGGGGGGGGGGGGGGGGGGGGGGGGGGGAACTCACCAATACAACTTGATACACCATCACCGGTGAAACCGACATCGCAGTAACATTCCCAAGAACCAACGGTGTTTATGCAGAACGCATTGGAGGACAGACAGTCATCTGTGCCATACACGCATTCATTAGCATCTGTAATCAGAATTCACACAAAATCATACAAATTCAATAACTTGTATTCGTCTGCATGGCCGACTAAACAATATATCGTCGGGTGCCTGGAAGAAGGTCATAAGGGCGAAAAATGGGTCAAAAGGTCAAATGCAGATTTTTCAGATAATCGATAGAGGTTTGAAATATCTTTCATTTGATATACATATTGTCTCCAGGGGCTATGTCATTCTGACGTAATTAACAGTAAACAAAAGACGGAGGAGGATTTTCATTATTTGTGCCCGGCAAAAGAACGTTAACGTGTAATACTAACGTAACAAAAAATGTTCGAAGTGCGCAAATGCCCCACTCAACTGGGTACGCAAAGCCAATTTTGTTCCCGGCAAAAGGACGTAAGGATTTAACATGCCGCTTAAGCGTACGTTTAAGGCTTGGAAAGTTCCCGGTAAAAAGTCGTAAAAAATTGAAATAATTCACAATTAAGTAATATTTTCGCATAAAAATGCACAATATTAGTTTAATTATCAACGAATGTCATCAGTCAAAATTTCAACCTTATGTGATTTTTAATCAAGAAATGGCAGCACGAAAACTTTCAACTTGATTATCTCCAAGAGTGCCTTTTGTGTGCCTGGCCTGCTAACGTCCATTTCTTTATCACAAGATGATATACAAAATATGGCTGGCTCATACATGGTATATTTACTAATTGCATAGTTTTTTGGAAAGTACGTACTTCAAGCAATGCCTTACCTGTGCACACTTTGCCACTGCCCTCATATCCAGCTATACAGGTGCACGTGTAGCTACCGACCGTATTATTGCAGGTTGCCAGAGGGTTGCAGTCGTTAGCTGTCACGCACTCATCCACATCTACAATCCAGAAGAGGAGAAACATGAGTAAATATATGAGATAATGTAATGATGTCCAAGTTGAGAAGGGGCCAATTTCGTTACACATCTTAGCAGTGAGTAGAATTTTTGAGCTAACTATTGCGGAAAAGAAACTTTGACATAAATAACAAAAAATTTTAAATAACAAAAAAAAAATTATAGTCAGTTTTCGGGGACAGACAGACAAATGGACAGACCAACCAACCAACCACCAAGTGACATGTAGAAGATCCTGCTAGAGCTTAAAAACAGTCAGATCACATTCATGTAAACACTGTGACAAGTCAAATACCATCAACAGACAAAAAGAAGTAACTGATACGTACAGCCAGCATATCGATCTCCTCCAGTCAAAGCATGGATATGTTCAACTAACAAGGGAATTCTTAATTGTTCAAACACAGTCAATTGATTGATGTTTACTACTGTGTGATGCTTACTACTGTGTGATGTTTACTACTGTGTGATGCTTACTACTGTGTGATGCTTACTACTGTGTGATGTTTACTACTGTGTGATGCTTACTACTGTGTGATGCTTACTACTGTGTGATGTTTACTACGCTGTGTGATGCTTACTACTGTGTGATGTTTACTACTGTGTGATGCTTACTACTGTGTGATGTTTACTACTGTGATGGCGTAGCTGAATTTGTCAGTCAGAAAGGGAGGTTTTCAAAACTCTGCATAATGCTGTATGCATTGCAGACAGCAGAAAGATGGATATTTGCTTGAGTGATTTCACAATGTACATAAGGCCGTACAAACCTGTGCATGTAGTCAGGCCGTCCCCTGTGTACCCACTGATGCAGCCGCAACTGAAGGAACCTATCGTGTTGATGCACTGGCCTAGAGTCATCAAGCAGTTATGACTGCCCAGGGAACACTCATTCTCATCTGAATAATAAAAATAACCGGAAGAAATGATCGTCTGAAAAAGTAAAGACTCCAGTGTGTGTGTTACACACCACACGTTCCCAAATGGGCAAGTACGTCAAATGGGCAATTCCATGGGAACTCGCATTACATTTGTGTCTTCCATCAACTCTGAGACATCAACATTACAGTTTGTCCAAACTCTTTGGTACAATTTATAACATATGGCACCCATTGAGGGTTCATAGTCTGAAGTTGAAGCTTACCAGCACACGTGAGACCGTCCCCCGTGTATCCTGAGTTACAAGCACACGTGTAGCTGCCCACTGTGTTGGTGCAGACGGCACGGCTTGGGTGGCAACCATTGGAGCCAGAACATTCATCCACGTCTGTGTTCGGAAACAAAACGGTGATTAAACAAAAACAGGCCAAATCGTCTGCTGAAAATTTCAATTTTGACATTACAATTTTCACGCACATTACTTAAATTCCATATGGTTTTCAAGTTCCCAGCACTTTTTGAAAACAAAATTCACAGAGTTTTCCCTGATGTTCCCCTGAGAAATTTGAAAAATTCCATGAGAAATATTTTCACTTTAACGAGGTTGTTGGGTCGTCAAGAGGTGGTTGCAGCAAAGCAACTCAGATAATGATAACACCCAGGCAACTTGTTGACAAGCGATGGCCTCCTTTGTCCCCTTATAGCCATCCTTTCCTCACCATATGCAACAGAGATGCACATATGCCAAACTGGCGAAAACCTTTTCCTTCTGGGACCCTGTCAAATTCCCTGAGTTTCCCCGGATTGTTGTTTTGTTTTCCAAATTCCCGAAGTTTTGGAGAAAAAAATTTTGATTGGAAAAATGGAAACTCATTTTCAAGGTCATCCCTGATCCCCCCCTCCCCCCAAAAAACCTCAAACTTATTGCTCATCCATCACCCATACAGTGGAACGTCGCTATACTGAACACCGCTATACCGAACATTCGGCTATACCGAACATCGTCCTTGGCTCTTGATTTTTGTGTACCAAATGTACCGAATATTGCTGTTGAAAAAAGGTCAACAGAAGAGCGAAAAGTGGCTATTATTTCCCCGAGGAATAGAAGGGGAAAGCCACCCATTGCTGTAGGTACCGGTAGTAAGCTCACTATCTGTGTGATTACATTATTCAATAGTCGGCACGTGTTCAAAGTCATCTTTCAGTAACTAGAAGTACCAGGGCGTGCAGGGTGAAGTTCTGAAGCGCGCTATTTATTGAAAAATGAGTACCGGAGCACCGGCAGCTTAAAATCGCTACACCGAACGATCACTATTACGAACAATTTCTGTGGATCCCACGATGTTCGTTATAGCGGCATTCCACTGTATAAAGTTACAGGTAAAAAATGCCGGGATGGGAAACATGACACGTAAAGATACATGTTTCTACTCAGAACAGCTTGCAAAAAAGTCAAACTTCCAATCCCTGTCTGTTACCCGCACTACTACCCCCTCCCATTCTGATGAGAAATCAGCTCCGCCCACCTGTACAGGAGGTGACTCCATCGCCCGAGTAGCCAGCCTCACACTGACAGCTGAATGACCCAGGGGCGTTGACACAGCGGCCCTGACTGGATGAATCCAAGCAGTTATCAGTACCTAACGTGCACTCATCATCGTCTGAAATGTGAAAGAACCAGACAAAAAAACATGCAAATTCATTTACTTTTATATTTAGCCCTTCTTTGCAACACATTGCAGCAGGCGTCAAAGACTACGGGACCTTGCTCCATTGGGCAAAAAAACACCAGTTTAGTGTGTATTCTGACTGTTTGGAACAGCAAAGAAAATGACACCGAATACTTGTTTCAACAACTGTCAACAACTGTAGTACACAATGTCTTTATTAACAAACCCTGGTTAGGTGAACAATATGATCGATAAAATCCACTTTTTATTTTAAAAGACGGGCCTTCTAAAGGACTTTGTTGAGTATTTTTTACTTTTAAACTGAGGTTTTATCGCTGGCGATGTTTGAAGATAATTGTGACGACGATTCTTGAAATAGCATTTTTGGACGAAAGAGGTTTTAGAGTCACTGTGTTTAAATGGTGATATTCTTTGAACAGATTGAGCAGTTTCAGTAATTTTTTTCATTTAAAAGTAGCTTTTGAAATTAGCTTTCCAGTCATTATTATGTTTGGTGCTACATATTGTTTAAAATATGAAATATAAATTTGGGGGTTTGGGTTTTTTTTTACTCACCCTGTATAACAAATTAGCTCAAGTTGTGTACTGACCCTCGCTCAAATGAGCCATGTTTTGTCGACCGTAAACTTATTGACTTTCCGTGGCAGGCTCTTGGTGGCACGCTGCATTGTGAAACGCCCAAATTAAACCGCTTTCCATCGTATCAACAATCTCAAAGCGCTTACAATTATTCCCCCGTTCATCAGGTCATGGGACCACGCGGCAGCCGATATCAGCGCTCGATCGGTCCTCGACCCTCACAGGTACCCATTTATACTCCTGGGTGGAGAGAGGCAATTGTAGTTAAGTGTCTTGCCCAAGGGCACAAACACCATGTTCCTGGTACGGTTCGAACCCACGCACCTTCGCACATGAGTCAAACACCGTAACCACTGGACCGTGGCGTTTCAAATCTGTTGCAGTCATACCTGTGCAGCCGGATCCGCTGCTTTGACCATCGCCGGTGAAGCCTGAGGCACAAGCACAGGTGAATGATCCTTGGGTGTTGGTGCAGACAGCGTCTGCGTGACAGGTATGGGTGGAGAGGCTGCATTCATCCTCATCTGGAAATTGAAGATAAACATTTCTTTAAGGAAAAGTTTATGCAAGAGCCATGGATACGAGTCATCTGATTAATCATTAAAGATAAGTTGCAGACAAGTTTATCCGCAAAGATCCATTTATTTCAAGATTTCTAAACAACTTCCGCAGAATTTTCCCGTTATTAAGTTTGAAAACAATGTTTTCAAATCATATCTGTCTGCGGAAATATCAGGGGATGCTACCCGCACATGATGGCCTACACTCGTCTTGCATCGAGGTTCCTGAAAAACAATCCCACGCCTGGGACCAGTCAATGCCAAAATAACCCGGCATTAAGATTTGATTCAAAACTTTACCATGAAAAAAAAAAATTGGCAGAATCTCCACAGTGACAGGGGTACTGATTCACTAAAACAAGGTGACAAATTTGATCCGAAAATTTGTCTCAAAAATAAATCGTCTGGGAACTAGACTTTCACATATATCCTGAATATAGAACAATGAAATGAAATTTGAGGACACGGCAGTGTGGCTAACATCTTTTAAAAGACCTTTTGCAAAAGGTCAAGAACAATGCCCGTTACGGTACGGCCTAACATACCTGCACACTGGCCAGTCTTTCCTGATCCACTGTATCCTGCGTTGCATGCGCATGTAAAGGACCCAACGGTGTTGGTGCAGGTGGCGACCGAATCACAGTCATCTGTGTTATCACTGCATTCATCAGTTTCTAATAATACAAACATTAAATCAATAGTACAAGTGGATATCTACATTCCATTAATTTTGCAAGTGTTAAGCTGTTAGAGACCCCATAATGGTTTCCAGAAGGTTTTTTTTTTCTTCAGGGTTTTGGAAATTGATGTCCTGATCATTTGTTGTGGGAGGAAAAACACGTGGGTCGCATTGGGCCGCAGGACCATAAACATGTTTCTGGTTCGAGACCACTTGGGCAATGGTGCTTTGGTTACACCGAAATGACGTCATTGTTTCGACCCAAGTTGAAATGAGACATAACAAGTTTTACTCTGCCAAGGAAACATACTGGAAAAGTAACTGCCGGACTTTTGTATGTAAATCGTGTACAATTGACCAAACCAGTCGTCTGCCCATGAGGTCACAAACTATTTATTTGGTCAGGCATTTTCATGGTGCAAATGGAAACATGTTTCACGTCATGGCTGGCCCTAGTCCGAAAATTTTGGACTCTCAATACTGTGTATGAGAGTCCCAAAACTTAAGGTATTGAAAACGTGCAAAACAAGAAAATAGACTGGCACATAACACAACCAGTCCAACACAGCTTCAGTACTGCATCAATCAACCATGCCAAAAGAATTTAAGAAACATGTGGCATGAAGCGGGAACTAGTCTCAATTTACTACACATTTGTCCATAGTCAAGCCACCAGACTATTGACACTGAATGAAGAGGTCAGTCTTTTCAAATAGTTGGACCATGGTTGGACATGTACCAGTCTAGTCTTTAGCCCCATTTTGAAATCACTTGACTTCCCTCCCATGTTCAAGATATTGAAGAAAAGACTCTTTTAAAAATTGAATTCAGTCTGCAAACTTGCTTGGTGAAATACTGAGGACATTTTCTTTGCCCCAGTGGATTTTTTTGGAGAAATTTGCTGGCTAAACTGTGAGTAAAGTGGGCCTGATTTAGTTTTGCACGTTTCAGAGCACTCCAGAGCCCTGTCTGGGCTGGTCCGGGACGTAGCAAAACATGTTCCAGGTCAAGGACTGCCAAAACGCGGCCCTGGTTTTATGTCCCATCTGAAGGACAAAGCAATAATGGTTAATAATCAAGAATTCCAATTGCATTTTGATGGAAACATTGACCAGAAAAGGCATTTAACAGTGCCTTGCTTAAGGGCACAAGTGTCCACCCGGGCTTGAACCAACGCCACTGTTGCCTCTGAAACACCAGAGCATGTGCCTGGTGTTCTTAACCGCTGGGCCATGACACGCCCCTGGGGTAATCCTATACAACAGCACTGCCCAGCTCACACCAGACAGTCAGTCAGTAAAATTACCAATGCAGTCATGCCCGTCCGCTCCAGTTACATATCTTGAGTCGCAGTAGCATTCAAACGATCCGACAGTGTTGTTACACAAGCTTCCAGTCTCTACACAGTCATGCGTCCCAACCATGCATTCATCCACATCTGGTATCAGAAAAAAAAAGCAAAAAGTCGATATAAAACAAACAGAAAATGTTTAAAAAATCGGTAATCCTTACTTTTAGGACACCTCTATTTTGTACAAGTACTGTCCAAAACCGTCTTTTGCAGACGACTGTCCTGTACCAAAGTGACTTTTGCAGGCTAAAGAAGTCTTTTTTCTTCAGACAAACTCATGAAAACTCATTGAAAGCCCTTTAAAGAAAATGTGACTTTCCTACCTTTTTTTGCAGTTCGCCATCTTGCTTTTTTAATGTATTTTCTGTTTGTCATCATCGTCTTTAACCCCTCATAAATCAAAACCCTGCCCTCTTTCTACAAAAACAAACCTGCTGATATTCAAGAAGGTGTCATTGCCAAATGTTCAAATGTGTCAAGAAATATCAGAATGTCACTTTTGCGTGTCATTTATTCAGCAGTTTTGGTGAGTCTTTTAACCTTATATAGGAACAGAGGAAAGGGGTCCTAAAAGTAAGGATTACCAAAAAATCAGTAAGTCATTGGACAATTTTCTGCCGAAGTGTGACTTCCCCTACCCTCCTCCCCATGTCATGCTCAATTCCTTGACAACGGTTCACACTCATTCCATAACAACTACTTTCGGGTGCGTTATACAACTTACAAGATCCCAAAAAAGAGTACATATGTAATGTATAGAGCATTTTCACAAATAAGGACAGTGAAAGTCCCCAGGTAATAACAGTAGCACCACCTTCATGACCTTATTGCTAAATGCTAGCGCGCCTACACTAAGTCAAGTCCCATGACATTAAACTGAAAACCAAACTAGTACCAACGTCCCAACCATCCTTTCAACAAAGGACTATACCTCATCCATGATATCACTGAGAAATAAGGTAAAAAACTAATACTAGTCAGCCCTACCGTCCAGAAGAAAAAAACATTTAACTTCACTCGTGGCAGTCGTGCATTATTACATCAACGTCAACAAACCAAACTGAAACTCCCGCAAATAGCCAGAGCGCCCTCCATCGGCTTTACGCGCAGAACGGGAGACGGAAACGCGGGGCGGGGTACCGGGTGGGGGGGGGGGAGCACGGCATCCTCCCTGAGCCCTTTATAAGTGACATATATTGATTTCTTAAAGTGGAAACAAGGAATTCAGAAAAAAAGCTTTATGGACAACAAGTGTTGCGTTTATCGTCCAGTGAGTTCCAGTTGAGTTGGAGTGGTATATATACAGGGCGAGTAAATAAAAAATCAAAATGGTTAAAAACGGTGTTTGTGTTCAAAAAAATCCAACCACTTTAGCTGGAATAATTAATCTGATTAATTTTTTTACGGCCCACAATAATTTAAGCGTTTGTGTGTGTGTGTGCCTATAAGAAATTAAACAACCAAAAATATGGCAATTTGCAGATGGTTGCAAGTACTGAACACGCACTCAGAACCATACCTGTTTCACAGAGAGTTCCCTCGTACCCAGAGCCGGTGCAATCACACGTGTACTGTACCAGGTCCGAGTCATCAATGCAAGCACCATTGGCACAAGGTCCAAAGAAACACGTTCCAACAGCTGTAATAAAATGAATAATGCATGATTCATAACAAACAGCTACAAATAAATGAAAATGAATAACGAACAGCTATAATGAATGACTAATTAATTATGCAACACTTTCAGAAGAAAAACATTAACCTCATTAATATGACAACTGTTTAATTTTATAAAATGAACAATCTGAGGTTTGTATCAGTCAAGACTTTGTTTTTCAAATAGTATTTTTCCAAGTGTTTTTCGCTTCTTTTTTTTTTTAAGTAGGGTAGTTTATTTAAGACAATAACGTCAATTTAAATTGAGGTACAGGTTAATGGGACACCAATATGAGCTATTCGTGTGCGTCTTTCTAATTTGTTTCGAGATCAAACTTTTAGCTTATTATATATTACGACGAACGTCTTATATAATGCTAATCAAGAATCATATAAATGATTGATCTTACCTTCCTGCTCGTTTGCAACGAAATGTTTGATTTACAATGGAAATGGCAAATAAAATGGGTCAATGTTAAAAAATGATTGTCAAAACATCTCACAGAGAATAAACGCCAAGCCGCCGCGCATGCGCGCAATTTGCAAGCCAAACCAAATACCATAAAAGAAAGAAATTGAGAGAACTAAAGAAAATGAAGGTTAAAATGAAAATAATTCGACATGGGGAAGTTGGGGGTATCGGAAAAGGAAAGGAGGAAGGAGGAATCTTCATCGGCTTGTTTGGGAGAGCTCTCCTGATGAACATTTCTAGTTTTCCGGCCGACTTCTGCGTCTGCATGTCCCGGTATGGTAGCCCAATCCCGGCCATCCTTGTTTATAGTCGAGTCTCGCATCGGCCGGCTTCATCGCTTCTCTTTGAACGCTGCATTTGGAGCCGATGGTCGGTGTATACCTCCTGATTCAATAGCACACAAAAGTATATAGAAACAACTTACTCAATCCTCAGTCCATGCCCGAGTGATGTAGTCGAAAACTTTTCCGAGACAACTTAATGAGCAATCACATTTTCATTTCAGCCACGTAGGATCATTTGCAATTACTCGGAAAAGTATCAGTACTGAATTGTAATGAAATAAATCTTGCTTTTGACATGAAAATATATTGTCATTTTGACCCAGAAAAGTGTCAATTTGACTTGAAAAATTGTCATTCTGACCCATAGAGATATACGGAACTTTTAAGAGTGCACCCAACTTACATGCACACAGGGTGAGTGAAAAAAAAACACGAAACCCAACTGTCGGGACTATTTGTTTGTAGTGCAGTTCTGCATGTAGCGCTTTTAAAATCTAGGATATGAAAGCCCAATTCACAAGCTTTTTTTTAGTACAAGAATCATTCAAATTACTTAAGTACTTTTCAAGTTACGGAATTTTAAACACAACCACCGTTTTAAAGTTCTGTCCACGGATCACAAAAAAGGTGTGCGTTCTTTCAGCAAAACGAAAACAATTCACACACATCCCTGCGATTTGTTTTCGTTTTGCTGAAAGGACACTTATCTTTTTGTGATCCGTGGACTAACTTTAAAACGGTGGTTGTGTTTAAAATTCCGTAACTTATAAATTACATGAGTGATTTAAATGATTTGTGTACTAAAAGAAAGCTTATGAATTGAGCTTTTATATCCTAGATTTTGAAAGTGCTACACGCAGAACTTCACTAAAACAATAATCCCGACATTTGGGTTTCGATTTTTTTTACGCACCCTGTATAACGGGTACTCTTTAAATGCAAGAGTGAAAAACCACTCTGTTAAAGAGCATAGGGGGCCTATTGGAGACAACTCTTCTGGAGTGTTTTTTCTTCACTCTCTTAGAGTGAAGTTTGCATCCTTTGAGTGGTTTTTCACCATGGCCCATTTTTTTGTAGTGAAAACCCACTCTAAAGAGGGGGACAACTTCGAGGTTTTTTTTTACTCTGTTAAATTTAGAGAGTATATACAACTTTGGAACTTACACAGTTGCCTTATTTCCTGTAAACAAACTTTGCAACTTACCCACACCAGACACCGTTGGAAATCGCTCTTTAGTCCAGCATTGAGAGAAAACAACTTGAGTGAGTCGATGCTTCAGTCAAAAGCAAAACATCAAGGGATCATTTTTTTAATCGGGCCTTCTTTTCCGTGCCAAACGAGCTGGGGTAGCGTTTTGCATATAACGTGACATAACGGTACATTTTACACAAAGCCATACAGGGGAACAGTTGCTAGAGAGAGAACTGGTCTTGCAATGACGCACAGTCGAAATCAATAATTGGGCGAATAAAAGTTATCGATTTTCGGGACTTAAATAACACTTTCTTCAGAGCCCTTCGCAAAGTTTTTGATGTTCAATTCGTTGATATTTATGGTTAAAAAAAGGGGGAAACAAACCAAACCAAAGTTTTAGCATTAAGACAACAGGGTCATTCCGATTATGAGTTCAAATGATTCCCCTCTCAAATCATTTGAAACTTTTTTAGGAGATTAAAAAACACATCATGATAAAAGAAAAGGTGCTCCTAAAACATTTTAATAAATGATAGGTAGACCACGTAGTATCGATTTTCGTAGAGCTTAGGCCATGTTTTGGATCGATTAAATCCCAAACAAAGATCCGAAAGGAAGGTCGAATAGTTGGCTGCAGTTATAAGTATAGTTTTTTTTAATTCAAGATGCTATAGGCCTACAGATAGTGATCGATAGTGGATCACCTCGCACGCAGCGCCGGTGCCTCGCCGTTTTGGTCCATAGAAGTACAAGTGCGACATCACACGACATCTTTCGAACCGTTCCCACTATATCGTCTTACGCGCACGGATCGCGCCCTCGACGATAATCTCAAGTAAGATAAACAGTCCATAATTTATCCTAAATAGAGAAAAGATAAACCTATAAACACTTGAGGTGCCTTGTTAAGTCATTTTGATCATCGTTTAAAGAAGTGGCCGTAACGGAAAGCGTGAACGAAAAGTCGCATATCGTGCGGAAGTTAAAGATGATACCCCGGGCTCTTAAAAAAATCTTCTAATGAACTTTCAATATGTATGGTTTGTTTTAACGAAAAAAACCAAAATCAACTATACTTTATTCCGATTTTGCCGTCTGCAACCCTTTGAATAAAGGAACTTCAGTTTGCGCACAAAATGAACCGGTCCTGCGTACGCGAGAAACGAATAATTCAATTTATGTGAAGAAATAATGTTCTAAAACTGAACGTCGATGGCCTTTTTCGTTTGATGTCTCATGTAAAAGTGAATAACTTCTTTATTTCTATGAATAGCTTTTGAAAAAAAATTCAAGGTGAACCCGGACGGGGAATCCGATCTGTAACATTTTGCACGAGTGGAAAACGCAGATTAATGCAAATTAGTGAAAGGTTCAACTGGGGACATCATGGCCTCCCTGGCCCCCCACTAAAGGATGCATACCGGTAAATAGGCCTAAACCCATCCGCCGAGCTCATGAATGAAAGTTATACATGTACCCCGCAAAATATTCTATATAGAGAGTTCCGAGAGCCATAAAATAATTGGAGAATTGAAGAGTTAGGCCAATGACAATGAACCTCTGGCCCGGACTTGGGGCTTCCAATTTTGAACATTTTGGATGCAATTAGGCTCAAAAGTGGCGCTATTTTGCCATGTTGTGGAGGCGAGGGGTATTTTTTTCCAAGATGGCCACTTTTCCGCTTTGGGAAAAGTAGGGGTCGTCCTTTTTGGGTGAGAATTTCCCGGAAAGTCAATGGTCAACCCACCAAAACAAATGAAAAGAAAATGAAAGATGACATGTTGATCATCATTTTTCTGTGCAACTTGAATACCTGTGAGAGTTCTGAGTTTTGATTTCCTTTGTTGAAGCCACAAATGACAACAGGATGTCGAGTTGTTATCAAATTTATCACTTTTAACTTGGGAAACTTACAGAATTTACTTACGGAAAGGAGGGACTCTTTTTTCCCCTACAAAATAATTAACAACATTATTTATGTGCCTTTACGTGATCCCAAATCTATAATATATGAAGTTCACTACGGAGGCTTAAAGTTGGGGTTGGCCTATAGGTGCTTTTGCAACATGTCGAATTTCTTTTCTGAACGAAATTTAAGAGAATATAATGTCCTGTAGCAAACAAATTTGCTTGTTTTTTTTTTGCAGGCCTTTAGACAATTTTAAAAATTGGTTTAAATGGCGCGCTCCAGTTCAGAAATTGCGCACACTGTTCAGAACGGAAACTTGTAATTAATTAATTGATTACTTGTCATGGGCCGATTTTTTCGTGCGACGTCTCTTTGGAAAGCTCACACCTAATGTAATGCTAGAAAATTATCAATTAAATTTGAAAATCTATTTTTCAAGTTGCCACACCCAGAAAGCACGTAAACACTTAAAAATGCCCATCCGTGTTTCCGTGAGAAATTATCACGGCAAGACGGAACAGGCCTATGTTTTAAGACGTTTTTTCTGAGATTCAATACGCATAAAGACACCTCCCTGAAATTGTATATCAAAAATACATCTTTTTTTGTGATATACTTTTTGGGAAGACTTTCTCGGAAGAAGTGTTTCCATGATATATCTTGGCAAATCGTCTCATTTGGAAACACAGAATCGCGGATGATCACTTCAAGCTTCCGTAGTTCACGGATATGCAACAAAAATGACCATGCATATCTTTTTATCAAAGAACCATCAGAATATGCTTCCCTATCCTATCCTAGGTTATTATTAACATTTTTTTTTAAAGGAAAACAAAATACTGATGATGATCACACATTATTAGGCCTACATTAAAAAAACAACCAAATAGTATTAAAAATGTTGTACAAACAAGATAGAGAAATATATCCAACCTTAAAGAAAAGTGTTTTTATAGTTATCTTAATATTTTCCAATCTCCCATACTATACAGTGCATTGCATATTTATAAAACGCAATCACCTAAAAAATGTTTCAGAACATAATACTTTTTCGTATAAAATATACTGCTCCTTTGGCTTCAAATACAATACACATTTCCACTTTAAAAATATTTCCCGAGTACAAGCACTTATTGTATTACAGCATATTCATTAGTGCAGCTTGCATAACATATTCTGCTAAATGATTGGATGTTTTCTTTTTTTTTAGTACTTCAACCAATTATTGAAACACTCCTCGAAATAAAAAGAATGAAACAGCTGTAAATCATCTGGCAAGGACAGCTGTGGGAACTTATTTCTATTCATTTCATTTAACTCCGAACAGAACCGCTCATCATAACCTTAACAAACACTTTTTAAAAAAAAGAGCTCTCCCATTTCCTATTCTAAAACTAATTAAGTTCCATCTCAAACCGTTTTACAATTATTCCACCGTTTATCAGTCCATGAGACCGCGCGGCAGCCAATATCAGCGCTCAATCAGTCCTCTACCCTCACAGGTACCCATTTATACTCCTGGGTGGAGAGAGGCAATTGTACTGAAGTGTCTTGCTCAAGGGCACAAACACCATGTTCCTGGCAGGGTTTGAACCCACGTATCATCATATGAGTCAAACACCATAACCACTGGACCATGGCATTCTACGGACTATGTCATTCTACCACAGCGTTCAATAAAAACAGGTCTCAAGCACAAAATGTTTAAATGTACAAATATTTATTGCTGTGACTGGTTCTTGACATGATTGCTGCCATCAAGTCTAAGATAACAAGAGAAACGGGCAATTCCTTCGTCCACTTCAAGACCAGTGAATCTGATTTCTTGCCGTGCCTGTGCAGGATGTAGCTACTTGCTGGAAAGTAGCTTCTCTATTTGTAGGCGTAGCTCCTTCATTTCCTGACTGCCGAGATAAAAACAAGAAAAACAAAATTATACTTAGTAGCAAAAATACACTACAACTGAACATAAAGGTCACAAAGAAAAAATAACCCATCTGATATGGGCGTTCGCTAGTACCCCCTGCCCTGCAAATAGGATGCTGGGAAGGGCTGATGAATTCACGTTCTGATTGGATAGATTTTGCGTGACCTGTGACCTGCAAGTCATTACGGCCACGACCCTGCAAGATTCTAAAGGGCCGTTAAGACTGAGTCATCACTCTTTTATTCCCATTCACAAATGCTTTTTTTTTTCTCAAAAATCTGTAAAACTTATCTGTTTTGTAAATTTCAATTCTCGTCACTTGCTCAGGCTCCGTTTCAAATTCACAATGGGTCAAATTGCATATTATGCGACGATCACAATTTGTCCACATGGTCCGCAATGAAAAAGAAATCACGTCCGGTATGGAATGTGTGCATTTCTATGAGAATGTTTTCGGATAGCATTTGCGCGCATTGGCTAACAGCTGGCTTAACAGCTGCAGCCAGATGTCTTTGAACATAGGTCATGATAAGTTACCCAGAATGCCATCCCCAGCGCCCTGTTTGCAGGGGGGGGGGGGGGGGGGGGGGGGGGGGTACGAGCGAAATATGGCTGATGTCATGCCAAAAACAGTTCGGTGCCAAATAGTGTCCGCTCATTAGCATACTGCAATCTGAATGGCTATGCTTGTATGACGTCACATTGTTGACAGAAGCTTGCCAAATAGTGTCCGCGCTTAGCGTGCATCCTATGGCGTGCTTGCGATCAGCTTTCAAGACGTCATGTATGAAATCATTTTTCATCTAATTTTCCTTTTATAATTTGTTACAACTGTAACTTTTCTATCTGTTATTACTGAATTGATTGTAGAATTTGTTTTGAACTGATATTTCTGACATTTTAACTCACATTTGGCTAAAATCTGTATGTTTTCGTGTCAGGTTATCCTTTTTCGAAACACGTGCACGCGTGTTTAGGCCTACGTGGTTTTGAGCACTTTTGTTGCTTCAAACAAACTTTAATGCACAAATTACAAATGATGGACACTACCTTATCCAAGGACACAACATTATTCAAGTTTTGTGTTTTGTTTTGTTGTACTCAGCATTCTCGACTGTAAATGTATTTTAAGGTCGGGGTAGATTTACAACTTGATGAAGTTAAGATGGATAATAAATGGCTATGCCTTCCAAACCTGATGTTGTCCACTGATTTCTTCAGTGCAGCCATTTCTTGCTTGGATTTGCTTTTATGTGTCTTCTTGACATGTGCCATCTGTGTTGCTCTAAGGCAGCGCTCAGCAAGTGCTCGACTAAGCTCCTTAAAAAAAAAGTAAATAAGTTCAGTTATTCCTGACTGGAACGACAGGAGAAATTAATAATAACAATAACATGGTGCTTATATAGTGCCATTTACCGACGGTCTGAAAGTGCTTCAGAATTATTACCCCTGTTCATCAGGCCACGAGACCATTTTTCTGCAGCAGCTCGAGATCAACTCAATCTGGTCTCTACCCTAGCTGACTAGGGTGGAGAGAAGCTATTGTAGTCAAGTGTCTTGCCCAAGAACACAAGCACCGTGCTCCCAGTCAGGTTCCGGACCCAGGTACCACGGCACGTGAGTCGCACAGCGTAATCACTGGACCATAATGCAAATTGTAACAACTCACCTTGTAGGCAGTTGTGTCATGAACTGTTTGATGATCATGACTTGAGTGCTGCGGAGAGGAACAAAAAGAGGAAAATGACGGGCATCAAATATGTGAATTTGATTCATTCATATGGGCCCAATCGGTATTGGTGTTGCGGGGGGGGGGGGGGGCAAGGGGGGGGCAAGGGGGGGGGCAAGGGGGGGGGGGGGGCGCTTCCCTCCCTGGAAAAGCACCAAAAAAAAAAAAAAAGTGGAATGTCCCTGCCCCCGATTTTTTTTCTCCCAAACGACATCCGCATATGGGTGTACACTATGGCGTTTTGGACTTTACTTTTTTCTAAAAACATGAGAAGAAAATATTAAATTAGCAAAAAAAAAATGAATTCAAACGTAATGAAATTCGAACTTCATTTCCCTTTTAAAAAAAATCCTCCAAAGCCTCAGGTTAGAAAAGAAAAAAAGTTCGGGTACAAAACAGTGTTTCGAACCCGCAACCTCGCGGTGACAAATCACGACTCTATATGGACTGAGCTATCGCACTACTCGTCAAAACGTGGGGAAAAAAAAAACCAATTATATACCTGCGTACGTATCATAAAAGTATCGTAGAAGGCGCTAAACAACCATGTATGTGTATGTAGTTTGGGAAAAGAAAATTCGCTCCCTGCCCACCCTCGAAAAATGATAAATCGAGAACTTGCTGGAAAAGTACAGGGATTTCGGGGGAAAATTGTGTTTGCCCCCTCTAGAAAAAATCCCGGCGACGCCCATGGTTCCATGCATAGCTACCTCCTCAGTGGTCAAAGGAAAACACATGTATGTTTCTGTCATGCGCCTATGCTCTGGAGAGCATAGTGTTTCTGTTAAATTGGTAAATACGTTTCCAGGTGATTGAAAATCTCCCTACATGCCTTCAAATTAAAATCCTATCTGGAACCCAATTTTTTAACAGACTATTTATCTAGCGTTTCCCTGGTTAGAAACCTGTCTGAATACATGCAAATAAAACAAAAAAAGCTTCGTGTTTATCACCTGGTTTCCAGTACTCTTTTTGGTGTACTTCCGGCGAAAGAATTGAAAGATTTTGAGGATGGATTTGAGGGATGGAATGAGGTTGAAAGGAGGAGGCAGTGTGACGCTGGGTGTCATGTATTCCCCCATCAGCTTGGTCCGCGCAACCTTCCACTCCACCTCTGAATTTTCCTGAAATTTAAGAAAGAAAAAAAAAAGACAAAATTTTTTTTAAATTTTTTTTAGGTAATGGTAGTATTAAGTTGGGGTGTGAGTGACCACTGATAAAAATAGCTGAAAACAGCTGAAAAAGGGTGTAAAAAAGCTGAACTTTGGAAATCTCCTATACTTTTGTACACAGCAAGTATTAAGGGGAAAAAACTGAAATGCATGGAGCACGGCACGCCACTCGGCATTTTATGTATCTTTTCCCCTTGGTGGTGAAGCCACATATGAATAATTCAGGAATTTCACAGAATCACAGACAGACAGCCAGATGACAGACAGACAGACAGGTTCACGTTCTCCTCCCCCCCCCCCCTCTAATAAAAATGATCAATGAAGTTAGAGCAGAAAATTGGTTGGGAAAATGGACATGGCAAGAATTGAACTAGGGACCTATTAATCCATAGCACTAGGCTACTGTGGCAGCTCAACGACTGTCTTTCTTTTAAATGCTTATAATAATATATTAGTATTTCATGCAAATCAGGAGAAACGTGAGTAATGTTTAAGGGTGCAGACCAGTAAATCGGTCCGAAATTGCCTACGCCGGCCAAATCACGATTTGCATGCCCTCAAAATCTTCAGTATTTGAGCATGCTGTGGGCCATGAACTTGAGGGTTTGTAAAAAATATGGGTGGAAGCCGTGCACAGGACTGGCAGCTTGCAGTTCTGTGTAATTTGGATGTAATTTGGACCCTAAAAGCGCTCTATTTTGCAATGGAGTGTAGGCATCGTTTTTCAAAATGGCGATGGGCTTCAGGACTATTTTCAGGGGTGATCATCTTCAGATGGAAATTTCTCCTAAAAGTCATCAGTTGACCCCCCAAAAATTGAAAAGAAAATGAAAGATGATGAAATAAGCTTTAATTTGATGTGTGTCTTGAACACCTTGGAGAGTTGCAAGTATTTTTCCCGAATTTCTGAAGTGGGAGCATTTACCATTGGGGTCTATGGAAGTTTATTTACTGGTCTGCTACCTTAAACAATCCCAAGGATTTTGCAAATAGTGAGTCCTGCTGGTGAGCCCTCTAGAGGTGGATAACGGTCAGTTTACGTACCTCGACTCTGGTGTATGTGTTGCTCATCATGGCAATGAGGGCGTTGAGTAGCACCACCACGCCCACCACCATAAACGTAGCGTACATGAGAGTACCCACTGTTTGGGTGAAGTAGAGGTCGTCATCAACTGACAGGTTGTCGCGATCAACCAGGTCGAATAAGGACCAAAAGAGGGACTGCATGGATAGCCAAAACCTGGTATACATGGAGCAAAGATTCCAAAATATCAAAGAAAATAATACATTTACAATTACACACAAGACAGGTATTAATTTGTGATTCACTTTATTTCCTTACTTTCATTTCCATTTGCAAGTTAAAGAAAATCAAGATTTTACCTTGCTTTCAACGGCTCACTTTTGAATAAAGCCTATTGCCCACATGCACTGATGGGCATTTCTGAATTAAAGCCAGAGTCCATCATTTGCAGCTATCCAAAAAGTAACTGGCGTAATTATTGTTGAAAAACATACTTGGTTGAAAGATAGTAAGGGGACTCAACTCCCTGTGAAATTATTCTTTTTGGCCAGCTGTCATTTTGAAGAAATCAACGACAGAAGGCCTTTCCAATGGTGCTTCTTAAGAAGCACCGTAGGAAATTCAAACTAGTTGTTCGTTTTGTTATTTGGCGAAGCGCGCACATGTGCACGCAGTTGCTATAATTCGTCACATCAGTGAGTTACACCGCGTGGCTGCTATCGGCTCAGTGAGAACGTGTCTAGGACGCCGGATTCAGGCCCAATTCAAAACATGATTCAGCAACTTTCGATTTGAAATCGAGATCCTATAATGTTTTTCTCGAAAAATGCAGCTGAAGCTAAGCTGAAACTTCATCAGCTTGGTTGTTCATCATCCTTCTTCAGATATTGAGCACTTTTGTTGTTTCAAACGAACAAAATGCACAAATTACAAATGATGGACTATACCTTTAACACTGACAGCTTGACTTACGATAGAAACGGTGTGCCAGAACACTCCGACTTGTCTTTCGCGACCAAGCAGGCCTCAAGGTCCAACTTCTCAAAGGTGTGATACAACTGGGTCAGGCCCAGGGAGAACGAGATGGTGACGAAGATGAAGATGATGAAGAACTTGGCCACATCCAGGATCATGTCCCTAAAGGAGATAAGGAGCGGGCCCAGGAAGCCGAGGATCAGAAGACTGTGGAGAAGATGGAGGTAGGTCAGGACGTTAGCCACGGCGAAGGCAGCCTCGGCAAGCAGCAGCGGGTCAAACTGGCTCCAGTCGTAGCGACTCTGGTTGCCAAAGCTAGCCAGGATGTTATCGCCCCCTGCAGGTGGAGCTGGAAAGACAAAAGTAACAAACTTAAAATGCGAGTGAAACCCGTTTGCTATTTCCCAGGTTTGATGCATTGCTAGCATTTAAAGCCCTTTTCACCCTAGACAAATCTCGGGGTTGACGCAGGGTTGGTGATGGGTTGAAAACATGCATCGTTTCACACTTCAAGAATTTCAACCCTGCGTCAACCCCGAGATTGGTTTTGCCCCGGGTTGAACTCAACCCTGCTCCAGACCAGGGTTGAGATTTTCAACCCGGGTTGAAATTCTTGCCAGGGTTCAAAACAGTAGTAACTGAGCATGATAAGCTTGATTTGCATGAAACAAGTGTGAAACGATGCGGGGTTGAACGCGGGGTTGAATCCGGGCGGCACTGGGTTCACCCAGGGTTGAGTTCAATCGTGTTGAGTTCAACCCGGGTTGAGAGGCTCTAGTGTGAAAAGCTTTTGGGCATAATGCCTGGCTCTACGATATGCAGGTTTGTGGCTTCTGACTAACACCTTTGACAAACTTTGGGACCGACCAGCAAAGGGCTGAAGTGGGGTCACGGAATAAGACTACAAGGACATGATTGTTTTTCTTGGTTTTTCCAGCATCTACAAACCCAAAACAATTGAGTCAGTGTAACAATATTTGCTACAAAATACCAGTGTTGTAGTACTCGTACTCGAGTACTACTCGAGTACTTTTTTTAATTACTCGGTAGAAAAAAAAAACGTAAAATAAAATGTGGCACACTCAACAAAAAAACCCGGAAATTCGCTAAATAGCGGAGATTTCACATCCCTGCCAGGAGAAATGGGTACCTGTGAGGTCAGAGATGGTTATTGTGATTGAATTATAGTTTTTTTTGCGCCTAACACGCTACATCGAGCTGTATACTCCCCAGGGAGCTGAGATGGTATTTGGAATGTTTCATGGGCCCAATGAGCAGGAGTAATATGTAGCGCCTTGAGCACCAGTCCTGGTGGATACGTGCGCTTTATAAATACCCACTATTATTAATATATTATTATTTCAAACGAAAGCTTCAAGTTGCAATTTCTGGCCAAAAAGAAACATCCTACCTGGAGGGGCTGGCCAAACAAAGAAATCTGTAAAGTTGTAGAATGAATCTTGCTCAGTCGCGTCTGGCGTAAACGGCACGGAAGTCTCGGGATTCGGGGGTGTCCCAATATCCCTATGAAGAGAGGGAGAACAAGCATGTTTGCTGAAATTGCAATTGTATTAAAAAAACATGTATTTCCAATGAATTCTAAAAAATGAATGCCTGCAACTGGAAAGTAACGAAACAAAAAAGAAATTCCGAGCTTTAGGCCCAAAAAAAAAAGAAGTCGGTCTCTGGTCAGCGCGCGCGTCGATTTTAATCATGCGCGTCAATCTTTTTTTTTCTCCAAATTGTTCCGCGGTAGCTCCAACAGCGCCCTCTATTTCCGCACCTCCTCAATTTCTTTGACCAAAGAGCACCAAGGAATGGGAAATTGCACCAAGGCAAATGATCGAAAGCACCAAGGCAAATTATGGAGGACACCAATGTACATGAGGACACCAAAAAAGCAAAATAGTACCCACCTTGTCTGTACAATCCAAGCTTGAAGAAAAAAAAAAATTGGAATTGTTGGAATAATCAAATACTAAATTATCTGAAAAAGCACAGCCTAATTATAGTACACATTACTTGGAACTTTTTGAAACTTCATCGTTTATGCACCCATTCATACTTACACATCTTGCGAGTCCGAGAGAAAAAAACCAGGGCTTTGTGTCTTGTCAAAAGCCTGAAAATAACATGGAAATTACATTTTGGATGGAAACTGATATTTCAAATTTTGGACGATACTCTAGCTTCAGAGATGAAACTGGTCTATGGGAAAAAAATTAATAAATCAAATTAAAAACTGTATAATATAACTTCGCTTTCGGTGATAAAATGAGAGCTGCTCTCACAAAACTCACACAATGTTTTACAAAATTTTATTTTTAATTAATTTTTAAAATTTTTAAAATTCAAAATCCAACTGAAAAATTCTAGTTTTACCCGGATGTATAAATGAGAGCTGCTCTCACAAAACTCACACAATGTTTAACAAATTTAATTTTTCATTAATTTTTTAAAATTTTTAAAATTCAAAATCCAACTGAAAAATTCTAGTTTTACCCGGATGTAGGCGACAAGGCTCATAGCAATGAAGATCCAATACAGCACAAGTTGAATCAGATCCAAAAAGTTCCAACCGTTATTTCTGAGGAACGTTTTCGGACCAAAGGCCCACATGTCTCTGATGGTACGAAATGTCATTCCTGGTCAAAACAAAAGAGCAAAACACTTACCAAATCTTGCAAACGAGGCTTTTACACAAATATTGACTGCTTCGAGTGGTGTAGTAAAACTAGCCTCCCGAGGTGATCCATGGAGCATTCTATTTTTCCCGAGGCGAAGCCGAGGGAAAATAGAATGCTCCATGGATCACCGAGGGAGGATAGTTTTACTACACCACGAGATAAAGCAGTCAATATTTGTTATAACACCTCTCCCACAGATTCTGCTTGATTTTTAAGCGATAACGGATTAATTTAATCTGAATACAATAAATATTTACTTCTATTTGATTACGAAATTAGTGAAAAATTAACTTGCACTTTTTCTAACTACCCCTTTGCGAAATGTTTGAACCCAGCTCTGCAGCGCTCGCGCTTGGAAACAATACGCGCCACGCGCAAAGTACTCCTATGCATTTTGCACACAGTGCATATAGTACTTTGGTTGCTATGGGTATAGTACTTTTGGACGTGCACTGAAAGATAGCAAAAATAGAAAGTACCATGTGACTCGCTCTTGGCCAATCAAGACACAGCATCTGCCGGTGAGGCGTTATAAATTTCTTTATAAGTTTTTGTACATGTCATTTGGCACTACATGACTGGAAACTTTGCATGGTGGATGACTTTAATAAACTAGAAAAATTGCGGGTAAAACCACGTGGTGAGAAATCTCTTCTTGGAAGAAGAATGGTTCTGAAAAGAACCGGTTGGTCGAGTGTAGAACTGGAATTTTCGGAAAATGTCCTCCTTGAGCGCCAACAATGGTGGATACGTGCACTTTTAAAATACACATTATCTGGATGAGACTCTTGTTCAACAGACTCCCACGAGAAAACTCGCTTTTCGTAAACTCTGGACGAGAGCAGCAAATCACAACTTACCAACAATCCAGATGATAATGAGGATAAGGAAAGGACTCCACGGGCGGGCTTTGTAATGCAGGTAGAGCTGGGTCATCTCACTTCTTGACATGTCAGCAGTGGAATCACTGAAAATGACGACCCGGGGTCGGATGGTGGATAGGATCAGGAAGAGAAGGAAGTACAATCTGGAAGCTAGGTGTAAGAAGAAACGGACCAATCTGTTGGAAAAAATGCACAAGAGGAGGAGCAATAATACGAATAGGCCTTTAGGCCACAAAAAAAAGTCTCCGGTTTCTGGTATGGAGCTTGTCCAAAAAGTGGTGTGGCGACGCGGCTTTTTTTTTTTTTACCCGACTTTTTTGCTTCAAATGTCAGCTGATGACTGCAAATGGTGCCCGACTAAACTTAGTGCAAATATATGGGAGTCCAGAGAGGCCACATAAAGCTTATTCTCGATCATAACCCCATCTAAAAACACGTTGAAATTGCGCAGCAGCAGAATTCCAGTCAAACCAGTGAGTTTGGCGGTTTTGAGACATCATCTTTCATTGAAAAAAAACCTTTTTCATTTTGCCGACGCGCATGGCTACGGCGACGCGCGCGCATACCAGAAACCGGAGACTTTTTTTTTTTGGCCTTAAAGGGAAGATGCAACATTTGCAAACATCAAAAAACGAAATGATCAAATTATCACGAAATACCTTACTGAATTGTTAGGGAATGACAGTCTAAAGCATCCTGTAAAATCGTGGCTCCTGATGTGCTGACATTTTCAAGAAAAAATGTATCAACCAATTATTAACCAATTAACCATAAAAAAAAATCTTCAGGAATGTTTGGAGATTTTACAAATTTCATTTTGTGTATATCAAGAGCCGATGGCTTTCCCACTCCCGAACGTTATTATTCCCGTACATTCTCTGGATTTCAAAACATAATTATGATGCAGACTTACGGCCTTTTCAAGATGCGGAGATGTTGAACGGGCAACAGAATGTACAAGATGCAAGGCACAAAGAAGAAAACCATAAGGAGGAGGTAGAGCACAGCCGAGGCGACGCGCGACTTGGCGTAACGTAAGACGTAAGGTGTTGAGACTTCCCACTGAGATACCACGTAGTCCTGACTGCTAGGGTGGCTCACAAACTGAAGGAAAACGGAGTAGTCATAACATTTACTACAAGATTTAGTCATCAAGACTTTTTTGGGGTTAATACAAACAAACTTGTATATTTCAGGACCACACGATCACTAAGGTAGCCCTACACTATGGCCCCGCACTGGAGTAGACTCTGTTCTATGGGCCATATGTACGTCAGCCAAAAAGGTCGGTTATTGATAATTTTTTGGTTTCTGGTTTGAACAGCGCCACCAATAGTCAAATGGTGAGGTTATGGGGTTACTGCAAGTCCTCCCAAGTCTACACTAGCCATGCAAAGTTCCAAATCTTATTAACCACTTCGCGCCAGGATTATTTTTGCCGAAAATTTTGAAAGACACAATTTTCCAGCCAACCCTTAATATACAGCCAAACGCCACAAATACTGTGCGCAAGTCATTTCAACAGTATTTGTATGATATGTCTTGCCGAAACCTCATATGTTTCAATACTCCGGGGTGTGCACTGGAGCGTAAATTGTACAACAATAGGCCGTGCACAACGGCCAACTCAAGATCAACACAGTCCGCCTCCACAGACTTCACAGACTTTGTGTGTGTGTACAAAAGGCACCAGGGATTAGCGTGTTTAGACGTCACCCGGAGGCGAGTCAAGGCAATCTTGACGCCTTAACCCGTCAACCGTGCCTGTGTGTATAAAAACAACCAATACATGTTATCACGTCCTCTGACGCGAACTTGTCACTAGTCAAGTAGTTTCCACAAATGACCCCCTCCCCAAAGCTTTTTTTTATTTTCCGGAGGCCAGGTGACCGAAAAATACACACTGGCTACTTTCCAGCACGGATGGCTCTTGTCAAACTTGTTTTCACACACAAAATGGACGACACTTTTTCAGAAAAAAAATAAATAAGTTTGCTCCCCTGGACCCAAAACCTGGATTCATTACTGCATGGGAGTGCAAGTGGAAAGTGGTATCACTACAAAATTGTCATCTCACATTGTCAAAGCCGAGTTTGAGTGCTTGGCGCAGCCTGCGTGGTAGCTTGGGTTTCCCTGCCTCCTCTGGCTCTCCACCATTCAGTAACAGTTCTACCTCCTTATCGTCTCTGGCCAGGCCGAGTAGCTTGGTGCTCAGGGCGGCCAGCTTGGCTTCGATGCGGTCACACTCTTGTCGAAACCTTGGCACCTGTTTGCAAGACGAGGCAGAGCATCTTAAACGCTTCTTCTCAGTAGGTCCGAGGGGGCCACCCCAGAGGTGGAGCTCAGGGCACCATTTGCCCCCAAGGCTGTACAAAGCTTATGGACTATTATATGCATAGGGACTGGCAATGAGGTCACTGGTGCACGTCTATGCACCCCAATGAACTGTCCTAGGGAAATAGGACGAGGGAAATAGGACGAGGGAAATAGGACCCTCTTCTGGTCACTCACAGGCCCGAGGGGGGCATTGACGTGCACTAGTGACCAAATTTTGCCAGTCCGTATGTATTTTATAGCACACCTCTGCCATAAAATAAGAAAAGAAACTTGTTTTGGGTTTTATAACTTAACTGTTTCGATTCGGCTATGGGAATAAACAACCTTCTAAATCATAGTTAGGTACCCATCCTTCCCTAGTCCACCCGGTCAGTCTGTTTGGGTGGTGTGAGAGCGAGCGTGTGAGGGTGTTCTTTTGATGGTGTGCTACGCAAGTCTGGGTTAGATTTCCGCCAAAATGGATCTGCGATCCAGGCTGGTCAGGCTAGGCCGTTCACCGATACTGGCCAAGGCAGAAACGGGCAGTCATCCGAGGCCACGCCGCTAGACTACTAATGTTCCTGCACATGTACTATAAACCTACCTGCATGAGACTTTCTAATTCCTCAAGGGACCGGTCGAGTTTGAAGATGGTCTCCAGTGGGTCATCCGATGTCAGCATGATGTAGGATTCACCGCTGACTGCCTCGTACCAGTGCAGGAGAGCGATGAACTGGCCGTAGCTTTCATCAGCGATTCGTGGTCGAAGCTCCTCCATGGTTGGCATCTTGGCCCCATGCCGGATGAGAGTCTAACAAGCAAAAACAAAAAACTGCACATAAGAAAAAGATAGGCTGCCATTTCTGTGATACTTGTACTGAAAGTGAACCCTCGGGTTCGGTTCGGGTTTGGTTCGGGTTCTGTTCGGTTCACGATCTTTTAATATAGGATTCCTGTCCATGTTTTTACCTTTACAATTTTCAAGTTATCCTGCCTCGCTGCAAGTATCAGTGGCTTGCATGTAGAGGGCCAACTCGGACTCACGGGGAATCGGTTCAGAATTTCCTCTCTGGTCTGTTCAAGAAAAGTAACAAAATATAACAAAAAATTCAAATTAACATCATTTTGTTTAAGTGACTAACAATAAGAAAAACAATTAATAAAACACCACGATTACAAAAAGTTAAGTGGCACTGCTATTTACAATTAATAATTAAGTAATTAGGCAATTTGTAATTATTAATTAGTCATTCGAAAATCAATTCAGAATTCGGAATCAAAATCATGATTCCACTTGTTGGGAGAATTGATTCCCTGTAGTACTTATTCATAGATGACATGGTTGATGGAATTGTTACTGAAAGATAGTGGGGAAAAAAAGGATCTTTGCCGATTAAATAATTGCCTGAACTTCATGGAATAAAAACTTATAAATAAGTAAACAGTGAGGTTTACGAAAACCTTGAAGGTATTAATCTCTTGTGTTGATCTTGTAGATTTCACAGTAGCAAATGCTTCCGATTGTCTTAACTATGTTGTAAAACTTACGTTTCAAAACAAATTGGAAAGAATATATAGAATCCTAATGCTACCGCTTTGGTTGTGTACAAAGTCTATGGAGAGTTGAGTGCATTTGCAAAGTAATTTCTAGCAAAATTGGAAATGTTTCTCAGTTCCGGATTCGCGTCTTTTTAACATTTTTGCACTGACTGACCTTCATTGAGATATTAACATATGATGAAAAAAGTTGCGTCAGGATGCAATATTCTTTCCAACAAATTTTTGGAGGTAAATAATCATGTTATACCCAGGCATGCAACTTGGAAGAAAACAAAAATGAGGAAACTCCAATCTAAACAAGACTTTGTACAGTGTTTTTCAATTCTGAGTGACAAAGTGTGAAGTGATAAAAGAGGAAATCAGCTGATCCGAGGAAAAGTTGCATACCTGTATATAGTCGTGTTCCCTAACGTGGCGCACTTTGAAGCTTACCCGACTTTCCTCGTTTAGTGGTGCCAAACCTCTTTGTTGACAAACCTCAAATTCATGCAGTAAAACACTAGTACTTTTACCTTATTAATGCTTGCTATTCAACCTCTGTGAACAATATCGGTTTTATAAAATTTAATCCGAAATTCAAAAACGGTGGCGTCCAGAAACGGTGGCGTCTCCCAAATTAATTGCGTCAGTAGACAAGTACTCACGAGAAGTTAACAGAACTCCCATAAAAGCAGAAAAAAAGTGGTATATGTTAGTAAGATGTGAAGTAACTTATAAACAAATAATGGCAAGTCACGCCACATTCTTCAGCACTGAGATATCCTTTGTGTGACGTTTTGGGTCATTTGCTTGAATTTGTTGGGTTTTTGACGGATGGAATCCTAGGGAGAGAGAGGTGGAGGGAGTGAATCCCTGTTTGCAGGGGACGTATTCAGCAGTGAACCCTGGACCATAAATTGCTCATCGTGAGTACCTGCTTCAACTAGCTCCAGGACGAGTACTCGAGTAGATGAAAAACCACGAGTAGAAAACTAGTAGCATAAACTACTAGCGAGTACTGGAGTAATCAAATTACTCGCCCATCGGTACTACCCACCAAATTTCTTTCAGTGAACAGCAGCGGCTAAGCCCCATCCTCTCAAAGAGAAAAATACTGCATTTATATTGGAGGGAATGTCATATTTAGTTTGGACGGAATATTTTGTTTGTCTTGTCTGTATTTACCGATTCGGGTAGGCTGTCACAGATTGTGTTCACAGCCATCACACTGTTGGTTTCGATGGCATGGTACAACGCGTCTCCAGGATCCAGGCCCAAGTCCAGTAAACACTGGATCATATCTGTATGAAAAACACAATCACACAGACTCAATATTAGCTTTCCTCGACCAAATATTACCTGATTGGCAAAGGGGGGGGGGGGATTATTTCACAAAACTAAAAATAATCTGATGCCATAAAAATCAACATTGCACAAAAACAACCAAGCTTAAAACCATTACATTTACAAGAATTCTTATCAGTCGCATTTTTCCTCATATCGATTTTGACCAAGGTTCTGTTTGCGCAGAACAAAATAAAAAGCTCATTTTACTGATTGTGCGTTTCGGTTTGGGCGCATCGGCTTCGATAACGCACCTGTATAGAATACAAACGCAAATGTGACCTGTTCTGTCAAAAGCAGATGCTTCTGGGCAGAGGTTGAAATTGAGATAGGGCCAAAAAAATGCTGTGGGCATGGTGGGGGTGATTTTTTTCCATTTTCTAATTTTTGCATATTTGTAATCCTGAGCATGTCTAAAACATACTATAAAAGTTTGAAACCCTAATTTGATCTCTAATTATAGTATTTTTGATGATTTGTTAAGGGTTAAGGTATATCAGTTAAAGAAATGTCTGTTTTGTGACGTTTGTGTCCATTTTCTCTGTTTTCTACTTTTCGACCCAATGAACTTCAAAATAGCATAACTTTGCGCAGGAATTACCGGTTTCAAAAATTAAACCACCTATTAAAAGGAAACAGAACATATTTTAACAATATGCAAAAATCTCATTTTTGACCTTATGCCCAAAAAAGTCTGATTTTGACAGAACAGGTCACAAATATGCAAATAGCCATACAAAAGCCTTACAAAGTTTTCAAGAGGGTTGCACACAAACATGGATTCGCCCAGCAGGCATCACTTTGTACATCAAGTCAGCGCTCTAGTAATTTAATACAGCTCTATGGATTCAGTCATATGTACACGCTTCTGTCAACATGACCTTTATCAAGGCCAATGAATTCAGTGAACTAAAATATTGCGAACTTTCCTTAGGTCTCTCGGATTGGTATGCATAACTGATTATACGATGTGCCACAGGAAAACAAAATGAATGCAACAAACTGGATGCATTAATAAGGTCATAATCATATTATTCATGAACCAGTGCAGAGGAATTTATTCAATACCACTAGGATGTGTTTTGTGAATACAGGGTTTCAACTACTGCTGGTATTTCCCAGAAAACCAACACAGTGTAAAAGGGAAACTGCGACAGGGAATGACCCCAGGATGGCATATTTCCTGAAAGAACAGGAACTTGTCACAATGGGTCTCGACTTTAATGGTTTAACCCAGGAAACAAACAAAAAATCCCCCCAAAACCACATACAAACATGAATCTAATTCAACTTCACTCAAACAGGACGATTCGCATCTTTCTCTGCACAAAGTAATTTTTTGAAGGTTGGAATTTTGGAGATTTAACTAATCCTTGGTGAAAAAAATCCGGAAAGCTTTAACAAAAAATTTATTTGATTTTTAACTTTAGATTGAATCCATTTTAATATATTCTCTGAAACATGACAGCCAAACACACCATACTTTTGGGGTCAATTTTCCGGTTCTCTTTTTATTATTTTTTTAAGTATGTTTAATTTTCCTGGGGGATCATTATTCATTCCTGAATTCAAACAATGTCCATTTTTCCTCCTAAAAACAAACAAACTCAATTTGTTTTAACAAGCCTTACTCACAAAGTGTACACTCCTATCAGAAAGTGTACAAATAATGAAAGTTTATGAGTGCAATGGTAAGAATAATTTCATGAGGTGACAGATGGAATATTCCATTTTTGCCTCGTGGAATGAAACATTTAATATACAACACATGACTAAATCCTCTTCATCTGATTGGTCACTGGAGCCACCACAACTGCGACTGTGAAATGGAATTTCTATTTACCGTGGGACGAAACTTCTATGTTTGCGGTGCGGCTGCGCCATGCGTTGGGACAAACAATTCAATGACATGTGATCAATGACCCACCAATCAGTTGACAGGAATTTATTCAGCCGTGTTTAATACTGCCCATCAAAATTCTCCCACACTCATGAGGTACCAGCCTTTTTCACAGTTACTCATAAAAATGAGTGAAATGAAAGCCGACCCTTAACAATATTCTGTTGATGTAGTCTAAATTTTTCAAGAATTTGATGACGTGGAACATAGGATAAAGTTGCAGGCATTGAACGCTAAATTGTGGAAAGCCATAAGCGCATCTGTGACTTTGGAAGCATGCGATAAAAGGAACGTATGCGATGAGACCCTAAACAAATTCTGTGGACCAAGGACGTCAATTGCTTCTCAAAAGTGGGAGGACATATCTTGATCATAACTAATACGAGCGCGAGTGACTGTTTTTAACAGTTAAGAGCTCCCAGCCTACATAAAGCAGACTTGACTGGCTGAGACTGTTTATGTAACGTGATACAGCTATGCTTTGACTGTAGGTGATTGATAAGCCAGCTGTGCCAACCAGTTGCCTGCTTTTGTCTGTTGACTGAATTTGACTTGCCAGAGTGCTTGCTTGCAATATGATCGGACTAATGGAACATTTTGGAATCTAACTCTGTGGTGCAATCTGAGGCAATTTCTGACCACTTTAACCAATTTTTTTAGCAAAAAAAGCATCATTTAAGCATCATATTTAAGTTGAATCATTGAATCAGGTACTCTGATCTATAGAATCAAATGTAGGGTACATTTTTTTTGTTCAGGGATGGAAAAAGTTGGGGGGACAAACGATATGATATCTCCCCACTTTAAAACATTCTTGGGCACTTTCTCATTGAAGAATTAAAGCTTGCGGAATTTTCAGACCTTCGAAAAGTATTAATTAGTTACCAAATGTATGTTTAAAACGCTATGTGTTGTCATGGGTGCTAGCGGGGTAAATCTGGGTCATCTGTCTCGACCAGCGTTGGAAAAATAAAAAATTTCTTGAAAATGTTGGCACACCAGGTGCCATGCTTTTACGGGATGCTTTAGACTGTCATTCCCTAACAATCCAGCAAGGTATTTTGTGAAAACGTGCTTGTTTCGTTTTTTGATGTTTGCAAATGTTGTATCTTCCCTTTAACAGTATAACATTGACTTAGGCCCTGCTTTCTTAATTTTCCTTTTTTTGGGTTGTTGGTTTGCTCAGAGGGGGGGGGGGGGGGGGGGGGGGGGGGAGGGGGGGGGGGGACTCCTTTCACAGTTACCAACCTTTATCCTCTAACTGAACCACACAAACCCCTTTTATACTCACCACAGTAGTTCCGATTGATGGCAGCAATAAACGCTGATCGGTCGTCATTGTGCTCTGTCCTTGGTGCGTCCTGAAATAGCTGCCTCACTCCAGCGATATCATTACGCTTGACTAACTGCGAATACAGAAGAAAATTGGTTGTGTTAAGATATTGAGTCACTGAAAATATAAAAAAGGCTTTAGGCCAAATAAAAAAAAAACATGTTTCTCGTCCGGGTTTTTGAAAAAAAGGAGGAAGCGGGGCTTTTTATTTTTTATTTGTTTCAAGATGGTCACCATTTAAAAATTTCCTGCAACCGTTGGTGTTTCCACTGTTCAAAGACACTTTTAAAATGAAAGATAAGTTGGACAAGAGAACTGAACAAATTTACAGTGTCATTTAGACTTGTATTGGTCTACAATTTATTTTCTGTTGAATTTGTGGACTTTTCCGGTGTTTTTTTACTGCATTTTTCAAAAATAAAAAATAATAAAAAAATCCAGGCTGCCTCCAAAAAGGAAGCAGGCGGGGACGAGAAACATGTTTTTTTTTTACTTCGCCTTATAGGAATATGGCATATCTATACAGGTTTATGGCGTCTGACCAGCGTCCATGAAAAAAGCCAATGACAAACTGGGGAACCACAAATACGGCTGGATAGCTCAGTTTGTATGGCACTGTTACAGTATCTGAAGGTCAAACGCAGGTTAAAATTCTACTCCTGCCAATTATATGTTCACCTAGGTGGTTTCCCTTTCTAGCTTATTTGTCATTTTTTTTTAAAGGGAAAAGTATGCTGCATTCGGCTGCCATTTCGCAATTTCACTGTTTTTTTTTACTTGGCCCAACAGTAATACTTCTAACTACAGGCACAGACCTTAAGAAGGTTTGATTCAGGAGAGGACTTTGCTGGTTTGGAGTTAGGTATCTCCGGAGTTATCAAATTTGTCAGTGGGATGCTGTCGGTGAGATCATCATCTAGTTCCTCCATCTTTTAAAGTCTTTGTGCCGTTTCACTCCACATTAAGATGCAGGCGTCGAGATGTCCTATAAGGATGAAAAGTAAACACTTTTGGCAACCCCAAAAATGCAACCAAAACACACAGACACAATGCAATACACCCTTTACTTTGGGAGATTTCCTTACTACTGTCAAGCACTTATAGCAATTACCGACTTAATTTCAAGGTTTTTTTTCAACTGATCCGGTGACGAGATTACTCATCAGTTGCTATTCTATGATCAGGTCGGGGACCAGCCCCAAATCTAGCAACGTGTCGCTAGATTGCACAACTTCAATAACAGCCGCTTGATCAAACGGCGATGATGTCAATTACGTCATGAATGACGACAATGACGTCATTTTTTAGTTATGTTTTTTATAGCTCCATGCACGAAGTTATCATCATCATTCGTGATGTAATTGACGTCATCGTCACTTGATCAAGCAGGCTGTTGTACAATCTAGCGACGTCGCTAGATTTAGGGATGGTCCACTCCCCGACCTGATGATGCACACTGTTGTTAATTCCTTGAAGTTACTGAAAAAATATATGCGACAAAAAATTCAAGACTGAATTTATTCACAACGTTGCGAATTTGTTTCACGTCTAGCTGTGAAAAATGTTCACGACGTCGCAAAAAAATATTCACGGCTAGTCTTGAATAAATTCACAACGTCGCAAAAAAATTCACGACCGGTTTTCACTGGTTATGTCCCTTCAGCCTTCAGGGCTGGCTAGTACTGCCAATAGCTACTGTCTACTGAATATCGTAACCACCTGGTATTGGTAACACGTTAATGAACAGCGAGTAAAACACTGTGACTGTGACTGTGTGTGGAACATTTATTTCTCAAACCGACTAAGCTAAAATTAATAAACATGCACAACTGACTATTTAATACAACAGCTATAAAAAAGTAAGGAAAGAAAGCAATACCGTTTGGGTCTGCAGTTCGAAATGACACACTCCCAACTTCAAGTTGCATTCCACTTCAAGCTAAAGTGCCCTGCAGAGTCTAGTCATGTGTACGTGTTTACATTACGTGAAAGTTTTATCGGGGTCTGCCACTTGAGGGCGCTCATGGCTTTGGTGTTAGCTAGCTGCGCTCGCTCCAGATTTGCCCGTTCGCCTAGAATTTCCGCGGGAGATACGCGGATGGGAAATCGTCACACGTGGAGCCAATCACCCGCTGGACCGGTTTTTTTTTAGTCCGCTGCAATCGCTGATAAACTGGTAGAAGTATGGTTTAAATCAACTTGGCAATTTAGGCAATATAAGTAATTCCCCAGTACCTTATTGGTTTTTAAGAAGACTTACGGTGCAAGCAGAGTAACCGTAGGACTCTACGAATCGCCTTTTTTAACATTTGGACATGGTCGAGCGATAGTAGAGTCCTAGGTACATAGCCGTATTGCGTTACTAATATTTTTTTTTAAAACCATTTTCACTCGTACCCCCAATCAAAATCTTCAGATTTCACCCCAAAACAGTCTTCAAACTGCTGCCTTAATTATGCGCCCCTGTAGGCGTCAGTGGGAATTGGAAACACAAATGGTGGTGGTAGGTTCACATATAGGCCTACCTTTGGGAAGACTGAGAAATTTCACCTTCAATTCGGAAAACATCCTTGTTATCAGGAAAAGTATGATGGCTCTGCTGGCTAGACTGTTTCCTGGCAAGCACCAGACAGACCAATCACAGGGCACTTTGATTTGTCACCTGACCAATCACAGGGAACTTTGATTCATGTCACCAATCCAGGTGACCAATAGTTTTACGGGTTTATAGGGGGCGGTATTTAGCAGATATCTTGTAAGCTGAAAATTGTGGGGTTCAACCAAACCATATACGTTTTTGTCTGACAGAGTCTATGAAACAGCTTATGTACACGGCGATAACAGTGCATCTTTCCTCAGACAGTTTAAAACTGTTATTACATTATTGCAGATTAGCACATTAACAATATCTATTACGAACATACTTACTTAATGCAATATAGGTTTTCCCGGCTATTTTAAAACTTTTTTTTTTAATTCACCGATTCTTATTCTCAAAATCGTCCAGTAAAATCGATTTAGTGTACTTCAATTTCGTCTTTTGTCAGACAATTTCAAATTTAGTCCAAACAAATTCAAACAATGAGCGCACATTTTCGACCCAGAGTAGGGGCCTATTCGATCAGTTTCGTCTCGTCTACGCCGATTCGTGTCCTTCAAAAATCAAATTCGTTTTAAATTGATTGATAAAAGATGAATTTGATCTCTGAATGCTGCCATTCCGCAACAGCCTAGACGAATTTGATCTGTAATAACGATTATTCTCGACCCGTAACCGAGAGGGTGACCAAACTTTTAGATTGAATGGTAAAGGAATAAATGATTTTGGTAAAAGCGTGTGATTTTTTTTCTCGGACAAAACTGCCTGGTAGAGTTGATGAATTTTATGGGAAAATGTTTTTAAATAACCGGGAAAACCTAGGGCCTATAGTTTTAGAGAATAGGTAGCTGCCACAACAGCTCCTACCTAGTAAGGTAAGACATTGCTGTACACTAAAATTATGAACCTTCAATGTTGTTCATCATTCCACAAGTTGTCCTGCATTATCTTATATCTGAATAATGCCTACCACGAGACAGCATACACAAACAAATGAAAAAAATAACCTCAGTAAAAGAACTCAGTACATTTTTTTGTACTTAGATATTTCTAAAAATGCCATTCAAAAACTATGCTTGGCAACCATTAAGAAGTTGCTGTTCACTTGTAAGCTACGCTGTAATAGCATGGTAATATATTAAATATCAATATCTTAATATACAACTATAGATAAATAATATGCATTCACAATAAAGGTTTTCATACAAAGCCATTCTTGGGCTACTAAGGAAATCCATGTAACACAACCAGTCAAGCCAAATTTGACGTGTATGCTTAATTCTTTGAAAGTTGAAACATTTCTGGTGGTTCCCAATAGCCGACTGTCATCAAGAGTGTCTAAAACAAAACCGAATCCCTAAAGCGCCCTCTTTTACACAGCTTTAAAAAATTACATCGCAAATAACTGTGCATATAGAACAATAATTTAGATTTTCAACGAGAAACTTTTTCCAATTGGGTAAATAATCTATTGAGTTACGGGCAATTGAAAACAAGTATACCGCTTTTTCATTTTGTCCACGCGACTGATAGTTTGACTGCCGCAATAAGAACACGGGCCGAAACTTGCATCCGTGAAAGAGGTTACCAAGTAGAGGGCAGAGACCACAGTAAACATCCAAGAAGTTAACCAAACAGTCCTTTTCAGGGCTACCATTACTTCCAAAAGGATAAATAACCATTGTTGCAAAAAATAACAAATAAAAAAAGAACCAAATAAATAAAAGAGTAAATATTAAAGAAAACAAAACTTCCCTCGCCCCAAATCTATTTCATTCCTGACAAACGACAAATGACAACTGAGATCGTGGACAGGTTAAAATCGGTGCTTATTTTGAATTGGCCATAACTCAATAAGTATTTACTATATTTTTTTTCATTGTTGAAAAGCTAATGAACTGTACTCTCAAAATATGTATCTATAAAAGTGGGACATATTTTTTTTTAAAGCTGTGAAAAAGAGGGAGCTTAGGCCCCCCAAAAAAGTCTCCGGTTTCTGGTATGGAGCTTGCCCCAAAAGTGGTGCGGCGACGCGGCTTTTTTTTGTAACCGTTTTTTTTTTCTTCAAATTTCGGCTGATTACTGCAAATGGTGCCTGACTAAACTTACTGCAAACATGTGGGAGTCCAGAGAGGCCATATAAAGCTTATACTCGATCGTAACCCCATCTAAAAACACGTTAAAATTGTGCAGCAGCAGGATTCCAGTCAAACCAGTGAGTTTGGCTGTTTTGAGAAACCATCTTTCATTGAAACTTTTTTTTTTTTCATTTTGCCGACGTGCATGGCTACAGCGACGTGCGAGCATACCAGAAACCGGAGACTTTTTTTTTTTGCCTGAGAGTTTTTTATTTTCTACCTGGATAATCCATGATGCTGTATGCACATTTATGGATCTGTAAGTTTGTAGAATTGTAACTCGCTCACTTGTAAATCAGAAATCACTGATAAACAAACAGACCCATCTTGAAGATACAACAGCAGTGGAGTAAAAATTGCACCAGCACTGTCCTGTCAAATTTTGGAGCAAAGCAAACTCAATGAAGACTAGTAGACGATCTGATGTGAAGATTTCCTCGCTGATAGTAGGCGTGGCTTATCAGGACAATTGGTTGAAGGTGTAACTTTACCAAACAAATAAACAAACAAAAAGACTTGTCATAATCATCTGTTGCTCAATGGATGTTGAGTTTGTGGTGGGGGTGGGTGGGGTGGGGCGTTTAGTTCATATCACCATTTCAACTCTGCCCAGAAATGACAGGTTTAACCAAATGCACCACAAATGTAGTTCATGCATTAATGGTGATTTTGCTATATTAATGATGGGCGTAATAACAATTGTGAAAATACGCTTACGGTAAAGCCTTTTCTCTTCACGTGGCTTCTTCAAAACCTGAAAATAAGATCACAATCAGATGAACAATTTCTTCTTATCCTTATTTTCTTTGATTGCTCAGATAAGCATCAGATTAAAATGTGAGTTAGTCCTTAAAACCATATATAAACCTATTGCTGATTGGCTACAAGTTTTGAGTCACCTGACCCTTGGTCATGAATATTCAATATTTACAAGACTCACAAGCGGAGTTTTATTGGCCATTACCAGTTCCAGATATGTGAGATTTTCTTTGATTGCAATATCAGATAAGCATCAGATTTAAATGTGAGTTAGTCCCATATAGAAACCTATTGCTGATTGGCTAAAGATTTTGAGTCACCTGACCCTTGGTCATGAATATTCAATAGTTACAATGACTCACAAGTGGAGTTTCACTGGCCATTACCAGTTCCAGATATGTGAGATGTTCTTTGATTGCAAGGTCAGATAAGCATCAGATTATAATGTGAGTTAGTCCTTAAACCATATATAAAAACCTATTGCTGATTGGCTATAAGTTTTGAATCACCTGACCCTTGGTCATAAATATTCAATAGTTACAATGACTCACAAGTGAAGTTTCATTGGCCATTACCAGTTCCAAATATGTGAGATTTTCTTTGATTGCAAGGTTAGATAAGCATCAGATTAAAATGTGAGTTAGTCCCATATAGAAACCTATTGCTGATTGGCTACAAGTTTTGAGTCACCTGACCCTTGCTCATAAATATTCAATAGTTACAAGACTCACAAGTGGAGTTTCACTGGCCATTACCAGTTCCAGATATGTGAGATGTTCTTTGATTGCAAGGTCAGATAAGCATCAGATTTAAATGTGAGTTAGTCCCATATAGAAACCTATTGCTGATTGGCTACAAGTTTTGAGTCACCTGACCCTTGCCATAAATATTCATTAGTTATAGAAAGACTCACAAGTGGGGTTGGCCAATGTAGCTCCAGATCTGCAAAAATGTTCTTTGATTGCAAGGTCAGATAAGCATCAGATTGAAACGCGAGTTAGTCCCATGTAGAACCAACTGCTTATTGGCTACAAGCTTTGAGTCACCTGACCCTTGGTCATGAATATTCATTAGTTACAGAAAGACTCACAAGTGGGGTTTCGTTAGCCAATGCTAGCTCCAGATCTGGATCGTCTCGGCACAGGATTGCTCGCACCTGACAAGAAAAACAAATCTGGTGAAATTATCGAAAATCATCGCTGTAATTATAAAATACCAAAGATAAAATACAAAATAATTAATATTGAAAAAAAAAAAGGTTAAGCTGTTTTCAGGCAGTGAAATAGTTGAGAATTTGAAATTGACCAAATAACGTGAAGTCACCATTGACTGCATGTAGTCAATTGATCTGAAAATTCAAATCAAGCTTTCAGAAATGACTTCTGAAAATGTATCTCTTAAAAGTATGAACACAATAGCTGTACTAAAGCCGTACTAAATTTTTTAGTTTTCCATAGGTTTGTGCACAAACATGATGTGCCCAGCAGGCTTCATTTGGTACAGTCAGTTGGCACTCCAGTAATTTAATATATGGATGAATCTAACTATGACTCTGTTGAAAGATTGCTACAAGGTTCCCTTGAGAGTAATAAATAAATATTTGTCAAAGGTAAAAATTACATGTTGTTAAATGCCTGAACCATTCAAATGCTTTTTTTTATTCAGAAATGCAACTGTACAGTCACGAAACAAAGAGGAAATTCCAAGACTTCAGAAGAATGTTTAATGACAAGGAAATTGAAAAAAAAGAGGAAATCAGCTGATCCGAGAAAAATGCCTGCATATTTTACTAAGATATTAAGAGATGGAGAAAAACAAAAGGTTTGAAAAAACAAATCATATTTCCCACTGCCGTCTCTTTGAACAGGTACTGTGTTTAAATGCATATGTAAATAATAAACTAATATTACCTCGACATTACAAACTCCTTGCAGAACAAACACAAAGAACCCCTGGAGGAAAGCAAAAGAAGATGGTGAGAGAGTTTACTCTATGTTTGACACATCTTGGGTGATTTATTTAACTGACCAAAGGGAGAATAGACTTCTATTTCGGCTACTGAAGTACTAGGACGTCCCTCCCACTAAGGGTTTCAAAAATTGTTAGTTATTCTAAATATTACTTGTCAATGTCATACTTTTCTTGTAAATACTGGTCAAAAAGCTGAAAATGCTGCTGAAATTATTCTCTTAACAGAAAACCATCTACATGTATACAAATTCAGGCTTTACCTGAAGTGAATTCAGGATGACAAACAAGTAACTTGTCCACAATGGGCCACCGTAGATCGCTTTCCAGCCCACCACCCAAGTCATAGCGTACAGACAGTTGAGGATAATGGTTGCACGCACACTGGACCTGGGGGTGGGGGGAAGATAAGTTTCAAGGATTAATTGTTTTACCAACAACACAGGAGTGCAGGATGAAATACAGATGGAAAGTTGGACATATGGAATTATATAACTGACATACAGATCCTAGCCATTTGATTGGTGGAACTCATATCACATGACATTCGTTATTGCTCCCATTCACGCCGCGGCTCAAAAAGTACTATCCGCCCATGGGGAATGGGAAATACTATTCAACAGTTAGGATCATGACGTGGTATTTGTGTGCAAATGCATGCTGGTGTGCGCGTTCAGCGTTGCGCGTAGCGCGTATTGTTCCAAAGAGCCAGCGCTACAGCGTTGGGTTCAAACATTTTCGTGAAGGGGTGGTTTGGACTAGAGAAATAGATTTTCCTCCAGTTTCGTATTGAAAAAGAGTTCAAATGTATCAAATGACAAGGATCTATATGTCAGTTATATAAAACAAATATTGAGTGGCTTTAAATTGTGAAATGGGAGGAATATTATCGCTCGGTAAAATCTGGACTTTTCCAGTTCACTCGGCTTCGCCTCGTGAAATGGAAAAGTCAAGATTTTACCTTGCGATAATATTCCTCCCATTCCACGCTGAGCCACTCAATATTTGTATACTATTCCCAAACGAGATATTTAAAGGGCCTATGACATGATTTTTTCTTAGGAACATATTTTGTGCAACTTTCTACTCCTCTAAAATGTATTAAAATTCCATTGCATTTATAATCAAAATCCGACACTCCATTATGTGAGCAACTGGTGTTGACCAAACACTGTCTCATGAAACACCCTTTGTATGCTGACCTTTTCTTTTATAATCGCATCATGTCATAGTAATGAACACTTCAGTTGTCAGTGATTTAATCAATTGCATCATAGGTATTGCCAGCATTTTGACTTACAAAGCGATGGATTTTCTACCCATAATCACAGAATCGATCCAGTTGGACAAGAATACTGATATAGGAGTCCACATGTTAAAGCTATAGTCCATCATTTGCAGCTTCAGTCTAAAAAGTAGCTGGCGTAATTATTGTTGAAAAACATACTTGGTTGAAAGATAGTAAGTGGACTAAACTCACTGTGAAATTATTCTTTCTGGCAAGCTGTCATTTTGAAGTAATCAACGAAAGAAGGCCTTTCCAACGGTGCTTCTTAAGACGCACCATAGGAAATTTAAATTAATAGTTCGTTTTGTTATTCGGCAAAGCGCGCGCAAGCATTGGCACAACGCACACGCGGTTGCTATAATTCGCCGGATCAGTGCGCGACATCGCGTAACTGCAATCGGCTCAGTGAGAATGTGTCTCGGATGCTGAATTCAGGCCCAATTTAAAACATGATTCAGCAACTTTTGATTTGAAATTGAGATCCTAGAATGCTGTTTTTCTCGGAATATACAGCTGAAGCTGAGCTGAAACTTCATCAGGTTAGACAATGTTCAGTACCCTTCTTTAGATTTTGAGCACTTTTGTTGCTTCAAACGAACAAAATGCACAAATTACAAATGATGGACTATATCTTTAATGCTATTCATGTTGCTATTGGATTCCTACCTAAAGCCAGTGGTTCTATCCAGCTTGCGCACCGTACTGTCGGTTCCCCTCCTCACCATTATCAGGATAAAAATATTCACCTGCCAAAACCAATCATACATATCAGTCATCATAATGTCATAGTCCAATTACAACCGAGACTGGGTCGTGTCTTGGGAACAAATCAGGAATAAATAAGGTCCCAGAGGGCAATTCTACGGTCTCCTTTGTATACCTCAGTTACCCGAGTTACTGTCACTTGTGAATTAGCCTAGTCACTGGCTGGTGAAGACAGCCAGGCAGTGCTATTGTACAGGATTACCTCATAATGGGCTAAATCTGGCCCGGTGTGTAGACCAATTGCATGAATAGATTGAATGGCCATTATGAATCAATTCATCAATTAACCGAAGAATCGTGTCAACGCAGCTTGTGAATATTGTCCAATTTATATGATTTACAAATACACGCAGAATGCGCAAAATCTGAGACAAATGAAATTTAACGGACAAAATTCCATCTAGGGTTGTCTAAGGGGCGTGGCTGACTCGCAAACGGCGATAGGTCAATTGAATAGAACGTTTGCACCAACTTTACTAGGCTTGTCTTGTCACACATTTGGTATGCAAATTGATATTTTGGGGAAACTGTTTTGGTACCCCCCCCCCCCAAAAAAATGTCTCGCTATGAAGTACTTGGAACTTGAAAAATACACCAATCTTAATCTGATAATCTGCTTTTGCTTGCCTTGTGAATAATGTGGGCACTACTCAAAATTATCCGTTAAAATTAAAAAGTTTGCTGAATAAAGCTGTGACCAGAAATATTTCACTTTCTGACACTTTTTTAAAACCATGATCTCTATACTCCATGAAGGAGTATCTGTAGAATGTACTCACACATAGAGCCGCACAGCAAGGAGTAGAGTATGCCCATGGCATTCCATCTTCTTCAACCAACCAACAGCTGAATACACAAATCACAAAGACATTGAAAATTTGACTTTATGTTCTTGTAGCTAATCATGGTATATCATACAGCTGTGCTTTTCTCCGGATGCCAAATTTCTGTGGGGGAGGGGGCTACTAGGGGGGGGGGGGGGCTACTAGGGGGGGGGGGGGGCTACTAGGGGGGGAGGCATGAACCGTAGCTACGCTGCTGGCAGGAACCAGCTAGTCTACCACATGAGAATGACATTGATGTCTGGCAGCCAATAATTCTTAACTGTAAAGTAATAATTAGATACATGTAACTAAACATGGGCCGATTTTTTTTTGGGTCAATGTCTCATTCAAAAGTGAATAATGTTTGTACCGCTAAAAAAAACAGCAATTTAGAAAAGGTATGTATTTTTGGGATGAATTTCAAAATTGTACAGGAAACGCACTAAATTAAGTGGCACAGTACTGTAAAGTCACATTTGAAGTCACTTACAGATCATAAGCCTGAGGTTTGTACGCTTGTAGGGAAACAGCCAGGACAGAGCCAACTACTACAGCAGGAATTCCTGATTAGGATGAAAAGATGAACACATGCACTTGAGATTATATATTTCTTATTAGCCAGAAATCTTTAAACGTTACCTGTCTCAACAAAATGCTGGTTCAATTTTAAAATTTAAGTTTTTAAAAGAGCCAGTAATATTAATTTGATGTTTTGCCGACAGAAGCAGAGAAGATCAGTACATAGATCGGTACATACTAAATGTACATACGTGGTGAAAATCTAAAGGGAACGCTGTGAATTGGGACAGAATTTAAGACAAATGAGTGATCTCCAGTGTCACTAATATTGTTTTCTATTAGGTTATCAAAGTTGGTGAGTCAAGCACTTGCTGATGAAAAATTTCCCCTGAAATGCAGAGCTTTTTACAAAGTGAATAAGTATTAATCAAATTAGGTTTTGCCCTTCACCGACGTTTAAACACTGTATACTCAGTGTGTTACCTCCCGAGTGAAAGTTGGAAAAAATCACTCGGATGGGACTCAAACCCACAACCTCCTGCTTTCTAGTGCAGATGTCTTACCACTCGACCACCGAGCTAATGGGATCGGTTGGCTGGTTTGAATCTGATGTACATAGCAGCGGGTACCGCATAAACTATTATAAGATGGAATTTTGCGCCGGGGTGATATAAATCAAATTAGGTTTTGCCCTTCACCAAGTATACAGTGTTTAAACGTCGGTGAAGGGCAAAACCTTATTTGATTTATATCACCCCGACGCAAAATTCAATCTTATGAATAATGATTGTAACTGCAAATTGTCCAGAACTCGTCCCAGATATGAATTAAGATGGGCCCTTAGAACGAAAAAGATTACAACTTGTCTGTGAAGAGACTTCATACCCCATCCCCCAATCATGTAGTATCCCATCCCATTCCTGCACACGGCAAAACCCTTAACGGCGTCGCTGGTAACCATGCCCCCTACAGTGGTATCCCTGTACAGTTGGCATGTCTCCATGGTCGACCACAGAAAGACGACAAGGTAGAAGTAATGCATGGCGGCACCAGAGGCTAGACACAAGACCTGGTGATGAAAAAAGAAAGAAAGAAAGATTGTTTTACAAGATGGAGCGCCGTGGTCAGATGGTTAAAGTTATACTCCTGAATGGAGAGAGGCAATTGCGATAAAGTGTCTTGCCCAAGAACACAAGCACCATTGTACCCGTACTGTCAAGTCCTGACGGGAAACATGGTACTTCTGTGCGTGAGCAAGACACTTAACTACAATTGCTTTGTGAATGAGCAAAGTTTAATATCAGCTCACCTCACTGTCACTTGTAAACTCTGACAGGCCGAACGCCACCGATGCTATGAGGCACGCCAGGCATTGGTTGAGATGAATGGAATGACGCAAGGTGTGCACACGCCTACAGGGATCAGGTCAAATGTAAACTTATTTTGTGCTTATAATTCAGTTCCATCATAAAACATAAAACAGTATATAATGTCCAAAAACTGGGTCAAAATGGTAGTGTGATGCTGGTGACAGACATAAAAATGCACTCAAACACAACAAGGTTTTTTTTTCTCAATAAATCGGTTAAGTTTGTTTCTGGTTAATTACCAGTGTTGTAGTCGAGTACTTTTTTCCCGAGTACAGAGTACTGCCAAGTACTTAGGTTGCTGAGTACGAGTACGAGTCTCCGAGTATAAGTACTTGTATATCCGAGTACAAGTAGGAGTATGAGTACTTGTACTTCTGAGTAGAGTACTTTTATTTCACGTACGAGTACGGCTGTGGTAAGTCAAGCTATACCATTTTTTTTCAGTACTGCTTTTCGAGTACGAGTGCCTTAATGATCGAGTACAATTTTGACATGTCAAGTACGACTACTTTGCTGCCTGAGTACGAGTACCGTCATTTTGAGTATGAGTACTTTGACATTCGAGTACGAGTACGAGTACTCTAAAAGAGTACTCGAATCAACACTGTTAATTACCAATGTTCCTACATGTCTTTGATTGTCTTTGCTCACTTACTTTGACATGATGTAAGTGATGATTAGAATTAGGAGCAGAAACACAGACAGTCCTACCAGACATCTCACCAGCCATCGCAGGATGATTGTGTCTTCACTCAGCTTCTGAAACAAATTCATAAAAACAAAATTAGCATCCATTAGCACTTGGACTAAATCAATAAAACCATAGAGTGCTGGGTACCACATCACAGCGGTCAACAATTGTCAATTATAAGACAATACAGGGCGAGTCCAAAAACGAATCCCAAATGTTTGGACCATTGTTTTAGTTAAGTTCTGCATCATCTAAAACTTTCAAAATCTAGGACATGAAAGCCCAATTCATAAGCCTTCCTTTAGTACAAGAATCATTCATATCATTCATGGACTTTTCAAGTTACAGAATTTTAAACACAACCACCGTTTTAAGGTTTTGTCCACGGATCACAAAAAAGTTGAGGGTTCTTTCAGCAAAACGAAAACAAATCACACGGGGATGTGTGAATTGTTCTCGTTTTGCTGAAAGAACGCACACCTTTTTTGTGATCCGTGGACAAAACTTTAAAACGGTGGTTGTGTTTAAAATTCTGTAACTTAAAAAGTACATGAGTGATTTGAATGATTCTTGTACTAATTGAAAGCTTATGAATTGGGCTTTTATGTCCTAGATTTTAACTTTGTGGAACGCTGAAAGTCGTTTTGTTTTTTATATTTTTTTATTGTAGAGTAGACCCATATATATCATAATGACAAACTCCCATTCTTTTGTAATGTGTGTTTATATGTTTATAAATCTGAAATTCATCAAGTAATTTGTTGGTCGGCGAGCGCATAATTGAAATCAACAGTCGTCGGGTTCTTTGTAAAATCAGAAAAATCGTGACGTAACAAACAGGACTTGTTTATACTACGCTGCATAGGGAGTCCTATTTATTGCGTCACGATTTACTGTGTTTTGTTTGCTGCCCCCAACGACGACTTTTACACAAATTGCACGTTCGGGTTGAAACAGGACCTGAAAAACAGCTCTCAAAAGTACCTTTTGTATTCATTTCATGACAGAAACAATAGTCGTTTTTATTTCATCACACCTTAGGCTACATATACCCGAAAAATGACGGAAATGTCTTTGAGCATTCCACAACCTCTTTAAAAGTTCCACATGCAGAACAATAAAACAATAGTCCCAACATTTGGGCTTCGTTTTTTTTTTACTCGCCCTGTACATACAAATTTCATGGAAATAACACTCAATAATTTGCCATGAATCTGTTTCCATGACTCTTTGAGAAAAGAAACTGGAAACAAGGATGTGGAGGATCAACATGAAATGCTGTCCAATAAATTGAGCTGGTCTTACCACTAGGGGTTGGGGTTCCACGATAATAGCAAAACTCGTCAGATGGTAGCAACGGCACACTGTCTGTGTCTGACTGGTACTCTGCACCTCGCAACCCTCACTATCCCATGCTCCGTTAATGGTGTGTCTGGAACCAGCCAAATAATCATTGGTGAAACATACACTAATCTTCAGTCAGATTCGGAAGGTACTCATCAGAACAAGAGGAGATTTTTGACAACACTTTAGGCTTCCTTTTTAAGGCCGATTCATAGTTCATAATATAGGGAATTAAGTCAATGGAATGTTTTTTTATGGTGTCATAATTGGTTAGTATTCATGATGAAAGTTGTAAAAGTTGAACAAATGTCAACTCTGGCAAGTTTCCCTGCAAATGCTTCTCAACATATAATCGCTCCTTCAAATTTGTGTTAAGTATAAAGTTGCCTTTAGAAAAAAATGTGTTTGCAAAGAGCATAAAAAGTCTATAAAAACTCTGCGAGTGTCCTCTGCATCAGTAACAGATATCCAGGGTTTGGGGTTGGGTTGTGCAAAATTTGACATTTTTCTGAAAATTAGGTTTTCATTTTTTTTGTGGTTCGTAAGCTGTGAGGTGCTGCTGCTTTCGTCGCTGATCCTCCCCAAAAAGGTGAAATGTTGTTGGGGAGTTGGTGGGAGATGGTTACCCTCCTTCCCCCAACCTCCAGCTGGATACACCACTGGTCTGTTCATTGTTTTAGAGGTTTCTCTATCAATCAATTCACAGTACAAATATTTGGTTAAAATGGACAGTACTCACGGAACATCAAACTTCCAAAATGCACACACAGCTTTTTCTGTTTTTGAGTCAATCACTCGCTGTGTGTAAAGGAAATGCAGATAAGAATACATTCAGGCAACCAACATAATTAGTATAATCAACAAATACTCATATACTTGAGACAGTTTACCTATTCCTACCGATTGAGAGCCATCATATGGGCGGTTTTAAACTGCTGTTTGAACATCGCTCAGCATTGAAACAGCATTGTTATATCGTGTGCTTGAATACAGTAATTGCATTGGTCTAGGACGGCCACGTGTCTGGACAATTTAAATGCATGGTGATATCGCACTTCATTCATTGGGTGCTAACCTGCCGGCGTACTAGCTTTGCGCAATGAGAACTGCAACGTCAAACGCTCAGTGTCATGTCCAGCAGGACATCAAAACTTTCAGTTAGGCCAACAAAAATAAAATAAATCGGTCTTAGTGGTCAGACCGAAGTTCCGGAATTGATGCGGCGACACGTTTTTTTTTTTTTTTTTGGTGGCTTTTTTTTTTCCAAGCTTCAATTGTACGAACAAGGTGGGTATTATTTTGCTTTTTTGTGTCCTCATTATACATTGGTGTCCTCCATCATTTGCCTTGGTGCCCTTTATCATTTGCCTTGGTGCAATTTACTCATTCCTTGGTGCTCCTTGGTACAAAAATTTGAGGTGCGGCAATAGAGGGCGCTGTTGTAGCTTCCGTGTTAATTTGCAGAAAAAAAAAGTTGACGCGCATGATTAATTTCGACACGCGCGCCGACCAGAGACCGAATATTTTTTTTGTGGCCTTATCAAAGGTTACATCGCAGTGATTTAATTGATTTCTCACACAGTAAGTTACAACCATTTATCGTTTTGACTTATTGGCACGATGTAACAAAACAAGTGTTGACTGCTGTGATGTGGGATATTCTGTATTTAAGCCCCTCAGATGATAAAACCACAGTTGCACTTTTGTATACGTGCAAGTTGTGGTTCACACTCACCTTGCACGTATACAAAAGTGCAACTTTTTTTCGGTACCATTTGTCATCAATTGAATAATTTTGAACATATAATCACTGTTTTGGCCAAACAAAGAGTACGGCTGGATTGCTAAGGAATTTCTGTACTAATCAGTCGTAATTTGAGCAAGATGTGCCCAGTAGTTTTTGAGTTAGACAAAAAAGTATTTTAGGGGCCCTTCTTTTTTGGTTGAGTGTACAGTGTAGTACAGGTGTTTATGGTTAATGATTGGTCTTTTTTTTATTGTAGGGCAGTTTAGCACCTCACGATCAATCTGTTCATTTGAAGCTATATCAGTCCATCAGGCACTTACCGTTTGGTGTGTGAGTGTTATCAAGATGGGTTCGTCAAGAGTTTCTTCAAAAGCTGGCTCAACTCCAAGAGACAGTATTCGACTGTTCAGCCAAAGGCTTTTCCCTTCTACTTTTGCAAACCTACACAAAAATAAGAATATCAGGGAAAAAACCTTCATAGATTATCATGCAAGTTTGTTTTGAACAACAATTGTTATCTTAAGTAAACTAGGTCTTTTTAAGGGAGTTGGAATACCTTTGCTTTATTGGGAGGGGGGGTACACTTACTGCATCAGCATATTTCAACAAAAGTTTCCACATTCTAACTTCCTCAGCAACGTGGCTGTACTCGTCTTAACTTGAGATCGGTCTGAGGGTCATCTTATCTCATTAATGTGTGCATTAATGTGTACGTTAATGTGTGCGTTAATGTGTGGCAATGTCGAAATCATTGCCATTCAAGACGAGCATCGGCCTAGAGTTATAGTTTGGAGGAAGAAACAGCCATCAGCCTAAGATGGGTTTAGTGAAATCAGTCTTAGGATGTATCTTAGCTTAGATGAGTCTTGGAACGGGACTCTTAAGTCCTACGATGAGCTGCAAGATAAGACAAGTTTCGTGAAGTCGGCCCCTAGTAAATTGTGCGTACCCTGCAATATACACGCGCTTGCGCACATACCCTGCAACATGCGGGTGCAAACCAGAACATGCATGCAGTGTGTCCTTCCCAACAGAGCTCTTGAAATTGGTCACAAAGTGTCATGTAGTGTTTAAGCACCGAGTCCCAAGAGCACGTATGCATATTTTCTAGATTGTGAAAAGATGTGTAATACTCGCCTATCAGTTGCAGTGATAGGAACCATTCCTGGCAGGGTGTCATACAATGTAAATGAAACCATCGCTCCCATGGAGCTAGCTGTAGATAAAAGAATCAAATAAAACATTCAAATCAGAGTTTTACTTTCAAAGTACCATTTTATGTACCAGAAATTAAAGATGGTAATTGGTATGGATAAAGCTGCATAATGCAGACACTGGACAGTAAATCCCCACCAAAACAAATTAAACACTTTAGCCAATCAGAATCGTGTACCAACTAAGCTTTTAAGACAACAGCAGTCGGAAAGTACACACCGAGTACTTTTCAAGCACTTTTAGGGTGCTTCTGTCCCAAAAGGTTCATTAAAAAGTGGTTTTAGGTAAACAAAATCTCAAATAATTTTTTTTCTCAATGTTTCTCTCGCGTTGTCCACAAGAAACAGCTCAATTCTTGGTAATAAACTAAGTACTCAGAAAGTACTTGGAAAGTACTCATCATTAACTCTGATTCAAATTAAGATTAAATTGCAACACTTAAAAACAAGTCTTTATTAAACTCTAAAGTCAATTCCTGTAATGAATGGTCCAAAAAGGATTTTTTTCAGCTTCTGCAAATGGTGATGAGAATCCTTACGTGTATTTGTGATGAGATCTTCAGGAATAGCAACCTCATCATCCACACTTTGCCATTTTTCGGCAAGGCTTTGCCACCGGGGCCCACTTCTTTGGGGAACCACTAGATCACTCTGTCCGCTGAAATAATCCCTCGGAATGAATTCCATTGATGAAACTGTAGAAATAATTATGCAATATCTTAACCATATCAAATTCATGACTTATAAGCAAAAAAAAACCTATGGCTTGGCCAATGTGTTGCGAACAAGATCAGCAGATGAAAATGTGATTTCGGGCCAAGCCTTCAAATGTTATGTGCATTCGCAACTTCGCATATTGCGTATCAACTAACAGCTGGCCGGACAAACACACATGCCGGTGGATTGCACGTGTTTGGAATTTTTTTGTTTTTCCAAAGTTTGGAATATCACGTGATATTCAACAGACACTGTGATTGGATAATGCTTGTGAACGGCAATAGGTCAATTGGGCTACAAAACAAATTTTAAATGAAATTATGTTAATTGGAAAGAATATCTAAAAGTAGGATATGTACAAGTCCACAATACCATCCTTTAAAAAACTGGGGATTTTGTGTTATTCTTAGGAGCACCATGAGAGAACGAATTTCGGGGATCAAAATTTTGATTCTCCAAAATCGAGCTGTTAGGCCCAAAAAAAAATATATTCGGTCTCTGGTCAGACCAATGTTCCGGAATTGACGTGGCGACGCGGCTTTTTTTCTTCAAGCTTGGATTGTACAGACAAGGTGGGGTACTATTTTGCTTTTTTGGTGTCCTCATGTACATTGGTGTCCTCCATAATTATCCTTGGTGCTTTCGATCATTTGCCTTGGTGCAATTTCCCATTCCTTGGCGCTATTTGTTAAAAAAAATGAGGTGCGGCAATAGAGGGCGCTGTTGGAGCTACCGCGGAACATTTTGGAAAAAAAAAAGATTGACGCGCATGATTAAAATCGACGCGCCCGCTGACCAGAGACCGACTTATTTTTCTTTTTGGCCTTAGTGCTAGTTGTAAAGACAAAGATATACTCACGTATATTACTCTTGTTGATCAGTACATCAGTGAACGGGTTAAGCGTGCTTCTGTTCCAGTGACTGGCAATGCTGCTGGTAAATGTCTCCACACTTTTCATTACTGATGTGGTTCCAGCACTGGTCTGAATGAAAGAATTCAAAGGATATTTGTAACTGTATGTGATTCATAATTGACCAGGCGTTTTTTGTATAAATGTCAAATATGACAAAAAAAATATGAAATTTTGTTTGATATTTTTACTGTGACTGTGCACTGCAGTTTGCCTTTGTGGTCATACTATCAGAACCTATGCTATAAAGTGTAAAGGGATTATATGCATGTGCGTTCACAAGTAGCTCATGCAAATTAGGCTGCTTGAATCACTAGCAAAGTGGGCCACTTGTCCGCAAAGCAAACTTGCCCGCAAAGCTGCTGTCGGTAACTCGCCCGTGAAGCAGTCGACACGCGGCAAAGCTGCCTCCCTGCGTAGTGGGTGAAGCAAAGCCTCACACAGTGAAATCTCAATAAGTCAAACCTCAAGGGAACAGGTTCAAAATTTGACTTCAGCAGGGTTTTGAGTTTAGCAGGGTTGTATATCATTGTTATCCCACTGAAGGGAATGGATTCTTTGTCTGAATTAACAGTTGTTTTACGTTATCAGAGTTTGACTTACAAAGATTTCACTGTACTTTCAAAATGCATTAATGGGCAACTGTCCATTCTTTCATATTTTGAGTATAACCATCAGGGTCCTGCTGCTGTGTGCCTAGTTAGAGTCAAGAATGTAGGCTGTTTTGTAGTTTGATTGAGTGAAAAATTACCAGTGGAGGCAATTAGTGAAACACAGAAAACCACAAGAGAAAAACAAGCCCAATACCTGCTGCAGAGAGATCCACTCATCAGTGTGCACCGGATTAAGAATATTATTCACAATCGCAAGAAAGTCCTGGAAAACGACAACAAAAGCAAACATGTTATTTTAAAAAAAAGCTTTTCTTGCAAAAAGTTTTCTCGGGGAAGGCATGGTAGGCTCACTTAGCTCTTGTGGATGCCAAACATTTCCTGTGTGGTCGCAATCAAGGCTGAGCTAACTGCGATTCAAGACAGACTCAAGAGACAGACTCAAGTTGAGTCTGGTCTCGAGTCCTACAACACTGGCACTAACCTCTAGATATATATCAGCTTGAGTATCATTTATAGACCCAGGCAGTGCTCGGTTGGCCAGCCTTGTTAGCATCTCAGTCGCTGCATCCAGCTCAGGGCTGGTGAGTCCTGCACTGCTCTGTGTGAGGTGACTCAGCTTGCTCATAGAACTATACACTGCGTCATTCGAAAAGACTGTCTCATCGTCGATCTGAAAATTTATCAAGTCAAAATGCATTTCACTCTTTATTATGGTTTCAAATTCACGACAAAGAAAAACTGACTCAGTGAATTATAACAATGATTTGAAAAGTTGAGAAAAGAAATTGACTGGAGGGGGCATGAACCAGCTACCTCCGGATAGCCGTTCCGGTGCTCTACCAACTGAGCAATCCAGCCCTATGTTGGCGGTTCCCCAATTCGTCAATATCTTTGTTCAAGGGGCGCTAGTCAGAAGCCATAAACCCGTATATGCCATACAGCCAGGGATCACGCCCAAAGTCACGATACAGACCTGGGAAATAGCAAACGGGGATCACTTAGAGGGGGATGTGAAACCCCCACAGCCCCTCCCCCCTCTAGTGAATGTACAAAACTGTTATCTAATGATTAACCTACCACATACAGTAACTCCTCAATGGTTGTAGCACAGTCTGCTTCATGGATAACCTTACACTCTTCTTTGATTAACCTACCACATACAGTAACTCCTCAATGGTTGTAGCACAGTCTGCTTCATGGATAACCTTACACTCTTCTTTGATTAACCTACCACATACAGTAACTCCTCAATGGTTGTTGCACAGTCTGCTTCATGGATAACCTTGCACTCTTCTTTGATTAACCTACCACATACAATAACTCCTCAATGGTTGTAGCACAGTCTGCTTCATGGATAACCTTGCACTCTTCTTTGATTAACCTACCACATACAATAACTCCTCAATGGTTGTTGCACAGTCTGCTTCATGGATAATCTTACACTCTTCTCTGGCAGTCTCGGGACCAGGTTCGTCTAGCTTAAACTGGTTCTCATTTTCTTCTGCAAATTAGGAAGAAAAATTTACAAACATGGAAACTGATAAAGCATCGCTTCAAAACCCTCCCTCTCTTGCTGGCAAAAATGATCCCAGCAGTAAAGAACAATCGGGGGACAGTTTTTAATGATTGAGAGCACACGTACGTACTACCTTCATCATATAGAAATATTGAGTGGCTCAGAGTGAAATGGGAGGAATATTATCGCAAGGTAAAATCTGGACTTTTTCCATTTCACGAGGTGAAGCTGAATGAACAGGAAAAGTCCAGATTTTACTGAGCGATAATATCCTATTTCACAATATCTGTTTTATATAACTGACATATAGATCCTTGTCATTTGATATACTTGAACTTTTGATTCAATACAAAATTGGTGGAAAATGTATTTCTCTCTTCCAAACCACCCCTTTGCAAAAAATGTTTGAACCAAACTCTGAAGCGCTGGCTCTTTGGAACAATACGGGCTACCTGCAAAGCTGCACGCGCACACCAGCATGCATTTGCTCACCAAATACCGTGTCATGGAAGAAGAATGATCCTAACTGTTGAATAGTATTTCCCATTCCCCATGGGCCTTTTCCAGCATGAATGGGAGTAATAACGAATGTCACGTGATGTGAGTTCCACCAATCAAATGATAGGGATCTGTTTGTGAAGCAGGATTGACTGGTGGTGATTGTTATGAAACCTAATACAGCTGTGCTTTGACTGTAGGTGATTGGTAAGCCGGCTGGGACTACCTGCATACCTGCTTTTGTCTGTTGATGGAATACGACTAGTCATTGTGCTTTTAATATATATGATCTGACTGTTGGTGACTAGCCTGTGTGTAAGGGCTTGGCAGGAGAACAGATATTTTGACTGTTATGTTCTGAAGTTAATTGATGGGGTAAACATATATCATTACTCACGGACTGAACTATTTTGGTAGGGTAAGTCCTCGCCAGCCCTCTTAGGCAGCAGGAGCAGAACATCATCATAGCACGCCGCGAGGAAACCCCTGTTGTCATGAATGGACTTGCCCAGAGTCATGAGTGGTGTGTTGTCTTTGAAGTGGGTATTGGCACCATGAAAGCTAGACGCATAGATGTGAGTCTGATGATTGAAAATATTTTTAAAAAGTTTCAAACTTTATTACAGGAATTCCAAGAAGAAGAAAATATTTAACACACTCTTTCTAAATACGGGCAACAACAAAAAGTGTTAAAAAAGTTTTTCAAATTAAATTATCCAACAAAGAGGTCATCGCCTAGTCTGGACAATACGCCACATTTGGCCTGTTCACTGACGCTTTATGGGGTAATCCTATACAATAGCACTACAAGGTTCACAAGGGACAGTCAGTCAATGAATCGGTGAGTCAGCAACTAGTTGCTGCGTCTTCAGCGGCGACTATAAACTGCGTTTAAAATGATCGCGCATCAGTTTTTCAGTCGCGCGACCGACTATGAGCCTGCCTTTAAGGGAAGGCAGCTATGAGCTCCGTGCGCCGACAAAAGAGGGCGCCCTTTCACCTAGCGACTGTTCCTTATGTGTGACGCACGTACACCAGGGGATTTGTACTATGTACACGCAGTGGCCGTGCTTTGCGGCAAATAAATTGCAGTCAGGCAAGATGGCGTCAGTCGGTCACCCCCAACTGTACTCTCTTTGCCGGTGAGGGGGTACTTGTGAACGGAGTGGATAGTACAGCCAACTTGAAACAAGATGCATATAGCAACCAATACAATATTAGAATCGAGAGGCCATTGCCTGTCTTCAAATACACATTTGTTATGACTATGAAGTCACGTCTAAATAAGCTCTGTAATATAAAACTATATTTAAAGGACATACCACAGGAGGAGTCAGGTTGGCGTAGCGGTACTTTCCTCGCCTTCCACCGCTGTGACCCGGGTTCGAATCCCGCCTGGGCCAATATGTGGATTGGATTTTCAGTCCCTGCCTGATTCCGTGGGTTTTCCCCAGAATATTCTTCTGGGCTTTTCCTCCCACCTCTAAAACTGTAATTTCTTCTCATTGTCTTCTCTCCACAGGTTTCTTCAGGCTTGCGAGCTACAGTGCCTAGGGCGCTTTTGAGGAATCCTTGGTTTCATTACCAGAAATGAATAATAATAATAGTAATAATAACTACCAACACCATGACCAAGACTAAAATTTGGACTTACAGTAGTGGGCAGTTCCTCGCCACCAATGTCAATCACGAGTATTTGACCTGTCCACTTGATAGTAAGATAGATCCACCGGTCAAAGGTCAACCAAGAGGATTTAATATTGGTCTCCCAGGACAGGTTGTCGTCAACCACCTTCGCCCGGATACCGGTGATGGATTGAAAAAGAGACAAGCCACTCTCCCCTGAGGATTGAACGAAAAAGTGTTTGTCACGTTAAGAAATCCTTGAGTGCCAGCTGAATATAAACTAAGCACCGCAAAAAAAGAAACTTCACACTTATTGAAGGTGTCATAATTTTGAATCTGATCGTCTTATGATAACGTCATTTGTATAGACCTTTGGGGAATGTTGTTAGCTACATTTTGATGCCCCGTTTGCTACCAAAGACTGTAAATCATCTAACATTGACAATGGTTTATGAAAAATGATGCAGTTTGAAATATTGCAAATTTAAAGAGTATGTGAGCAGACATTGCTGCGTGACAAAATTATGCTGCCCGAAACGAATGACCGGGAATACTGATCACACAGTGCTTGCGTGCATGGGAGCAGGTGAATTGAATTACCCGCGCTTTGTTCAGGCAGTGTGCAGTCGATAGGTGCCAATGTGTGGTTACGCATTTTGAAAATGTCCATTATAGTAGTTCGTTTTATTCGGCAAAGCCGTGAATGGGTGCGCACAAGCGTTGAAAGAACGCACATTTGCGTGCAGTTGTGATAATTCGTTAGTTCAGTGCGTCGCATTACATAGCTGCAATCGGGCGCAATCCTAAAAATATTGTTTTCTTGGAATATACACAGCATTCACTGAGCTAAAAGTTCACTTCTTTAGATTTTAAGCAAATTTTGTTGCTTCAAATGAAAAAAAAATGCCTAAATGGCAAATGATATACTCTACCTTTAACCGCTGTTTTTGTAGCGATACATAAAGTTGTTCTTTTGTTTGAATCAGACACTAGAATTAGTTTCTGACTGATCTGTGCCCCCCCCCCCTTTTAGAATTAATAACGTGGGTCCCAAAAGCCAGCCTACTCGCAGGGCGGATCTGTTTGTATGCAAAACTAACCCAATATTAAAACCTTTTTCAGGGGACAGTAGATGCCCAAAATAGGTAAAAACAGTTTTGCATTTTTGTTAACATAAAACACACAAAAAGACAAAAAAAGTGAAATTTGATGTAGAGCTTGGAGAGTACAACTTTCAGGGCTTGAAAAGATCATTTATATTTACCCTGTTCCTCAGCTCCAACACTGAGCAGGTAACCACTGCGTCGGTGAGAAGTGACCTCCGTCAACTTGACCCACATTGCAACGATGAAGCCATGCTCACAGGCCGACGGGCGCGCCGGGCACTGCGCGGAGAAATCGCCCAGGGATATCCACCCGCTACGGCCGTCGGTGCAGAGGGCTGTTCCCTGATCGCGACGGTCCGAGGTGAACGTAGCCCCGGCAGGGCTGAGCTCAAACGGGTGACGCAGGCGTAGGGTGGGCTCAAACGACCAGCAGTAGTCTCCGTACTTGAAGCAATAGAGCTCAGACTCTGAATGGATTGAAAAGGCAATGTTGTAGTCAAGTAGATTGTAGGCCATGCCTTGCATACCCAATCAGATTTTTTTTGTGGTCCACTTGTAGGCAGAAGATGAAATTGTGTTTAAAGTGAAGTTCATTCATAATAATAATAATAATAATAATTACCCTGGATTGGACATTTGGGACACATCCCCATGGACTTGTGCGTAAAATTTTTCAAACTTAAATGTGCCCTAACCCAATATTCCCTTGTCCTTTTTCCACGAATTTCGGTATGTTTACTAATAAGACCACGAGCAACAAATATAATCTAATTGCGACAGTAAAATTCTGCCAATAAAAGGGGGCAGTGAGATTAGGGAGACATGAAAATGTCTCCCTAATGACCGATGTCTCCAATCGTGCGAAGAAATTACGAAAATTAAAAAAAAATAACTACATTGTATCTCACTGGCACATCATTCAAACAAAAAGGTCTTGTTGTCCCCTTTAATTTGTTACAGGATTTGAAGTGGTGATTTTCGTAGTTCTAAAGATGTCATACATTTTCCACTTTTAAGCCAAGTCCAAATTCGAGTGGAATTGCCATAAAAGGGGTTTTTTTTGGTCAGTTTCTTGACCTCAGTTCGTCGATGAGGATTGTATGCTGCATTCTCCCTTAAATTTAAGAACGATGAATATCAAACATACTCACTTGACATCCCAAGCAGTTGGTTAATATTCCACCGTTCGATATAACTCTCCCAAATTGCCAAACTATGAACTTGAAAGGTCACTGGATGTGACGGTGTTGGGGTGCTGGTCGCTCCCACGATCAATTGTGGTGTAGGATTAGGAGAGATGGACTTCGGCTCAAAGCGATAGTTAATTCTTCCCGTGAACTGGAAGCCGTTGATGTAAAGGACGAGGTTTCGTGCTTCACTCCATGTAAATGCCACATTGGTCCAAATGTCGTTGGGGAAATGCTGGGGGCAAAACGGTTGGAAGTTAATTAGCTTGAGTTTTGAAGAATAAGGTTTGAAGATACACAAGGCAATCCCATTAGAGCTGGTCATTGAGATATTGAGCACGATGTGTACACTGTATACACAATTGAAATGGCTTGAACATTGCTGGAGTAATTGGCAGAACAAAATCGTTCGAGTTTTGTCAATTTTTCAATCTTGTTTGTTTACCTTGACCACAACAGCATTTGTGATGGGATCACACTAAACGAGTTGTTTGTCGACCCTGGTCATTTTTTTTTTTACAGATTTTAAAAAGAGCACAATCTCAGCATTACTGCTGTGAAAACCGCGCAAGTTTCATACACTAGTCTATATTAGTGAATCACACGTGACCACGTTTCAGTCAACCAGGATAAAGAACAAGCAAGAGGTGTGTTATAAAAGTAACCATGTGCTGGCCGGTATTAGACAAGTACATTTTGTATCATTAAAACCGTCCAGGGGCCCGGACATGGATAATATATCCCATATCCACATCCAGGCTCCTAGCCGGTTTTAAACGTACTTGTTTAAAACCAACCAAGCACATATTAATTCCCTTAGTTATTGCCTTTCCATCACACTAATATCTCCTTAATTTAATGACACCAATTTAGTCCATCAATTTTTTACCTCCACTTCTAATGAAGCAAACCAACGGCCTGGTGAACTCTGTACCCCCAGCCACAGTACTGCATCTAATACGAACATGACAAAACCTGGCTGGTCTTTTCCATTTAAGTCTCTAGTTCTGCATTAAAAAAAGACATGAAAATAATGAGTTTAGTGCATCTTGTGGCTCAGCTCATGCAGCCATCATTGAAGGAAGAAAATGCGCGTCCCAAAATACCCGCATTTTTTTTTTGCGAGGCTCTAGTGTCGGCGCAGAAACACGTACCGCCATTATTTTTACACCATTTTAAAGCTTGGAATCTCAACTGTATCCCTGGCGAGTATCGATTTGATATTTAAAAGAGTTTTGAAATTATTTGTGTTCAAATAAAGGTACGTCAAAAACAACCTCAACCAATTTCAAGGAAAATCGATGATCCGGTATATCAGATGCAAACTTGAGTCACACTTTGAGCGCGCTTTTCGAATAGGTACATACTTGCACGTGAATGTCAAAATTGAACTTGAAATGAAGAACACTATTGTGAATTCATTTAAGGTGTAGTCTATGTTGATCGAAATGAATAGAAAACACAGAAAGTAAAAGGCAACGAGATCGTCACATCATGAACACGATGAACCATTTCCACATTAGAAAAAAAATTGGTTGAGTTTGTTTTTGACATGCCTTTTTTTTTAACTCAAATAATTTCAAAACCCTTTTGAAAATCACAGCAATACTTACCAGGGATAAAGTTAAGATTCGAAGCTTTCAAATGATATACAATTAATGGCTGGAGCCTAGCAAAAAACTGTTGCGGGTATTTTGGGACGCGCTGTAGGGGTTTTGCTGTGACGAGTTCAAACCATGACAAAGAGAGTTGCCAACCAACGTGTAATGTTCGTCATTTGAATTTGGAAATTGATATACATCAGGGGACAAAGGACTAATGAAAAACAAGAGCAAAAAGAGGTGGGTGGGGGATTAAAGCCCGAGTCCATCATTTGCAGCTATCCAAAAAAGTAACTGGCGTAATTATTGTTGAAAAACATACTGGTTGAAAGACAGTAAGGGGACTAAACTCCCTGTGAAATTATCCTTTCTGGCAAGCTCTCATTTTGAAGAAATCAACGAAAGAAGGCATTTCCAATGGTAGAAGCACCGTAGGAAAATTTAAATTAGTTGTTTGTTTTGTTATTCAGCGCAGCGCGCACAAGCATTGGAACGACGCAAAGGCGCACACGGTTGCTATAATTCGTCGGATCAGTGCGTGACATCGTGTAAAGCTGCAATTCAAAACAATTCGAAACATGATTTAGCAACTTTTGATTTTAAATTGAGATCCTAGAATGCTGTTTTTCTTGGAATATGAAGCTGAAGCTGAGCTGAAACTTCATCAAGTAAATTGTTCAGTATCCTTCATTAGATTTTGAACACTTTTGTTGCTTCAAACAAACAAAATGCACTAATTACAAATGATGGACTATAGCTTTAAGTGCAAGTTAAGAAGTAAGAGTGATCAGGTCCCATTTATTTACCTGCAAGCCAATTTTGACAAATCAACACTCCATACCTCAAATTGTGCATGGATACTTCTGAAGCAGTTTTCTCACCGTGACATTTTTCAGGATTGTACAAACACTACGAATTACCTACACCACAACAACCATCTGACACTTTTCTTTCAGCTGGTATATGGTTGAAGTGTATGTGCGGCAAAACATATATGCCAGATTGCAGAAAAGCACAAAATGCATCATGGTAGACCTAATACATACCTGATTATAATTGACGGTTTGCTAGATTTAATGCCATGCTGATATCTTAACCAGAGGGAGACGCTTAAACCAGTGCTGCACTTAGTAGGGTCGGTAACACACCTTCCCATAAAATCACCTGAAGAATATATCCATACAATGACAAAGATGAAGCCAATTAATAGATACATCATGTGTGTGTGTGTCATGCATGCAATGTGTGTCATTTTCTATGCCGAGTCAAACTCGACACCAAGACTTTTTGCAGATGAAGCTGGAGGAATTGAATTAAAGGTCGATACTCAGCTGAAAACACTGAATCTTCGTTTCCTGTGTACTCATTTTTGGTGACTCATACATAGACTTGAGTCACTATTAACAATGCCTTGGACTCTTCAGATTCAGACATGGGACTCAAACTCAATATTTGAGTGACTCAAATGACTCTATTTAAAAAAAAATATACTCTAATTTATGTTTTCATGCAAATGTTTATAGTTATTCACATGAAACAATACATTTTATATTAAATTTAACCCTGCATCTTCTTTCGTCAGACTGGCTCAAACTGACTCATGTCTCAGACTCGGACTTGACTCAAATCACTCGGGACTTGGACTCAGGCTTGGCATTGATCATTTGGGCTTGGACCCGAACTCGAGGTTTGAGGATTTAAATTCAAGTTTGTTAACAAATTTCTTTTAAAAACTCTTATTTTGGGGGAGAAAATTAAGCAACAATTGCAGAATCCTTGTGGACAAACAAATATCTGACTTACCGAGATTAAGATAAGCACCTGGGCTGCTTAAGTCTACCACGTCAGCGTATGGCACTGTGACATCTCCACTTGGCCCTTCAGTGCCTCCAGAATTTGCCAGGATATCAAAGGTACTGCTAATGAATCGTTGTTGGTTCCAGTAGTACGTGGCTGTTGCATATTGGTCATTTTCTGTCGAATAAAATAAATGACAGCCATTATAATTTTATTGGGTTTTACCATTCACCAATTTAATGGTTTAAACAATATGCAAGAGGAATTAAATTCAACTGGAGTCCGAATCCTTCGCATGTATTTGTAAGTTTTTGACAACGTGTGTCAGACGTGTGTTGGACACTCCACTCCCGACTCATTCAAAGTACTGGGTCTGCAGAGAATTGGGGCTTGGGTTTGTTAATTTCTTGCAATAAGACTACATTTTTAGTACATCTGGGGACTCGGAAAAGGCCGGGTCTTGAGCCTGATGAGGTAAAATTGATGTAGCACCTTGAGTGTCGATGTTGGTTCAAATTCCCCCGAAACATATCCGTATTCTAGGTGGGTCATGTCTCATTGCATTTTGCAGAAGGATCTTAGAATATAAAGCCTAAAACAGTGGTCGAACAGCTGTAACTTTGCGCGAGTCACTCGTTCACCGCACACACTATTTACGCCGCCATGTTTGTTTGTGTTATTTACCTCGCTACGATTTTCAAGATGGTGTACCCTGAGAAAGGTCTGGACGTACATACACACACACAATAAATTACCTACGAGACCCATTTCCCTCCTTGCCTCCCATGGTTCTATGTAATGCTCCCAGATGGCCAGCCATTCAAGGGTCACGTTGGCAAAGCCGGCCAGGTAGTCGTTCCGTCGTCCTACCAGTAACCGACTGTCCAGGTCGTGATGTCGGAGGCGCACGTGTCCCGTGCGGTCCCTACCGTGGGTGTTACCATCGATGTACAGGACCAAGCCTAATGACTGCCGCCACGATATGGCAAGGTGGACCCAGTGGTCTAAAATAATGAAGTGGAAAGAAAAAACCTGTCACATTCTTAGTGGTAAGTGTTCAGAGTTAGTTAAGGGTACGCCTTCCTAAGGCGAGGTAAAAAAACAAACAAGTTTCTCGTCCCCGCCCGCTTCCTTTTTGGAGGCCGCCTGGATTTTTGTATTATTGTTTATTTTTGAAAAATGTAGTAGAAAAACACCGAAAAAGTCTACAAATTCATCAGAAAATAAATACCAATACCAATACAAATCTAAATGACACTGTAAATATGTTCAGTTCTCTTGTCCAACTTGTCTTTCATCTTTAAAAGTGTCTTCGAACAGTGGAACACCAACGGTTGCAGGAAATTTTGAAAAGGCGGTCATCTTGAAAAAAATAAAAAATAAAAAATAAAAAGCCCCGCTTCCTCCCTTTTTTCAAAACCCCGGACGAGAAACTATTTTATTTTTTACTCGGCCTAATAAAATGTAACTTTTGTTTCAACTTTGATAATTTGTTCTGACCCTTTGCCCACTTCACTAATTGGCCACAATGAGTATTTAATAGCGGCTGAGAAACTCTGCCAAAAAGAAGTGTTTTCCTGTGTGTTCTCTAAGAAAAACTAATAAATATTCGATTAACTGAATGTACTGATTTCTTTGATCAATGTTCCAATGTTTTTGGGATGTAAAAATACTGCTATTCTGCCCACCGGACATGCCACGCACATACTAACGCCTAACTGGTTGGCATTGAAATTAGCTACATTTGAGAGATCAAAAAAAGTGCTGGATATGCTTTTTCTTACATGTTTAGAAACTTGATCCCTAAGATTTGTTTTGTTGGATGCAACATGATTATGAAAAGCCATGCGCGGAATGACCATCAACCAATATTTAAGTTTGACAATTCTAGGCGCGTCATTACCTGACCAATTTGAATGGGGACGGAGTGCGACAACAAATTTGGAAAATTTTGGATATTACCGGAAAATAAGTGGCGATATTCTTCGCAGCATATTTGCTGACATACGCTTGATTTTGCCGACAGGACTATGATTTTGCTGACGACAAAAAATAATGAGCCGGGACACCCCCATCCCACCCTCCAACATGCCCCCACCTGCCCCCTCCCATCCCTCACCCTACCCACCCCCACCCCCACCTCTCCCCCACCCCTAGCAAAATCAGTGAGTGGGACTTACCATCATTGGAAACGAACTTGACCTCCACAATCCACTCCCGTCTGCCGTCTGCCACTGTTGCCCTCAGTCTGTTTCCCCCATGTTGGTAGAGCGCGCAACCCCGCGATGACTGACCCCCGGTACTGAAGATGAATGCAAAGGAGGTGTCGCCGACACTGACTGGCCTGTGGACTTTGACCCACAATGCAAAGGTGATTCCGTCGGGACAGAGCGATGGGTCACTGACACAAGTATCTGCGAAATCACCTGGTAAAAGATTAAAAGTTTGGGGAGAAAAATACAAGAGATGTCATCAAGTCATCAAATGACGTTCTGGCACAATTTATTCTTATGACTTTTGGTAGAAATTTTGTTTCATTTTCATCCCAAGTGTCAGGCAGCTCTGGGGCGTTGCCATGCCAAACAAATTTGAATGGGGGGGGGGGGAGGAGGGGTGAGACAACAAACTTGCCGACAGACGACAGACAACTTGCCGGGGGGTTTGACACCATCTTACTGTTAGGGGCATATTATTCAAAGCGGAATACCTTAAAGCACTATTGAAGCGACCAAAGGTGGCGCTATTCGTTGGCTACAATTTGAGGACAGATACTCAACTTTGACAACAGGATATTATGATTACAATGTAGGGATGTCACATACTGCTACACCCCCAGTTATGCTACAGCCCTGGCATATCAGGCACCGTCGGCAATATGTTCAAATGTCTTCCGAATGGTCATCCCCAACTCTTTGTAACTGCTGAGTTGCAAACTCAGTCGAAAAACCATATCTTTCACTTCACTACACACAATTTTTATTAAGGAAGCACAGCGAAATAAAACAAACGATACCACAGTGTCGTTGAAAGGAAACATAACATTTCAAACGATATCTCCTTACCAAGGGCAAGCCACTGATCTGAAACCCCGTCCACATTCATGGCCCATCCTTTGTCATCTCGTCCAGGGACTTGGGCAGGTTTTGATGAGTAGGCAATAGGCCCTGTAGCTGCAATACCATGCTGGGACAGGAGGGCGACTTGGTCTCGCCTGAGGTAGCCGTCTGTCGTCCACAGGTAGTCTGCTCCGTGGAGGACTTGAAGTTCATCAGCTGTGTAAATTACACAGGTAAATGCATATGATGGAGTGTACCTTTAATTTTTCTGAGCCGCATAAGGATCCTGTACGCAAACCATTTTTATTGGTCACTAATGTGTTGGAATCCCTCCTGACTCTCTCTCTAACTTAGTAACTTTACTCTCTCTATGCACAGTTACCGACTTTGTCAAAACATTATGCTATGCTTTGCTATGTGAGGCGTTCTCGCTAATGATCGAGACAGAAATGGGCAGAGGTCAAAATGGGGGGGTTTCCAGATATTAGGAAAGATAATAAAACTGTTTGTTGAACTCCAATCGGGTATTAATTCTGTTGACAAGTTACGGCTATTTAAATTTTGCATTTATCGACATATCAAAATTTGAGTAAATACTGAGAAAAAGGTCTTTACAGTTTCAAGTTTTGTATTCGTGAAAATGAAAGATGCCCATTGTTTCTTCCTTAACAGGATTCTTAGGTTTTTTTTTATACTATTTCTATAAAAGATTTGTAGTAGACATTTCAAAGATTACAAATGTTCATAAATCTGAAAATCAAAAAAATAATTCCCCATTCGGTTGTTTGCATGTTTCTCCACTATTTCCTGTGCCCAGTTCCATCTCTTTTTGGTCAGAACACCTCACATGTTACATAAAAATCAGTGTAGGAAAGTGCAAGGAAAGAAAGGATTTTATTCATACCTGTTACGCCTAAAAATCGATGGCGCTCAAAATCGTACAAAAATCGGTCCCAGATGACAAGGTCGGACACTGCCATTGGTGACGTGGTTGACCTCTGACCCCTACTACCCAGGGTCACGACCCACGGTGATGATGACGGTGGTGGCACAGTCGTTGATTGCCGCTGGGATGGGACCACATCCAGGGTGCCCACCTTGTAGCTATTGATGTAAGCATGGAGGTCAGAGGCTGGTCGCCAGGTCATCGCGAGGTTGCACCATGAGCCTAGTGGCAGGCTGCTTGATGAGACTGTGACTGTCCATACATGATCGCCATCATTTACTATTTGGAGGAAGCAAAAAATTCTGATGACGGAGCTCCCATGTTAAACTTGTCTTTTCAAAAATAACTATTTTTTGGTTTAATTCCGAATAAAAGATTCCGTTCCTACATTGTAATTTTAATTCATTTTTTATCGCGCTGACAAGCACACTTAATTTGTTATGGTACACACACTCTTGTTGTGCTTAACTCTTTTTTGTGTGATCAAGCCATAATGTCAAAGTACAATGTATCTCACCTTGGAATTTCATCCGTTTGTTGGCATCTATGAAGATACCCAGATGAGGCGACTCCGCCTCATCGACGTTGGTACCAGAGTAGAAAAGGACTGTCTCTTCTTCCTTCAGAGCCTCTTGTTCAAGGAGCACCCATAGGGATACGGCCAAGCCACGGTCACACCCAGCTAGCCCCTGCTCCACACAGGTCACACCTAAAACAAGAGGGACAGCTCAAAATAGTAGACAATTGCACAGTATCGTACAAAAATACAGGCATGCAACTGGTCGGGCGGCCTTGGGCCAAGTGGATTATGAATGGTCTTTTCCCAGGCTTTCATTTGATGTAAAACTTGTTCTCATTGGTTACTCACTTCTATCGGAAAAACGAATTACTTAGAAATTTTCACCAATCATATCCAGCGTCTGTTGACCACTCACTTGGATCGTACCACTGTAGCATTCCAAGCTTTACAAGACTTTAAAGAGTGTTTCTCAATTTTTGAAATTACATAAGTGTGAAGTGAAAAACGAGGAAAAGTTGCACACAATCAAGGTTTCATTGGAAAGAGGACACATTGGCGTTTTTACTTGATCTTTAACATATTTGAAAATATTTATCAGATTTTTTTATAATTTACATTTACATCTTGGTTTTTATTGTCTTTTTTTGAGACACCCTGTTCATCAAATCGGGTATGTTCGTTGCCAACTTTCAATCATAAGTGCCATTTCATTCACCAGTTACAACCTTAAGCCCGGTTCATACTCAGTACGAAAGCGAAAGCGAACGCGAATTTGTGACGTCATGGCAAGTATTCAGGCTGCGAATTCGTAAAAGTTGAACATATTTGAACTCGGGCAAATTTCGAAACGAATGTTTCATGACGTCAAATTCGCTTCGCATTCGCGTGAAGTATGAACCGGGCTTTACCTGGGGCGTTAAAGACAGGATTCAGCCAGGAGTGGGCACCAATCAGTCTGTAATACTGACCAATCCTTCCCTCAATAATCTCAGCACCGGATCCTAGGAGGTTGGCTGCAAATTTAGTCTCCAGGGTGTTGTAGTAAGCCGCAAGTTGGTAGAAGGGGTTTTCTCTGGGGTTTTCATAAGACAGTACTATAGACAAATAGAATTAATAAGACAAGCATTTAGACATGGAAACATCTTCAAATTATGATTCAGAACCAAACTGAATGCAGTGGCCATGGGAATGAAAACAAGTCATGAATTTTGTGATGCGTTGTTTTTAAGGAAGCTTTCTTAGGCCCCCCCCCAAAAAGTCTCCGGTTTCTGGTATGCGTGTGCGTCGCCATAGCCATGCGCGTTGGCAAAATTTAAAAAAAAAATTTCAATGTAAGATGATGTCTCAAAACCGCCAAACTCACTGGTTTGACTGGAATCTCGCTGCTGCACAATTTTAACGTGTTGTTAGATGGGGTTATGATCGAGTATAAGCTTTATGTAGCCTCTCTGGGCTCCCATATATTTTGCACTCAATTTAGTCGGGCAGCATTTGCAGACAGTGTTGTAATTTCGTAAACGCTTTTTAATTAGCTCAATATACTTCTCAAGCCTTGTGGCCTTACTGAGGTCACCTCAAGCTGCACTGTGAAGGATATTCTGAGAGTCTTAAGGGGATCGAAGCGTCATCTGCAACATCAGACGACATTTGAAGAGAAAAAAAAGTTGAGTAAAAAAAAAATGCGTCGCCGCACCACTTTTGGGGCAAGCTCCATACTAGAAACCGGATACTTTTTTTTGGCCTTAGGCACATGTGCTGTTGCCTATGTGCACATGGGCAAAGCCTAATGGATAGGTCTATTAAAAAGTGGATGCTAAACATTTTTCATCTTCTTCTTGTTATTTGTCATTGAAAATATGCATGTTATCTGAAATAAATCATTCTTAAATACATACCGTTGAACAAGTCTATCAGTGGTACTTCATGGAGAGTTGAATAGTCAGCATCTGGATACAACTCTGAAAAGAAATCATTGTTTTTGACTGATCAGTTTAAAATAGGCAACAGCTGCATCATTGAGTTCCATGCCATACAGTGTATTATATAAATAGAACATGGTTTTAGGGTGGATAGTGACATTAGCTCCCCGAGGTGTCTGAAGTTAACAAACAAGTACTTGACTGAGGCGAAGCCAACAAGCTAATATCGACTATGTGCCTGAAATAAACCATGTTAGGCCACAAAAAAAGTCTCCGGTTTCTGGTATGGAGCTTGCCACAAAAGTGGTGCGGCGACGGGGCTTTTTTTTACCCGTTTTTTTTAACAAATGTACATTATTTTAAAGCGCAAATCATTGGCTTTCCATTGATACCAACTTTATTTCTGTAGCTTAATTTATTCCAAAGATATGACGCAGGAACTTCAACAGTGTCCTGCCAAGTTTCTCTAACCTCATTTCGAGAAAAATGGCTTTGGAAAAAAAAAAGACACCCATTGTGCCGTCAACGGCAGTGAAAAACGTTCCTGCATATTGTGAATCTTGGATACCTTGGCTACTCAAAAATGCAAAAAAATCAAAAACGATTTTCATAAAAATAGCTTCTACAACAGAGAGTTTGGGTGTCTTTTTAGGCAGCCCATATAATTACAAAAGGGAACAAAGATAGGCCTACCATTTTGACATTGCTCTCCTTCATAGCCAAAAGTGCATAGACACTGGTAGGACCCGTCCTGCAGTGTCCAGCATGTGCCATCATTCTGGCATGGGTTACAGTCACAATACCCATCTATGAGAGGAAAATAATGTCAAAAAGGCTTGCTATAAATAAATTTAAAGTCCACTTGTTGCCTGCACAATATACAATACGCAAACTGATTAACAAGACTGTATTTAAGATTGAGAGTTTGGATGGTGGAGTATCGGGACGTTTTGGTTTGCGGTACCATCATGTGGTAATAACTACTGCTTAGAAGATGTTTAGTTCTGAAAAGAACTTGTCCTGCTTATTATCAACTTCGCTTAGTAGTTTGTGTTCTGATAAGAACAGTCCTGCTTTTAAGTTCTAACAGAACTTGTCTTTGGTCTCAACGTTTCGACTAGCCTGCTCTAGTTATCGTCAGGAGACTGTATTTGCTGAATATAATTCATAAGCCCTTATTGTCAGATAACATCACTTTTTTTCAATGCAATATGGGAAGATCATTCCAAAGCAGGTAATTTTTCTTTTAATTATCACCTTTTTATACCTAATAACATACATAAACTAGTAACTTCTTTTAATACCCAAAATGTACTGTCAGATTTTAAAGTACATTTAGTGCACACAGAGATGATGAGATATACAGAATTCTAAGGTTTTACATGTGGAGTCGTGCAAAATGACTGATCTCATGGCACTGGCTTATTTGTCCATACCTCGATTCCGACGCAATGCAGAGCGAGCTATATAGAAAAAATCAGCCAAAATCAATTGACAGACAGAAAGTTGCATTACTTCCTCCAAATTAACCATGTTTTATTGATCACTTGCCATATATAGATCTGTTGCATATGATAATTCATCTTTTTAAAGTTTTCAGTATGGTAACCACCAGCAATCCCACTTGTAATCGCTACTGTTGCATCGTTGGGAGTCTGGGAGCTGATCTTAGTGTAACCGGGGAGAGTGGAAATGAGAGGGATTGCAAACAATAATGATTGTCCACTCTCCGCAAAACCGAGCGGAAGCGCTACCACTATTAAATGTTTGAATAGGAGAGAATTCAGGTGTGGGAGCAAGATATCTGGTTGTTTCTGTAAACAAATGGTTTTACTTACAACAGACTAGATATTATTACAAAAATATGGAGACAATGAAATCTATATTGGTGGCTTAATGCAGTCGATACTAAGTTTTTGTAAGAACCACAGTCAAAAAGGGACTGGTGCAAATCTATCCAGAGATCTGAAATACAATAAGATACAACAATGAATTGCCAAGGAATTACTGTGAAATAATATTTCTGATCAAAGTATATGGGCAAAATTAATGTTAGCCTTTACAACACTCCAAAAAGAAGTGGAAATTTGTTAAATACTTTAATATTTACAACATCAACAAACAATCCTTCAACACCACTATGATCAGTGAATTGTTGAACAGCTATTATTTTGTCAAACTTACGTCACGATAACTATTGCAATGATTGCAATTAAAAATGTAATAAATCGCTGTGTCAGATTGTGGCATAAAAATACAAATAAACACAATGATATCGCATAATCTAGTATCATTTACTCACCACTTGCTTGAGCTGATCTACCATATCTATGTGAATGCCAAAACTATCGACGACGAAACAATGCTGGAGACAGCAGCTTGCCAGGGATCAGCAATGCCCGGTTGTTGTCGCTGATCGGGAACCTCACCCAAAAATTGTAATATTTGTGAGTGCACTGTCGTCGAATTGCTGGTGTTGTTGCAATGCAAAGTTGGATCGAAATCAATCTGTAGCCTCAGCTCTGCCCTACAGGAAAACTACAGGAATTTGCCCGGAATGCGCGCTATTTAGTTTAGCACAGCGCGGTATGAAAACACAGCACGCAACCAGCAAAAAAAAGTTAAGTTGGTCACGAGAGGGCGCAAAACAGACATATTTTACACAACAAACGCACATGACGGACATGACATGCAAGACATGATTTGTTGTATTTACAAAATTTATGATGGAGTTAGTGACCTGTCGAGTTAAAGTCAGTGAGAAAACAAGACTGGTCACACTAGGTGGCTTTTTTTCTTTGTAATACTGACAAACGGTCGATAATATGGGGACGCAAATGAAGAGTTTTATCTCCAAAACGCGATAAACACCATTTTGTTACCTTTTAGAATCCCGCTCTCTCCTGACTGCCCAAAGTACGTTTGGACGGCTGTTATATAGTTCAACACAGTTTAAAAATACCATAAGGCGAAAAATGGAGTTTAGGCCAAAAAATAAAGTCTCCGGTTTCTGGTATGGAGCTTGCCCAAAAAGTGGTACGGCGACGCGGCTTTTTTTTTTTACCTGATTTTTTCGGCCTCAAATGTCGGCTGATGACTGCAAATGGTGCCCGACTAAACTTATTGCAAATATATGGGAGTCCAGAGAGGCCACATAAAGCAAATTCTTGACCATAACCCCATCTAAAAACACGTTAAAATTGTGCAGCAGCAGGATTCCAGTCAAACCAGTGAGTTCGGCGGGTTTGAGACATCATCTTGTATTGAAAAAAAAACTTTTTCATTTTGCCGACGCGCATGGCTAGCTAAACGGCGACGCGCGCGCATACCAGAAACCGGAGACTTTTTTTTTTGGCCTTAGAAGCAGCTGTTATATTTTGATTTTATTCTTTATAGTTTTACATAATAGTGCAATTTGATCACTGTTATCAAATGGATATATTGCGTTTTGGAAATCAACTCTTCATATTATTCTATACTTTCCAGATGCATTGGAACTGCATCGAGTGAAGCGTGCCGTGTTTGGCTGATAATGGACAAGGTCTCATAATACAACTCTTGAGGCTATCAGCATAAAGATACGTAGGATCATTCGCTAGTATTACCCACAATGGTACCTACCGATTTAATCGCAGAAACTGTGCTCAAAGTGAAGATCGTGGACTGGTATCAAATACCCTGTGAAATTATTCAGCCTAAAATGGTATTGTTCAAATGTAAACAACCACTGAAGATGGTTGTAAAAGTGTGTCCGCAGCCACACTTTTTTTTAATACCAGGCTGCCCCGTCAGAACTCATTACTTGGTAAAATCCGTAAATGGGCGCAAGTCTATACCCCACAAGCGAGTGTTAATCAGTAATAGAGATCAGTGGGCAAGGATCATCGGAATCCTTACTGCCTGAATGAGAAGTTGGCGTAGTTTTTTTTTTAACTTTTTCTCCGAATGTATAGTATCTACTGAGCTGAAATTTTAACAAGTTAGTTGTTATTAAACCTTCTTCAGATTTTGAGCAATTTGGTTTTTCAATTAAGTGAGACAAATGCACAAAAAGCAAGTGATCCTTCGTACCTTTTACACCTTAATTCCCAAATTACGTTTATTTTAATACCTGAAGTGGTCTCAGTGCTTGATGATAACTCGGCTGTTACATATTCTGTAGTCTCTACGTTGGTTGTTGTTGCTTCCTCTGTTGTGGTTGTTTCAACTGATGTTGAAGCAACAACTCTGACAGCTGTTGTAGAATCGGCAGTGGTCGGGATGGTTTCTCCACTGGTTGTCCTCGGTTGTGACGTGGTGTATTGCATTGTTTGCCCATCAGGAGTGGTTGTTGGCGCTAATTCTGTGAAATAATTGAAGTCAAAATAGGTTGCAGTAGCGCAATTTAGGAATAGTGCTGCCAAAGGGCAGGTTTAAGGGGTTGGGATTATAATAGGGTAGTCTATGTAAAGACCATGGCAGCCAAAGCCTGGTATAATATTTGTGCAGATTCGCTGATTAATTATGCAAGACAACCGCATCTTGACCTCTAGATTTTGACCAATCAGCAGGAAACCTTCTACATCGGGTCTTCGGTCATTCACACATTGTCGCGTCATAGACGTGGATAAAAAAAAACCTAGACACAGCAACAAAGGCCCTGAGAAGAATTACAAAGTTCTGAGGTAAGAAAAATGTCACACAATGGACCCTAAACTTATAGAATGAGACATAAGAGAAAGGCACACATAGTAAGATTGGCAGAAGTATTTATAAGAGCAGAATTGAACACAAGTAAACACTCATATTTACCAGTACAGTTCATGGCAGGGCCTCGTCTCCATCCACGCAGACACTTACAATTTCCATACATGTCACACTTCCCATTACCACACTGTCCATCTGCAGTGCAGTTTGGTGATGTGGCTATTTAAAAAAAACCGCACACGCAAAATCAACAACAGGCAATTAATAGTGAGATACTGATGATAGAATTGCATTTGATTAATCTTAACCATTGCCCTTCCGACTGAACAATCCAGTTTTCAACTTGGGATAAATTTTGAGAGACCACGTTCGAAATAGGCAATTTTGTTCATTACTCCAGCTCCAACTCCGAAAGGAAAGAAGTGTGATTTCGAAGAAAGTAACAGTTGTTCTATACTAAATATCTTTAGATGATGATCTTGGCATCATTCTGCAAACAGAAATTAACTTTATTCCGCTATAGGTTCTTCTCAAAACCGATGACTCCAATAGAGTTTGATCACTTGACAAGGTGTATCCACAACATTTCTCTCTAGTTTTACTCCTTCTTCACCATACAATTACAAAATATCATAAAGGCACTTCCCTGCTTTTCAAAGCTACAATAATTGCAACCATTAATTAATGAAAAAAATATCTTCAAGTGTGATCCCAAAACGTCCAAGTTTGGTTGAATCAATCAGGACAAAGTATGTATGGGTTAGCATGACTACCGTCATTTTACCAATGCATATAGGCCTACGCTTGGTTTTTATGATATAATTTAGAATGTACAGCAGAGTTCATTTGAAGATAATGCCGATTGGTCCATGGATCCCGTGTTCAGAATTAATAACCCGCACTGGGCGTTTTACAAAAGCATATTTCAACACTGTGTGTACTACTTACGCCTTTCACACACAACTGCATGAGTGTCGTCACATCTTTTAGCATGAAAGTTATTACTTCCAGACTTGAACAAAAGACATGTCTTATCTCCACCTCCTCCACCGTCTCCTTGCACATCCCATGTGATGCTTTTTCCAGCGCCCCACTCCCATGCGTTGTTTTGTTTCCTTCCATCAGTCCACATCTGAGCTGGCATGTTTGTCGCCGGCTCCTTTACAAAATTCACCTCCTCTTGACTGGTAATCACGGGTAGATGGTAACCCCGACTGGCACACCAATGCCTCGCTCCTGATGAGTGGTTTCTCTGCCCTCCATAAATCATGTAGCACGATTTCTCAAAACTTATCTCCGATGTATTGCATGGGATTTCTAGGAAATAAATAAGCCATAGAAAATGTTTCCAATCATTCAAAACCAACAAAGTAAAATAAAATTGTAAAAGTCGCGCATTATGTGTGTTTAGAGGAAGTATACCTAACACACTGTACACAATGTATAATATAATAACTAGCAAGATTTTGTGGGGACTAGGTAATTCAAATTAAGCTGCAGAATGTTGGTTGAGGCCTACTGTTCAATAGCTGCAGCAGAATGGTAACAATGAGGTGAATGAAGATGATGATTTACTTTAGCTTGTATGCTGAGACCAGTGAATTTCTGCTGACCAGTAAAAGAATTAAGTTGAACAGACCACATAGCATAGAGCGGCATCTTATGGCTGTGATGCAACTGGATCCAGGAAAAATACTTCTTTTCTGAGGAATAAGGCGAAATTGTTTGGCCTACTCTATTTAGAGGAGCAACTTTGATCTACGACATATACTTTTACATAATGCTCTGACAACTGACAGTTTTAAAGGTGTACTGATGTAATGGTTAGTCTGGGGCCGGGAGTCGATCGGTGGGGGACGGGGGAGTCCCCCCCCCCCACTTTTTAAAAAGTTATCATATCATTTGTCCCCCCCCCCCCCCATACACACACACTTTTTTGTCCCCGGAATACAAATTTTAGCCTTTACTTGCTTCTATAGCTCGTTTAGATATTGAATTATATTTTCACAAATTTGGAATTATTGACTGCCAGACAAAACAAACAAATTGAAAAATCAATTTTTGGGGAGGACGGGGTAGGGCCTATACATCTTTAATTGAAATATATTTCCGAGAGATATTGCAGGCACAATTCGATTGTTTAAATATTGATTGCCCTTTGTATCTCAACCTGGCGTCCGCGCTGACATGACAACAGACTGATCAGCTCCCATCACAATGAACATTCATTGCCCGTCCGCTGAAGTCAAAGATGTACCGTCCGTATTCTTCAACAAATTCCCCCTAGATTTTTCAACCCGTATGTTTCATTTTAATGAAAAAAGACCCTTATCATGGCCATCTGCACGCCCTAGTCTGAGCATAAGCCTATCATCCGTTGTTCAACAGAGCCCGCACGCTCCGCAACAACGTTTGATGTGTGCATGAAACTGTTAGGCGACCGCCTGGCCCAGCCAATCGGAGTTGACTTTAGAAATTGTGACGTCATTTCTAGTAAAAAATTCGACCTAAGCTGTTAATTGGTCAATTGGCTATATAAGACCCGATAGAAGGCCCTCGCTGAATGGTCAGAACTTCGAGATCAAGATGCACCCCTTCACGCATATCATAGACGCTTGTTGTGCATACAATAATTTAGCAGCTATTCCATAGACTCGGATAAATTACTTTAATTTTGTGTTGCCTTGCGAAAAACCCCAGATCCACCCTTTACCACTGTGCCAGATGGCACACTTTCTTAAACCACCTTCAATGATCGTTTTCTTCTGAATGATACCATTTCAGGCGGAACAAATTCACAGGGTATTTGGTACCAGTCCTATCTTCACTTTGAGCAAGGTTTTTCTCGTTAAATCGGTAGTGCTTTTACAGATAATTGTAAAATAGTGTTTGTATATGCTTAAATGTAACGCAAATTTAAGAGGCCGACGTTTGCCTTTTTTTTTAACCCGTCAAAGGCCCATGGAGGTATAAGATCACTGTTTTGATTTCTTTAGCATTATTTCACTGGGATTATTTATTTCTCACATACCAATCTCCCAATTATGGCTTAGCTTTATGCCGATAACAAGGAACAAAACCCGTTACCGCGGTCAGAAGATCTCGTTTAACATATCGATAATAATTGCATATGGTATATAAATGAATTAAATCTCAAAGCGAAGATGGTGAATCCTCTTTTTTTTTTTGCGAGGCTCCAGCGTCGGCGCGGAAAAACACGTACCGTCATTATTTTATACCATTTTAACGCTTGGAATCTGCACTTTATCCCTGGTGAGTATTGGTTTGATATTTAATAGAGTTTTAAAACTATTTGTGTTCAAATAAAGGCATGTCGAAAACAAACTCAACCGATTTCAAGGAAAATCCATGAGGCGGGACACAATATGCAAACTCGAGTCACACTTTGAGCGCGCTTTTTGAATAGGTACATTTGCACGTGAATCATGAGCATGATAAACCATTTCCACATTAGAAAATATGCGCATGATTGATTTCCCTTGAAAAAGGTTGAGTTTGTTTTCGAAATGCCTTTACTTGAACATACATCATTTCCAAACCCTTTTGAAGATCAAGCCGATACTTACCAGGGATAAAGTTAGGATTCGAAGCTTTAAAATGATATAAAAATAATGGCGGCATGTGTTTCCGCGGCGACGCTGTATAATAGTGCTCAGTCTCAACTGAATGCCGACCTGTACAAAGTCTGGGAGGCGGCAGAGTATAATTACATGTAATTTGAGGACCTAATTACAGTTCTTTTTTGAAAAAGTCGGGGCAACCGCGATTCTAAACCATCCAGCTGTTTGGGAAGGTTAGGGATAGGATGATATTTTACTTCCAGAGGCAAGGCTCTTACCCAACTTCCATACCTTCACTGGCATAACGCAGAAGGAACTTGCAGGGGAATATCTTTTTCTAGAGGGTGCATTGCACGGTGACGTTAGTCGTAGTTTCAAACAACGATCGAAGGTACACAGGAGCACGAGCTGGGGAATGGCCCCACGGACCCCGCCCCTTCCCCACTATATAGTTATGCCATGCATTGGCCACCAAATATATGAGATCCACAATCATTATTAACCAACTGCATTTTGATTTTCACAACATGATACTCACCAAATTCCATCGATACTTCGACTGCGAGAAGGCCTACAAGCATGGCAAATCCAACTTGAATGAGCTTCATGATTTTTGGCCTTCCGCAACCGATCCGTCGGACATGGGACACTTCACAAATAGTTCCGATAATGTAGCACTTCAGTCGCCTTACACAAAACGTTTGCAAGAGTCACTCATGAATAAAAGTCTTGGTTCTTATGAATGGCAGTCACAAACTAGCACTCGAGCCCTGCCCATGCCAATTTATACAGAAATATTAGCAAGGTACCAGGCTTGCCATTAAGTCTCAGATCCCGTATGCGTCTGTGGAGTGATCTGAATTACTTCATGTTACCAGCGAAATGATAAATAATTTTCGTATCAAAAATGTATCTTTCCACCGAAATCAATAACCATAACCCGAACTGTCATGTTATTGATTGAGCCGCACTAAATTTTTGAAACTCTCCTTTGTGGGGGAGCTATTGACACAGTCGATGACGAGATATTGACATTGCGAGATATTGATGATTCCAATTCGTATGGGCCGAAGGTATATATTGATTTGACTGCATTCGCCTTTTTGAATATTTAATCGTGTTGTATTGTAAACACGGTTGCCATAGCATTTTATCTGTACTCTTGAATAAAGACATTGTTCACTTTCCCAAAATATAAACCGATTGAACCTGTGCTTCAGAAACCTCAATTATTAAACAATAAAATTGATAAACGTGCGGATGCCTGTTTACATTTTTAATGCCAAAATATGCCATTTTTTTCTATAGTTTACTAAATAAAGAAGCACAATATTTGATTCGAAAACCAAGGTCTCTGAACACCCCTCGCGCGAGCTAGTAATAAGGGAATAAATGTGTGCTTGGCCGGTTTAGTGTTAAATGTAAGTGCTTAGTGTCTAATACCGGTCAAGCACATATTTCTTCCAATTCATAAATACCTTTTCGGTCTTTATCAACTGTTTAAGACCGGCCACGGCCACAATAGGAATAGGTAAACTGTGTCTTAGGTACATTTGTATTTATAAATGCCAAATATAACATCTAAATAAGACGACTTTTATAGGACTATCCACCTTACACGGACTACATTTGGTTAAGAATTACTATTTCTTTTGTCTCATGTGGTCATGACTCATTTCACTCTCACTCCTGTCGGAATGTAAAGCTAAAGCTAGCTTGCTTTCTTCATGTGCTGTTATACAAGGATGGGACTCTTGGTGTTTCAAATCTACAACACGTGGTCGAATCATCAAAATAAAACTTATCTTCACACCGAACTCAGTCTTATGTTGCGAGCATAAAGCATTGGAATATTATCAGGCGAGCAAGAAGTTATGAGGTAGGAACAGAAGTAACGATAAGAGTAACTGACCTCAATAAACAAAAACAAAAACAAAAACAAAACTCAAATCAAAAAGCAACAAACAATCACACCAAGAAAAAGATATTCACAAAGGTATAGGCCTATAGAGCACAACTTGTTCTTTTCACAGATATTCGGTTTTAATGCTAGTTGACTTTTCTTCAAATATAAATGCCGACTTTACAACTGTGATATAAGAAAGCAGCAGGTTCACACATCAACATTCTTCTTTGGCTGTAATTACTTCTATAAACATAAACTTACCATTTAATTTACATCTTTATTATCCATAATGTACAGTATTCACAATCATCGACCCTATAGAATGGGGGTCGAACGGGTGGTTTGTCTTTGTCGGTCGTCAGTGTTAAAATCACAGTGTGACGTTGTGTGTTGTCTTCACAGTGTGTTGATTTAATACTATTTGCAGTGTTAGAAACCTTCTAATCATATTCACAAACGATGAACTGTTTGGGAATTTCTTTACAATTTGGCAAATGTTAAAACAAATATTCGACAAGTTTAATTTTTTTTTTACATGTGCAAAGATCTCCGAAGATCAGGGTCTCTAGTCATTGTTATCCACAAAATAGTTTAGTTCTAGAAAGTCGAGGCCAAAAATGCGTGTGCCCGAATAGCAAGACAACGCATCATCCTTCGTCTCTCAAACTGATTACATAACATTTGCTAAACAAAAAAAGAACTTAATGTCGACTTTTATCAATGTCCATTTAATGTTAAGTGGGTGTAATGATCCATCTCGAATTTGGAAATCAAACGGAAATGTTGTTACAGAGGTTTATCTGAAGCTTAATACATGAATATTATGTTGAAACATTCATGTAAAACAAGTATTAAGTTTGATCCATACGTTCTGGTTAGTATTTCGATTTGAAAATGAAATCTAACTTCATAACCCTATTTTTGAATGGCAGGGAAAGAGAATTTTTTTCTTATATAAGATAGTAGAAATTGCTTAATTGTTGTATATGAAGGTTGCCTCCTGTATCAATGGTTACCAAATCTTACCGGTTTTTATTGGTTTGCACCAAACAAGTGGACACAAATGCAACATGTGGTGTAAAAATACTTCGCATTGGCAAAAGATGTACATTTTTTAAACTTCATTTTCATCATAACCGTAATCATCGTAATTCTCATCATAATTCTCGTCATAATTCTCATCATAGTTTTCGTCATAATTCCCCTCGTAGTTCTCATCATATTCCCCATAGTCCTCGTCATTGTACCCATCCTCGTTGTACTCCTCGTCATAGTCGTCGTAGCCGTCGTTGTCCTCCCCGTAACCACCCTCGGGGGACTGCCTTTCCCCAAGGTCCGACAGCTCCCGTCCCTCGGCCGATTTCCTACCGGCGGGGCTGAGCTGTCTGATGCGCTTGATATCCTCCTCTGGATCCTCGATTGAGCCCGGTATACTGGTCCGTTTGGACTTGGGGAGTAGGTTGTTGACATCGCCTTTCTTGCCTCCTCCGTAGCCGGTGATCAAGCTTGTGTAGTCGGTGGTCCCGTAGCTTGCTTTCCCTTTCATCTTGACGGGGAATTCCTCCATGAAGCCCCCTCGCTTCGTCCCGTCGGCTGAGTTTCTACCCTGGCTGGCCCCGTCGCCGGCGCTGCGCCTAGGGCTTCGCCTACCGGCGCTCCGCCGTGGGCTTCGTGTGCCGGGGTTCCGTCGTGGGCTCCGGCGGCCGGCGCCCGGCGGGACCATGGTCGGTCGGAGGGTGTTGCCCGTATATTTTGGCTCCTCGTATTGAATGTCACCCACGGTAATAGTCGATACAGCGCTCTAAGAAATGAGATAAATTGTTCAAAACTTGAGAGACGGTTTTTTTTCGAAAGCAATATACCCGGGGCATTTTTAGAGAGTATATCAAAGTTCTGGACTAATGCGTCTCGTTCAATCAATAAATACAACTTGATCATGTTTGATTGCACTATTGGTAATTATTTACTGACTTACCCGACTCGTTCCCGGACGAGACGAGACTTCGGAGTAAATGTCCCTGTCATCGTCATCATCATAGTCGTCCACTGTCATTGCTGTTGACATTAATCGGTGATTGAAGGTTAAATATCATTATTCGTTTCAACTTATATTTTTATTTTAGCCAAAGGAATTATTCTTAAAAAAAATATTGCTCAACTAGAAAGAGGAATGATCCAATTGGACCCACATTGTCCTGGCAAATAATTCCCATTTTTGGCATGAAGCGGTGCGATGCGATATGATGCGAGGGTGCAGCCTAACCTACACCAACTCGGGACTTGGTCGCCGCTCTTCCCTGCATTAGGGTCCTCAGCTCCCCCGTGTCACTGTGACCAACATCCGTCGCAGCGTGTCGGTGCACGTGACTCGAAAATAAAACAGTCAATATGTATGCTATTGTGTGGCTAATGTTTAAGTGAAATTCACGAACTTTTGGCAGGGCAAAGTTTTCAACGTCTTTGAAATAAGATCACTGAAGATCAATTTTGGAGAAATATTTCAAAACACCAAAAGCATGAAAAGGTACTATATGAATCATGATTGGAACAAAAATACCACAAAAGTTAGGCAATTTCCCACTGGTAAACCATTTAGCCTTTCATAGAGAGAGAGAGTGTGACTGATTTATTGCATGCTGACATTTATAAACCACACATTGTACAACGTATAATTGACGTTGATGCATGTAGACGTTGATGGTGCAATTTTTTTTAAAGAAAAATTCAAATTGATTAACTTCACTGACTGGCTGATGCAGTTAAGTTACTGACTTACAGGCATTAAAGTTCCATTTCTTGCTGGGTTTTCCATCGACACCCTGGGAAAGAAAAGCAGAGAACTCCCCTGAATTAAGAAAATCTTTCTGAGATGTAATTTGATCACGATGTGACAATTAATGATATAAACCTTTCGGAAAATCTACTCTCTTTAAATTCCCAAGTCGGATTTGATCCCGATATCGGGGTCGTACTTGACCTGATGATTTTTAGGGTCAAAATGACACTTGTCCGTGTCAAACAGACATGGTACTTCTCTGGATCATTTTCCAGAAATTTTAAACCTCAGTAAAAGTACCATTGTGACCCAGCATCAGGACAAATCTGACCCTGCAGGTTTAAGAGTGTATGGAATTCTTCGAAACATAAACATTTTACCTCTCCATCTGTGACAACCATTACATACAAAACTTGCATCTCAAAAACCATCACATCACTTGGAATAATGACTCTTACAGTGCAAAGGTTTTCTAAAATGTCTTTCAAATATCAAGTAAATAAACTCAAGACAACAGAATTGACATATGACAGCTATGCACAAATTGCAGGTGAAAGTATCCCATCAACTATATACTGACACACACATAAGATCAATTGAACGAAAACGATTGATTGAAATGTCCGACTCACATAATCAATGTCGTCGTCTTCATCGGCATCTTTAATCACTGGTGGAGGGTCCTTCTTTAATTTCCAAGCTGCTTTAATCTAAAAAAGAGAAAGGCGCATTCAATTTCAAATTAAAATGGATGAAATTTGTTCACTTGTGTGTTTTGCTTCCACTGTGTAAAACACCTGTCATTCTCCCTCATGCAAACATGAACAAGTCTTTACTTCAATTGCCTATACAGACTATGTCATCAATTCGTAATTGTTTACATAATGTGATGTCCCTTTTCAGAAAACAGTTCTCTCCTGTACTGCATATTTATCCCTTGAAATACGAAATAAAAAAACGATACTAATAAAATGACCTGAACAGCTGAACTTCAGTCAACGAACCTTTCTTTTTTTAATGTCAACCTACCTCTGAATTAAGAAGTAGCTCTGCTAGAAGAACAACAAGGCCCTACAAAATAAAGACAACGGATTTTAATTACTCCACTTACTGCAGCCAATCAATATTTCCTAAAAGCATTTAATTTTTAGTAGGAATTTGTTTTGACACAAGTCCCACAAAATGCAGTCATCGCTTTTAGGTTACGATGGCTGAAACAGGTTGGTATCAGTTCTTCCATCTGGCTCCAATAATTAAGTGGACAGAATTATGTTAAACAACGAAATAGGCTTCTTAAAAATCTTGACTTTACCACTAGTCTCCTGGGTCATTACTCTCTAAATTCCAAAGAGTGAAATTAGGGACTAAACGTTTTAGAGTGAAAATCACTCTCATTTTCGATTGAAATAGTCTGAAAAATGAACCACTTCAGTCGAAGCTCGAGTGAAACCTCGATCTTTACGATTGAAGACATTTTACTCTCAAACGTCTAGTCCCTAGTTTCCGACTGTGGGAGTGAATCTTCACTCGAATGGAGTGAATTTTCACTCTTTGAAATTTAGAGAGTAACACAGTATACGAAGAAACATTTTGTCGGTAATTCACATTTTACAATCAGTTATTAGTATCAAATGGAATTCAAATTTGGTCTACTTCAAAACTGTTAATGAAAATAAATTCCTGCAGTTTGAAGCTATTAACAAAAAAAAGTACACCCAGTAAAACTTTTCATACCAAGTTATAGTGTGAAACCTACTTGGGAAGGGAAATATAACAAAAAACGTGTTTTTGGTAACAGTTTATAAACATTATTACGCGTTTAGGCCCTATGATGAGAGACGCCATTTGCTATAGTAAAAGACCTAGGTGAAATTTCAGTTAGATTCACGTTTGGAGATACCCATGTACCAAAACAAAGCCTCCAACTGCCGGTTTAAGTTTTGCCTCCGCTTAATTGTTACCGAAATGTGGCATTCAGGAAACAGAATTTTGAACATTCTGTTTAAATGTTCCGTAATGTTTACCATTTCATTGATATGACATAGGCTCTTTGCTATACGATAACTAATCATTACATTGCTGAATTACTGTAGGATTCCAAGGTGTTACACCAAATTAGATGGACATTGTTTATTGCACTGTTTAAGGCAAAGTCCGTAATGAACATGTTATTGAATTAGTCTTCGACATGTTATTGAATTAGCCTTTGGCGCAGTACAGTATACGATACCATACAGGGCGAGTAATAAAAAAGAAACCAAAATATCGGGACTATTGTTTTAATGAAGGTCTGCACGTAGCACTTTGAAAATCTAGGAGATACAAACCCAATTCATAAGCTTTCTTTTAGTACAAGAATGATTCAAATCACTCATGTACTTTTCAAGTAACGGAATTTTAAACACAACCACCGTTTTAAAGTTCTGTCCACTGATCACATAAAAGGTGTGCGTTCTTTCAGCAAAACGAAAACAATTCACACATCCCTATGTGATTTGTTTCGTTTTTTGCTGAAAGAACACTCACCTTTTTGTGATTCGTGGACAGAACTTTAATAAAGCGGTGGTTGTGTTTAAAATTCCGTAACTTGGAAATTACATAAGTGATTTGAATGATTCTTGTACTAAAAGAAAGTTTATGAATTGGGCTTTCACACCCTAGATTTCAAAAGTGCTACGTGCAAAACTTCACTAAAACAATGGTCCCACCTTTTGGGTTACTTTTTTTTTTTAATTCGCCCCGTAGATCGAGGTACAATGATACTTACCTGAACGCAGAGTAAACCACCAAACGCATAGCCCAACATCTCCATCTCGAAAGACTTGATTCCACTGAAGATGGTTAGATCAACCGATAGCAGGATGGCAAGGAAACACCAACATGTACCCCTGTCAAATAAAAACATTTAGCAAAAACTGAACTGCCGTTCTCGAATCAAGCAGTTTCAATTCAAATTTTCGGTTTCCACATACTACTGAATTGAAGTTCAGATGAAGTTCAGATGAATCAGCGTCAGATTTGACTTGGCAATCTTCTGCGTCAAAATGGCAAATTTTCGATCCAAATTGATACTTAGTTCTGGATCAACACAATTTGTCATGTCTAGTGTGACATTTTTTCAAGATTACAATTTTTCGTGTCAACTGGCCCATGTCAACTGGCCCCCAAAAGTGACTCAGTCTCAGGGAGGTGTCATTTTGACCTGAAAAAAAAAGAGTCAGATCAAATCTGACCCGGATCCGGGTCGAATGATGACCGGAGACCTTTTAAGAGTGTAGGCCTTACGACATTTGATCGATTCTGCTAAATAAAATAAGTTCCTGTTTGTGTCAAAGTGAGTTACTTTGAAACTTGGAAATTTAAAATGAAATTGGCCGAAGTCACTACGTGAGAAAAAGCTAAATACTTAAAGATCGTTGATAATGTTATGGTTTATACAAATTTCTTTCTCATAAAACTCACTTGATTTTGTCCAGTTCTTCCACTTCTCTGACAAAGAGGGCGTGCTTTTGTGACATCCTGATAGCGCGCAATGAGAAGAGTAACATGAAGAGTGTGGCCTGCAAAACAAATGTGGAATTTAAAGGTACAAAAAAAGGAAAGGATTAATAATTATTCTTAGGAGTATAATTATTCTTTTAAAAATGCAACAGTTTTCCAGAACAGTAATCCAATCGGATTATGAACATAATATATGAATCATAAGTTCTTTCTTGCTATTTTACCTTAAAAATGCGAATCTTCTGGATACATGTAAACTTCTTCGTGTTCTACAGTATGAACACTAAAAATTATCTTACCGCACTCGTGACAATTGGTGGATAAAAGTACGTTGCGTTGATGATGACGTCACCAGCGTTTAGCCAGCACCTACACAAAAATAGATTTGAAGCTTTTTCTTATATTGCGAGCCGCCATGTTTTTTGTTGTTGTTGTAATCTGCCAGAGTACTGAACATAATATAATGATACATGGGTGCTACTTTTGAACACGATCCCCTTCAATAGGCGTTTTGGTGCAAACAATCCCTTCGAAAGTGTGTAAATGGATCAATATAGAGCTGGACAATACAAATCCTATGGGAATTGGCCTGGGTCTGATCTTTTCCTCCAAAATTCTGAGTCAAAAGTTCAATCAGGGTTAAAGGGGCACTCAAGGTGCTTTCTAGCTATGTCTCAATAGTCGATACTGTCGTCGATACTTTTATTTCATTGGTTCAGGTGAAATTGATAATCAAATTAGTGCTAACGGCTTCTGAGCCGCACATACCTGCTTCCGCTGCCGTAAACCGCCCATTTCCAACCGCCTATTCCACCAGCAATCACCATCGGTAGAACTAGAAATACGAATCATGCGACTCAAATTTAGCTTTTTTTTTGCAAGCACTTTGAACATTACCGTCACCAGACCACTCGATCTTTACACTCAATTGAAACAGTATGGGCTATAATAGCAACAATATTATACACTTCTGGAGATGAAATGGTACTTTTTGAATTGTGTTTAAAAAAAAAAAGCTTAGTTAGTTGTACACAATCATTTAACGAATATTACCGTGCAACACAATATAACTATTATGGTAGATTACGGCATACGGGTGTTGATGTTGTAATGAAATTTCAGAAACATGAATACTGTTGTGACTTACTCCAACCAACGAAAACGCAGTGCCACGTTTTGACCTCCCCTTTGGTGAAGTCTGTTACCCTGGTGAAGAGCAGCATCGCCATCACGAACAACCAGAATGAGGATGCGAGGATGAAGAGATGGGATGCCAGACCGAACCCCATACAAGCCCACTGGTTATCAAAGATCCAAGCAAGGACAGAAGCGCATTACATGAAATCCAATAAATATTTTTTAACCAATTGGACACTATAGTTATGCCTGGATCCAAAGTCTTGTTATTGTTTAATTTAGAAAATGTGCATTATCTCATAAGACCGACTGTTTTACCTTCAAAAAACGAAACACTTTGTTTGGCCATCAAGTTAAACCATGTTCGTTGAGTCAATTTGGTTACAGAAATTGTTCTATCTCAGTGATCCATGGTAACCACGTTAGTTGTGTCCTTGAGCAGGAAACCTTACCATAATCCTGGTGTATTAAAGGGAAAACGTCAAAGATATTCTTCTCAGGCTAATTATCGTGAAATGTATATATGACCTAACGCTACTTTTTAAATAAATGTTAATGGAGAATTATAGGCTACAGCGTTACCAGAAATTTTTTTCAAAGTCTTTCCCTGTAAGATTTTGTACAACAATGAACAACAGAAATTTGGCCCTATAGTGGATTTTTGGCGATGGGTGATGGATTAGAGATATTATGTGGAAAACAACCGACGACCTTTTAAATATTTATAATTCTAATTTTACCATTTTATCATTGGCTCATTGGGACCTCTATATAACAGCACTTTGCACACTGACATTGGTAGAGATTGTTTGTGTTAAAGTTTTTAATATTTGTTTGTTTGTTTGTTTGTTTGTTTTACGAAGAACCTCTATACTGACCTGGTTTAGTTCGGCCAAGTTGGCTGTGGCGTACAGCAACATAAGGATGAGGTAGCAAATGACGAAACTAATTTGAGCCATCCTACGCCGGCCATTTAAAGTACTGAAAGGACAACGAAAGTAAAATAGTTACCAAGTTAAACATCAACTGGGGAGCGGATAGAATAAATAAAAAACATGTTGGGAATTGCGGGGGATTGTAATCAGTAAACAGTTTCTTGGAGAACAATGGTTAACATATTAAATATTGACAGCTGTAAGGCATGATTGCAATCATAAAAGTTTTGATCGATACTCATATCATAATTTTAATTATCCAGTCAGTCTTACCCGAGATATATCAAGATGACAAGGATCACGATTAACGGGACAGCTGAAACGCCCCCACCGACAGTCATCAGCCAGGTATGAATGATGAAGTGATAGTTAATCTCCTGAATCATGATCGAAAGGGGAAAAAAAAGAAGTTTGATTGATTTAAAAAGATATAATCAAAGCTTTACAATGGGCAGTGAGAAAAATAAAGGAAATTTCAATCCATAAAATTGATCAGCTCTATACTCCTTCAGTCTATCAATTGTATCCCAGTGCACTGATTGCCAACGTATCGATTATTGATAGCTCAAAGATGGACAAAGGTGTCTGTTTTGGACGATGTATTGTAGTGATCGTGTTATTTCCGATGTTGACGACAATTTTGATAGATTAATAAACATGACATTAGTCATGGGCTTTTTCTGTGGAATAAAGCATGCCGAAACACTCGATCGAGGAGTTAGCATCGAATGACACCGACAGAAATTGTATTACCATCGACCTTTCGTTATCTAAATGGATTCACTTAGCTGAGAAGCTGTTAATGACAGGCACGTTCTAAGTATTCTTACTATTAATCTAAAAATAACCACAATTTTATCAATAGACCTGAAACGTAATGACGTCACGTGTGCGCTGTCTTATGAGCCAGGTGGGGACGAGAGCCATCCAGCTTTCATAAGACAGCGCACAAACAAAATGTCATTACATCTCGGGTCTATTGATTATTGCTGAAAATTTGATAGACACATTTACACTTGACCGATCGACTAAGCTCCAGCTTGTGGCGTTTTGACCAATCATAGCCGTGATTAATGTCCGACATACGTGCTTGCATGCATAATGATTCGGCTGGGAACATGCATTAATAGACCGGTCTTTTACCTCCGCTTCTGAATCCAGGACAAGCAGGCCGAAGTTGGTCGTGTGGTTGCACACGCAGAGTGTTGTATCTGGACCAGAGCTGCTGTCCACCAGAAAGCAACCCTCAATGTTCCAAACACCTCCTTCATCCACACTGAAAAAACCAAAGTTATTTATAACCGAAAGGTATGTATATAAAAGGAATGTGATGACGTCACCACCATTGTATAGTGGTACATTATCACCATTTGATTTTCGTGCATGTTTGATTTCGTGTGTTTTGAAGTATCCAAACTGTAACAAAATCTTAATGTTATGAACTTGTATTTTTTCTTTTTATTAAATCGCAGATTGTTTCCAGGTATAATTACTACTTTTCCTATGTCACTTATTATTCAATTGTCACGTCAACAATAGAGAATGTTGGATATGGAAAAGGACTGGGCAATTGTTTTTTTTTCCTGTTGAAACCTCAAATATGTTAAACTTACCGATCTGTAAAGTCCCAAAACACGCAAATTGCCTCTTGATGCGATTCGATCTGGAGAGAAAATTATGACATAAGTTATTTATAAAATGCAAACAAAACTCATTATTCATTCACCGATATTTTTTTCATAACAAAATTGGCCCCGCAAACACCTTACTTTTTCGATTAAATAAACTCAACCACGAGTATATTAAAGGGCCCATTAAGTGAATTTTTCTTAGGAACATATTTTGTGCAACATTTTACTCCTGTTAAATGTAAGAAAGATAGTTGACATCCCTTTTTGGTAAATTCTATTGAAAAGGGGACCTCTTCAAACATTCAAATTGTCCATGCCTTTCCGGAAAACTGGGGCAGCTGATGCTGTCATTTCAGGAAGACACTGTTCAATTTAATATACGTTTTTTTGTTCAAATTGTGAACCCAAAAATGTACTTATTGAAAATATTTATGAGAAAACTTTGCTCGATGGCTTGCCGTGTAGACCTCTTGGCACAATAACGAATCACCAAATACAACAACATTTAAGACAGCGAAATATCCCAAATTCTGGCAACGTTTACTACTAAAATAGCTGCAACATTGAGGTTTCTGCCTGATTATGGCATCTCTCTTTAGCTCATAAATATGGAAATTCGCATTAGCATGAAAACCAAAAAGGCACAAAAAAAACCAAACAAATTGAAAATGGCAAAACGAAAATTGAAAATTGGGTTATATGGGACACAAAGGTGCCTTTGCAAGGAATACATTAAATAAATTACATTGCATGGGCCCTTCAAAACATTAACTGCTTGTAACCCCCCCAACCCCCCCCCCCCAAATATCGTTCAATGCCCCGACAGTCAAGACACCTTTTCCAGAATGACTTGACCTAATTAATTATACATTAATGTTAACCAGATCGACAATTATACGGTATCATAAATATCAATTTTATCAGCCGTCATCCGGTGTGCACGTTACCTGTTCTTCGTGGTACAGTTTGTATGTTGTTGGTATGGATGTCTGACTCAAATCAGATTCCTTGACGGCTGTGAAAGAGACTACATCCGCCGACAACACCCGTGGTCTGAATGTGCTGCAGAAAATATACAAATAATGTAACTTTTAGCAAAGTATTCAACAAAGTTCGTTCTGTAATACCACAACCATTACCTCCAGTTTCTCATCCTCCATTGCCTCCATTTCCCATAAAGTTCCATTTTACCCAGAGTTAATAATGAACATCAATGTTTCCTGATATATTTTGTTGCAGTTGGATATTTGCTTAATACAGGCAAAAATTCAAGAGGAACAAAATGATTGCATTTTGGGGAATATAAACTGACTATTCTTGTATTGCAGAATCTTTTCAAACTTGCTGCATTACTTAGGCTCTCGTGGAAACTCAGACTCGTTTATGTATTTCTATACAATAAAGCAAATACATTGCAGTATCCATAGAGTACAATTATTATTATTAACATATACACGATACATGTAAACGCTTTTGTAACAGTTTGTGAACGTTTTATTGCGTTTAAGGGGAGAGACGCCATTTACTATATCAAAAAGCCTGTGATAAAATTTGGAGTCTGATTCATTATTAAGATATCCATGTAGGCGTACTAAAACAAAGCCTCAAACAAAATTTTTGCAGCTGCTTATGATGGAAAATTGACTTGAAGGAAGACAAATCCTAAACCTTCCGTTTAACGCCTCGTGAACGGCGCCGTTTAGGAACATTAAACGTCTTATTCAACTTATTATAAACGCTTCCTAACTTCCTAACTTCCCAAACAGCGCCGTTCAAGAGGCGTTAAAACGACAGATTTATACAGAAGGTTTATATGAGGCGTTTATACAAGCGTTAATGTTAACGGTAATAATTCTCTCCTTAAACGCTACAAGTGTATAAAACAATTGCCAAAAAAAGCGTTTATAATGCGTTCAAAGTTAAAGAAAACGTTTTACATTTTATGCAAAGCACACAGTGGGTTTAATTTCTCAATGTATTTCCTTCGTACCTGTTTCCCCGGATATCATCCACGACAGACACACCAGTTCGGCTGGTACCCATGATGTCACTGATGTTGCGATAGCGGACGCCAACCAGCGTTACTACGTCCGTTGCTGGAAATCATGGATAATGGTAAATTGAACTTGCCGTTACATAATTCTTAAAAAAGTCAAAAATTCTAACAAGACACGGCAAGCCTAGCAAAGCTGGTCAAAGAGTGATATTTTCAATGGAAACACCTTTGAAGAGAAAGGTTCACTAGCTTTTCACAAACGAAAAAAAATCTTTCAAATTGGGCAAATGATTTATTGAGTTATGGCCAATTAAAAAAAAAGGTCGATTTTTCATTCATTTTGTTTACGGTATTATCAGTTTAGGCCTATTAGGAATGTGATAGATTTGGGTGAGAGTAGTTTTGCTTTCTTTAATTTTTAATTTTTGCAACAATGGTCATTTCATGTTTTTGAAGAAACTGTTTGGTTAAATTCTTAGATGTTTACTGTGATACTCCGCCTCTGCTCGGTAACCTCTTTCAAAGGATGCAAGTTTCGGCCCGTGTTTTTATTGCGGCAGTCAAAATATCAGTCGCCGTGGACAAAATGAAAAACGGTACCTGTTTTCAATTGACCATAACTCAATAAACATCTTCGGAGTTGCAAAGCCAATGAATTATACTCTCTAAATATGAAGCGATATTTGCGATGTATATTTTTATAAGCTGATGTGAAAAAGTGCGGGATTTGATGGTTCGGATGTTTTTGGGACACCCTGAAAATATGCACCTGCAAAACGCCGTTCATACTTGACGGAATACTGACATTCGTATGACAGAAACTAAAAATGAGGCTTAGGCGATTTTGTTTTCGTTTCGTTCTTCATAATAAAAAAGGGAAGTTTATCAACATTGCATAACGTTCGGAGGCTGTACAGTTCAAAGGGTCTCACCTTGAAATTCCACAGTTTGCAAGTAGTCCAGTGGCACTGCTATACCTTCATTTTTGTCGAATTCAAAGAAAACATCACCCTCAAGGAATTCGCTCCAAGTTTTCTTTTCTAAATGATATTCTGTAAAGCAAAAAAATAAAGGATAAAACCAAGCAAATAAAGGATAAAACCAAGCTTTATGAGAACAAAATATAGTTCACTTAAAAATACACCACCTGCAATATATTAATATTACGTGCAACTTGAATACGAAGTGAACGAGATTTATGACACAAATATTCCCATTTTTTAACGCGGATCAATTGGATAGACATATATTTTTGATAATTCAGAGCATATCCTCCGATTGTACCAATTATTGTAAAACTAGTTTTACCAGTGCAGCAGATAACAGTAGTTTACTTTTGTCCCGCCAAGCAACAACTTTTGACTTTAATTTTCTCAGAATGCCGGGCGTATACACCGCAGTGTTCGATGATCCTTGTGGCTTAAACCCCGTGTATACACGGGGAAGCTACTCGAACGCATTCTATATGAAGTTATTATTCAATCATGTGATATCTTGCACACATGTATTAAGGTAAATGACATTACTATAGCCTGCAGGGAGAAAAAAATGCAGTCGAGAGGGATGTAGGATTATTAGTATACTTAATAATTTAGCAGTTTGGTTTAAAGTTACTTACCGATATTCTTGACACTGCTGAACGTTCTAGCTGATCTCTCCAGCATGTTAGCCAGCAGAATCGACAGGGTGTCGATTGTGCCTACCACAGACGCAAACGCTGGAAATAACTGACATTAAAATGTATCCAATGAGCAGTTTAATATTTCTGTACATCATCCTTTTTGTCATCTGTTAAGTATTGCTGCATCTGAATGTCACATCAATTCTACACACTCCTTTGTTTGTCTCCTAACAAATTTTCAGTTTGTATGTTTTGTTTAAACGGAAAAAGCTACTTCTTTTTACATTTTCAAGCCTCTGAAATACACTTTCATTCGGGCTACTTTTGCGCCCATAACCATGTAAAGACTTCCAGTGAAAAGCCATTCAGCATCAATTAACTATACAGAACTTTGTGCATCTGGAACCAGCTTTGCATAGTCTGGTTTCAAGTAGGACATGGATGATACCAGCTTACCTTCCTTATTTCAAGCCAGTCCTCGTGATACTGTTCATCGATGAGTATGTCACAAATCTCAATGATGTACTGAGTAAATAGGAAGACAAAAATGATCACTTTTAAAACAATAACTAAATAAGCTACATTTGGATCACAGTAAACTGTCAACGGGCACTGTTAGATGCTGCAAATCTCGGTTCATCGTTTAAGGCCTTTCTGTGTTGACTTCATAGGCCGACCCTTTGAAAAAATCCTATAGATTCCGCCACTGCCTCTCTGGGGGACACTTTGATCCGACGGCTTAGGTTGTTTTGGATGGTGGGTGACGGAACCCCTTTCCGCCAGGAACTCGGGTGCGTGTGGCAATGACTCGTGACGGAGCAATATCACACCACACACAGTTCTGCCACTTTGTGTTGTAGTATTAGTCTCCCCATAAAAAAAATAGTTCCGCGTAGTTAAGTTACTTAATAAAAGCCTCTTCAATGAAAAACAAGAGCTCGTCCAAAAGAATCGATCCACGTTTGCAACTGCTACATTTCACGTTAGACCTGATTTGAAAGTTGCCAAATTGTAGATTTCTTTCCTTCGTTTAGACTATAATTCGCATTTCATATCCCTTTGGCCGAATTAGCTATATGTTACGATTATATCAAGGAATTATATTGTTTTACCGTTACTAGCCCATTTAGCTCTCCAAAGTCGGTGGCATCAGTCAGGCTGGTACCCTCGAACATCATGCTGGTCAAGTCCCCGACGTAGATGTAGGTGCAGAGGACCTCCCTTGGGGCGGGGTCAACCCCCTCCTCACCCAGGACGTCCAGCATGACAGACATGGTGCGGATGGCACTGTCGTAGCTGGCGATGTCTGGGCGCTCGTCCGGGCTGAGTAGGTAGGTGTCGTTGTAGTAGATAAATTGCAACGTCTCCTGTTCATGAAATGTTGAAATTGAATAGCTGTGATGGTCATGCTAACGTCCACAAAACAGATTGAATACTCTTAATTTTTGTGTGACAAGTGGCAGTTATATTCAAATAAAGTAAATCCAATAACATTTCCATTCTTCTATCAAAAATACTTGCCAGAAGCATATATACAATAAGGAAGAGTTAAAATATGAACAAATTAAGAAGAGAAACAAAAACTAAAGGAAGAATACATGCACCAATATGAGTGTATATGATTGATGGCTTTGTGATAACAGCAGCTATACTTCACAAGCCTTGTGGATATAGGACAATACAAATCATATGGGAGTTGGCCTGGGTCTGATATTTGCCTCAGAAATTTTGGGTCAAAAGTTCAACCAGGGTCACGTCAAATGGCCACTCACGATGCTTTTTAACTATGTCTCAATATGGAACTTGTGGAGTATGGATTTTTTTTGACGAAAAAATATGACGGAGTAATTAAACATTATTTTATAATGTAATAACAATGTCGCACACCACAGAGTTAAGAAGTGAAACAAAAACAAACATTTCTCAAAACCAACTCAAAAGAGATATTATTCACATAGTGTTTACCACAAACCTTCCATTCTTTGAAACAAAAACGGAGTACGTGGCTGTTCGAATAAGCAAGCTTAATATAAAAATTAAAAAAACCTACACAAAGACGAACATAGTGACACAGGACTTTTACAAAAGACAGTAAAGACTGGAATTAAAAATAAGAGGATCATGAGGACTGAGTTGAATTTAGTAAGGATGACAAGAGACGTATTGAAGATGATGAAAGGAGTTATGACAAATAATATGACAGAAGAAATCTCCTGTACCAGGATTTAAATCGACCATGATCTTTTGCCGTGCGCAATGGTATTCGATATACAGTGAGGGCCATGTGCTGAGAGATATATCTATAGTATATATTGCAGGATTACCATGAGATGTTTGCCTCTACGTGTTTAATTTTAGAAAAAAAGTATTATCATGTTTCATGGTAGGGTTAACATTTTGATTCAACTTTTTCTTCTTCAGGATTCTACAGCGACGGACTTACCTCTAGTTGTAAATCGTCGTAAGTGGCGATGAAGTCGATAACGCTGGCATTAAAAGACTCAGACTTGGTGGCCATGAGTTCAGCCAGTAAGATCTCCTTCTTGGTGGGTGGAGGGGGCGGGGTAGGACCCTGGGTCGAGTTGTCGCCTGCCGTCGTGGCGGTGAGGGTGACACTGGTGCCATTGGTCGTGGTGACAGGGGCATCCGTGGTCACCTGGCCGTAGACGACTGTCCCTGTTGTGCCAAACAGATAACATCAATTTGATTCCTACACTCTTCACATAGCCATTTCATTGTATAGGACTTTTCTAAATACACGGATAAAAAGGGTACGTGTTCTTTCAGAAAACGAAAACATTATTCACATAGGGATGTATGTGAATTGTTTTCGTTTTGCTGAAAGAACACAAGCCCTTTTTGTCAACCGTGGACAGAAGTTTTAAAACGGTGGTTGTGTTTAAAGTAAATGAGTGATTAGAATGATTCTTGTACTAAAAGAAACTCATCAATTGGGCTTTCATATCCTAAATATTGAATGTGGTACATGCAGAATTTAATTAATGGTCCTGGCATTTGGGTTTCCTTTTTTTTTTCTCTGCATGTATAATTTCCCAATAATTGTGTTCGTGAAGCAACAAATATAGTTTGTTTGGTTGTCATTTCAGATGGACAAACGTCGTATCATGTTTGGCACCGTTCGGTTGAATCGACTTTAAATAAATTCCGCTTTTGTTGTGACGGTTCTGACACTAAGGGTCTTGAAGTTGCTCTACTCTTGCTCTTGAAATATATTCGATTATTTTTCTTGTATAATGAATTTATAATTATATGCTTTAACGGGAAAAGCTACCTTTTCTATTTTGGACGTTTCAGCCCTCATAAAACACTGACAAATTGTAGTCATACAAGACCAAATATAATTTGGTCTTGAATGACCACAAGTTTTGGTTGAATTTAGCAGAAATTCTAACCCAAACAATTGGTTATAGAACAACCCAAGTTTGGGTAGTTCCAGTTTTCACCCTTTCTTGGGTAAACTTAACCCATGCAGGCAATTTTTCAGTGATGACGCTTTTATTTTGGGCTGCTCATAACGCACAAACATATGGAATACAATGCTGGTAGATTGAAATGAGGAGCACGAACACTGTTTGAAATTATATAATCACTCATTGAACCTCTCTATACAACATTAATGTTGCTTACCAGGAAATAGATGGAAACATGTCAAAGCCGCTGTCAAACACCACACCTGCAGATGAAATAAAAGAGAAACAATTTTCCTCAAAAAGCTGGCTCATTAAACAAATGTTATTAGTATAACTAGGATATGTCGCCAAGTTATAAAAAAAAATGCTATTAGGCAAAAACACATTAGGATACCTAGGATATTTCGCCAAGTTATAAAAAATATAATTGCTATTAAGCAAAAACACAGACGAATAGTCAATGTGACTACATAGTGGCATCTTCAGATTATTTCTAAAAACAACAACTCTCGAGACTATTTAGTAAAGGTTTTTTTCCGTTTCGGAGAGAATGATACGAGTGTTAAAGGAAACGAAGGAAAGAGTGTTGCATCCTGACCGACCTGACGCCGCTTTTTTATCTTTATCTCAGTGAAGGTCAGCCGTTGCAACAATGTTGAAAAGACATGAATCTCGGACTGAGAATCATTTCCAATTTTGTTAGAAAATACTTTGAACATGCACTCGACTCTCCACAAACTTTGTTCACAACCAAAGAAGTGGCGTCTGGATACTACATTTCCCCCCTTCATTTCCTTTAACGCTTTCCTTTATAATTCAAGTTCAAATTCCCTGGAAAGATATTTTAATTTCGTTCTAGGACGTCGTGGGCTCCATCGTTAATTTCAATTTCGAATGTACACTAGAGGCTTCATTTCTGAGTACCGGTAATTCTTGAATGAAGTGTAAGTCACGAATGTCGCATTCTAATTCACCTTAGTTTTGGGAAATTCGTCTCGTGGAAATTCCTGTTGAATTGAAAGAGCAAATTTGGTATAATCTATTGGTCCAAATTCAAAAATGAAACCAACAATGGAGTCCAACGACATTCTGGTACGAAATGAAAGTACCTGTTCTTGGATTTTGAATGAAAAAGTGCTATAAAGTAACCGCTAATGAAAACTTAAAAATGTCATTACTATAATACTCACCAAAAGATATCCATTGCGGCGATGGCCGAAACAAAGACCGACGAGACCCATCGTGCCCAGACGCAAATTCCTCCCTTCCTCCGTGGAACGCCTGGCCGTAAAATCCCAAAGACGCTCAAGTAAGATTATCCCTAGAATTCGTGGTACGCCGCATGACGAGAAATCAGCCGGAAAATGCTAAATACCACGGGCAAAAAAACCCAGGATTTTCAGGCTGGCCTTAAAAGTGAGACCAGCAACCATGGTGGTTGCACAAAATTCCGCTCGATACTCGGCCTCGAATGTCGTCGTCGATGAGACCTCGCAGAAAATATCGATTGGAGGGGCAACTTTATATACCCGTTGCTACAACCCAAATGGGACCGAGTTACTACCTCTACACGATTAGGGTAGATGTCTGAATGGTCAGATCTATTGGGATTAGGATTGATCAAAAGGGATATAGGTCGTAAGGGTTATAGATCGATTGGGAATGAAACATTAATGAAGTTTCACAAATAACAACTGGCGTTTTTATTATTCCGAAATGGAATGTGTCTTCATTTATTTTGGTCAGTACTATTCAACAGTCCACACGGGAGAGAATTTCTCTGACCAATTTTTGTTTGTGATTTGAAGACATCTTTGACTTCCAAAAGCAAATAAGCGAACTCAGAACTATAAAATTAAAAAAATATAGCCTTCGGCCAAAAGGGAAAAAAGGGATGTAAAATTTGCTGTTCTAAAACAGCCATGAAAGCCCCCCCCCCCCCAAAAAAAAGATTGACAAACATTGATGATAGAAAAAAAACATAAACACGCCAAGCCAGCAAATGCCACATGGCACCCGTGGAACCCTGGAAATTTAACTCAAAACCTGAAAGTGATTGACACTTAAATTTGTCCACCCGTGGTATTTAAAATATTTCAATTGTTTTTTCCCCTATCAATTTTCAAGTTGTATACTTTGTTTACACGGAAAAGGCTGAGTTTTACCTATTATGGATGTTTCAACCCTCTTAAACTTCTTGTTTTTCGCCCGCAACGCACAAAAAGGTACTCACAAAATAATTATTCTCGGGCCGAAAATACTTCAAAATTTGCTAAGTAAATATTCTTTAATTAAATGGGCGGGTTTGCTTTCGATGTCTCACTCAAAAGTGAATACATTTGTATTGCTATAGAAAAATGGCAATCTCAAAACTAAATCTACACGAGTTGAAAATCGAAGACAGCACGCCGAGAGCAAATTATGCAGAGCTCATCTCCTTCAACCCATCATAATAATAATTAATCTCCTAAAAATCGGCTCGGGTGATAAAAAAGCAGGGTCTGGGGTATTGGGGGGGGGGGGGGGTCGTCTTTGCACACTACGCTTGAGTCAGCATTTCTGTATCTTGAGTCAGCATCTCTGTATGATGAACACATTATCCACATCTCAATAGTTGATTTGTGAGATGCACAGTGTCGATATAAATGCGAAATGGTGATTTCACAGGCGGGCAGATGGCTCGACTCTTTCTGAGCCGCATATCCTCGCATCATTTCTAATGGTGAACCTATTTTATGATGCGCCAATACGTGCTCATGCACATCATCGTTCGGCGACCAAGAGAGAAATCTTTTGGCAATGTGCGCAGTTCGTGATCGATAATAAGACCGCTATATTCAGACGCCACGTCGCACTATCGACTATCGATCGATCAAGAGAATTGAATCTTGCCTCTTGTTAAACTCGGTGCTTATGTAACGGAAATATGCAATCATTAAAATGTTCCTTTTGTGTGCCACTTTATTTTTAATCTAAATAACGATGTAAAGGGCGTTTTGGTGCCTTTTTGATTTTATCCAGTGCTAATGCAAATTGCCATATTCATGAGAAAAGTTGTGATGTCATTCAAACCAGAACTTCAGTTTCTCATGAGTTCAGCATTAAAAGTCACCATAAGTGTTAGGAGTTTAATGTGGTTATTTGTGTGTTTTCAGTGGTTCATTGTTGTTTCAGTATATGACAGTAAGACACGGGGAAAATCTTTATGCACAAATGGTTTCAACAAGGAGAATTTTGGGTTTGCAATTTGAAGAGAAAATTTAATCAGGAGTCTGTTCCTAAAATGATATGATAGCAACGGCGCCCTCAGTTGTCAGGAAAGCATGAAACATTTTAAGTGTTTAAAAAAGTTCACTCGTCAAATGTTTACAAAAAAAGAGGGATGTCTTATAAATTTAATACATTTTCAGATGAATGGATATCAGCTACAAATATGCTCTAGTTTAAAATTCATGAACGCTTTAAGGGATACAGGTGCCTTATCTGAGAAAACGTTTTGATCGGGGCAATTTCTTTTCGATGATATCCCTCGCCCGCAAAAAAAAAAGGAAAAGGAAAGCGAAGATGTGAGATAGTCATATTAGTTTACAATATCTTTGTCCCATTACTTTTTCAAGGACAATACAGAGCCATTTTAATGTTATCTTCGGCACTTAATTATTATGCTTTCCGTTGAATGCTAGAATGCAGTCAACTCATGTTTCGAATGCGTTCATGTACAATGATTAAAACCATTATAAACATGACAAGCGTACCCAAATACCTGTACTGAACGCAAGTATTTCTGACTCTGAAGTTGCAACTGATCTGAGTGAGATCGACGTGAACATGAACACGAAGAATACACAGTGAAATCAGTTGTTGTGAGTCGACTTCTGTTAAAATGTCTTTTTACAAAAAAAATTCTTTTAGATTAGGCGGGGGCCCGAAATGGGGCATAAAGAGAGAAGTGGGAATAGTAGTCCAATGAAACTATTCTTTGAAAGTTGGCTAATTTGTAAAAATTGCTTCCCCCTTGCTACTCGACATATTGCATTTTTTTCCTTCTAATTGTTTTCATTTTTTGTGCTTTATTGTTAAGGGAAACTACTTTAGTTTTGTTTTGTTTTGATTGTGCAATTTGCGAATTGCGATTAAACATCTTATTCATGGTAAAAGTAAAATTCGAAATTGAGTTTGCGAATTGTAATTAAACATTTTATTCATCACAATATTAAACCTCATGCTTCAATCTGATGCTGGGATCAAATTCTTTTTGTTCTTTACAAAACGAGAAACGTCTAGGGTTAGGCCTGTTGCAGTCTCTTAAAATGAAAAAAAATGCTGATTTTTAAGTCTATGCAGTAGGCCTACTATACCTTTTGACGAAGTTTGAGTTTTCTCATGGGACGATGACTTTGTAGAGTTTAGTAAAGTTTTGTAAAGAGCGCCCCCTTGAACTGCCAAGAAGTTGCTGGGATTCCTCCATTCTAAAATGGGTGTCATGTCTTAAATATTCCAGAAAAACCACAGTATTCTCTATATTAAATGATTAATTTCTCTCTATGAATCAAACAGAAAGAAAAAAATTAGATTTATTACTTAATAAGGACCGAATTTAGTTATAATTATGCATTTTTAAAATGTAGCTTAAATTATCAGACTGTAAATATCGGATGAGCATTACCTTTTATCTAGTGGTATGCTCGCTATTCATTTGCCATGTGTACGGAAGTAACTAGTTGACCCAAGATCGTATAGGCCTATATGTCGCCACGCACACCACTCGGGAAATGTCGTGTCCCGCGATTGTGGCAAAAGTACCCACGATTGCGTACAAAATCCTATAATTTTCCTGGATACTTGGCCTTGTTGACCCTCCAATGTGACAGAGACCATGTCGGGGATTTCTAGGACTTTCCTGGTCACGCTTTTGTGCTGTGTGCTGGCTTGTTGCGCCGTCAAAGATGTGATCACTGGATACGACCGAGAGAGGGTGGTTTGCCCACTCAAGAGCTTCGTGTGGGGACCGGGACTGGAGGCCAACTTCAACGTGCCTGCTCGCTTCTTCTTCATTCAAGCTATGGACTTCGAGAACAACAGGTGACCTTGATACTACTGCTTACTCGTGTCATCTGTTTACTCTAATACTGGCTTATCAAAACACATTCTTGAGTCAGTTCCGAGTTGTTCAGACACGTTGTGCAGAGCGCGTTGCTTTACTTAAAGGGGCACTAGGCCCTGAAATCCCCGAAAATTTCATGTTTTGGATTGTTTACTTAGCCTATTTCAAAAGGAAAGCAACCTAATGTCTTACCGTTCCTGAGAAAAGAGGAAAAATCCCAGGTTGTTTACATCGGACACAACGGAGTACGAATATGTTTCTCGTGTCGTTCTCAGTGTACGATATATACGTTGTGTGTATCGGGAACAGCGGTGACCAATCACCAATGCAAAAAAAATGTGGTTTCTTCAACGTCCGCAAAAGGCGAACACTTTACGAATGAAATCACAACTAGCATCCAAACAGCTCGAATATATGGGGTCGCAATTCGTTCTCGCATGCATAATACAGGAATAACACAAAAACGCCCAGTTTTTAAAGGATAGTTGTGTGGATGTTTATATATTAGTTTTAAATGTTCTTTCCGGTTAACATCATCTCGTTCAAAGCGCGATTTGTAGCCCAATTGGGCTGTTCTAGGACCCAGTGTCCCTTTAAAGGGACACTTGTTTACTTATTCAATTCCAAACATCTGGGTCAAAGGAAACCAACCTAATGTCTTACCGTCCTGAGGTCTATGTACGATATACACATTGTGTGTGTCTATACAGTATAGGCCTAGTACTAGTACAGCACTGTGCTCGCGAACAGCGGTGACCAATCACCAATGCGCAAAATGTGGTTTCTTACATGCTCCGCAAAAGGCGAACACTTTACGGATGAAATCACAACTAGCACCCAATAGCCCTACTTTTTGGGCTCGTGAGTAAAAAATGCTAAAATTCACCTCAAAAAAATGCAAGCTAAAACTTTATTTACAGAGGTAGTCCAGTAAATAACCACTGTTGAACTTTGTGAAAAATGTTGCTGGCCATACATAATGACATTCATGTTTAAAAAAAAAAAAGAACTTCGCAGTTGGCATGCCCAACCGTGGTCCCTCGAATTACCACAGTTTGATTGCCCTAACCTCCTCCCTGCCCTTAGCAAAGTCGAGTGCCCCAACTATGCACATATGTAGAGTGGGCAGTACTTAGTAAACATGTGTTATGTAAGACGATTGGGCTATGAAAATGGTTCCATGGTGACACTTGACACTGAGTTACTGTACAAGTACTAGTAGTTGACCCTGGAAGATTTTTATCAATAATGTCTCGAGTTTTAGAGTGAATGGAACTGATTAGCACAATTTCATCCAATCCCCCAAATGTCCCCTATTTATAGGTGCTTGAAATTCCTATAGGATCGAAGGACCTTTTGACAAACCTTTTCATCCACATTAAATGCTGTTAGACCCGTCAATCATTGGTTTACTGTCATTCATTGTGCACAGTGGGGGATACACTTCATTGACTTCAATTGTCCTTCAAACAGAGCCAATAACAACATGTGTTCACAATGGAACATTGGATGCTGATACTGATGAGCAGTGCCACTGGGATATTTTGTGAGGAAAGAATAGCACCCTTTGGGTGTAAGAAAATGCCATGGACTACAAATGTACATCACAGCAGACATGCCACTTTTGTGATACTGTTGGAACCGGCAAACTGGGACCTTGAGTACTGAAAAACATGCAAAATGAAATCAGGCCAACTTTACTCGCTCTGTAGCCAGCAAAATTCTCCAAACTTTTCATTGGGCAAAGAAAAGGTTCTCATCAGTATTTCACCAACCAAGTTTGAAGATTCAACTCCATTTTGAAAAGAGACGTTTCTTCAATATTTGGCACGTATTGGACTTTGAGAGGGTAGTCAAATGTTTTCAAAACGAGGCTAAAGACTAGACTGGTACACGTACATGTCCAGGCATGGTCCAACTGCATGAAATATTGACCTCTTCATTTTATTGTCATTAGTCTGGTGGCTGACTATGGAGAAATGTGTAGAAATAGAGAGTGGCACCCAATATTCCAGATGTTTCTTTTGGCACAGTTGATTGATGCATTACTGAAGGGTTGTTGGACTGGTTGTTTCAGTTGCCGGTCTATTTTCTTGTATACATTGCATGTTCAAGTCCATATAATCCACTTCTATTAGTAGAGGTGGTCTTGTGGTGGATTTCAGCGGATTTGGTCCAAAAGCATTAGGATCCGTGATGGATTTGGCGGACTTACTTGGTCCAGTACTTAGTAAAAGACACCAGGGACTCTCAGATCGTACACAGTTTTGAGAGTCCCAAATTTTCGGACTAAAGGGAAATGGACACCCTGTTGAAGTAAAACATGGATACCATCTTCTGCCGATCTTCAATTTACCCAGCTTTGAAAACCTGCTGTGCTGCTGATGCGATGAGCACAGAAATGTCAGGACTCAGGACAGCGTCTACATGTACACCTGTTTTGATATGATCCCATTAGCATTGTGTGCACATGATGGCTAGCTTCGGAACCCATTCTCATGTATGGTATCATTCGTGTCCTCCACAAAATTGGACCAATCAGGCACTGGAAGGAACCTATCAGATACATTTATGTGCCCTAAGCGAAAATACAATAAATATGGGGAAAAAAAATTGCGCTTAGGCAAAAAAAAAATAAGTCGGTCTCTGGTCAGCGCGCGCGTCGATTTTAATCATGCGCGTCAACCTTTTTTTTTCTTCAAATTGTCCGCGATAGCTACAGCAGCGCCCTCTATTGCCGCACCTCCTCAAATTTTTTGTACCAAGGAATGGGGAAATTGCTCAAAGGCAAATGATCAAGAGCACCAAGGCAAATTATGGAGGTCCCCAATGTATATGAGGACACAACAAAAGCAAAATAGTACCCACCTTGTCTGTACAATCCAAGCTAAAAAAAAAAAAAAAAAAAAAAAAACGCGTCGCCGCATCAATTCCGGAACTTTGGTCTGACCAGAGACCGAATATTTTTTTTGTTTTGGCCTTAGCCTCAGTTCTGATGCATACTCTAATACTGTGGGCCATAACCAAGTACATGTACAATTTGGACATTTGTGTCGGTGCACTTTGTACAGGAAATCCAACTGAGTCACACCGGCCTGCACTTATCTCGCTGACCTCCAGGTTGTTTGCGCAGTAGTTTGTCTAGACAAGAAGTGTTAATAAAAACCGCACCAGGAATTTTTTGTTTGTTTGCAATATTAATGTGAAAAACCCATGGGGCGTAGGGTGTTTCCCAGGTTGTGTTATGGACAGCGGGCAGCGGACGATATTCAAACTCACTTGGATGGATGGGATTTGCAGACCTAACAAATAGAGTTACACTTGGTAGTTTGCCCACACGTAGTTCCTTTTCAGTAGTTCCACATGTCAATTCATGACCCTACCGGATAATTGAGAAAAAGAGTAATGTCTTAGGCCCCCCAAAAAAGTCTCCGGTTTCTGGTATGCGCGCGCGTCGCCGTAGCCATGCGCGTCGGCAAAATGAAAAAGGTTTTTTTTTCAATAAAAGATGATGTCTCAAAACCGCCAAACTCACTGGTTTGACTGGAATCCTGCTGCAGCACAATTTAACGTGTTTTTAGATGTAATGGGGGTATGATCGAGAATAAGCTTTATGTGGACTCTCTGGACTCCCGTACATTTTGCACTAAGTTCGGTCGGGCAACATTTGCAATCATCAGCCGACATTTGAAGCAAAAAAGTCAGGTAAAAAAAAAAAAAAAGCCGCGTCGCCGCACCACTTTTTGGGCAAGCTCCATACCAGAAACCGGAGACTTTTTTTTTGTGGCCTTAACCATCATTTTTTTTTCAAGGGGGAGGGCAAAAATTAAGAATCATGTTGAAATCCATTTGAACTAACACTCCTGAGCTGAACTTAATTGGTAACTTTACTAATTTATTTATTTAACCAAAAAATGAATTTAAAATGAAATGGATTGAATTTAATATTCATTTTTGCTGGTCCCAGAGGGCCGGCGTATTGCTTTCTCACTGATTGACTGCCACTTGTGACTTTGACTGGTTATAGACAGGTGAACAGAGCCGGGCAGTGCTGTCATATAGGATTACCCGGTATTGATGAATGGGCTAAATCCAGCCAACTGTGTAGAACAGATGCGTGAAAAGACTTCCAGTGAAAAGCCATTGTGAAAACTGGTCTTGTAGCCTGATGAACAGGGGTAATAATTTAAAGGGAATACAACATTTGCAAACATCGAAAAACAAAACTACCAAATTTTTATGAAATACCTTACTAGGATGTTGGTAAATGACAGTCTAAAGCATCTTGTAAAATTATGACACCTGGTGTGAAGCCATTTTCAAGTAAATTTGTATTTTTGTATACATTTCCAACGGTGGTTGGCCGACCACCGTTGGAAATACCTAACTATTTTTCAACTACTGCTTCAATTTTACCATATTTTTTCAGTCCAAATTTGGTTTGCTATTGGTTACATGTTCATGAACGTGTGCAGGCTAGACTGGTTCCCTTACCATACAATTTTCCGGCATCTATAAATTGATCCATTTCATCTTTAATAGAGTCAGGGAGCTAGACTACTTGAACTTTTGTTTTTCTTGGTTTTTCCAGCATTTTCAAATACAAAACTTCAAACATGTCAGTGTAACAATTAATATTTGATATATTATAACCCCTCAAATAGTTCAATCCTGAAAATTACAGCAAAAACCAATGATGTACATTCCCTTTAAAGTGCTTTGAGCACCACATTGTCATTATTATTTTTGACAGATTTTGATACAATAAATTGTTTTCTTCTCGTAGTTTTACATATTCCCCCGGACCCAATGCCTTCCAAGTCAGCATCAAACCTACCAGTGGACGGGGACGGATCTGGACTCAGGTCCTGGACAGAAACGACGGCTCCTTCATCGTGCGATTCCGACTGTTTGAGAGCTACAGGGAGATGAGAATTGAGGTGAAGAGTGGCGAACGTCACGTCAAGGGCTCCCCGTTCCTCATTGCAGGTACTGTTTTAGTTTGTTGTGGGACTGTCCACTTTCGAATAATTTAGTATTTCTTACTTGAAACTGCGTTTGACTGAATATTTGGATATATATATTCGAAACTGCCAGCTGCAATTGCGTGCTGTGCCAGTAAAAAGTTTGCACGAAGAGTTTGCCATTTTTATTTTTGCAGGCGGCGATCGATATGGGGCGCTGGAGTGTTTTGCAGGAACTTTATAACTGTAAAAGGGCTTTAACCTGTTATAAGGATGTGAACAATTAACCGCCGTCGACACAAAAAGTTACCTTTGAAAAAAAAGTGGCACCTGGCAATGAAGCACCAGAATTTTACAATAAGATAACATTGCAGTTGTGGGTAGACATTACATTCACTGTGTGGGCTTCCGAACAAAAGAGGTCCACATAAACCAGGTAGCGGCGACGTTGTGTGGACTTGGCAAGTCCACACAGTGTTTCCCCATTTCTGGAAAACAGGTTTAGAGGCATTTTTGGGTTAGGTTTATCAGTGGCAGAATGAAGAGAAACACTAAAGGGAATCATAGAAAAACAATTGGGTTGAAAGAGTTTTCACAGTTTGAGAAAAATGATTTTTTTTTCACTGTTTTTTCTTAACTACACGACAGCAATGGAATGTCAACACTTGGTATGTAACGTAAACAAGCGTGTGTTTTTGTGTGTAATTTTTTTTTAGTTTTTGAATATTCAAACTGGCAAAAAAGCTCTGCCCTGCCTTTTACTCCCTGAAGCGCCCTAAACCGCCTTGCCTATTACCACCTGCAGCACCTAAAAAGTTGAGTTTCCGTGGTTAGCTTCTTACAACCACACTGGTGAAAAGTGTTTACAAAATTTACTTACTGCTTATTTAACTGTGCAAACGGTCGAACCTTTTCAGAGGTCATTTTAGAAAAAAAAAATGTCCGCAAACGTTTTAGAGGGATGATTGATGGGAACATCCCTTGCAAAACATCTACAAATGTACAAACATCCATTTTAAACAGACTTCATTCTGCTATGTTATGAGTACAATGCATTGTTAAGCCATTTCCTGCTTCAGCAAGAGTATAATTATGGCAAACAGGGAGGAGGTGCATTGAAACTCTTGTGTAAATCTTGAGTGTAGTATGGTTCTCCCATTCCTTTGACTTGCTTAAACCATTTATGTCCCCACCCCTTCATCTTGTATGTGTATTTGGACAGGGCTTAGCCCAAGAGGTAAATTTGTTTATGTTTTTGTGTAAAAAGTAAGCTGTTTACTTCATCAGGACAATAGTTTGCTGTGCTTTTTATCCACAGTCAGCCTATGTTTAATGTGTGTTCACTGTGTCCCTAGAAGTGAGTTGGCCACTCCAAAGGCTTCACAAAGGAAAACATTGTAGACAAATACATGCCACTGAATTGGTCAGCTAAACAGGCTTTTAACCTGAAGAATATACCCACCCACCCACCCTCCTTTGTGGAGAAATCTACAAGGAATGAAAAACACACTCAAACGTTGGTGGCACCCAGTCGTCTGATATTCATACTGTCACCTTTTGTTCAAGCAGTTTGCAAGGTTTTCCTCAGTATGGATTTCTAGTTTATTACAAAGAAAATTACTGGAACGGGGTCTGAACCTGTGACCTCCAGATTGCCGCTCCAGTGCTCTACCAACTGAGCTATCCAGGTCTATGCTATCGGGTCTTTGTTCAAGGGGCGCTTGGACAATAAGAAAGAAAGAAAGAAAGAGGGTGTGTTTTTGAATGACAACCCCCAAGGAAGATAAGCTGTGGGTCAAAAGGTCAAAACTTGGCATGTGGTGACTGATATGAGGACTTTCATATTGGATCAACACAAGTCGTCTTTTTGGAACACAAAATTATGTCTATACTTTAAGGTGTATTAAAGTGACTTACAATTATTTGATGTTTTGATATTTTAATTCTGATTGATCATTTCAATCAAGGTAAAAATAGATTCAGATTGGTTTTTTCCTTTTTCTTTAGAAAGATTTGGTTGCCTCTGAAATGTCAAATTTAGTTTTAAAGAAATTGATGGTTTTTGTTGCAATGTTGGCAAATTATGTGTCTGTTGGCAAATGTGCTAGAATGAACAGCGCTGCCTATTGTCCAAAAGTGCCCAAAATCATGCGTTTTGAACGGCGCACCCTTTAGGAAGATGGTGTCCAGCAATCTGACGCCACTTTTTTCTTCATATATCATCTGAATGAAGGTCACTCATCGCAAAAATTATGATAAGACATGAATCTGTGACTGAGAAACATTTCCAATTTTGTTAGGAAATACTTTTAAAAAAATTCTGACTCTCCATAGACTTTGTACACAACCGCTGAAGTGGCGTCAGGTTGCAACATGTTTTTCATTAGCCCGCCCAGAAAAGTACCAGATATTTCCGAATGCTGTTTTATTTTTGTGATGATATAGCCTGACTCTGTAAATCCAATACACAGCACAAGCCTAAAGGTTACATGTTTATTTTTGGAGAAGTACACATTGTCTGAGGACGTACATGTACAGGAAGCTGAAGCATGTAGGAACATTCCTTGACAAAATACAGGATTTCCAGATGCTTTTGAAGTCATGTATAAGGGTCAGGTGTGGGCTTGTTCAGACATTCAGGCCAGGAAGCAATCCAAGCTGAAGTACAGTGATCGTCATGTTTGTTTAAAGATTTCGTTCTTTTTCGGCCTTTTGTTCATAGCATTTGTACACGTTTTCATTGTGCATGGCACTTTGGGCACTAAAATCAATCCAATTGCCTTTATACTTGGCACACACTTAGACCAGCACAGGTCTGAAGATATGTTCCAAACATTGACGTCATCACGAGTCACGTGACGGCACATTAAAATTGCATATTCATTATGACCATGGGTTCTCATGCCACAGCCAGTAAATTATGCTTCAAGTTGTAAACCACATGGGCACAAACCAGTGAATATATATATCCATAGGAAATACCCCCACTTCAAAAAAATCAGGAAAAATGCTCAGAACTCTCTGAGGTGATCAAGTCATACATCAAATTAAATTATGATTTAGCCTCTTTCACTTTCTAGTAATTTTTTTGGGAGTTTACTGAGGACTTATGGGTTATTTTACCCTAAAGATGATCACCCCTAGAACTTAGAAGCAGTCCCGAAGCGTGTCACTATTTTGAAAAATCGGGTAAAAGTTCATCCCTCATTTGTCAGAAACTCAAGTTCAAAGACTGTATAAGAGCTGGGATGACCCTTCATTCAGTACAAGGGTCACACAACTAAAAAAATGACAGTAAATCATGATTTTAGCCGGCGCAGGCTATTGCAGGCATGTTTATTGGTCTGCACCTTGGTGCTACAATCCCGGCCAAAACTTGCTGCCCTCCCTCCCTCCCTGGCCTCCCCCTTCCCTCCCTGCCCCCCCCCCCTCCCCTTGCAGTGTTGTCTCTCATTGCGCGCGCTGTGCTCAAGTGTGAGATGTCAACTATAATTGAGGGGGGGGGGGGGACCGGGGAGGGTATGCTCATTGTGTGGACGTGTCCCAACCTTTGTGGCCGGGATTGTAGCTCCCAGTATTATTTATGTAGACTTGACTCAATAGGAAGTGGCCTCTATCCATACTTCACCGGAAACAGACCCTTGGGCCATGTACTATAGACAGAGAGAGTCATTTTGTCTAGGACTGGGAGCCTCATCTGTCCAAATGCTTCAGCAGTCCCTGACCTTCCTATCCCCAAACACTGTACAAACAGGCAGATATAACTGCTTGTTATTACATGAAAGAGAATGTGGGTGTTTCGTGCCAGAAGGTCATTTCCCTAGATCTGCATGTGTTCACCAACTTATTGCATGCACATGTTATTCTACCAACACATGTTTATGGTCCCCACTGGAATACTACAGGGTGGTTCAAAATGAAGGAAATCCAATATGACAGCAATATACACCTACATGTACACCCACGTTTGTTTATTATGGTGTAAATCGAGGATTTTCATTTGTTCCTCTTCCCTTTTCCTTTGTTTGTACCGTAACTTTTTTTGCAACAGCTCTCATTGGTTTTGTACACGTTTTTTATAAATTGAGGGCGTCCTTGATTTTGTTCCTTTCCTCAATTCACCGATCATGTTGCACGTGTGTGTCCTCGATTTACACCATAAACAAACATACGCATCCATGTTTCATTTGTTTCTTCACATACATGTAGTAGTATCTACCCTTTTAACCATGCATGGAAAGAGTAACCAAATGTCGCAAGAATAGTGATATTTGAATACAAGTCACCAAAATCAGTCTTGTCCACGTTAAAGTCAATAAATTGGACATTTTTGTACTAGTTCACAGAAATTAGAAACCTTGCGAACAAAATGTTTAACAACTTTTATTGAGGCTGTCTGATTATTCATGTCATCATCTACCCAAAGAGAGGCTTACAGTAAGTTCATTGTAGCACAACAAATTCCGTACTAGGTTTTGTCCTTCGCCAACTTAGAGCAAAACTTAATATTGAATTTTGTATTCATGTATGTACCAGATCCACACCATGTTATCTGGGCGTTGCTGGTACACTTTCATGATGTACATATGTTCAGGCAGTACCTGTAAATGAATTCTCAAAGTGGATTTTTTTTTCATTTCTATTTTATCATGTTACCTCTAGAGCTTACTCTAGAACTTTTTAGCCGGTGGGAATCAATTGAATAGCGTCTTCTGCACTCTGAGACCAGCTTTAATAGGTGTGCCTTGTGTCTTGTTTTTCTTTTCTTGGTCCAGATCCAATGTACGATGAGAAGTGTTTTTGCCCGGAGCAAAATCAAAGCCGGTGGCAGAGTGATATGCACTGTGAGTTGGAGCTACACCCACAGATTAGTCAAGACCTTTCTATTTTTCCCACTATCGATCTGGACCGCCTTGCCACCGAAGCAGTCGACAGGTTTGCCAGACATCATAGCCTGTGCCACTACACTATCATCAATAATAAAGTAAGGCAGTCATTTCATCCCTTGTATTCAAGAAGTCGCCTTATGTAATATGAATACCATTTGAATTTGTCAAAATTTTATGAAATGGACCGATATACCAGTAATTTGTTGCAGACGCTGTTCCACTGACCTGTTCAATGTTTTATGTCAATTGGTGCTGAAAAAAAACATGAAAAAAATGCTGTTCATTTTTCCGCCGTCAGAGTACAGTTCGCTGAATCGGCTCAGTTGGAATCCATACATGTACAGGAGTTCACAGGGCATGCCTGAGTACTGGCCATGTCATGGGAAAAAATGTGTGTACCTACATGTACCTATAGCGGACCCGCCCAGCTTACACACAAAGTCAGTAGCTGGCTTGTGCCCGTTAACCCTAACCGCCCTGAATCACATGGCAAAAGTGCGTTACTGATTTCGTAGGATGCACTTTGTCAAGGTCTTGGGCCGGACCTTGTGTTGTTTTTGCTCAGCCATGCATAAGTATAGGCCTGGATTATGCTTGAAATCCTCCGTACTGCTCCAGGATGTCACCGGCCAAGCCTCAACATATTGACAGTCACTTTTTTTTGGTGACTATATTGGACACTTTAATTTCAAAGGATGCTTGATACTTACATGTACATGCTATTACAATCAAGTAGCCTATTTGATATTTTGGCAGTTTCGTTTTTTTGAAGGTTTGCAAGTGGTATACTCACCTGTAAAATTCTGAAAAATGTTGAAAACTGCTGCGACCTGCTAACAGTAAGAGTGGTTTGGAGAATAGGTATTAATAAATTGAATCAGTTTATTTTCAGGTACATGTACTTAATTTGTCCAGATATCTGTCTTTATTACATGTATTAAAAATATTTAAAAAAATGATTTAATTGATTTTATTTCAGGTTTACAGAAAAACACATGGTCAACATGTTGGCTTCAAAATGTTCTCAGATGCATTCCTACTATCTCTGGCTCGGAAGGTATGTTGTAAGGACTTTTCAATGTCAAATCCTTTCATTTAATTTTTTTTTAACATACGTACTTATCCGGTGAGCACTGTTCCACATTAATTTTTGTATGTTCACAGTACAGGTATATTGGAGGACAAGTAGACATACCTGTAAGAAGGTCAGTTTTGCATACTTACAAGTATTCTGGACTTGTATTTGGGGTGTCGTTCCCCCCCCCCTCCCAAAAAAAGGAAAGATTGTACACCAAAAATTTGAGTCGGTCGGGTTGCCGGAAACCCAGCAAATGTTTTTGGGGCCCAAGCCTTTATTTGCCAATCTTGTTTTCACAGGTGCGACTCCCTGATGTTGAGTTCTTCATTAACCTCGGCGACTGGCCGTTAGAGAAGAGAACAGCAGACAACAGCCCACTGCCAATCCTGTCATGGTGCGGCTCAGACGAGACCAGGGATATCGTCATGCCGACCTATGACATCACTGAGTCAACGTTGGAGACGCTCGGCAGGTGGGTCAATTAGGGTCAATTGGATTGATGGTCGAGCAAATGTTGTCCTATTTTCAGGGTGGAAGGGCACCCCAGAGGGTTATCGATGTGCAGAATTGGTAGGGGCTATTATGATGATTTTATAGAGGGATATTGTCATATAAGTTGTTAGTTGAAGAGTATTTTGTATTTAATTGTCATTGTTAGCAGCATGTGCATTGAGCCCTAGTCATGCATATTCCTGGGTACGGGTCCGATTACGAGTACTCGTTTTCTTGCACACCTGTTTTCTCGCACACTCGTTTTCTTTCACAATTGTTTTATTTCAAAACTAGTTAAAAAAAAAATAATAATTCCCCCCCCCCAAAAAAAACACATTAAAAAAACCCATCTCATCTACTTGGCTCAATGCACATGCATGCTCATGTGCCCATTCCTTCTAAGCTTTGCTTCTTTATGGGTCCCTCCACAGTATCTTCCAAATTTATTGTTTGCTTATCATCGACTTTATTCAAAATGCTTTCCTGCTGTTCTCTATAAGATTGTCATTGTCATTGTCATTGATATTTTGGTACTGTGGTAATAAACTGAACTGAACTGAGTGTGTCCAAATATTAAGCCAAACAAAAAATAAGTCGGTCTCTGGTCAGCGCGCGCATCGATTTTAATCATGCGCGTCGATCTTTTTTTTTTCCAAAATGTTCCGCGGTAGCTCCAACAGCGCCCTCTATTTCTGCGCCTCCTCATTTTTTTTTTACCAAAGAGCACTAAGGAATGGGAAATTGCACCAAGGCAAATGATCGAAAGCACCAAGTCAAATTATGGAGGACACCAATGTACATGAGGACACCAAAAAAAGCAAAATAGTACCCCACCTTGTCTGTACAATCCAAGCTTGAAGAAAAAGCAAAAAAAGCAAAAAAAAAAAACGCCGCGTGGCCGCGTCAATTCCGGAACTTTGGTCTGACCAGAGACCGAAATTTTATTTTTTTTGGCCTTAGTGTCTTTCTGAATATTTCGGAAATTACTACAAACCCATGAGTCAATTTTGAAAATTCAAGTGACATTTATTTAGAACTCTCCAATAAACCAAAATATACAAAGTTGGATAATGTAAGTATAATGATATTTAAATAAACAAATACAAATATGAAGGCGATTGCCACCAGAAACAAAATAATACGTTGAATCTTATTATTTAAATATTTAAATTATTTAAATTTCTTATTTCAGAACCTTCCTTTCGTGTTATATTTGTCCTCAGGGTGACCCTAGACATGATGTCAGTCCAGGCCAACACGGGACCCAAATGGATCAACAAGACCAACAAGGCGTTCTGGCGGGGGCGCGACAGCCGACGGGAGAGACTGAATCTGGTCAAGCTGTCCCGCGATGAGCCTGAGCTCATCGATGCTGCACTCACCAATTTCTTCTTCTTCCGCAATGAGGAGGCGGAGTATGGACCCAAAGTCAAGCATATATCCTTCTTTGATTTTTTCAAGGTGAGAGCGAAATTATTGTGGGGACTAGTGACTGTCGAATGAGGGGGCACCCAAAAAATAGGCTGGAGAAATTCTGCTAGCTCATTTCAAGAATTTGCACGATTTTTTGAAAACAAATTGTCATCTACTTACTGAAAATAAAACAAAAGTTGCACAAGTTGAATATTTGAAGAAAACAGTTGACAAATTTACATGGGAAAACCATTAGATTTTTTTCAACTATCTGGAGAATTTTTTCCATTGAAAAGAAACTTCACAAGAAATCTGGGATAACTGAACTGAGCTCATCTTGTTTCTGAAGCAGATTTAACACGCAGGTAATAGTAATTGTGTAAAGTAGTCTATGACATGATTTTTGGAAGATCGGATACTGCCTTTGCACGTGTTATCTTTTAAGCTTCTTGGCTCAAAGAGTTTAGCCCAGTATAGTTGCTTTGGGCTAAAAAAAGATTGTCTGTTGCTTTAGTTGTACGTCTACATTATAAAATGAGGAGAAAAATGCTGAACAGAAGTTAAAAAAAAAACCCTCCAAATCCTATACTCAGCACGATATGAGACAGAGGGGTACCCCCAGTATCCCTACACCCTATGCAAACCTAGACTATTGGTACCTAACACATCCCCCACCTGGATATCTCAAAAGGATTCCTGAGATTCTGGTAACACAATGACTGACACAAAGGAGGAGGGGGGGGGTCCGTCTGACCCATATTGCGCTACTTAAGTCAAATCCCATCATGTCCTGGATTAACAGTTATTATTTAAATTGTTTGGCAGGCTGGTTTTAAGTTTTTGAAACCGCTTTTGCTTGTATGCATGGTTCTGACATCGCGTTCCCACTTGAATTGGGAAAAGGTGGATCAAGATCCGGCATTTTGGTGTGATCGTTATCTTACCGCAACGAAACCGCAAGTCGCGTTCCCACTTATGCTTGATCCACCTTTTCGTACGGAAATGTCGGGTCCGAAAGGTCACTGAGTTCGGAATTACGCGCGCTCTGTGGGAGTGCCATTGTTGCATTGTTGCATGCTAAGGCCAGGATGGGTCAGTTTTCAAACAGCACTATCAGAATTCACCGACAAAAGTTACGCGAATTCACCAACATAAATCACGGATCTGTAGAGGATCCGTGCGTGCATAAATTAACAGGTGAAATCCAACAGAGCCGCTCATTGTGTGACATCACGGCAGAAACCAATGCATCGATAAGGGATTCCCTGGTTCTGAAGCTTCTCATTGGTTAGAAACGGTCACATGATGTACTACGACATCATTTTCCAATTTTCTATAATCAATACTTCAGATTTGTCACCTCCGTACGTACCGCGTTATCGGCACTATTCTCATCGCATACTCGTAAGCTTTTCAATGATTCTGTGCCAAAGTGAAGTCTTTTGGTGAGTGCGGACTCAGAGTCATTTATGGTTGGAAAAATAAGTAAAATTTCAGGAATGAAAAAGGTTTAGTATAAATGGACGAACACGCAACAAAAATAAGGCCTATATAGTGTAGTTTTAGGATACCACGTGCGCTTTTGCATGCGCGGTGCTAGCTCGTAGTTCAGCGGTTGTTTATTGTGCATGTTGTATACGCTGGAAATGTTCACATGAGCTACACGCCTGAAAACCTGTTTCTTCGTTCATGAGACCGCAACATTTTCGCGCCACTCGTGCACCGGGCGGATGTTAACAGGTCAAATTGCCGGATCAGATCCACCTTTTGCGTTCCCATCTGATCGTGATCCGGCAATTGCCGGATCTGATCCACCAATTGGGGGATCTGTATCCTGGTCCAGAGGTGGATCAGAAAAGGTGGATCTGATCCTGATCCACCTTATAACGGTTAGCGTTCCCACTACACACAATTGCCGGATCTGATCCACCAATTGGGGGATCTGATCCGGCAATTTGGCAAAAGGTGGATCAGATCCCCCAATTGGTGGATCAAGTGGGAACGGGGTCTTAGTAAATCCTGTGAAATGAATGGCTTATATTTGTACGTAATCCTATAATCCCTTGGCACAGAGGATTTGCGACTTTCTCTGAAGATGGTTAAGGGATTTGGGAAATCAGCTTAACCGGCACCTAATCCCCCAGGCTTAACTGGTGATTGATCTGGATTAGTAGTCTGTGTTATATGTAGAATACCAGTGGTGAGATATTTCTGAAGTTGTTTGTTGAGGACATAATCAAATTTGTTGTGCTGAACAAAGAATGAGTTAAATCGGTCTCGATTTTGCCAAAAAAAGAAAGATAAACAACAGAGGACATCAGATTTGACATGATAGCATACAATGACATGTTCGATCGCAAACGTGTGTACGTGTGTTTGTAATCCAAGATGGCCGAAAAAACAATTTGGTGATGTCATCAAAGACCACCCTATAGGCAAGGGTGGTGGAGATGTAAACAAATGGGGTTTTCAAATTCTTCTCTGTAAATGTGATTGAGATCTTTGAAATATTGCTAGTTGAATATAAAACATTACATTTTAACGAGCTCCCAATGAAAGAGCACCTTTTAGAAACAAATTTTTCATCTTTGATTCATGCTTTAGTACAAGTACCAGATCAACATTGACGGGACCGTGGCAGCCTACCGACTACCATACCTTCTCAGCGGTGACAGTGCCGTTTTGAAGCACGAATCCGTCTTCTACGAGCACTTCTACAAGCAGCTGGAGCCCTGGGTTCATTACATTCCATTCAAGAAAGACCTGAGTGACATTGTGGATAAGATCAAGTGGGCCCAGACACATGACGAAGAGGTTTGTCTTATTTGTAGATCTGTGCTCTGCTGAAAGTTTACATAACGGAGCAAGTTTGGGACGAGTTGACTAGTGATTCATGACGCAATGTGCGAACAACTCTAGTCAAACATTGGTCAAAGGGTCATCACAAATGTTCTAGGTCCTATTGGTAACCACAGATGCACCGTGCCCTGAGGTCTTGTTCCAAATAGTCGACGAGAGTAGTCTAACCATCCTACGTTTGAGTAAATTTACTTCACAGATGAACTTCCTTGTTATTGCAGGCTCAGCGGATAGCCCACAATGCCCAGCAGTTTGCAAGGGAAAACCTCATGTCCAACGATATCTTCTGTTACTACTTACAACTTCTTCAGGTAGTTTTATATTTAAGTAACATTAAGGGAATGAATATGTGCTAAGCAGGTTGGAGCAATGTACGCTAAAAATAGCCCTAGCTGAAGGCGAGGAATATTTTTGGCGACTAGGCCCCCAGCCTGTCTTAAACGGACTTGTTTAATACCAGCCAAGCACATATTTATTCCCATTCAAAGAGTCAAAACAAGTAAAGAAATATATAAATTTTTAATGATTTTGTTAAACAATTTTACATCATGATTTTTTAAACACCCCTCTAGCTATGTTATGGCATGAACCTCGATATACACCAACATGACTCCCTTGAATTGTTCCTTTTGTTATTAATAGGAATATGCGAAGAGACAAACTGGACCGCCAGTGATACGTGAAGGCATGGAGCTTGTAGAGCAGCCTCAGGACACCACACCATGCCACTGCAGTAGACTAAGCCCTGTGAGTAGACGCAGTGTTCAATCCCACACATACAGGGTGTCTTAAAAAAAAAAACCGAATCCTCAAAGCCCCCCTCTTTTTCACAACTTTGAAAAAAATACTGTAGGTTTATTGCACAGCTGTGCAACAAATTTGTTGCGTAAGTCTGCTGGACGCAGACTTTTTGGGACTCAGGCTAAGATGGTTTCCCAAACGGACTTCCAAAGCTACGGCTACGTCTATTGACAGCTTGTTTCTACGTAGTTAAATGGAAGGAGACCTAGACAATAGCTCTGGACAAGAGATTGCGATGCTCCAGACGAGAGATTCCGACCGTAAACTCAAGGCATTAGCCTGAATACTGGTTTACTATAATATGATCTTTCTGTTTTTCTTTTCTTGTTCTCACTTTTACAGGCCCATGAAGAACTCTGAAAACCAGCACTTTTTTAAGCTAGGCAGCCATTTGCCAGTAATATTGTACGATAAATATTTTTATACATGTAAATGCCAGCTGTATTAAAATATAATCATTGGTTAGAATCGAAAGCAGCAGTGTAGTACGATTCAAAATGCATTTCAAATATTGTTTACCTTACACTTTTTGGAGGCTGATTTTGACTTAATCTAAATTTGCGTGGTTAAAACTGTTTAACGCACTTTTGTTTAAAATTAATTTTTTTGGTCTAAAACTTGCTGCCAAGTTGGCATATCTGCAAAGTGATAGTCATATGCACAAGGTGTTTGAATGGGAGAGTATTTTTCGAATGTGGTGTGATACCAAGGTTAATATCACAACCAATCTGCATGCCGTCAGAGTAGCTGATTGTCCATAGTGTTTGTCACCAAAGGAAATTCCTTTGATAAATTCAGGTTAGAAAATTTCAGCACCAACCTGCTTGAGCCATCTTAGCAAGAGGCAGACTTTATTCGTTTATCAACTTTACTTTCCTGCAGGATTGAAGAGGCGGTTGGCCAATTTCAGTGCTCCTGTAGAAAACTCTATCTACGATATGTTAATAACACTATAAAAAAAAGTTATTTTACATAGTTTAAAGATATAGTCCATCATTTGTAATTTGTGCATTTTGTTCGTTTGAAGCAACAAAAGTGTTCAAAATCTATTGAAGGATACTGAACAACTAACCTGATGAAGTTTCAGCTCAGCTTCAGCTGTATATTCCGAGAAAAACAGCATTCTAGGATCTCAATTTCAAATCAAAAGTTACTGAATCATGTTTTGAATTGTTTTGAATTGCAGCTATACGCAATGTCGCGCACTGATCTGACAAATTATAGCAACCGTGCGTGTGCATCGTGCCAATGCTTGCGCGCGCTCCGCCGAATAACAAAACGAACTACTAATTTACATTTTCCTACGGTACGTCTTAAGACGCACCGTTGGAAAGGCCTTCTTTCGTTGATTACTTCAAAATGACAGCTTCCCAGAAAGAATAACTTCACAGGGAGTTTAGTTCCCTTACTATCTTTCAACCAAGTTTGTTTTTCAACAATAATTACGCCAGTTACTTTTCGGATGGCTTCAAATGATGGACTATAGCTTTAAATATAATACAGCACTTTTATAAAGGAATCAACATTAGGGGAATTGTGCTGGCCATCAGATGGAGTCCATTTATGCACATACGCAATAGTGACCCAACTCGTAATACAGAAGTCCTACGCAATGCGTTTTACATCTGTTATTTTGCCTGTTTTTGAATCTTAAACAACTCGTACACAATAAGGTATATTTTTTTAATTAACACACATGCCATGTATGCTTTTTGTTTTAAATTGTGAATTGGAGTAATAATAGTAATAATAATGGGTACTTATATAATGCTTTTAATTAGGATTCAATTGTTTGATCCATTCAAAACCAGACAAGAGCAAGAACAGGTAAAAATAAACAGTGAAAACGGTTACAAAAATCATAAAATATGAAACTCAAAATTATTTTTTCCCATAAGTTGTGTAGATACAATATCAGTATTACTTGTATTTATATGGTTGTTTATTATTGATATTTTTTTAAAATATGATGTATGTTTTAACTAACGTGGCATAATGTTTACAAACAGTTATTCCGGAAAACGGCCATTGGGGGACTAACACATTTTTGTTTTAATATTAATACATTAATTTTAAACAGTAATTAGTAAAGTGCCCTTATATTTTTATAAGAAGGTTTTTTGTTTCCCTTTTACTTATATAATCTTTCTTTTTTATAATCTAAACTTTTTTTATTGTATAATCTTCTGTAGCTATGCATATTATTCACAGTGGTGCTCATTTGTTGAATAAAAAAGAGTAAAACAAAATAGTTTGTGAAGTGCCTGTATTAATCCTCTCTTAAGATATGGGGCCAGGGGTGTGAAGGATGTGGATCCGTGTTCTTAAAGGGAAAATACAACATTTGCAAACATCAAAAAATAAAACTACCAAATCATTTTGAAATACCTTGCTGGACTGTTAGTGAATGACAGTGTAAAGCATCCTGTAAAATTGTGGCACCTGGTATACTGTCATTTTCAAGAAAAGTGGTATTTTTGTATCAATTTCCAACGCTGATCAGCCGATCAATTGACCATCGCACTTGTTTGCAATCGATTACAAACCTATGAACGGGCACGAGCCAGCTAGACTGGTTCCCTAACCTTACAATTCCCCAATGTATGTAAACTGCTCTGTTTCTTCTTATATGGAGTCAGGGAACCAGACTACAGGAAAATGATCGTTTTTCTTGGTTTATAGCATTTTCGAACCCAAAACCTCAAAAAAGTCAGTGTAACTATATTTGCAATTTATATCCAACCCCCCCAATGCCATCCATTTCTGAAAATTACAGCAAAAGCAAATGATGTATATTCCCTTTAATGGACCGATCCAGTAAGCCCCTCCCACTGCGCACGTGGGCAAATCAACACAGGCTCCTCTCCCATGCCACACTGCATTTTCCCTCCGCGCGCATCATACGCGCGTGCACGTGCGCATGTCGGACATAAATCACGGCTGTGATTGGTCAGAATACCATGGGGCGGTGCTTACTGGATCGGTCCATTCTCCATTGTGTAAGAGGGGGAGTCATAACCTTGATCCAGCCCTTCTAGGGGCTTTGGAGGAGGTTGCAGGTTGGGTTTAGGTTGAGAAAAGAGTTAGGAGAAGCCGCACTAAGGGCCTCTAAATCGGCAAATACCTACATTTTATTTTTCCCCATCATTTTTATGGATGTTTTCGTTAGTGTTTTCTTGTTCAAGGCAAGTGGGTGGACGTGGGGGGTGGGCGGGGTTAACAATTTTACGTTGCTTAAAAAGTGACACTAGAGGGCGCTTCGGGCGGGATACATTTCATTGCAACACGTGTGGCAAAGTAGCTGACTTCGACAGTTCGAGGTGTCAAACGGCAGTCATAAAACGTAAGTTCGGTATTCAAAAGAAATCAATAGCTTTATAGCATCATAGCCAGTACTTTTAAAGAGAGTATACTACTATGTAGTGCGTTTATCAACGCATGACACTCAATATCTACTGGACTTTGGAGGGTTCTTTTAGTGTTTGTTTCTCACTTGACTTAACTTACTAACATAACTACATAGTCATGTTGGATGGGTTGGCCATGTTGGCTGACTGTTTTCAGTGTGTGATGCTGCGAGCATAGTGTTGGAAAGAGATGGACCACTCAGACCAGTTTCTAGCTCGATGGATGTTTTCAGGGTCATGTTGGGACGACCTTTTCGTCGAGGGGCTTCAGGATTCCAGAGTAAGACTTGACTAGCTAGCTCATTACTAGCCCGACTGCGTCTGGCCGTACAGTACTATCGCAAGCTCTGTAGTACGGCCAGACGCTGAATGCTTCCAAAAAGACTGAATTTTTTTGGCCGCTGATGTAGCGATTTTGCTACATCTTTTGATCGAGATTATCTTTTCATCCAGGACAAACATTTCCACAGTTAAGGTTCTTAGTCGTAGAGCAACTCATACCTTTTCGAAAAAACGTTCTTTGGTCTCAATATTTTCATCCATCTGGCCAAATAACGACTTTCAGTGATCATCTTCCACAAATATCGTCCCGAAAATGCTCCCCCATGCGATTTCAAAATGGCGGCCGCGCTGTAACTCATGAATATGCATGAAAAGTCTGTGACGTATGACCTCGTGTTTTTGGACGTGCGTGCGGCGGCGCCGTACGTACATATGTACATGTACATTACTTGTAGACAACAGCGCAGTACGTGCATGCACACCGCCGCGCAGACGTAAGTGTGCATGCACGTACTGGGCTGTTGTCTACAAGTAATGTACATGTACGTACATGTACGTACGGCGCCGCCGCACGCACGTCCAAAAACACGAGGTCATACGTCACAGACTTTTCATGCATATTCATGAGTTACAGCGCGGCCGCCATTTTGAAATCGCATTGGGGAGCATTTTCGGGACGATATTTGTGGAAGATGATCACTGAAAGTCGTTATTTGGCCAGATGGATGAAAATATTGAGACCAAAGAACGTTTTTTCGAAAAGGTACGAGTTGCTCTACGACTAAGAACCTTAACTGTGGAAATGTTTGTCCTGGATGAAAAGATAATCTCGATCAAAAGATGTAGCAAAATCGCTACATCAGCGGCCAAAAAAATTCAGTCTTTTGGGAAGCATTCAGCGTCTGGCCGTACTACAGAGCTTGCGATAGTACTGTACGGCCAGACGCAGTCGGGCTAGCTCATTACATGCATTATCATGGTAAAAGGTAGAAATTGATGGTTTTCGGTTTTTTTTCCCCATTTTGCCCATAAAAAATTAGGGTAGGGGCTGTCAGAATAGGGTAGATAGGGAAACCGGAAGCAGAACTGTTTTTTTTTTTGGCCTAAGGGTGCTATGATAGCACCCTTGGCTTCATTTCTTGTGCCATGGGCCCCTCTTGTGTTAAAAACGCCAAGTCTAACATCAACATCAGTCAACAATTGTTAATTGTTTTCGTCTCTTTGGATTTAGGAGGTGTGCTTGCAAGTCCAGGTTGATTAACATGGACACGTTGGAATGGTTGGCGAAACACGCATGGATCGACAAAATCTTGAGCCACTTTGACCGGAATGCTGTCAAGCCCATTGAAGACAAACCGAATGCACTAATCTGCCAGGTTCTTAATATTAAGGTGTGTATGCTATTGCTATTGGCTTTGGTGCGCCTTGTCCCTATAGGCTTTCACGTATTCCTGCTTATTCCTACTTTTTCCACTTTGCTAAGACTACTTTTCCTACCGTTTTCTTGAAATTCCTACTTTTTTCCTACTTTTTTTGTTTAACTGATTCAAAAAATGAAATCTCGTTGAAAATTTTCATAACAGTGTTTTACTCACTGTCATTGTAAACCACACAATGAAGGGCTTGGGCGCAGGAGTACTGCAACTGTACTTCCAAGAGCTTAGTTGAGGATGGAGCACAAGTGTTGTGAGTACAGAACGTGCCAAATGAGGCTTATGATGCTGTGGAAATGGGTATTAACGAAAACTGCTCCTGAAAGCCCGCAATAGTCCTTCTTTTTATCCTTATTTTTCCTTCAAAGTCCTACATTTGTCATATGTTTTTTAAAATATTTTTTGTAGTATGATCCTACTGTCATTACTGTTCTACTTTTTTTCACCAAGGTCTGCTTGAAAGCCTTCAATCCCAAATGTAGTTGGGGCCATAGGTTCCTGTGGGGACTAGGCTTGGGCGATTCCATCATTTTTGGATTTTGATTCCGATTCCGTCTGGGAATCTTGATTCCATTCGGAATCGATTCCATAATTTTTTGGGAAAAATCCCTAAAAAAAAAATTTACAATTTTTTTTTTTTTTTTTTACTGCTATAAATAACAAGGTTATACTGAATTACAGCAAGATGTGTACTTTCATGCAAATATTATCCCTGACCGAACTCAACCCATCAAAGTTCAACAGCAGGTTTTGTTTAAAATCTGTTGGGATAGGTACAGTACCCCTAAACAGATGGTCTTTTACACTGGGGTTGGCATACCTCCAGAAACTAAGTCCAACAGTGTGTGTGTACAATTTCCCATGTGGGTGTTGGAATTTGCCAAAATGGGTGCGGTCATTCCTAGTAAATTAGGCTGGGGAGTTAGGGTTAATGACTTTGAAGTTTTAAACTACCAATGTCTGTCCTCTTGCAAGCGCATATCCCTGCTGCTAAGTTCCTTGGTGTCCAACTGACTAAATTTAAAATTTGCGGCATACACAGTTTTCTGACTGTTCAGTCACAAAGGTCAAACATGTAGGTCGTAAATTCTACTTGTTGGAATGTAAGCTAGGTCACTTGTGTGCAGGGCATTTGACTTATAGTATAGAGAAATAGTATGTACATGTACATGTAAGGCTTGCATTGTACACAGACCTGGTGCGTAAGTACAGTTGATTGTCTATTCCTGGTATGTACATTGTACCTATGGTAGGAAACTAGCTGGACTGAAAAGTTTATTGGGAGTTTATGTACTTCTTGTATGGGGCTATAAAATATACCTATTTTTCCTTTGTTCATGAACAGATCTAGGTAAGTTTAATAAGAGGCAGTTATTAAATTACAACTAAGATTGTAATTTTGAAAGCTTGTGAGCTACATCAAAGTACATAGTTCAGGCAAAAAAAAAAGTCTCCGGTTTCTGGTATGCGCGCGCGTCGCCATAGCCATGCGCGTCGGCAAAATGAAAAAGTTTTTTTTTCAATGAAAGATGATGTCTCAAAACCGCCAAACTCGCTGGTTTGACTGGAATCCTGCTGCTGCACAATTTTAACGTGTTTTTAGATTGGGTTATGATCGAGAATAAGCTTTATGTGGCCTCTCTGGACTCCCATATATTTGCACTAAGTTTAGTCGAGGACCATTTGCAGTCATCAGCCGACATTTGAAGCAAAAAAAATCAGGTAAAAAAAAAAAGCCACGTCGCCGCACCACTTTTTGGGCAAGCTCCATACCAGAAACCGGAGACTTTTTTGGGGGGGCCTAACATGCAGTTTTTACTCAGGAAAATAGTTGATACATTTGTACAATTTTATGCAACATGGTTTCAAGGTGGACAGTCAATATTACCTCCCTGAGGTATTGGAAATTGACAAACTAATTCCTGAGGTGAAGCCAAGGAACTGGTGTGTACACTTCTAATACGGAGGGGTAAATTGTCAATCCTTTGAACCTTTGTTATAAAAATAAAATACTTCTTGGTTTGCTTTTTTTCAGGTTTTTGAGGAGCCCATCAGTGGCATGGGTGGATTGGCAGAAGTCCACGACAGCCAACTCTACATAAAAGCACTGTTCTCCGTAAACGCCATCAGAAAATTCGACGAGTAAGAAAAACACTGTGTTTTTTTTTTTTTATTGATGTATATTTGTTCATAGATCATGCCATTTGGGAATGAATTGTTTCTTCTGAGACACCACATTGCGTTCTTGTGTTGTTCTTGATCAGTGCTGTCCATTTTCAAAATAATTTAGTATTGGATTAGTTGAATTTGAAGACGTTACATGGCTTCATGCACATTCATAATAAAACAAGTCGTGGGTACTTCGCACTATACGTGCGCGAACCAGTAAGCCCGGGCAGTGTGTTCGTCCACGGGGCTCTCGAAAGTGGTAAACAAGCACCCTTTCTTGTTAGCGCACGGAGTTCATATACTGTGCATGATAAACTAGCCTTGCATTATTTGTGTGTGTGTGTTTTCAAATAGGAGGGAGGCGTTAACTTCGTGTGCTGAGTTCACCATGCTGAAGAACAGCTTGCTTGACTTGACCAAGTATTACATTAAGATTGATTTGCCTTCACAAATTGTGAGTATTGTCGTCGTTTAAGTAAGATGTTGTGTAATGGATGATAATTGCAAATTGAACATATAAATTAGTCTAAATCCTTTCGCAAGTTCGGGTGATGACCATTAGTCAACATGTGGTTGATTCGTGACATAACTTACGCCTGCACGCAAATAACAACATGTCCAAATGTCGTCAAAATTTCTTTTTATTATAAGGTTCAGCTATTGGTAACCCAGCGATGGAACCGTGCCCGGGCTCTGGTCCCAAATAATGTTTTGCATCGGGTTGGGTTGACCAGGCCAAACCGAATCCGAACCAGAACCGATCTGAAGTCCCCAAACCCAACCCGACCCGACAAAAATCAAGCAAAAACTGACCCGAACCGACCTGAAACCGAACCGATCCTTGGGCAACTGTGGACGCTTTTTATGCCTGAAGTTACCCGCGTTGCGTGAAAATCGTCATATCTCGGTAAAGAATCATACCGTACGATGCGGAGTAGACTCACAACTTTATCTGCGGGTGGGCCTACGCGTCATAGACTGTGCGTGATAGACCGCAAACCACATGCACATTGGCGCAGTGGGTTGACATTGGTCGTACCGGGTACCGAGCACAATGACTCTGCAATAGTACATGCTGCATGAATATAGCACGAACACAGCATGAATTTACTGTTCAGTTTTTTCCGGTTTATTTCAGTCTATTTCATTTTTTTTTTTAAAGAGACGTGTGAGACGCTCGGTTTGAGTACCGCCTTGTTTCCAAAATTCCCAGTTGCATGCCTCACTGATTTAAAACCACGGGTCAAAATTTCAAAATGTCCCAAATGCCACAAATGATCCAAAATGCCACGTTATTTCAGGTTTGCAGTATTCTCTTGCAATTTTTTCTTCAACAGGAAAAGTCAGAAATTGCCATCTTTGTAGAGGACTTTACCATGGTGGCTTACAACACCTTCCCCGGATATCGACGTGTTCCGCTTCAGCCGGCTCTTAGTCATCCAAACGTGTGTCATGACCTGCAACGCATGTGGAGGTATAGTTGCAGTAGACAAATTCAATAATGTCATCAAATCAATAATGAGTTATTATTTAAAGGAGCATGTCTCAGGATTTCTAATATTAGTTGGAAAGATTGTGGAAAAAAACATGGCATGTGAACGTTCACACAACAATAGACCATTATCAGGCTGCCGCCATTTCAGTCATGACCCCGTATCCAATAACAGTACTGAATGATAATGTTTTTGTGCAAAAAAAGGAACCAGACTTCTTTTCCTTCCAGCCTCACTTTGGGTACGCTGACTTGAATGGGAAAAAATCAAATGGCTGCAACATGATAATGGTTTACATGTTTACTGATGGAATTGTTATAAATTTTTTCCAAAATTTGCCCTGGGTTGAGTTTTTGATATATCAAGCCCGCATCATTTCACACTTGTTTTGTGCAAACCAAGTTTATTTCTCTCAATTACTACTGTTTTTTTAAACCCTGGAGAGAGTTTCAACCCTGGTGTAAAATCTCAACCCTGGTCTGGAGCAGGGTTGAGTTCAACCAGGGGCAAAATCAGTCTCAGGGTTGACGTAGTGTTGGTGTAGGGTTGAACAATTTCAAGTGTGAAATGCCACATGTTTTCAACTCTGCGTCAACCCGGAGATTTGTCTAGTGTGAATAAGCCTTTAGGTTATTGCTGTAGTTGTACATGTTGCTGTATTAACCTACAATTTTGAAACGTTTAATACATGTATTTAGAGTTGTTATTCAGAAGATGGAATTTGGGTAAAGCTGCTAAACTACTCCATAAATGTGATATTTCTGTTGTTTGTACCTGATAAAATGGCATCCTTACAGAAGTCACTATTTTTCACTATATGGCCTAGGCCTATTTATAGTTTGTCCTAACCTTATCCGGGAACAGAGCGAAATTCAAACCTGATGAACCAGACTGCTCACAAGACCAGTCCCAAGACAGTTCTGTGACAGGGGCCCTCTCTCAACTCCTGGAGGTCATGGATGCCTCCTCCCAGCAGGCCTCGGAGCCATCTGAACCTGAACCGGACGAAGTCATCGATGAGGACCAGAACAATGCACCAACCAGTCAGGGGACCAGTGAAGAAACCCGCCCCTCCAGGGCCGTCTTTGAGTTGGGGCCGGAAGGCTACAACGAGCCAGGGCAGAGCCTTGCGGAGGCCCTCAAGAAGGCAGTCAAGGAGGTTCAAACCAAGCTGATTATCGCCAAGAACTTCCCTGAGCTGGCAAACGACAGGATTCCTGAATACCTGAGGGATGCGCAGGGCTTCACCGTGGAAGTGCTACCACAAAACCTGAAAGTAAGAACTATGAGAGAGATTTTGTAATAAGTAAGCATTAGCCTGAAAGAGGCTACGCTGAACGCTTTCAAATAATAGAAAGGTCTCTCTGTTCTAAAGCACACTTTTCTGTAGATTACTATAGAAATTTTTTGTATGGAGCTTGTTTTTGCCTCGTGCACAGCGCACGGACAGGGCCTCATGCATCGGTCTATTATTTGCACTAAATGCATTAGAACACCCTTAGCCTACATTTGCAGACTCGCAACTTTTCCTTGGATCAAGTGATTTCGTTGTTTTTTGTTTGTTTTTACTTACTACTTACACATGTGTGCCATTAAAATAAAAAAGCACTATACATGTGTTAAGTCTTAGAAAGCTTGGAATCTCCTCTTGTTGTGTTACTTCCCAGTTGAGGAAAGTATAGTGGCAACGTTACGTTTCGTGTAGTACTTGTTATAACATGTCCTTGATCTGATGTTACTCTGTGATATTCCTGTAGCTGGACTTTGCAGGGTGTGCCTTAGACCCTACAGAATGTGAGATCCCTGAGGCAGTGATGGAGAAACTCAATGCCATAGAAGGTAAGGCCCCACTAGTATGGACTGATCCATAAACCATAACCCCCTAGGCCCTAACCCCCTAGGCCCATTTGAAACAGTATCCTTGTTTTCTCCTTGTGTTGTAAGTTTGAACCCAAACATTTAATAACTGATTTTATTATACGATAAGTCTGAAATGTCTACTGACTCAATTGCTACAATTTGCCCCAAGGTCCAACGAATTAGAGTTGTAGTCAGGTCCTTACAAGTTCTTACAAGTCAATCTTAAGTATATCTTGTGTCAAAGGATTCACTTTGCCGGGCAAGTCAAGAAAAGGTCCCCTTTTTGTCCCGTATGTAAGGCTATGCCTTCTTTAAATACATAATCATCGCAAAGACTAATAACATAAAAAGTCTTGTAGGTATTCTCCTTGCAGACGCCCAACAGTAGAAACACACTAAAATCCGGGAATATCTTAAAGGGTTAAAGTTTTGTTATGTATGGAACATAGCCTACACCAATTCTTCTTATTATTATTTAATTGCGATCATGCCCGGCTAATTGCGAGCTGAATTGTTATTTGACTTGTGAACTTGTTTGTGATTTTGCATGTATCTGTCACTTGGCTTGTGATTGACCTGCAATCTATTATTTTTGGTTTTATATTAATTACATGACTCAAACCTAGCAACCAGTGTCTTACAATGCCAAACTCCAGTGCTTCGTGATGGCCAAAATTTGTCAAACTTTTGTACTCTTACATACAGAGTGGAAACCTGGATACATACCTCCATCCTCTCTGCCAGCTGCCAGCAGCTCTTCCATTGAGGCCTTCAGCTTTGTAACGGAGCCATCTGTGGAGGAGCAGGCGCGGAAGGAACCTGAGGACATGCAGGAGCAGTTGCCACAAAATGAGGTTGCTCAACGTGGGTCCAAACGGAAGCTGTCCTTTGAGGAGGTCTTGGAAAGTCCCCGCAAGGTTGCTAGGAACTCAGACTCTGCCCGAGGTGATGTCACTGGAGATGGCCTAGATCAGGGTGAATCCTCTGAGAAGGGTCTGGACGTGGAAACTCCCAACCAGAGGGTTGTGACAGTGGAAGCCTTAGATGAGCAAGTGGATAGGGAAGTAGTGGATGATGCAGAAGCCCTAGATCGGACCAAATCCTCTGAAAAGGTTCCAGTTGTGGATACTCCAAAGCAGGAGGGTGCGATGATGAAAGCCTTGGATGAGCAAGCAGATAGGGAAGAGATGGATGGAGCGGAAGCCGTGGATCAGGGTGAATCCTCTGTGAGGTTGCCTTGTGCAGTCGCTCAGAACCAGGAAGTTGCGACTGCGACAGCCTTAGATGAGCAAAATGATAGGGGAGTGATGGATGATGCAGAAGCCCTAGATCGGAGTGAATCCTCCGAGAGGTTGACTAATCTAGTTACTCCCAACCAGGATGTTGCAACCGTGAAAGCCTCAGATGGGGCAGCAACAGCCGAACAGGTTGGAGCAAACAGGAGCAGCTCTTTCAACCTTGAGAGTTCGGTGGAGATGGATGGAATGACGGCTCTCTGTGATTGTCTCACGCCGCAGGAGGATCAACTGGATGGGGACAGGAGTCTGACAAATGCCCCGGAGGAGTCTATTGTGAGTGATTGGGATTCCTCCGATGCCTCGTTGGTCGTATCATGTGAGATGCCGAGTCAAGGTGCTAATGATCACTCACAGCAAGCTGAGGAGGATTCAGTTATCATATTGGATAATTCAGTTATCATATTGGACGCAAGCCTAGGAACACAGTCACCACAAAAAGTTGATCAGCCCAATTTATCAGATGAGGTACAAGCACCTGGAGAGTCTGGAACATGCACCTCCCCTGCAAACACTCATAGAACAGAAGCTTTCCGAGCCAGCCCTCCAAAGTCCTCAGTCATGGTTTGTAATGCAGAGCCAACCAAAGTATCAGAAACTGTTGAAGAACTGGCAACAGTTGGCCAAGTATCAAATACCAGTGCCGAGCTCTTTGCGGATGATGCTGAAATTTCAAATGCAGAGGAAGCATCCGACGCTTCTGACCAGGGAGATGCCGAATCTCTGTCACTGACCACAACATCCAAGCAGTCATTGAACATTACCTCATCAAAAATCACCTCCAAACATGTAACAGTTGGAACTGCTGAGGGAAAGCGAGTTCCGAACCAAGTTCCGGTAGACAACAATACCAGCCGCTCAGGCTTAGCCTCCACCTCCAGGACTGTAAAAGGCAACGTATCCACTACCAATGTGATTCCGTTGAGGAAGGCAGTATCTCACACGGGTAGCGAGATGGGGTCCAGGGAATCCAAAGATGAGACACAAGGCCATCGGAAGATTACCCGATTACGATCGCCGACCATCTGGGGATCCATATCAGCCCCTGTTCACTCGCTCACATCCCATCAGCCACCCAAGAAGTGCCAAAGCGAGGCTTCATTGAGTGTGCATTCGGAGGAGGTAAGAATCAGATTTAGGTTGTTTTTTCTCAAATTAAAAAGTAAGGGCACATCTAGCCTGTCTCTCAATCAGTAACAAAAAATGTTACACAGCAAAAAAGTACAGTACATAAGGGAGATCTTTTGACATATCTTTTATTTAAAGGGAGTATACAACATTTGCTTTTTCTGTAATTTTCAGAAATGCATGGATTTGGGGAGTTAGTATTTTGTGGCAACATATTGTTGCACTGACTTGTTTGAAGTTTTGTGTTCGTAGATCTGCTGGAAATACCAAGAAAAACAATCATTTGGCTCGCTGACCCAACTTAAATTGAAATGGAGCAATAAATAGACGTCGGTGGGAAATTGTAAGGTCAGGGAACCAGTCTAGCTGGCTTGTACCCGTTCATAGGTGTGTAAACGATTGAAAACAAAATTCAGACCAACTAATTATGGTAAATTGGGGGCAATATTTAAAAAAAAACAGTTTTGTTTTCCAACGCTAGACCAGTGTTTTCTTGAAAATGTCAGCACACCAGGTGCCATGATTTTACAGGATGCTTTAGACTGTCATTCACTAACAGTCCAGTAAGGTATTTCATAAAAATTTGGTAGTTTTGTTTTTTGATGTTTGCAAATGTTGTATCTTCCCTATAAAAAGAGCTGAAAAAAAGAGAAGGTTGACATTTAAAATTGAAAAAAAAAGACATGAAAAGACTTCAGTTTCAAACACCCAAAATTGAGGTAATGAGGTTTGCTCTGGACTTGTCTTGGCTCCAAAAATTTCGAATGCGGACATGGCTACACATGTATATGATGTACCTTCGTTAAAGCCAGAGTCCATCATTTGCAGCTATCCAAAAAGTAACTGGCGTAATTATTGTTGAAAAACATACTTGGTTGAAAGATAGTAAGGGGACTATAAAACTCCCTGTGAAATTATTTTTTCTGGCAAGCTGTCATGTTGAAGAAATCAACAAAAGAAGGCCTTTCCAATTTGAAGGAAATTCAATTAGTACATGTAGTTCGTTTTGTTATTCGGCGAAGCGTGCAAGCATTGGCACGACGCACACGCACGCACGGTTGCTATAATTTGTCGGATCAGTGCGTGACATTGCGTAGCTGCAATCGGCTCTGTGAGAACGTGTCTCGGATGCTGAATTCAGGCCCAATTCAAAATATGATTCAGCAACTTTTGATTTGAAATCGAGATCCTAGAATGTTGTTTTTCTCGAAGTATACAGCTGAAGCTGAGCTGAAACTTCATCAAGTTAGTTGTTCAGCATCCCTCTTTAGATCTTGAGCACTTTTGTTGCTTCAAACGAACAAAATGCACAAATTACAAATGATGGACTATACCTTTAACTCTTACTTATTGCGGTTATTGCAGGGAGTGACCGATACATCAAGAGGTAGTATCGACAACCCAACATGTAGCAGACAGCTAGATAGCCACAAAATAGAGGAGTATGTGCTGGAATGGTGTGTGTCTTATTTCCAGAGTCTGAACAGGAAGCACTGATGACAACCAGCCTGTGTTAGTTAGCTCGTGTTCTGGCCCACGCTAGCAGGTATAAGATTTTGTTACATCTCGTACATAATCGTGAGCCAAATGTGATCGATTCATTGGTCGCTGTTCTAAACAGTAAACAAAATTAGCTACTCTGCACCAGGACCAGGGAAGTAGCACCCTCAAGTCTAGATCCTAGACTTGCCAATATAACATTTACGATCACAAGTGAGGTTGCTGTTGGTACGTGTACCATACTGAAATCATAATTATGAACATTCCGTGTAAGAGATTTCTCAACAGAATTTCCTCTTTTAATAAGATGAGGAAACTAAATATGTATTAGGTGTAATAAAACAAATACAACATCGTTTGTACATGGCATCTACAATAGCCTACAGGGTGTCGCAAGGATACCCGGACATACCCTTTGCTTAAAAATGCCTTACATTGTGCTACAACTGCCTTATTGCCATTTCGTGATTGGATAAATAATGCCGTTTGTTTGCTCGTATCTCGATATCTCCAGTGGCGGTCGTAATGTAGCTAGCTTGTGCCTGGGTGTGTGTTCCTACGTTCTGTACAGTATGGCATGAACATTCATGTGCATTCATGTGCATAAATAAACGTAAAAAAATTTGGCGTGATTTGAGAGTGACCATTATCTGGCTTGGAAAAATGTGCTAGGTCATATGGGTAATTCATAAGTCAAAATAGCAGTAATTTACAATTTGGGTCAGTTTACAACCGATTGCTTTCTCACTTTTGCCAAATAGCCATACTTGAAAACAAATGACATTCAAGTTTAACATTCTTCTTTGTATTACTGGAAGTCGGAGACCGAGACCACTCCTTCCTTCTCTTTTCAACAATGGATCTATTACGCTAACATAATCATGTAAAGAAAAGTTGATTTGATCCTGGCAGGCTACCTTCCTACTCCACATGAAGTGAACTCTCAACTTAACACTGCTCAGAGTTAAATAATACAATGGAAACTAACTGCTTGGGAGGATAAGCAAATAAGTACATTTATAGAAATACAGAATTGGTGCCAGATGTACAGCGGTATCTTTTGACTTTTTACACAGGTGATTGATGATTGATGCCTGTTGTTTAATATGCCAGTCTAGTTTCTTATTTTCAGCATCAAATTGAGTCAGGACTCTCATATACACAGTATTTAGAAGGCCTTAATTTTTGGACTAGAAGATCCCCATCTTTGATTTTGTTTCACAGAACACCTTCATCACACTTCGAAAACATAAGCATAAATAAAGTGTCCGCTGACAATCGTGCACGATGGGGTCGCATGATGATTCCACCACTGCTGAAAACCCTCTCAACGGGAACAGATGAAGCTGGCACGGCGAGCACTTTGTAGCAAGCTAGAAGAGTCTTGGCAGTTTCTTGGCCGTTTCTTGGCCATGTCCTGCCAGAACCTTAGGGCATTGGTGGTGACACAGTCAGGCTCAGAAACAGCTTCTAGATACCTGTTTTAGATAATTAAAACTGGACACACTAAGATTTAGATATATGCGATGAAGTAGTTTTATTTTTATTCAGCACAGAACCGAGAATTCACAGTATCGGGCAAGAATTAAGTATAACTGGAGAAAGTAAATTTGAGATGTTGCTTGCATGAGGACTGAAAACAGAGTGGTTAAAATATAAATTTGATATAAAGTATCCCATGCTTCTCGATCACTCTATCCCACCTTCTCACGAGAGTCCTGACAGCATTTGTCTCATGCATCAGGTCCAGTCAGAGTGGGTTTAATGCCATACCTCCAGTTTCTTGCAAAACCTGTAATAGTCGGGTCCTTCTGTGGAGAGTAGCCGGGTATTAGTGGTCGTCTTGGGCGGCGTTGGATTAAAGTAGAAATTGATAGTTTTTGGTGTTTTTTCCTCATTTTTCTCATAAAAAAATTAGGGTAGGGGCTTTCAGAATAGTGTAAGTAGGGAAACGGGAAGCAGAACTTTTTTTTGAAGGGGGGGGGGGCCCTAACCACCATACAGTAATGAAAATCACATGTAGGGTACTTGCTTCCAATGGTGACCTTGGGTTTCTCCTGAACATGAGAAAGAATGGTGTGAACCTCTAGGAAAGCTGCCCAGTCTGTCTGGTGGTCGTTTACCATCTTAGCCAGACGTATCTTCAGTGTTTGATTGGTTCTCTTGTCAAGACCGTTGAGTTTGCGGATGGTAGTTGCTTGTGATGGAACGTTTCATGCCTAGCTTTTGGCACAGCTCTTCATTTATCTGAAGGAAAAAACATTATACAGTTACAGTTGTTTTCAGACGTTTTATGTACACCAGAGCAGGTTTGCTCACATGCACAACCATGTTCCCTTTTTACATCAGACGGCATTCCTGGGGTTACTTCAGGTAGTCTCTGTGGCGCTCCCCATCGGCATACAAAGGTGTGAATGCACAGCGCAATCCCACAGGCCTCCTTTGTCTTGAGTGGGAAGAAATCAACAAACTTGGTGAAGTACGGGTAGTCTGCTGAAGGTTAGCACGTACCGATAACCCTAATCAGTTGTTGGCAAAGGTCCTGAAAAAAAGTCCGTGTGGCGGCCATTTGACAAAAAAGCTGGTAGCCATCTTGAAAAATAGCCCAGTCAGGCGACCATTTTGGAGGACAAAAAGGCCTCTTCCTTCCTTTTTTTTTCAAAAAAGGACGCTAAACATGTTTTGTTCTTTTTATTTGGCCCTAGCCAAGAATTAAGGCACATTTTGTTTTGTGTAAGTTTTAAACAGCTTTGTTGTTCTCTTACGTATTCGACAACATCTTGTTTGATGCCATTCCACGTGTAATTTTGGGAAAGCTTTGACAAAGTGGAATTAATGCCACTATGTCCACCATGCTCACAGGAGTGGTAATGTTGGAGCAAGTCCTAAACTTCTTCTTCACCAGTCACCACCTTTTTTCGAATGCCAGTCTTTCCCTGGGTATATAGCAGAGCTCCTTTTCTGTGTAAAAGATACCAGACAAAAATGAAAGACTGACAGTAATGGCTCCGTTTCTGTGACTTGCTTATCTACCAACACCGAGCATGCATCAACTTTGCCCTAGTGGACAGTGGCTGTTGCTTGTCCTTCACATTCAGACTGATGAGGAACATGGTTTCGTAGCCCCACATAGTGTGCATCAACAATTTACACCGTGAGGTTTTTTTTTACATTTCCGTCGAACCTTTTCATAAGAGGTAGGTGGCCTTGAAAGGTGCAAAGCAGCCCACGGCAAGGGGTTGTAGGATGTGCGATGTGTGTGGAGGGATGACAAATAAGTGCACTCCTTCCAACCGGGCCTCTTCAATAATCTGCAGGCTGGTGTGGGTGGAATGGCCATCATAAAGCAGCAGAAGAGGCCTAACTGATCCAACTTGTGGTAGGAAATGACCCCTGAACCATTGGAGAAATGTGGCACTCTTGCTCCAGCCGGTCTTTTTTTTTCAGGATAAATCCATCGCCATAGTCATTTCTCCTCTCGTGGCTTTGATGCGACTCTCATCAACAAAGAAGCCACAAATATTGTCCTGGTAGGTTGTAGATCTGAGCAGCTCTTTGTCGAAGGAACCTAGCAGACTCTCTGGACTTGCAAACACCGCTGCAAATTCACCAGTTAGCGGCTTGGTCTTCTCACAAGGACTGCGTCTCAGATCTGCCACATATCCAGCTGTAACACCTTTAGATTATGTTATTTATGTAATGCCCCTACTTAATCCCACATCAAAGCCACCAGAGGAGAAATGACTATGGCGATGGATTTATCCTGAATGAATTGTGATTTCGTAATGGATTCATCTGGAAAATATTTCTCTAAAAGGGCTTCGCAATGTGTATTTATGCCTATATACAATGAGCTGTGGATTTCATTAAGAATTTTAATAGTTTAGAATTTAATAGTTCCGTGAAGAGAGTAATATCTGCTGTGTTTCTGTCACTGTTGCGAGAAAAGTTTGTATAGAATTGTTACATGCGCCTTGTTCCTCAGCTGCCTGTTGCCTCCACCGTTGATCCCATTCCTTCTCCTCTTGGCGTTGCCTGCGCATTGCCTCCCGGTATGCGTGATCTGACCTGTCCATGTGGAGCTGGAAGGCTTCTGCCACTGTTGAAATTGTTTCCCTCATCCTCGTCTTCTTTGTGCTCTTGGGAGCCTTCCTGGAGCCTACAGCATAAAATGTTACATTGAAAAAAACATTAGTTCAAAGATATTGCAAAAAAAATGATAAGTTGGGGGAACTCATAACTGTACTTTTAAACTGCTAACAGTGTATGGATCAAAGAAATACTCAACAGCTTTTGAAGTGTCGAGCTGACTAAATCCAATTATAGAATTGCACAGCTAGAACATAAGATTTTTTTTCCAATGCTTAGATAAGAGCCAATGAACATTTGCTGCAACAACGTCAGTGTCAATCATGCTGTAATGATACAACGTCTATTAATCTACAAAACAATTTTTTTGGCATGATAAATGACATCGTCGACTGGGGCGATGTCAAAACTCAGCATCTGCCCTCTAAATGGAGAACAAGTATCTTGTGCTGTTGCAATGGGGATTTCGGTGTATGTTCCTTTCAAACACAGAGCTTCGGCAGCCTCCATGGGCATCATGGAGAAATTGGACCCATCATCCAATAGACAGTAGGTCTCCAGTTGTGTACCTTCAACATACAGAAAAACTGGAATGATTTTTAGGCTTACCTCCTTTGGGTGCCAAGGATTGCCATGGCCATAGAAAACTGAGAAATTGGGGTCGAAACTGGAGTAGTGAACACCCTAACCTGGCTGACTGGCCAGGTCATGGAGGACCGTGAGGTGTAACTTGTCACAGCGACGACATGGCTTGCGAAGGTCGCATGCGTTTCCATCCTGATGTCGTCGTGCGCATTGCCAGCAGCCTTTTTCCGGTCGCTTCAAGGGCCTTCAATGCAGCACGTGAGGAACTTGCCAGTGTTTCTAGTGGATGAAGAATGCAGTTCACTTCATTCAGCAGCTTTCGCTAGGTTTCTTCCAGTTGAACTATTGTTGCATGGTTGACTGCAACGCGATCAGTCATTATCATTTCCTCCTGATTCAAAAGGAAATCACACTTCTGGGAGATAGATGGAGGTAGCGGTACTCGTCAGGACCCCCCACACATGCTCGATGGGGTTTCTTGCTGAAAAGCCCAGACAAAATGTGGTTCCCAGGAGCATGTCTAGATCTAAGTCTTTAAACAGGTGCATGAGGAACCACTCATTGGTCAGGTGGTTGACATTGAAGTCTGCCCCGTCGTCTGCCAAAATGGTGATGCAGGTTTTCTCGCTTCTCTGGATGAGTGGGAACAGGTCGTTGCAGTGGCTGGCGATGGTTGTCTTTGTGTGCGGCCCTCTATTAACAACGTTGATGGCGTTGCACTCAGGAAGCCTAAAATTTAAAATGAAACATGCAAAAAATTTTTAGTACATCTACATCATTTTTATGTGAACATTATCATTCATTGTCATTGATACATGTTTGTCTCCTGTGTAGTTTTATGACTTTCCACGATTGAATTATTTCTACAAAAGTAGTTTGTAGCACAAACAACCCC